CGAAACCATTCCCACACTCGCTTGTAGTGCTCAGCCACGCAATCCTACCTTCCAAGATTGGAAAGGATTTGCAGCACTCCACATGTTTCTACAGCACTCCCTCCAAAAGACACTCATTTCACTAATTCTTCTAATATGGCTGCCTCCACATCAGTCATTTCACTTGTCCCCTTTGCTAGGGACCATGGCTACATATATCTACCAGGGGTTCCTATCAGCTTCCATCCTGAAGCATCCTGGTACATCCCACCCTCATCTGCCCCCTCTCAGTCCATCCAGCTTGGACAGCATGTTCTTTTTGTCAGTATGACCTCCAGGAGGATGTTCTTTGGTTGCCTCAGGTCTGTCATTCACTTGGAAAGGTCTTATGTGGTCGTTTCAGTCTCTCCAGTCCAAGAAGCATATGGATCCTTCCTCCCTGCCCCCTGCAACGTCTTCATACCAGTCTCATCCATCATTCTTCCAAAATTGCAACAGCTACAGTATAATCTACTGTTCTCCACTCTCCCTGATCACATCCATGATGAGTATGATGCACATCTTGCCTCCTTGTTGCAAGATACAGCAGAAGACACTCCCCCTTCATCCTCTCTTCCAACAGAGCCTCGTTCATGAAGTTTTTATTTGCTTCACTGAGAGGATGGTTTGGGGGGGAAAGTTGCAATCCCCTATGCTCCTGTCACCCCACAGACCCCCAAAGCTTGACCCCTGTTGACATCTGACTCACCCTGTCTGCTTTTGGATGTACTATATCAGCATCAGATCAGCACTGCCTCTCTGTCATCCCACTTTGGCCTAGAAGTGATCTCTTCGAGATGTGACATGCATGGCCTCCCCCTAATGTGATTCCAGTGCACTTTCCCAGTTCCTGACATTGCTTGACTCATACTGTGACATTCTGACTGTCTTTGACTCACCTATTGCCAATACTTACCAATCTTTTGACTTTGCTTACTGATTCTTCACTTTTTGGCTTACTTATCCTTACCAATGCTTACCAATGCTTTCCAAGACGATTACCCATCGCTTACATTCCTTACTCATCAGTTACCAATCACTTACCAAGTGTTTGCACCTTGTTTTCCATAGGCAATGCCCCTGTACTGTATATAAGTCACTGTACTTAGGTAGCAAAAAAAAGAAGACATCAGAGAGCCCCTCTTGCTCGCAATTTATCATCTCTCAGTAAATCATTCATCAGCTTTGATAGTTGAGACTTTATTAAGGGCCTAGCTATCATCTACTTTGCTTATCATCATCTATCATCCATATACTTCGTTCCAAGCCCTCCCTGAGCTCAGTACAGCTTAGGACATCGAATTAAGTCACCATCCATCCTTCTGTAGGCTGACAGCAGTCTACCCTATCGCTTTCTATCACATTCTTGCTCCCTCTTCATCAGGAGCACCCCCAACCCTCAGCACTCATCTTTGAGTGTTGTAGCTCGCAAAAACCCTCCCAAAGAACAGGTTCTACCATCTAGGTACTGCATAGGCACACCACCACTCACTTTCATTGTCTTTTGTGTTGGTTTTGGTTGGTTTTCACCACTGAACCTCACTTTGACTCACAGTGCGCCTACCATCCTATGACTTCTGCAGCATTCGTATCCAGCACCAGTGGTCCTGGCCTCTCCATAAACCCATCTAGCCATACCTCCAGTGATCCAGTGATGACCCCATCCACGTCCTCTGCCACTTTACAGTTCATTACTCCTCAGGTTGGAAGCTCTGCCGGCATCATTGAAGATGATGCGATCAATCAAATGTCTGTCGACAAGGTAGCTCCTGCTAACAGAATGAACATGCAGTCCCAGCTATTTTCAATGCAATTTAATCCACCCATGCTGACTCTCGCTTCCCCTACAACGTTACTTAGCTCATATCCCCCCTCAACTACCAGCTCTATGCCATCAAGTAGGAAGTGTACACATGCAGACACCAACCCTGCTTCACCCTCTGCTGAAATTCCATCGGCGCAAGCTGCACTCCAGTTGCTCTCTATCAAGGATGATGCAGAATGCTCTTCAAAGAAGTCAAAGAAGAGCAAAGAAACATCCACACCCACTTTACTTGTTGGTGTACAGGGTTCCCTTTCATACCTTGGGTCTGTTATCAGTTCGTTGTCTGCAGTTGCTGCACAGCAAAGGCATACTGAGCATATGCATGCCACTGTGGAGATGCTTGCACAGCAAGATGATGACCTTCCCCTGTTAGCTAAGATGACCCTGATGGAAGCATTCCATATGGATGGGGGGGTGATCGATTTATACCTCATGTTGGATGATAAAACCCTTCATAGAAACTGGATTCAGACTTGTCTTCATAACCAGAAACTCATTCCAGATGACCTTGTGTTGTAGTACCTCCATCATATTTGTATCCCTGCTCACAATTTATCTGACCCAGTGTTTTGTTATGCAAAGAATGATCCAGAGATATTCATTTAGAAAGTGAGAAAAGTGTACATAAAACAATCTCTATGATCAAGTTTGCCCTCACTTCCGCAGATACTCCTGGTAGTCATGCCACATTGCCTCAGCAATAGAATCGCGCAACACCCTGGCTGATAATTCTTGAGGGTCATCATCTCCCTCATCATCCCCTGATAGCATGCTTTCTTCTTGCTCAATGTTGCCAACTTCCCCAGTACCCCCATCACCTCCACTATCCCCCTCTGGCATTTCTCCATCAGCATCTGGATCCTGTTCATGTGACATAATTAAATTGTGGATAATGCATAGGGCAACAGGAATGAGTGCCTGGATCTTGATAGGATATTCTGGAGGGAGAAGAAGAATTCAGAAACGACGCTTGATGACACCAAAGATTCGTTCGACAACATTCCGTGCAGACAAGTGACACAAATTGAAAAGCTCTTCTTTGTTTGCAGGCCTGTAAAACGGGAAGTAAATGGATATCAATCATGCAGTAAATGCATACCTTAATGATGCTTGTTGCCACTCTGCCAGGTGATAGCATGTGCGGCAGTAAGGTACAAGGACTCCTTCTGACAATGGGAAACCAGCATCGCCAAGGAGATACTTTCCTTGGGGAATATCGAGACTTGATGCACACGCTTCCTGGAAAATTCGTGCATCCATAGCTGAACCCTCCCAGCCAGTCAATACATAAGTGAAATTCATGCCAAAATCACAGGTGAACATGCAATTCTGGGACATGGTGCCCTTTCGGTTGTGGTATGTGGCACGGTCATGAAGTGGTGGGGAAGTGGGAATATGACTGCCATTGATGGCACCAATTGCATCCTTGAAGTATGGCCAGAACCTATGACTCCGCATGATTTTTGGGTGGACAGTAGTAGTTGAAGAAGCAAATGGGAGTGATACGTGCTTCAAATAGAAGGGTTCAGAAGCAAAGATTGTAACCATTTTGTGGAAGTATCTAAGTACAGATGCTGTTAGAAATGGGCACAGAAAAGCGAATCAAAATGTACCTTGAGATTGTATCATTGGATCTCTGAAAATGTTCTCCAACATTTCTGATTGGTAGGCCAGTGACACATGTATACAAAAAAATTGTGAGCTGTTCTTCAAGAGAGGTGTGCTTCAAGGCTTGGTAGCCATGGTTGCAGAGTTCGAGAGTAATTTCTTTGAACATGTGTATGCTCATACCTAACTCACAATGTATATGGTCTGGGTGACCAAGGATCAGTTCAACCAACCAAGCCTCTCCAGAAAGTGCAGATGTGTGGTATGGCCATATATTCTTAGGGATCTCTCCAGAGGGGAGATCAACCATTAGTTTAGTAAGAATCTGGACAATGACAAGGACCTTCTCTCGTATGAGCTCTTGCGATTGATGTGCTTCTTCATCGTCCATGGCTGCGCGCTGAGCATTGATCAGTGATATGAGCACAATATGAGCATCGCAGCTGGCAGTCAACTTTCAATTTCCGACCATTCTTACTAATCACCCAATATATCTCTGTAGAATTGTCAAAGAGTGTAGTGAGACTACGCGAGCATACCGTACGGACTCTCAAAATACAAACTCCGCAGCATGGCAGAGCGGTGGCTTGCCAGGATCACAAACAAAGTAAAATACCAAAGCCGGCAAGCAACTGTGTAGCGAGACTACGCGAACATACCGTACGGACTCTAAGGGAGATGGAATACGACCGCTGAGTTTCAAGCAAGGACAAAGGGACACGAACAACGTAACGTACACGACACCATGGTTCTGGAATATCTGGGTTACATACCACACATCGTACTACGACTACAGCGAGGAGCAGCGACCAGTTGCCCACGACCACTATTGACTTGCTCATTCCATGACCTCTATATCTTCCACTTCTTCGGCTAGGGTCTCATTTCTCGGCCGGAGTTCGTGACTGGACGATGGCCTTCAGTATCGGGATAACACGCTGAAGTAGACTTACTGACCCTGGGTCGAGTGGCCGGTGTCTGGGAGACATGGGGCCGCTGAGCCAGTAATATACGTTCCTCCAAAAGCCTTACTCTATCTTCGATCCTCTTGGTTTCCGCTCCCATCTCTTGGTATTTGATCCCAAATTTATCGAGTACTTGACGGAAGACTTTGATGCAACGTTCGTGATTGTCCAAGTTCCGCACGCCGTCGTCCACCAGCCACTCTTCCACAGGGTTCAAGAGTAGGAAGATGGCATCCTTGTAGCGACGGAGTGCCATTTGGAATGCAGGTATGTTGGCCAGCATATCCTCCTTCTGCCGTGCCTCGCCCTCATCCTTCGCGGTCATAATGGCATAGACGATGGGGTCGATGCCAGAACGGTCGCTAAGGATGAGTCCTTCATTGTTTCCCCAGCGTGCGCGCGCAAAAGCATTGGCTTCTTTCTCCAACTGTGCCAGCATAATTGCCCTTTGCATCTCTATCGTGCCCACATCTGCCCTTGTGTAGCCCTTCGACCGCATCACTTGGCGCGCTACCTCAGTGATATAGCACCTCGTAGACAGTCCTGCGGACTTCGCGACTGCGTTGCAGAGCGTAGTCTTTCCCGTAGACGATGGGCCTATCACGTACACTTGAGTGGGTGAAACTTGTCTGTCTGGCATGCTGTCGCACTCGCTGAATGGTTGGGCAAACAACGATTTGGGCGCCAATCGGCCGGACCGTGACCCCATCAGGCACCGCGGAAGTCAAGATGCATGCCAAATGCTTCGATGGCTGAGCCGTGCATTAAAAGCAGCTCGAACTCGTGGTCACACAAAAACCAATCATCCACATCCACGCTCTCTCGCTTTGAACATTGCCTGACATTCTATGTACACACTTCTTGAAAATCCTCCTCACGATCAGGAGACATGGCGCTTCACTTTGCCCCAAACACATCTCACCCCTCCAAGGAGAAGGAGGGACGATAATAGGATTTTCGGCAAATTTATCAAGTTTGCGCCGGAGGCAATCACCCTAAGCATCCTCCAGTTTCCGAGCAACCGCGTTCTGCACAGCGATGATCCAGACAAGTTCATTCTTGTTTCCTTCGAGAAACTGCGATTCCCTCAGGGTGGCCTGAAGATCATAACAGGATACATAAACCGGTTGATGCAAGCGGGTTTGTTTATCAACGATACTCAGTATCGCTTTTATCACCACAGCAACAGTCAGCTGGTAAGCGATTGCTGATACTAATCGCGACTGGCAATTGTATTGAGAAAATTGTAGCGAAGCAGGACATGCTTCATGAGGGAAGCTAATAGTGATGCTGAATTGGACGAGAGAATATATCAGATGGGTGACTTTGGCAAGATAACGAGTGCCTGCAAAAAGTGAGAGCATTCCCATCCGTCAGTTCCTTGTCAATTTTGACATCTCTGAAGGGGCCAAACGCATTGGCCTTTTGTTCTCCGCAGCTGAAATTGATGTCCAGTTGGATCCCAAATGGATTACAGACATCTCCGATATCGAAAACTCTAGTACTGTTTTCTCCGATGGTTGTGGATTAATGGCCAAGTGCTTTGCTGTCCAAGTCAGCAGAGCGAAAAAGATCGTCTTTCGTAACCAGCGGTATACTCCAAGCGTGTTTCAGATTCGGTGCGCATGCTAGGATCTATTGGCTACTAGCACAGGAGGCCCTAATGTCAAGATCATCAGCTACTTGGGTTACAAAGGTGTGCTCATGATGCATCCCGAGATGGACAAGGAAAATTGCCTCGTGAAATTCCGCAAAAGTATGAAAAAGTTTACCACCACACAAGACCATTCCTTTTCGGTTGTCGGGTCCTCCAAACCCTACGCTTTTGGCCGCCTCAACAACGATGTTATAGTCCTGCTATCCAGTCTTGGTATCACGGATGAAAAGTTCCTTGCCAAGCAACGGGAATATCTGCGATGGATCGAAGAAGGCATCTACAGACGTGACAAAGGCCATTGATTTCGTATCTACCCTAGACAATTACAAGCTTGCGGAACGCATACTTCTGGACGGCCTCGAGGACGGTGCGGTCATCCGCGACATTCGCAAGGCACAGACGTCCGAGGTGTCCCAATTCTTGAAAAACGATAAACCCAGGGCAAGAATGATTATCCATAAGTCGCGCTTACTATATGGAGTTTGTGATCCTTTCAAGGTCCTAAAAGAAGGCCAAGGTCCATGTTCGTGTCACGTCTAGGACTGGTGCTTCGACGCTTATCAATGGAGATGTTCTTGTCGTGAGGAATCCGTGTCTTCATCCTGGTGCGTTGCGCAGAACACATCTCGGATCTTGTTGAATCATCGGCGCCATATGCAGGCGATTGCTTGAAACTCAGAGCAGTCGACAATCGGCGTCTGTCACATTTGGTTGATTGTATCGTGTTTGCCTCGGTGGCAAAACCGAAACACCAGGCCGCACCATCAATGAGTAGCGGTGGTGACTTAGACGGTGAGTGCAACCATTTTCTCCAGATTGGCTCTCACCTTGGGACTTAGGCGATAAGTTTTTCGTCTGTTGGGACCCAGATTTAGTTCCCGCACGTGTCCATGAGGCGAGGTTTGCCTTCATACGACAACCGTATGGCTAATAGGCTTCTGCACATCTAGTCCTATGACTATCCGCCCAACAAAGAACGCCCTGGTGGCCACGTAACAAGAGCGGACTTGGCTAATCAGTTCGCCTCCTACAACAAGTTGGTCCATCCTATGTTCTTGACGTTTCTGCATCTGATGTTCGACTAGTGCGGGACTCGCTAAAGTAGTGAAGTTACACCAACAGTGGATTCGAGCCAGTCCCAGCGGTGCGATGAGTGCAGAGTGTCAAGAATTGAATGCGCTTCATTCCCAAGCAGTGGATGGAGCTAGAGTCAACATTCCGGACAGACTCTTAACTCCACCCACTCCTCAGGGAAAGTACATCTTAGATGTCCTCGCAGAAGCTGCTGCGGAGTATCACGCTAATTTTGCCCAACTTGGGACTATAGATCTGGACACTGAGACTAGCTCCGCAGATGACGCAGAAGTCGTTCTCGCCGAACTATTTAAGAGAAAGCCAAACGCTGTGTCTGAATATGAGTTATTCAACATGGCCTTGGCGTTTGCGAGGAAGTTTTCTATGACTGCTGAAGAGATAAAGCCTTATCTTGCACATCTTGATATGGGTGCACTGGCGCCGCACGAAAAGCATGCCATCAGTACCACCCTTGGGCTCACACCTATGGAACACCGACGCTTGTGGAATTCACTTATGACTTCTAACATCGTTTCGCGGAGGGATCTCCAGCAACGTCAGCTTGATCGTCCTCTTTCCATGCAGCGACTGTATTCTTCTGCAATAAACTCGCCCGCTACATTTTTCCAGTACCTCAAAATCGCTTTGGTTCAGTTCACCCGTAAACTCCTGGTGCTTAAGGTAGGCATGCCACCTCCGTGCTTAACGCTGGATATTAAACCCCTTGCATAAATAAGACGGATGACAGATTCGCTGTCGGGATCTTCATTCGAGGGGAAGTTCCTTGGGATGAAGATCCCGAAGTCAGCGATAACGTCGTCGTGTGCTCATTTATGCCCAATACGTCTTCTTCGATGGCTGGCTACTGTCCATGCACTGTCGGTTACAGGTTGCATTGTGACGACAGAACCTTTCAGTTATATAACAAAGCCAGAGGGGACACGTTCGTCTTTCTTTCTCGTCCGCCCCGGGAAACTCGACAAGACGTCATCGCGAGTATTGCCTTACAAAAGATCTCGCAGAGAGTTCAGAAGGTCATTTATTTATTATTGTGCATTAGATAGATACTGAAGCGATCTTCCCAGCAATTGGGCAGACTACAACGGGCACCGGTGATTGCGATGGAGATCCATGTCATCTCCAACAGAGATAGGGTTGCACATCAAAGTTTCGATCTCTACTTTGAACAGTACGTCCTCGTTTTCCCCCTTCGCTGCATGCTGACGATCTTCGCACATGAAGCGTTGAGACGGAGCAATACATTCGTCGTTTCGGAAGAGATCTGACATCCTACGAATTGAAAACAGTGAAAGCGGTTGATTGGACAGACCGTCCGGGATGGTTGAAGGACCTCTTTGTACCCCGGCAATCGGAGGATGAGTTCAAAGAGCTTTTAACAGACCTCACGCAGGAACAATTGGAAACCTTGATGAACTTTTCCCTGGAACATCGGGCTTATACCGAGTTGTATTGGAGTTTTAACTTCATCATCAACTCAGTTCCTCTTCGTTCCAACGTCGTCTCCTGGATTGATAAATATCCTCGACTGGTATACGTTCTACTGAAGGCATATCCACCAACGGAGACTATGGAGCTTCCAGAGCCGCTTTCTATGATGTGCACTGCTATCGTCAGGGCTATAGTGCGTTCAGCAAATGATCTGGGCATCGCTACGCTTGTTGGCTTAGAAAAGATTGCGGGGTCCATCAACGACCTGCGAACTGATCAATATACGGAGCTGCTCATGTTGACTGCACTGAGCATCCGGCCAAAAACCTTATTCCAGGAAGCGCTTCTCGTGCTACATGAATCGAGGTTGGCCACTAGGGAAGCAGACAAGGCAGCAGCCTACCTCCACAAGCAGGCACTTGCTGTGGCATTTGATTGTGCGGAAGAGGCGGCTGACACATGTCCTTGCGATGAAAGTGGCCGGCCGCGCAAAACCCAGGGTTCCTATCCTGTGCAGCGTGTTATTCCCGCGGAGAATGGGGAGGCAAAGATACACCTGCGAGTGGATCTGAATGTTCCCATCCGTCTGCACTCGCACGTCCGCCTACGGTGTATGTCAAATCCAGAGAATGGATGGGTCGACCAGGCCGTTAATGATGGAATCATTTCTAAAGCAACCCGTGGAGAGTTGACGGTCCAGTTATTCCACCCTTTGCCGCCAGAAGCGCCAGAGATGCAGTGGAATATCTATGATGCGGGAAGCATAGGTAAGGTTCTATTCTTAATGCATTCGTAGTCTCATGTTATCTTCCCAAAAGCGACCGCGCAAGCGATGATAGATGCATTGACGCGGCTTTCGGTTGAACGTGAATCGTGTTGTAGTATTCACAATACCATTGTGTCGATCCCTTCGTCTGAGGAACTTGATGACGACGCTAGCAGCGACTCTGAAGAAGAGGAGATCCCAGATGCAGAAAACTTGAACGCGAGTCAAATTACTGCCATCAAGTTGTGCACGGCCCCACTTTCACTAATCTGGGGCCCTCCAGGTTGGACGCTGGTTCTGCCTGCTGATGCGCATCGTTCTAAAAACAAATTTAGGCACCGGAAAAACGACAGGTCGTCGTTCAGATTCTTCGTTATCTGCTACGCAAGTTCGGCGAATGCAAAATTCTCATGACAGCATCGACTCACAATGGTAACGATGTCTCAGCCCCTGTTCGGAACCATGTTTCATATCCTAGTCTTTAGCGGTCGATAACGTGCTCGAAAGATTCCTAAAGATAAACCAACAGGACAATTTGCTGCCGGACGAAGTGATTTTGCGAGTTGCCACAGATCATTCCAAGGTCAACAAGGCACTTCAAAGTTATACCGTCGACGCTAGGGTTGGCGGAGACGTGCATGAAAATAACAAACTACAAAAACAAGCCCAACAGCGGGTGAACGCCGCGAGGATCGTCTTTACGACTTGCGCTGGTGCTGGGCTCGGCACACTTCGTAAAGTGAACTTCGACACGGTACTTATTGACGAAGCATCTCAAATTACGGAACCTTGCGCTCTCATTCCTTTGGTGAAGGGAAGTGAGAGGGTGGTCCTCGTTGGAGACCAGTAAGTGGTCGTGAGTAACTTGTATGTTCCGTTGGTCATCTTTTATGGTACAGTGTTCAGTTGCGTCCTACTGTGAAGCCCATGGGGAAAGCTCTGGAGTACGACGTTTCCCTAATGGAGAGACTGTACACCGCAGATCCCCATCCCGGTACCGTTAAGACAATGTTAAACGTTAGCATTGACCCTAGGATTCAGAGTGTTTCCTGATGGATTTTTGCAGGTCCAGTATCGGTTCCCAAAAGAACTTGCTCAATTCCCTTCGACGGAGTTCTACAACGGCGAACTACAATCTCATATTCAGGATAGTGATGAAGTCCTCGGCGTTCTACTCAGTACAGCTTTCCCTTGGCCTTGCAGGGCTGGGTTAACGGGTATCATTCCCACCGTCTTCGTGCAGTGTGATACAGAAGAGACCATGGGGTCGTCCTCCAAAGGAAACGAAGGCCAGGCTGAGTTGGCCGCTCGCATCGTGTCCATGTTGCAGTCGCCTGCTAGAGAAGCAGAAGACAAACCGAAGCTGTCTATAGCTGCTCTATCACCCTACACCAGACAGGTCGCCATGCTCAAGGAGGGCCTCCCATCGTCTGTCACTTGCGCCACGATTGATTCATTCCAAGGCAGAGAAAGCGACATCGTTGTTTTCTGTACAGTCCGTTGTAATGCGAGTCGAGAGATTGGGTTTGTGGAAGACCATAGGAGGCTTAATGTGATGTGGACTCGAGCAAGGCTAGGGCTCATCATCATCGGGAACAAGGCGACGATGACAGAGACGAACGCTTTGTGGAAGAGAGCCATTGGTTCGTGCACTGAAGTGAAACTCCCGCCACTCCCGGAACCAGCGACCTAATGGATATATCATCGATGTATCACCCATGACATCAACGCAGGGAAAGGTTGATAGTAGGATACACTCTGTACGAGAGCCATACAAGTAGTAAAGAGGGATGTAAGGTATCCGTATAAAATGGAGACATCCAGATGAACGAGGTAGAATATCAGACACACTGTGGTCACGGAGGAGTAAAAGTAGCATAACGTCTCCCTAATCGTCATTCATACTTGACAAAAAAGCTCCAATATCTTTTGACTTCGGTCTCCTGCTACCAGATAAACCCGTAATGGGGAAATCTTGGTTGCCTCTCTTTGGATTGCGCACATAAGATCCTGCCTCCCTTTCCTGTGGTATAGGGAATGAGGCAACAGGGGGTGATGCGGGGACGTACTCGGCATGAGACGGGGGTGTATATGGTGCGTTAGAAGTGGACTGGGAGGTTGTGGACGAGGACATGATAGAAGCTCTCTTGGATGACCGACGAGACTTCTTTGGTAAATCTGGGAGTTGCATCACAGTTTGGGAATAGGGGACGGATTGGGAGACGGCGAGAATATTGCCTTGGGCGTGACTACCATCTCCAGTGGAGACAGAGGCTGATGTGCGCGATTTCGAGTCTGAGGTTGACCCGTTGCGTCCGTGCGCCGGCCCTTTCCTTCGTACATACGCCTCTGCTCCCAAGTCTGCGTCGTCTGCGTCGCCAGAGTTTGACCCAGTGTCCGTCGGGTACACCACCTCTACGCCGCCGAAGCTCGGGACAGCACTGCTGCCCTGGGATCCCTCGAACTCATCGTCTTCTGCGGGCACTCCGCTGGTGAGTGCCATTAATGCAGAAGCGTGGGCATTGGCTTTACGTTCCTCGCGACGAGCCCTACGTTGGGCCCTCCGAGTTGCCCGTTCCTGTTCCTCTCGCCTGCGCACTTCCAGCTCTCTCTGAATAGCTTCATGATGATCCGGTGATGTCAAGCGCTCGATAGTGATGGCATCCACAGGTGCAGCGTCGGAGTCGAACGTAAAGGAGGATGTGGTGGTGAGGGCCCTGTGCCGGCCTTGGGTTCCTTCGTCCTCGTCATCCGATAAGTATATTGGGGGACGCCCAACAAGAGTGTATCCGAAGAGTGTAAGGGAGAATTTGGGACGTCTACGTTGCCTTGCTCTTCGACGAGGGGAAGCACCGATGTTAGAGTGCAACGACAGAGCGTCCGAGTCTGTGTCTCTCAAAAGGTGTTCGAGGTCGTTTGAACCCGGGGTGTTGGAACGGGAAATGGGCGTGTTGGAAGACTGCCCGGTCGTATTCGAAGATGAGGCCGCGGTAAAACATGAGCAGCACGAGGCGAATGCAGCACGAATGCCGTCCTTGTAGGAAAAGTTGTCCATGGGGTTCTGGTCGTCGAGGGCCACGCTGCTGCTGTACGGACGAGCATAAATACACGACAACAAGACGACTACGAACCACAGTACTCGGGCTGTACTGGTGGACGGGCAGCCTGGTAGCCGACGTAGCTTCTCTGGATGAATGTAAAGACGCTGATGAGCCCGTCTGACTCCGATCGATACTGACTTGACTCGACGACTCGCAGTGCACACTCGAGTACTTATTGTCGACGACAGCACGCAGCTTGCTCAGACTCAACACCATCCCTGCTTGGTCACTACCAAGAATGTCGAAATCGCGGTTCAACGAAGAGGACTCCAAACTCGTCATTGATCTTTATCGACTATCCAGGACATCTTCAAAGCTAGTCCAGGGCAACGAATATGCTGTACCTTCGGATCCCTCGATCATAGTCACCAGCTGGAAGATGAACGAGTTCAAATATTATGATGTCCCATCCCCATTCCCTACGTTGGCGAGGGGTTTGTTCACCCGTCAGCTGCTAACAGCGCCGGGTGATGAAAACCGGTTTCAGATCATCGTGCGAGGCTATGACAAGTTCTTCAATATCGGAGAGGTCCCCTGGACGGATGTGAGTGCATTCTACTAACGTGATCTGCCCGTCGTCTGATCTGTTGTGCTGGACTGGACTGCTCGTTGTATTTGTGGGAGCGTAGTGGTCTTCCATGCAATTTCATACGGGACCAGATTACACCCTATCGGTGAAATCGAACGGATGTATAATCTTCATCGCACCCGTGACTCCATCCAAGTTAATCGTAGCGTCAAAACATGCACTCGGACCAATTCAAGGCGTGGAAGAGAGTCATTCACAAGCAGGCCACCGGTGGGTGAGAAAACATCTTGCCGATAGGGGAAAAACAGAAGAACAATTGGCGGCCGCCCTATGGGAAAAGAGATGGACAGCGGTAGCAGAGGTTCGTCCACAGAAGTAGGCGCCAATGGCCTTGCTCACTCGTTGCTGTAGCTCTGTGACGATAGCTTCGAAGAACATGTATTGGCCTATCCACCAGAAAAGTCGGGCTTGCACCTCCATGGCATTAATGAAACCCACAAAGCTTTTCGTACCCTCCCACCAAGCATCGTCGATGCGTTCGCAGAAGAGTGGGGATTCACAAAGACGCCCACGCTCGTGTTAAACTCATTATCCGAGGTGAAGGCGTTCACGGACAACATCGCGAAGACCGGAAAGTGGAACGGTGAACCTCTCGAGGGATTCGTCGTCCGAACTCACATCACCGATCCCAAACCCGGCTCGACAGTACGTGACCGTCGACCACCATATCCAACAGGCTCCTCTTTCTTTTTCAAAGTAAAATTCGACGACCCATACATGATGTATAGAGATTGGAGAGAAGTCACCAAGACCTTGCTTTCAGCGAAGGGTCCCCTTGATGAAGTGAACATTCCCAAATCGAAATTGAAACGTCAGGAGACACAGCTGTATGTCAAGTGGGTAAAAGAAGAAATCAAGAAGAATCGCACAGCATTTTCAGAGTTCAATAAAGGAAAGGGTATTATTTCAACCCGTGAGAGGTTTTTGGACTGGATGAAGAGCAAGCAAGGGGCTAAAGACTTGAAGGACTTGAAGGAGAGTGCGCCGCAAAGGTTGAATTTTGGCGAGACCATTATCGTTCCTGTCGCCATTCCCGGATGTGGTGAGTAACTGCGTGCGAGTCGGTCATTCTTCTGATGAAAGTGGAAATAGGCAAAACTGCAGTGTCAATAGCATTGGCTCATCTCTTTGGATTCGGACACACGCAGAGCGACGATGTACACGTCAAAAAGGCCGCTCCAGTCTTTATAAAGAACGTCGCAACGCTTCTTAAGCACCACGATGTAGTAATTGCTGACAAGTAAGTGCCCTCCTTCGACCCTCATGTAGCAGACCGTTTCATGGCGAATCCGAAAAGAAACAATCATTTACGGCGACATCGCGAAGCCCTGTTAAGCGTCGCTTCCAAGAGGAAGCCGCCAGCGCGCCTTTTGGCACTCAACTGGAGCTTCGACAAACCACCAGCCACGATCCACCGGCTTTGCGGAGATAGGATTCTGTCGCGAGGCGACAGACATCAGACTTTGCTTGCGGACGCGGAAACGAAATCGCACGAAGATGTCCTCTGGCAGTTCATTCGAGACCGTGAGGAACTAGACGACAACGAGGTGGATGCCAGTATTGAGATGGAAGTCGAAGATTCTCTGGAAGCCGCCGTCTCTCGTGCAGTGGACGGATGCGTCCAGATCCTAGGCCTTCAGAAGCCTAGCCAGGAACGCATCGATGAGGCTGTTCAAATTGCCAGGGAGTATGAGCCTAAAACAAAGAAGACCAGCGACAAGAAAGCCAAAGGTTTTGAACCGCGATACTTCGGCATACTGCCCGAAATCGATCTCCAGAAAGCCATCGGTACTCGGTTGGAAGAAATTCCCAAAGACAAGAAGGCCTTTTGGGACGAGCTTGTCGCGAACAAGCGCATCACGGATCGGCCTCATATCACTATCACTCACCAGAAGAATCGTTCAGAACAATTACATGTCTGGGAGCTGTGTGAAGCTGTGCACCGGATCCCACGGCCTCCATTTTTTTCCTTCAACCTTGCATGCCTCCTGTGGAATGACAGAGTGATGGCACTCACCGTCGAAGACTTTGAACTAGTAACGGAATCTGATGGGAACGTGGACACGTATCCTAACCATGAGGGATCCATCTTCATTTCGCAACTTCCTCACCAAATCAAGGATATCCTACATATTACAATGGGTACGGCTAACTCCAGTATCCCCCCAGTGGAAGCAAAGGCTCTCGTTGAAGCTTGGAGACATGGGAACAAGAGTGGTATTAATTCATTGGAGATAGAGGGGTTGTCAGGCGAGGGGTAGGGTTAAAGGATTGACCTGATAGTAATTCTAACGTACCGCATCGACCCCTGAACCTTTTAATCAAACTGCATGGCCAGCCACACTCACCAATCCGTTGGTTTTTTGCCTGTGGGGTGCGGGTCCGTAACCACAGTATACCACTTGCTCAAACATACTCATGCAAAGGTGCTGCGTCCAGTGGCGGCCGAAGTGTAATGAGCGTACTATGTCCTTACACTACGAGATTCCCCGCGCGAAGACAATCGACCCTGTTGATTCATTCATAAAGTGGCTTGTATAGCTACCGTCCATCAACTACGTACCGCGTGCCAGCCTGTGAGACGGCGATGGTGATCCAGGTACACGTAAACGTACTGTACCAAGCCCATCGATCGCACTGCACACCATCACTATTCAAACGAATACTAGCTCTGGAATTCCCAACTCAGTCGGTGTGGTATCACAACGGTACCTTTAGTTTCGAGCCCAGAGGCGGCACACGTCTCCGGTGATGTCGATGTACTCGTGATGTTCAGCGGTGTAATTGGCTAACCCTATTATGCTCCATCCTTTCGACTTGGGTTATCACAGAGCCGTCGCAAAGCAACGCAATTGTCCCGTTATGATAAGGGTGGCTCCATCTCCGCTGTGAGGGCAAGCCTTTACAGGATACTACACCCCCGGCCCTCATAAAGCAGAGCTTTCACGCATGCCAATAGCTAAGACTGTTATATCCTCATGAAAGCTGGATTTGGAAGTCAGAAATGGAAGGAACGTTATCTTATCTTACTGCAACAAAGAAGTGAACTCAGGTGTCAAACGGGTTGCGTGTGATCCGGGTCACCGGTCCCTGCTGAGAATCAAATCAGCTGAGCTATAATGTTTTCCAAGAGAGTGCTGCACAGCTGTAGTAGAGATGCAGGGTCTGATATGATACCCTTGTGACCTCTTCATATCGAGGCCATTACAAAAGTGGACGCAGCTTGGCGCAAAACTTGACGCCACCTACCTACCTACCCTCCTAAACAGTCAGTTCCTTGTTGCGTGTGCACTACCGAAACGGAGTGTCTTTCGTGCTGGAACATTCTGGGGTAATAAGAACCGCTCACCCCGGCCCGTCTTGGAATCAACAAACAGGTGGTCGTGGGCACGTGCAGGAACCCTGGAAGGGAGAGCTCAGGGCGCGTTATCTGTTTAATATCCATCCCAAGACCAAATCAGCACGGCCTTGTCAACTATGGAGAAGACAGGTGTCCCACCATTCAGGGGGACTTGTCACTGACTTCAAGTATCCATACATCTGCGTTCCTGTTGTCCCTGTGGCAGACACCTGACAAATTCAGAGGTTCCTGATTAATGTGACAATGTTTTTACCATGTCATATGGGAGTTACAGTACTTAGCAACAGTAAAGTCAAAGTCAAAGTCGAGCACATTACGGACCGCCAGATGCCAAGCCGTGGGGGGTGGCAGTACGCTTTATTCGGCTCGGGGGTCATCGGCTATTTGGAGAAATAGCATCTTGGCAGCTGTCGAGATGTCTAGATATCACTGAGCTGAGCATATCCAAGTCTTGTATGCTGGCACCCGAGGCCACCGATTTTCTGTGCAAAAAAATGAGGATATGGTTGCCATGCACGTGAATTCTTATTTACCTGATGGCAATCGAATGCAAAGTGTGTAGGACGAGACGTCACTACTAACGTCACTGATAGCACTGATCGGATCTTCTTGGTAAAAACTCGTGAATCCTATTCCCTGTTGCTCCTGTCGCATTCACTTTGGCAAGGGGGGTCAATCAAGAAACGGGCAAAAATATGCTAGTCTTGAGAGTGCACGCACAGTTAAGTTGGAAAAATTATTTTAAGTCCCTGTCAAGTCAGTAACCACCTAGCCTCCTGCAGACGCGCTGTTAGGGTTGGTTAGCGGTCGCTGCGATCGAAGAGATTAGGTTATCTGTATCTAATCCCCGAGAGCTTTGCGTACTTCCCTCGGAAAAATCAACTTCGTAATAATTGTCGGCGAGAACTTGCCTCGTTATCACAGTCCGTCAATATCATGGTGGTTTGATTGGTGTTCGTTAACAACGGGTAGGCAGGTTGTGACCTTGTTGTGACGGACTCGGGTGTCTGAACAGGATAGGTGGATGTGACCTGAGAAATTACAGGATTCAAACTAGAACTAGACTGGCAGCGATGCGCCCACCATCTCCGCTACTGTTATTTACATATATGTCCCCAACTCCAGAGCGTTTTCTGCAATCTGCGAGTGCCCAGTCGGCTGGGCATCATATATTGATTCAAGGGTCGATCACGCGATCATCGAGTCCTACCTCGTTTCAACATAGTTTGGCAAACACTTTGCGCCTGGATCATCATCGCAGCACGCAGCAACGGATATGTGATGGGGCCCGGTGTGATCACACGAATGAAACAACTCACTGGATGTAAGGTATTGCCACATGTAGGCGTCGTCACCTTCGGACCTTTTCTACGGGTTCTCGAAGAAAGAAGACAAGAGCGGCTGACTTATTGAGATGATGAATCTCACGGTGTGTATCAGTAAGGGAGGCTCCGCCGGCCGCTCATGATATTGTGATGATGATGGCGGAGGTGTCGATTGAGCATCCACCGGTATTTCCTCGGGGGATTTTATTCTTGTTGGCAGAATGTTAGCAACAAGGGTCTCACTGGCATCTTATGGGCTCTCGTGACCGATCCCCAACTTCATTGGACTATGATTCTCACTAGTTGAGTCACGAAACAACACGAATCGTGGCGCGTCTTCGATGGTTGATACGTTTATCACGGACCATTTTATGCTCGGGGGTATCGTGTCTTAGCGCTTTATTTCTAGAAAACTGTTGTCCTATGCACCCCTGCACAATTATTATGCAACTTCGTCACAACTGCGCAGTTGGACAACTTCAGCGTGCATGCTAGTAATGGGCACGTGGCACACTACTGATCACCTGCACTCGCCTTGTGAGGACTATTATTATTGTTCCCGACTAGTGGGAGGGGTTGTCCAGGAGACCCAGAGATTTGGAGAATTTCCACGAGCAAAAAGCGAGGTTTAAAAGTACATATGCGGTGGACACGGCACGTCATACAGACTAATATTATTACAGTCTTCTTTTAGGCCAATCGACCCCCCTTGGAAGCTAACGTCAAGCACTCATGCTGAAGTTCCTGGGAATTCATAAGTATCGGGGAAAAAAACCTATTAGGAACCTGCTAGACAGAGTGGGATCCAGGCAGGTGTCCGCCCATTTTCAACGTGCCTGCCAAGATGGATCTTTGGCTGGACTTTGCTGCTGGCAGGTCTCGTAAGTTGTGGTCCTGTGAGGAACTGGTTAGGATCTGTTAGGGCAAGTTTCATCAGTTCCCTTCTCCAATCTGTGAAATGAAATCTGTGGTTGACTACGCTTACATAACGCCCAGGTTGCACAGGTCTGTACAGACCTCGCCGACACCAAAAACGGAACACAGATCATGGAGGTCCGGGCGCCAATCTGAAGTATGACATACCCGTGTGTTATGTGCCTACAACGTTGGGTTTCCTTCTTTTGAAAACTACTCCCGTGTTCACAGATATAAAGGATGCCCCCGCACCGCAGTCATATGCACCTTGTCCCCCCTGTCGAGCCCCCCAAAACTCTACACCCGATTCGTGTTGCCTCCCTTCTGCAGTCATGCATAACCTCCCTATCGAGCTCGTTAAGGAAATCGTAGACAATGTCTCCGATACTCCTGACCTCTTCCATCTTCGTGCCGTCAACTCTACATGTCGGGATCTTGTCGACCCCAGTCTCTTCCACAGAATATGCATAGGGAACAGCGTCAAGAGCGCCCAAAACATCCTGCAGATTTTCGCAACGCCTTCCCTCGCACCGTTCATCCATGAGGTCGTATACGACCCCCGCGAGAATCACCCATTCCTCTTGCTCCGTTCTAGTGACGCTGAGGGTGAGATCAATGTTACCTTTCTTCTAATAGAAGATCTGAACCACCCCCTTAACAGTTTGCTGTGATGAAATCGAGATCGCGGAGCTCGAGGAAGCCTTAACAGAAACCTTTACTTCACTCTCAAATTTACCCAACCTCAAATCCGTTACGCTCAATTTTTGGCCATCGTTTATCTCTCAGTCCGGGGCTGAGACGCGCGATCATCCCTACTGGTTCACAAGTCGCCAACTCACTGTCCTCCATTCGGTCTACCATGCTATGAAAAACCATTCCTTCATCCCACTCCCCGTACCCGGGGATCCGCTCGCTCACCCTAAATAATGTCGTCCTGATGCCGACAGCCAGCTATGACTTCGTACGCTCGCTGACGGATTCTCCCCTGACACATCTCTCCATTTCCGTCGTCTCTAACTCTGAACTTTTTGCGTGGTCGGGATCCAAAACGCTCAATGGCTCTGTGGAGGCCTTCCTTCCCGTTCCCAATGATCGCCTGACCTCACTCGAGATCAAGAGCCCGCGGGGACTGTATCACAGTCCCTCCACCCATTTCAGCGCGCACACGTATCCTTCCCTCAGATGTATGGTGTTGGAGAACATCGTTTTAGACGACGCCACATCAACAGACGGGGTTGAGGAATTTATTCTGCGGCATAAAAATTCGCTTAAGAAGTTGGAGATGAAGTCTTGTATGAACTACATCCAGAGCATCGCAACCCCCGTCAGAAAATGGGCGACCATCTGGGAGCGATTGAGAGAGGAGTTGACAGAGTTGGAAGAGGTCGTGGTTGATGATGGCGGCTGCGGGTATGCCGTACTCAACACATCAGAGGGGTACATTCCTCATTCAGACGTAGCGGCCTCGACACCCAGTTTACTGGAAGATGACGAGCAGAGTCTGAAAGACTTCTGCGAACGTGTCAATGCGAGGGCGGCAGGCTCTTCGTGATGCTAGGGTGATGTTACATTTACTTAGATGACTGTGATAGCATGGATTTTCTTCGGGTTTTGTTGTTATCATTAGCATCCGTGTATTGTAGTTCGTTAGCTCCGTGCTACAATGTGTATCTATATTTCTTCGACTACCCAGAGCAACATTCTGAATTTTCTGTGCGGGCGTCGGATAAACGTTGGAGCCGCCAGAATGGAAGCGCTTTCTGTGCCTCGAGGTCTTGATTCTTCTCGACCGAGGCAATATTCTGACCCAAGCACATATCATTCTCCAGCTTCGGAGCCTGGAACCCTCCCCCCTGACGCATATCCGCGGAAGAAATTACGTGTATGGAACTATTCATAGTATTCCACGCGTCTACGCTGTATTGGACCCTATGTATAGCATCCCTCGACAACGGAGAAGCTATTATTAGGTAACGTTATTGCTGCGGTTGCGCAGGGCCGCATCCCCGCGAGATAAGATACTATTGCATATGGATGTCGATAATCCAAACCCTTCGCACTTTGCTCCACCACGACGGGAATTACTGGTTCAGTCTCTATAATGTAACTTATTGTCGTCTTAGCGAGTGAATCCAAACTGCGCGTGCTACGGACAGGGTTCGCTATACCGAAACAGTCCGGGTCGAACGCCTTTCATTCTGAATTGGAAACACATACTCCGTGGGGTTATTCGAGTTTTCTTTGCAGGATGGCCAAGAAATGGCGTTTCTGTCCGAGACCCTCGAAACGCGGGTTTTGGACGGTCTTTCCTTCGAAGTCAGTGCGCTGCTCTGGTACCCCCGGTGGTGTTTTGTCCCACTGCACTGAGTCAACTAGCACCGATCACCGAGAAATTCTGACGCGCCCGCATATCCGGACCCAGACGCAATCACTATACTGTGGATCTAAATCCATCGCCGGCGTCATGACAAAAAGACCGGACCCTTATCGTATCTCAACATCAGCTTATGGCACAAATCGGAAGAAAGTAAAGGAGACGGCGACCTTATCTTGAAGCCCCAGTATACGGGTACGTGGAACCCGACGAATCTGTGGAAATCGACCTCCGAGATTTGCAGTCTGATAATCCAGTTCGTATGTAAAATGACCTAGTCCAATTCAATATCGATAGTTGGAATTGGTAAAGCTTGGTCACCAGCCCGGCACCAGCAGCATGCCTGTGACTCTTGACTGCGCACTGCGCAGTGGATACAGATACACGCTTTGCAGACCTCGCAGACGAGACAAGCGTGGAGTTGAACTTGCGTAGCCACTAGGTCATTTCAGAGTAAACTTTTCCGTACCGTTCGCTTGACCCAAGTTGGCAAAGGTTGGGACAGCATGTCCGCAGCGGAGAACGTGTCCTTTTGCGCAGTAACCATCCGAGCCTGATGATGTCGACATCGAAAGGTTTGTGGAGTTAACACTAGGATGCTGTGCTTTATGACGAACACTTTCCACTACTAAATTCCACTGCGGTGAACGCTTCCACGTTACTGCGCAGGTTTGGCGCAGGCCGCAGTTCATATCAGCGGTTATCGACGAGTACGCGGAAGTATAGACGGCGACTTATATTCGCAACTGAGGGGCGGCGAGTCTAAATCGAAATCTAAAAATTCTAAGCCAACCGTTCGTTCTACGTGTATCTCATCAGAAGCACGGACTGCGGCGACGGGGCGCAGAAGCCGTTCAAGAAACGTGGCGCGCGTTTTGATAAAACGTAATGTTAGCTTCCTATACTGTTCGGCCGGGGAGAATGTCGCCGGCAGTCGTAGCTCTCACTCATCAGTGCTTAGTAGTAGTAGCCCCCTCGGATGGAAGTGATTACACACGTCAACGGATGATATGGTGGTCTGGGGATTGAGTGACTTTAAGTCAGACGGCGACGATTAACCATTGCCTGAGCCACACAATGACCAACGGAGACAAAAAGTGCAGGTTATGAAATCATTACCGTTCCAGCGTGCCAGGCCGGGCTCCATAGAGGTTCGCGTGCAGGAACATTCCCAAGCTTCGCCTTGACTCCCATGCTAATCAGCTGCAGGTGCAATGTCTCACTGGGAGCTTGCTGCCTACTCACGAACCGTAACGATGGAGTCCAGATTGATCTCATGTGCAGCGGTCTCATACCATGGTGGCTTTGCCATGAGTAACCGGGAAACATGTATGCTTCAGTTTTGGCACCTGGGGGCCGCCCCGGGTCAGCCAGCTTTCGAGGGAAGCCCGGCGTTGGAAATGGACCGCACAAAGGACGAGTCAAAGTACACGCTGGTACATGCCGACGGAACCAGAAGTGACTGATGCAGCTAAACGCAGGGGATTCGGCCTGCCTGTGAGTATATGGTCTGTAGTATACGCTTTAGTTCGTCAAAATGCCTTACGTTCCACCCAGCTGACACGACAACAAATAAAGTGATATGAGCACAACAGTCCTACGCATTTATAACGATCATTTTCTTCATCGCTTGCATAACTATAATACTCTGTCGGGGGGAAATCGTGCTTAGAGAGCCACAAGGTAAGGACAGTCCGGGCAGAATCTCGGTTCAAGAGAGGGAGGGAATATCACGACGGACGAGTGCATGAGCAAGTTAGTACCTTAGACGCCACCATTGTCTCCTGTCTTCCAGCACCCTGGACCAAACCCCCTCGGCCCTAACACCTCGTCAACGACACGCATCATCGCAAGCACTTTCTCGTCATCCCATTTCCTACCCACAATCTGCACACCGACAGGCATACCCGCCATCTCTTGCGGATTGTATACGGTACGGGAGCCGTCCTGATACATGAACTTTTCGAAAATGGTTGAGCCCCCCGTCTCACCTGGCTTGAAGTTGGAAGGTAACTGATCTAAGGATGCGTCTACTCGTGTCACAGGCACAATCCCAACGGGAGAGTCGATGACATTGAATAAGACTGTCGCAGAAGCCATTCCGGATAAATATGCACATGCACTGGATATTCTCCCGTCAATTTCGATAAACCACAGAATTATCGGTCTTACCCATGAGGGATGACAGGTAATGCCTGTACAGGGGCTATGATTCCGTCAAATTCATGTTTGTCCCATACCTGCGCAGCACGTGGAATCGGGTGTTACATCTGCGGCAAGCGAGATGGAGAATGATGGTTCACCTCCTGATACCAAGCCTCTTCGACCTTGTTTCGGCGGTCGATAAGATCGCAAAATTCAATGACAGATTTTGTACGTGCTTGAGAGAAGAACCGAGGGAACATGCGGTCTCCGAAAAATGTCTGAGCTGCCCAGCACATCAAACTGCGTACGAAGCCTTTAAATCATCAATGAGATTATCATTTGGATAGCAGCGAGTTCACTAATAACTGACCAGGTACTTTCGCCCCGAGGGTAGATAGGAACAGACTGTCCTCCTGATGAACTGTCAACCTCACAATCGGAACTGGATATAAGAAAGTCTTTGCCTGAGGATCGCCCTGCAAGTGGGAGAGCATCTTTTTATACCCGTCGGAAGTAACCAGTCCGACAAACACTTCCATTGCACTCGGGGCTGGGAGCAACAGTGTCAAGGACGCTCGAAGTATTCGTGCAGCTATGCTGACGTACGCAGTAAGGTTGAAAATTCAACACATTCGTGTCCTGCCTTCCTCAGCCCATTAACTGTTTCTTGGATAGCACGCACAGTAGCAGGGGAAGACTGGGCAAGTGAGTCTGGGAGAATCAATTCTGGAGATGACAGAAATGACAATCGGAACTGCGAGCTTCCTACCACAAAAATAATACCCAAACTTCAGCTTCTTCGGCAACTCAACCGGGCGATATGGAACTGGGGTAACTCGACGAGCTGGGTCGAGTTGTCCGAAGGTTATGCGGGAGAAGAGGTCGCAATCTTCGATGGACCTAGCGGGACGTTAAAGAACGGTTAGGAAACAGCAAACTGAACGAAATCTTACCTTGCCATAGGCCCGTATGCAACACGGATGGCTTCGAAACCTGGCCTGCAACCTGCACGCCATCAGGGAACGTCCCACGGCCCATTTTGTCTGATTCAATTCATACCTCTGGCACCATGAGCGCTCACTCGCCCTGTGGAAGGTTTAAGGGAGTATATCCCGCAGTAAGAAGCTGGTATGCGGATACTGCCCCCGACATCGGAGCCCACTCCAAGGGCAGACCCGTCCATAGCCAATACAGCCGCCTCTACAACATCGTATCAACTGCAAGGACGACTCGCGCGAGCAATAGACGACTTGCCTCCGCCCGTGCTTCCTCCGCAGGTGTATTTATCATTCCAAGGATTCAGCGTGCGGCCCCAAAGTGGGTTACTGCATTCGAAGGCAAACATAGTTTGTGGGACGTTAGTTTTTGCAATAATGATGGCACCCTCCGCACGGCACAGGGAGACGAGCTGTACACGCGAGTACGCGTCAGAACACACATGCACGCGACTCGGAAAGAAACGGAGGGGGAACTCACAAAAGCATCGTCGGTACAGGGTTGGTTGGCCCAACGAGTGAACCCTATGGTAGTATCATATCCAGCAATCTCAACTACCCGTGCAGAACCCTTGAGTCTGAGGTATCAGCAACAAAAGACAGGGATACGTTACACTGGTCCTTGAAAGTCATAGGTACGCCATGCAGCCGTCCACGAACTTTTTTGGTCGCTGCGAATTCTTCGTCCAGTTGGATTGCTTGGCGTCGAGCGTCTTCAAAAAAGACTGGCAGTGGGAGGGAAGAACATTAGAAAGTCCAGTGACATCCGACAACCAACTGACCTTCAGTGAGACAGTTCGTCCTGCGCTGTGCTTCGACAGCACGAGCTATGTAGGCTTCGAGGACTTGCGATGCCGTCCATTCACTAGCACTGATGCGCTGCACAATTTCTGTGGCTGCGATGTCCTGTCTCGATAGATGTTCTTTAGGCTGAGAAGGTTGGTCATACCTGTGGCGCTCGTAAATGAATCATGCTTGAGGGCATCGTACGTGGATGCATGTGCGAGCGCGGCTTCTCGAGCCGTTCGTTTAGAGGATATCGTTGCGTCACGTTGGTTGCCCATGTTGGTGTCTGCAGTAAAGTGGGACTGTTAGAGCTAACTACGACCCCAATCAGTTCCTGTGTTAAATATCATTCATGTGGCACCAACCTCCCCGTCTATCGGACTTGATTAATCACGCGGTATGTACTTCCTCCCTCCATATAGAATACAAATGGTTGGCACATTATGAGTGTGTAATGATCTATAGTAACGTCTTTGATTCCGACTTCTTGTTCTTCCCCGAACTCGGTTGTGCCACGTTTGCCGCCCTGGCTGCCATCGCAACCTTTCGCGCGCGTTCCGTCTCTGCGTCTGCCTCAAGCTCTTTTAAAGCCGCTTCAACCAATGCGTAGAACCCCCCTCGGTCATACGCTGCCTGCAGCCGTGTCTGTGACTCCGCAACGTCGTACGGGGGGCTTATATGAGGATGCGCGGGCATCTCGGACGACGGAGACGATGCCAGCGAGGGTAATGAAGAGGTTTGTGGAGAAGGGTAATCTGAGAACCCATTTACATCTTTAGAAGGAAAGAGAGGGGTAAGAGCTTCAAGGTCTTTGGCTTCCGGCTTCCGGTGTATGCGACCGGAGAGGAAGGGGAAGGTAGCTATTACCCAGAGGCGCATGCGTGTTGCGAATTCGGATGTCTGCAAAAGGAGGGTAAGCATGGAGTAAAGGAGCGAACGGCAATCATCCAGTGCATTAGGCACAAACACTGTTGTAAATCGTAACCAACCGAACGGACTCACATTATGCACGTCCAGATATGTCATGACGCCGAAGACGGAGGCAGACCCACTCGCGCAGACGATTGCTGTTGCAACGGCGAGAGCTTTCAGGGTGTACAACGACCCATTGAAGCTGTCCTGCTCTCCCAATGCCATGGCAGCGGCTGTGTCGGAACGTGTACTAGAGAACGGCGACGTGTGGGACGATGTTTGTGACCCTTGGCTTGATGGCAGTTTCTGAGATGAGGATGATCCCTGCGTACGAAGACGAATACGTGGTGGGGGAGCTACCGGCTGGCCCAGAGTGTGCTGGTCCGGGGTTGACGGACGATGCCCGACCCTCTCCGCGGAGGGGCAGTCGTGGCGGTCGCCCGTAGACCAGCTTTACTACCGTCGCAGCATTACAACTGGGACGACCAGGGCAGCTGAAGATATCGCGAGCTACGGTTCATGCTAAGATAACTTGAATGGTTGACTGGTGCCCATTACATACAAAAGATATTGGAAGCCATTTGGGAACGGGCCCAGATATTCCAAGTAGACTGGCATATGTCGGTTTGGGCGCGGGCTGGCGAGATTCATTATTCGCTGTAGTCAACTGTGACATGTCTCAGACAAGTTAGCGGAGGGCCGACAGCACAAAAGATGATATCGATCACGTGCACCGCGTCGATTGTCCCGAGACCCGAGTCGATAATCATATCAACTTGAGTCATGGCAAAGAAGTCGGGGACTAGCAAAGCAGCGGCCAAGGCGGCCAAGAAGGAGAGGGCGGCTCAAAAAACCGCAAAAAAGGAGAAGAAGAAAGTATCCAAGGCGAGCAAACCGGAGGATCAAGATGATGAAGATCTCGACAGCATCCTCGACAAGGTTCCGTCTTTCCTTCTCGACTGGAAATTATAGAGGTTCATCTAATTTTCGACAACATTCACAGTAGATAAGACGCGAGTGGGAAGAGGCCCATACAGTGACCGAGGAAGTGGTGGAAGGACCCCCAAGCAAGCGTGCAAACGCAACCTTGACTGCGTGTCCCAATGGAAATCACCTGTGGTCCATAGGCGGCGAGTTCTTCAGCGAGGATGGAAAGGCGGTGCGTACCTTTTGCCGTGTATATGTCTTTGCTTGCGATATGGTGTTCTTCGGAGGAAAGTGTGCCCTGCTCACACAAACCGTTCCAGTATTTCTACAACGACGTTTTCCGCTACTCTCCAGAAAAGGTTTGTCCGCCCTGTCCATGCCTGTACTCTCGACTAAGTGCTCCAGAATGAGTGGCGCAAATTCATCTCCCCGACTTGCCCTGGCCCACGCTCCGCTCACAGTGTTGTCGCATCTCCAGTTGGAGGCGGAAAGCTATTCCTCTTCGGTATGTTATGCGCCACTCTCTATGTACATGGTTGAGTCTGTTGACCCCATGAATCGACAATACTACACGAAGGTGGCGAGTTCTCGTCACTCCTATCAGAACAGTTTCCATCATTATCGCGATTTTTGGGTTTTCGACATTCCAAGTCATTCTTGGGATCGGATTGAGACCAAAATCCGTCCCAGCGCTCGGTCCGGCCATCGGTAAACCCTCACGAATACGCACTGCTCCCACTCACTCACATGATACGTGGCAGAATGGCAATGTGGAAGCACTATATCGTTCTTTTCGGAGGTTTCTATGACCCAGGGTATCGCAGTAGGTCGCATCACTGCTTTCGTAGGCTATCTGAACAACGAGTCTTCTTTCACAATTGTTAGCTCAGTATTTAAATGACACTTGGATCTTTGACACTCAAGAATACAAGTGGAAGCAGATTGAATTCAAGGAATCAGACCGCAAGCCTCCGTGAGTCTCGCTTGCCTCTCCGGGGGGCAGAAAAGCTGCTCCCTCTGCTCGATCAATTCTGCAGCAACGACGTTAACAGCACAGCGCAGGCCTCGTAGTGGCTTTTCCTTCCTCCCAACCTCAGACGGTGTCGTTCTTTATGGGGGATATTGCAAGGAATATGTCAAAGGGAAACGTCCCCTGGGGGTAATATTGGACGACACGTGGTTGCTGCGAATTACGCTTGATCCTGCCACTGCAGTCCCTACGTTCAAGTGGGAGAAGCGTCGTGTACCAAGCTCTGCCCATGTACCATCACCACGTGCTGGAGCGACCATGGCACTTTGGAGTGGACGGGGAATGGGTGTAATGTTTGGTGGCGTGACCGACGTTGAGCGCGATGAAGAAGGCATGGAGAGCGTGTTCTGGGCAGACCTGTGAGTGAGGAACCATCTCTTGAATGTGCATATCGCATGGGACTGATTCTCGCATTGTAGGTATGGACACCATCTCGAGAACAGCAGGTGGACTTCTATGAATCTCAAGCGGCCGAAAAAAGACAGGTTCCGGGAAGAAGAAGCAAGTTCGTCCTGTGATTACCAATACAGCTGATCCCGAAGATTCTGAAAATGAAGACGACGAGGTATTACCTTCTACTTCCTTTTATGTCAGAATCATATGAATCCTTCTTAATTGGTATCTATCCTCCGCCTCCGAAGACTGCCACAAGTCAGGACCAAGACTATTTGTCCTGAACAGGACGTTGACGATCCTAACCTAACTAAGCCAATTGCAAGGTACAATGCTATGTTAGCGGTGTTGAGAAATACGTTGTACATGTGAGTAATCTCCCTCACTCGATCAGCCTTCAAAGTTTAACATTGTTACCCAAGATATGGCGGTATCTTGGAGCATGGGTCCCGGGAGTATACACTCGATGACTTCTACACTATTCAACTTGACAAACTCGACAAATATTCTTGCCTGCGTTCAATGAGTACTGTTATCCCAGAGAATGTAGAGAGCAGTAGCGAGGACGAAAGTGGTAGTGACACTGACAGCCATAACGAGGATGGTAGCGACACAGACGAAGACGATGATGAAACCGAACCAGACATAAAAAATCGTAAGGGGAAGGCAAAGAAGAGTCAGAACCAGGGAGTCGATGTTGAAGAAGACCCGGCTCAAAGCGGCGAAGATGAGCCCGTCGTAGCCGCAGTCACTGTATTACATTTACGCCATTCCTCCCTTCCCCTTCTAACACGGAGGTTCATGTATTTAGGATCTTCGCGCTCAAGCATCTGCATTTATGAGCGCATCAGCACAGAGTGCGGAACGTTCCCCGGAGGATATAGTCAGCACCCCAGCTCCGGGAGAAACACTTGCTATGTTCTATGCACGTTCTCGTGAGTCTTCCCGACTAGCTCTTGTCTCCTCTTATTCCTATCCGTCTGACACAAACGACGAATACGTAGGGGAATACTGGGCACAAAAGGCATACGCTGGAGGCGCAATGGACAGCCGTAGAAAGCAACTCCGCCGCGATGGGTTTGGATTAGCCGAAGAACGCTACGGCGAGTCTAACTTTTCGTCATTCTTACTCTTTTGTCCTCCTGATATGTGGAATTCGTTTACATAGCCGAGTATAAGCCAATCCTGGAGGAAGTGGAGAAAATACTAGCTGAAGGCAGGACTCGATGAGAAGGAGATGAGGGAGGTCGGCCGCGATGCAGGCGGGGGACAAAGTTGTGGGCAGAGTAGAAATCGTCGATAAGTGAACACTATTTAATTGTGATCGCATCAGCAAATCACTTTTGCGGTCCAGGGCTCTCCAGTCCTGGAGACTCCCTACTGGCTTCCAGTGCACAATGTGATTTACTGATGCGTGGCAGGTGTTATATCACGACCAGCAATGGACGAGATCAATGGCTATGTTGGAATGGGGGCAGCTGCAGAGAGCAGGGGTGTCGAGTCACGTGATTATATGTACGCGAACATACCCTTCAGTGATCTGGCCTACTTGAAAATATGCTGTGGCCTGGCAATGCAAGTTACCTTGATGATACAAATGTAGCCATCATGTTTGAAAAGCAGGACTGGATTTTTCTATCATTAGATCGATATGACCTCGCCACCCTCGATCACTTCTCCATCCACAGCTCGAGGATGAGTTTTTTTAACTAGTTCTCAATATACAAGCTACTCAAACGACATGGGCATCACCTTGGTGTGTCGTCCTCGAAGTCTGAGACACTAGTAGATAGAAAAACATACTGCGTCTCGATGATTCATCTACTTACAACATGCAAGAACCATGGGTGCCCATTTGTCCAACGCGCACTGCAGTGAACAAATCCAAAAAATTGGAACCAGACCTAGAAGCTTTTTCTGTTAATTGAAACAGCATACTGTCACTGCGATGTTCCAGCCAGCACGTTAAAAGTAAGTTTTCCACTGGGCATTGGAGAGTTTCGTCTACATGGTTTCTTTTGGTAACACTGGAAGTTTCACCAGCGAACAACCTCAGGGCCTGCTCTCTTCAAAACCTTTCCTATGGGAACTGTACTTTGCTCAGTCTGTTGAGTTTTTTCTCCGGGCCATCGAGCCATTCGACGCGTAGTAACCGATCAATCACGATGTCTGTGTGGGCGAAGAGCAGGGCGCTCCCCTGAAGACTAGTTCGAAACCAATATGGAATTTATGCTTCTATGTTGAGACTTTGATCTGATCTACCGATTCTTGACCGGTATTCTGTCTGTCGCCATCGAGTGAGATGGTTGGTGACCCAATTTTGAGTACATTTACTTGTGGATGGCAAAGGTATTGCCAAGTTTCACAATATAAAATGATGAAGCAATGAATTATCCCCAGCCCTCAAGCTGCTCCTCTTGCCTCATGCCACAATAAGGCTATAATCCATGCAAAGTCTCGCTCAAGGAGAAGTAGAAGCCAGTGATCTAGTTTTCCTCGGTGAAAGAGCTTCAGAGGCAGCTGTCTGCCTCGGCTTCCCTCTGAAGCGGTGCCGCTATCTGACATCCGATCCGAGTCTTATCCAAGATCACATAGCCCCATGTACGTGACTAGAAGGTTGCAGTGCTGTAAACCATCGTACATTGTTACTAGTTAGTTACAATGCCACTATCGTTTGCTCATAATTTGCTGTATCCACGTGCAAATGTCCTGATTGACCTGGTGCAAGACCGCGCTGAGTAATCGCGCACTTGACGGAGTCCAGTTGATTTGGCTTCTCCAAGCCATTCAACAACACAAATTCCGCGGAATTGTCACTATTCCACAGTTAGTTGCTGTCGTTGGGATTTCGATCGTCCCTGATCTTACTTGAAGTTTGATGCGCCATGGATCAACCATATCCTTTGATGGTTTGGTCTAAGTACCTCATGCCAAAGGCGTTCCTCGGGGCAATGGCAATGGAGGTCCTCGCTTGCATATCCGTGCAGCCTTCATTATTTAAAAGAGAACTGGATTGTTTAATCCAATACGCCCTCACTGCCCCCAATCACTTCAACAATCGCAACCTGCAACGAGTTCGTCCACGAATCTGTGCTATACAAGTTACCCAAATGACATGGGTATTCCTGGCGGGTTTGGTGAAGACATTTCATAGCTAAATACAGTCCAATTGTCTGCTCAATCATTCGCGATAGGTTCCACCCTCGTTGGGGGATTGGTCTCTGCCATGTATGTATTGCTTTCGATGATTTTGTCACATCTCCCCTCTGATGTCTATGTCCCATATTGAAGGTTGTATGGCGTAACGACTCTCCAGGGGCGCTTCATACTAAATGATCAGGCTCGTGACCTGCTTACTGGCTATACAGACTTATGTGTATTACATGCACTACTCTGAGGACTCGTCATGCATAAAGTTCGTTGTTGCTGCCGTATGGTGAGTTAGGGCTACCTTGGGGTAGTTGTCGAACCTGCTCATGCAAATTCAGGATTCTTGATACATTACATATCTCGTTCAGTGAGTATTCGTTATGTCTAGGAAAATGCGTGGTTAATTCTCTATTAGTGTGTCATGTGTTGCACTCCTACCTGGTGAAACCGATACATCTACTCCATGTAACCGTTGCACTCAACCACTGCAGATAACCAATTATGGAGATCTGCTGAGCTTGGAGTATATTGTCTGGTTCGTATGCTGTCTATTTCAGAGATGCTTCCAGCTAATGAGATCTGACAGGTCATTCCCAGTGCGCTCACCCATTTTCCTGCAATGCACTGATTTAGGGTGCTTCCGTGCTTAGGCGTCGCTTCCAGTGAATGTGTGTTCTTTTCATCTCACGAGCATTTATGACAGGATTTATCTCTATTCCAGACATTTGTCGTTACTATAGTTCAATTGTAAGTGATTCTCTTTTTACCAGTCGACGACCATAAACTGAATGTCCTAGCTTCTTTGCGCATACGATATATTGACGTATGTCACACCCAACATGCCACTCGAGACCTTATTGATTGGCATTCAGTTTGCCGTCGTCAACTGAGGTGGTTGGTGGCCGCCCCTCTTGTGAGTACAGTTACTTGTGATGGCAAAGGTATCATCCAGTAACAGGATCGTGGTAGATATTATTAGTACTAGTTCACTTTGATGTGTTTTTCTATTGCACTCACGATGCACCTATAACGACGTTTCAACAGGGCTTGCCATAGGTTTGTCCATCGTTTTTCTTCCACCGCGGGACCTACTCTAACAAGAAGCAGCGATAGCCTTTATGACGTACTCCACTCTGTGAAACCATCTCTACTGAAATACTGATCTCCGTATGTAGGTTCGTCAACGATGCGCTTAGCTTCGCCTCGCACACTAGGGTAGTGTTGTCAACAGAGAATTTGGTGCGGCAGCTCACAAATCATTGTTCCTAGTTTTACACTGCGACACCTACTACGTCTACCATCGTTTTATCTGAGGTTTTGATTACGGTGTCACTCTGCATACTTTTGCGTGATAGTGGCTCGCGCTCCGCAGTCCCAAGGTGAGTGCAGTCAGTGTTGGTCATTCCTTCCTAATAAATCCTGCCTAGAACGAAGCGTCTGTTGAATCACGCTTATCATCTATGCTGTTAACCGGTGTTTGCTGAGTTTGTACGTCTGATAACTCTTTGCTTTGTAACTGCGAATTGATTCAGGCTTTTGCGGTAGACTAGTCGTCATTGCGGAGCTCATCGTGGCTACATATGACCTATTGTAAGACAACTATAATGGTCTCACACTTTGTCCAGGATGCTGATGACATAATTGCATGGACAATGGCATTGGACTTCGTTATTGGAAAACAGTCAGTCTTCTGTTCCCTGGCAATTCCCCATCTTACTATCGAATAGTATACGCCAACTCGCTTCTAGCATCGCTGAACACCCGGCAACATCTTCAATCCTGGGGTTCAGGTTCAGGGTCACCCTGGACGCGTCGATGATGTCCACTTTCCGAAACCGCCGAAGCTTTCGAAGGATTGGGGGAGTTCAAAAGATGGAGAAAGACATTTCAACGGGCGCGAGGGGGTTGTTATCGATATCACTGCTGTTTCAGTCCATGACAAGATTACAGCGTTGCGAAGAGAGGGAGAGGTGTGATTTTGGTAGTTTCATCCTGGGTTTGCCATCATATTCCGGGTATGACAGTTGTTACAACCAAAGTGTATCGACAGGCAGCCATGTTACAGGTATTTTATATCTCCCCGGGGAGGATCCGAGATCGTAAAACTTTGTCAGGCATCCAGACGTAGAAGATTCTATATGTCCATGATTAGAGAACCATAGCAGCTCTGCCATTAAGGTGAGTGCGGGGACGCTTATGCTGACAATAATCGAAACGTCAATGCTACCGGCACAAACACATGATCGGTTCGTTGCATAAACAAATGGCCAGCTTTTTGGATGCAGGGACCTGGCGAAACGAGGCTTTTCTTGCCGTGCTTATAGTGTTTAGAAATTAACTTGACCGTTATCATTTCCCGAAGTACCCATTTTGACTTCAAGAGCTTTGACAAGGCAAATAGCGCAGATATAAGCGATTAGTTTGCGTGGGTGAGCGAGGCCTGTAGTTGAGCGGGACCTAGACGGCAGGGTGCACTGCGACGCTGTTAGTCTCTACGAGGGTGTACAAGTTGCAACAGTGCAAATGTGGCGGCATGGATGGATTGCGGCCGAGGATCCCAAGTTAGGTTGCTCTCTATTTGCGCTCATAATTTAACACACAGTGAGCGTTATCGTTCAATACATGCCCTTGTTGACAGTGCAGCTAACCCCAGACCCACACCGCCAGGCTTGTCGTTTTCAATGACTACGCTAGCTAGCACCTCAAGTGGCCCATCCACATCCACCACGACCCCCTCGACAGACAATCACGCTACTATGCCAGCAGAACTGGAACAAACGCTTTCAATGCTCTCTGCTCATCGTTCCGTGTTGGGGTACATCCTCCTATCGCGTGGCGAGCAAGTGAGCATTATTCGACACTCGGGAGTGGTGTTCGAGGGTGACCAGGGGAAAAAGTACGCCGCTGTTATCAGAGGCATTGTTGAGAGTGTGCAGGCGGGACTTGAAGAAGTCAGTGGAGAAGAGAACGAAGGGGTACGTATCTCACTTCATGCGGAGAAGAGCTCGATACTGGAGTGTTGTTATCCGATGAACCAGTTCGGGACTGATATTAATTCCCTAATTGTCTTTACAGGATAGTATAAGGTTTATGAGAATACGGACGAAGAGGCACGAGTTGATGATTTCGCCCGGTAAGTGTTTCTTTCATTCGCTTTGGTCACCCTCACAAACGGCATGAATCAATTGACACTTGTAGATCATCGATATCTATTGGCAGTGCTTCACGATCCAGCAATATAGTGATGGAGTCTTGAATTCATTGCGTTCTCGTCATGTTTCATGTAGTCCTAGGATTTCTTTTCTTCTGGAATGATTCAATACTGACAGCAGTTGTGGGTGTCGATGTGGTATCATGATCAGAACACCCCCTTCTGGATTGCATAGCTGCGGTCCCAGGCTGGCAAGGTGCGAAGGCCACCTCATGAAGTTTTGCATGTGAATAAGGAGTAACTGGCAGATGAGTGAGAGCTCGGTTAGACTTTGCTATTCATTTACAGCACAACAGGGTCGCTCAAAGTTGGCGCTGACGCCGACGCCTACAGCTAATTTTTGGCAGTCGCGCTGTGGGCGTAGGCGTAGGCGGCGGCAGCAGCCTTGAGTGGCCCTATTAATGGCTGTTGCTGTAAGTCGATTCACACGCTGCTAATGGGTCGATCGACGAGGCCGAACGGGCGCAGCCTTGTAAGTTGACTGCTGGAAGTGATGGCGCGTGATAATGAGATGTGCTGCTCGGAATTTTCAATTCTTTCCTGTGGCTATCGAATTAAATGATTGTAATACCACCGGCGCGTGAGACGTGGCCGCATGATTTCCTCCTCCCACGTTTCGCTGGTCATTTTTTGTCGTCCTCGCGATTGCGATCCATCCCGTCCAGTACATTTCCTTGAGTCTTTGTCCTGCTTCGTCTTGTTGAGGAGATCCTTAGAAACAGTTATTGTTGGTTCGACGGTGGGCGCCTTTTTTTTTTCAATGACACGCTAGTTTCTTGTATTGATTTGTTTGCGATTTGAACTATTCGACTCCACTCGTTACACGACCTCGAACAACGAATTAACGCCAGTTCCTCGGGCGATACCCTTCCTCAAAGACAGCCTTGCCAAAACGCGGATCGTTTCCGAGTTACATTGCATACCCTCACCCTCACCCATAACTCCCCATCGGGATCGTAGCTATGAGTCAGTTTGGCGATTTCGGATCGTTGTGCTCTCAGGTTCCATCGTATACCTGGTGCAATCTCTTCTACCGTCAGGTATGGCTTATCCAGTCCGTTCCTGATCCTTGGCAGCTCATGCGGTTCATTCACAAGGTACTTCCCGAGCATCCCAAAATTCTCACTGGTTTATCTGCAAATGCTACTTCTGCGCCGGTCGGTGTTAACCCGGTATGCGGTATACCGAGAGTCAACACAGACGGATCGCTGGGAAACATAGCAGATATCATCGCTTGTGGCCTTAGTATATTCGTCGTCGCTGCAATAATCATTCACGCTGGCCGGAGACAGGCTGCAGTCGGTACGTGTCGTGTTTCTCCCTCACTGTTGCTACCCACTCACGTGAATAACACAAGGACGAACGGAAATACGAATACTCTTCTTCATATACCTCGCAACACTACCACTCCAGCTTTTGACGACGGGCTCTCTCCTCGAGCAGGGCTCTACAGCTTTAGTTGCGCTTACTGCCTTACATGCAGGCCTTGTTGCTACGTTGTTCTGGTGGTTGCTGGGCAATGCCATCGTAGCAACCCAGGTCGTGGAAGATGGCACTCTTAGCTCTATCATAGTAGGTATTTGGGCTGTTTCTCACAATGCGCTCCCTCTCACCTGACCCGATAGCCCTTATCCATTATCGGCGTCTTCTTCTTCGTCGCAACAACATATATCTCGTTTGATGTCGCTCTCACCCTCACGCACACTTTTGGGCCGTCGAACCCACCAGAAGCGCTTGCCAGTATACCACTTTTCGTACTGACGAGTATATGGCCCGGGGTGTATGTATCTCCTCAGCTCGCGAATTTCTGCGACTTATGATTATGACTCTCTAGCGCCGCTGTTATCTACCTCGGCCTCATGCTCTACATAGTGATCGGCGTGCTCAACGAGATCCGTCCTGTATGGTACTACGTCATATCGGCCATTCTCTTCGTCCTCAGCCAGCTTGCCTACTTCCTTTTGAGCAAGGTGATATGTCAAGTGAGTGATGCCTCACACGCTCCCGGTTTTTCACGACTTGCCTAATCACTACTTGATAGGGTTCATCTGCAAAGGTAGATGGTTCTTTCATAGCAACCCTTCTTGAAACTGCCACCGTCGTTGTACTCTATGTTGCGTGGCGGAGCATCACGGAAGGTGACACAGCCTTTGATCCACGTGCATCGTTATACTCACAAATTTTGCAGAGGACTGGGACAACGATGCCTACTATCCGTAAAGCCCACTGCAACACACCCCGTGGATTCAACTCACCCACTCATGTATTGTGCTGTACTGACGCACGACGGTCCTTTCTCACCCCAATCTGTGCTGTTTATCTTGTCCTCTACGTGGACTGTATCAGCTTCTCCACTCCCTTTAGATGTTGTCCTGCTCTGTCCTTGTGCGCTATGGCGACCCGTATGTTGAAGCTTACCTTACGATGTAGAGGATGTGCTGATATGAATTCACTCTCCTGTGTATTCACGCCGTTTGCGAGGTTGATAACCTCATCCGTCTTGATTTCATGTACATTTGTACTCTTCTGTGCATACGTTCTGTTCGTTACTTTCTCTCAATCTCCTGACTGGGTGAGATCGGGTTTATTTAGGACTGGAATCCAGTGGCTAGCTATATTTTTTAATGCATGCAATGAAAACAGTTTTTGGTTGATCTCGTGTACGAATATTCCTTTCCTTTGCACTACCGTAATATCTTCTGTAAGGACTGTTCTGAAATTTCATGGACAAGCATGGTTTCCAGGACAGATGGCCACGAACACCGGCCGGGCTGTGTATGTTGGACGGGCGGGCACTTTGTAGACTAATATAACCCCCGTTGGAACTGCCATAGATCCCGATACGCAAATTGAAATGCAGAAGTTCATGATGATCATGACTGGAAGCTCGACCCCGAGCGACAAAGGCGTTGTACAGTATTCATCGAATTGATGTTTACATGTACAGGACATTCGATGTACACATCAAAGAACCACGAGAAAGGTCGCAAGAACACAGCCAAAAAACATGACGCATGCACTAGTGTCGCGTGACTAGGTCCACGGACATAACGTCAGGGAAAGGAAGAAACGCTCGACATACAACGACGGGAATTTGAAGTTGATACATATGACAATTTAGCGGATATGAAAGGAAAGTGGTCGTGCCATCCAGCCTGTGGGAGGCAAATATGTCAGAAACCCATCAGGGAAAGAAGGAATGGTGCGGGAGCGGAAGGCAAAACACCAGAGACTGGCCGTCGAGACAAAGGAATGCGTAGCTTAAGCGAGAGGGAAAAACAAGAAAGAAGGTTAAGATCAGCAAAGGAGGGATAAAGCCAGAACCCAGAGTCACATAGACCCGCGATCTTGCCCGTTGACGTTATGTCAACTTCGCCTTCGAGCTTAATCCTCCCCGAAATCGGGAAGAAGGCGTTGTTCGATTCTGGTTTTCAATTCGATGTACACCCAACCCTCATCCGAAGCGTTACTCCGACGAAAAAGCCCTACGGCGCGGGAAAATTGGGAACTTGTACTTGATACTGCCCCTTTTAGAAGAGGGTGTAGGGGAAGAGGGGGAGTATCTTGAAGAAGACCGTGACAGCAGGGAAAGCGGCTTACGTCCTTCCGGACTTGCCTTGGGTAATTCTATATTTGTAGTTATCGCTGCTGGAGAGAGGTGGCCCTCCGCAGCTGGACACCGTTTACGGAGGCGCCGACGTGGAGAGGAAGGAGGTGAACGAGAAGGTGACGAAAGGGACGCCTTATCATCGACAGGGAAACGAACTGGAGTGAGCGATATTCTACGGCGAATGCCGTATGGTACGTCCACCTTAGTCGAGGTAGACAACGTCGTTGCCGAAAAGCGAGAAGACTAAGAAAACAAGCTCATGAATGCACTGGCGCTGCATCAACACAACCTGAGCATACCAAAAGTTGTTTCTTTCCGCTAACCGAAAGCCCCTCTTCCATACTATGCATCTCGGGAGTTCGATCCATTCGAGACCCAAACATGCTGGACATGGGTGAAGCCTGGATCGATCGTGGGAGGGTTGGTTCGACCTTGTCTACTCGTGGGATATGGAGTGAGCGAACGGGTCTCAACGTTATTTCCCGCTTATACGAGTCTTTTGTCCCGGAAACTGAAGCAACACGCGTCAGCGGGCTTCTCTGCTGGCGATACCGGAACGAGCGATTGGGAACGCGGTACAAGAAAGTGCGAAACGTGTCGTGGAGGGTGTCAAGGGGTTCGGTATCTTCATCTACCACGGGTTCTGCGCTCTGACCGCATGAATTTGCTTGAGATGCCCCATCACCATGCACGCATGAACGTGATTCAATCCCCAGAAGGCCGTCACTCTCAAGAAGCCGTGCACCCGAAAAGGTGATCATCCCCTCCTCCGGGTCCCATAGCGCAGCAAAGGTCAACGCCGCCTTGGGAGACACGGCGTCTAACCAGCGACAGTCGTGGTCTTCCACAGTAGAGAGCGAAATGCTGGAGGCACTCATGTCGTCCACTGGAAGGAACAAGTGTGAACTTCGGATATTCTATTGGAATCAGCAGGGATGCAAACTCTAGAGGAGGATCTGGCACTTACATGTATACCGGTTTGAGAATTCATGGTGAAGGTATCAAGGGAGTCGGGAAGGGGGGTGAATACTTAATGAATGAAAATCTATTTGAGGAAGCAAGCTGTTGTTGGCAGTTGGGGCTCGTATGCCCTGCACACGGGTGGGAGTCGCGATAGTCCGCTTGGAGAGACGGGTAAGGGAAAGTACCTTCGGGGGGGGGAATGAAAAGTTTTTAAGACGAGCCATTTTATCGCACCTGGCGTCCGAAATCACGTACATTTGGGGTATCCACCTGCCTTGCAGAGTCTGTGCACGGTGAAAGGGAGTCTCAGGTCACGTGGATGCCGCATGGGGTCATCTCCGCGCACGACCCTCAAAATTGCCTGTTCATAGACTGGAAGCTGTCGATGGGGTTTGGGAGGCGGTCTGCCGCACATTAGCTAAGGCGGTTCCATCTCGAGTATTGCCCATCGCAGAAAGAACCGCTCAGGATGAGCAGGAAGACTCAGAAGACCGTAAACGGACCTTCCTTAGCTCTCTGTGTCGAATGACTGTGTGTCTTCATGGTAACAACGGCTTCCACGGTGTAGCCGCGAACGAGCTGTACAGTAATAGCCAACGTCACCGTCAGGGGAATGAAGGAGAAGTGAGGCGATCTTTGACTAGAGAATGACGTTGAGACTTGTCACCGCCGACGCGCGGGCGCTGCGAAGCCCAGAATCACAGCCGCCGAGGGATTTGGAGCGAAGAAGTGGAGAACCCGAGGGAACTTGCCGGTCGACAGCAACCTCCTTGAGGGGCAGCCCTTTTGGTGTAACCGAAAGCTCGTTGATCATACCTGCCAACACAGGTGTCTGGTTTCAGGGACATAAGGAACCCCGCCGTCGTTGTGTTGTGCGGACGACAAGTGACGGGTACCAATATTTTTTTGGGTGTGATACACAGCAAACAACAAGTTCGTCCGCTTTGATTACACCAGCCAGCTGCGTCTCACATTTCCTCCAAAGGCGTCGCGTCCGTGCCCAGCAACGCCCCGTAGAAACCCACGTCGACAGCCCACTTGGACGGTTATCTGACAGGCAGTCTCACCGCCATGAGCTCCGCTGCAGGTCTGTCTCGACGACGTGTCGCCAACACCGGTTCATCGTCAGACGATACCTCCAGCTCTGCTTGGCATGCGAATGGTTCTGCCTCTAATGGCGCTGTTTTATCCCATGCTGGCTCAGCGTTCGAGGGTGGTAATAAAATTGCGTTCGACCCTCGCGACCTCGATCAAGACCGGGAAGAGAGCCGCACTGGCGGCAAGTTGCCTCGCCTGACTATCATGGAGGAAATTCTTCTGCTTGGTTTGAAAGACAAGCACGTATGTTCAATATCCTCATCCCCTTCCTTCGTGATACCCCTTTCCTATGTGTTGCAGTCTTTTTCCTCCCACAGTTTCGTTCCAGCGCCCTTTACGCCATCAATACTACTCTGAACTCCGAACGCTAATACCTTTGTGTCATACAGGGTTATCTTTCTTTCTGGAACGACAGTATCTCTTATGCTCTTCGAGGATGCATACTCGTGGAGCTTGCACTCCGTCGCCGGATAGCTCTCGTCAAGGACGTCAACCGGCGTAAATACCCCATCGGCGACCGCATAGTGGAGGTTATTGATGATAGGCAGACTGGCGAGACCATACTGGACGAGACGTTGAAAATGATGAAGGCCCAAGAAGTGGACAGGTTTACAATAAATGGATGGATTGATCTTCTCAGCGGTAAGCCAATTTCCGGTTGGATGCGAACTCTGGTGGCAATAAACCTGCCGCCCCCTGACCCATATCGTCCTTGCCATTGCCTTCGTAGGTGAGACGTGGAATGTGATGAAGATAGGTTACCAGCTTAAGCAGGTTCGCGAACGGCTTGCCAAAGGCCTGGTGGACAAGGGTATTCTTCGGACGGAGAAACGCAATTTTCTATTATTCGACATGGCCACCCATCCCGTGGCCGATATCCGAAGCAAGGATGCGATCATCGCGCGTGTAGTGTCTCTGCTGACGGCCAATACCTCGACAATTCCGCCGAGCGCACTGGATAAGGAGGGAACACAATGCAGGGTCACGCGTGCCATATGTTTGGTGTGCGCGGCTTATGCAGCAAGTGTCCTGGACAATGCTCTTGGACGATTAACGTACGAAGATCGGGAAGCAGCTTTTCAGCGGTGTGACGAAATCTTGGCGGAATTTTCGTCTTGGCCATTCGGGAGTAATTTAGGGCAAGGTACGGCAAGCGGGCGCCGACGAGAGGCACCACGGATCGGGATGGGCAGCACGGTGCCAAGCGGGAGAGAGAGCCTTTTGGGGTTGTTGCAAGAAGTCAAGCGAGAGATGAATGGGGAAGAGGACCTTGGATTCGAGTTGATCGCTGGTGTTCTGGAGGTGCTTTCGAAGTTGGATTCTCTCCTGTGAGATTTTTTTTTTCTGTCCTGAGATCACTGGTTCTCCACATTCGTTACATTGTCGTACGCTTGGGTATGACCCAAATATCTATGTGATTAGTAGGCACTCGGACATGATGCATGATGGCCCGCCACCGGGTCGATAAGCTCCACTGATCGACTGATGCGTCTAAACCTGTTTCGTACATGAGTGACGACGAGTTTCTCAGCCGGTTGCAGGGACTGGCTGTGTTTCGCTGTGTCTCAGATGACCAGGCAGCTTTGCGCAGTGGGCCAGCCGTTGTTCCCGCAAGTCAACGACAGTGGGTCTTATTTATAATACACATATGTCACTGAGAGACATGCAGTACTGTCGCTGTCAGGCGTCGTAGCCAGAACCCTGTCTGTCTCACTGCACCACAAAGCATAACCTTTCTCAGTGCATCACACATCACATCGGTGGCCGGAATATCCTAGGGGATACTCGTGACCCCCGTCCCTGACTGTTTTTACACGACCACCACCCTATATTTTGTATCGTGGGTCCTCGGCGGGTCTTCATTTTAACCTCCCCAGTCAGCACGCAAAGGCCCATTCTTCTGCAGGGGATCCCCACCCAGCTCCACTCGGCATGGTCTTCAGCTTCGACGCCTCAGACCCATTGGCAGTTGTCACCGCACCCCCACCCAACGAAACATCTGATCAGAAAGCTGCAAGAGAGGAAAGGGAGGCAGAGTCTCGGAGAATCAGTGATCAAATAGACGAAGAACTCCGGCTGCACAAAGCCGACCTCAAGAAACATGAACAAATGGTGAAAATACTCTTGCTCGGCCAGAGCGAAAGTGGTGACTGTGCCCCCTATTGTTGCTTACCCCATATCCGCTGACCTTTGCTCGCCAGGAAAGTCCACTACGCTGAAGAGTGAGTGCAAAGACGTCGATATACCCCTTTTCGCCGACGGGTTGTCCCTTGATAGACTTTCGGATGCAGTTCGCCCCAGAAAAATGGGCACAAGAACGGGCATCATGGAAAGCCGTTATTCAGCTCAACCTCGTCCGCTCTGTCAACGCCATCTTGGATGCGGTCAAATGTCCCAATGCTGAAGACGAGAACGTACTATCCTTCTCGGACAGGCACCGTCTTCTCGTCGTTCGCCTGGGCCCGCTACGGGGAGTCGAGGAGGATCTGAAGCGACTGCTGGGTGCTGCCGCTAACGCTGTGGATGTTGAGCAACCCTCATCTTCGATGCGCACAATTTCACCAAGACCGTCGAAGGAATTTTATGTCCGGTCAAGGGATTGGCGAAGTTTTGTGCAAGCCTCGCAAGATGAGAACGAAAAAGGTCGTCCGGGCACTCGGCCTGAAGGTGTAAACAGAACCGACATATCCGAGGTGATCGCACGATGCTCGGAGGATATCAAAGAGCTGTGGGAAGATGATATCATCCAAAGCATGGTGAAGAGACGAGGTTTACGTTTGGAAGACTCAGCAACCTTGTACGTTTACTTTCTTTTCACTAATGTCCCCGCGATTTAACGCCGACTGTGCCTTGCTCATCGGCAGCTTCCTCAACGCCTCCGAACGTATCGCCGGCCGTGATTACCAACCAGAAGATGGCGACGTGCTTCGCGCGCGGTTGCGTACGCTCGACATCCAAGAGCACGATCTGTACATTGATGAGGGTCAGTCACTTCAGAAATATTGTTTTTTTTCTCATGGACCTCGGACGTTGTTTCAGATGGTAAGATGCTGACATGGAAGATTTACGATGTTGGGGGGTCACGCACACAGGCAAGTATCTTGGCGCAGATGCCACTTTCAAATTAGCAAAGTATCGTATTCACGGAATGCGCCAGCGCCAAGCGTGGCTGCCCTATTTTGAGCAGGTCACCGCTATCATTTTCTTAGCCCCTATATCATGTTTCGACGAACGACTTGCGGAAGACCCACGTGTCAATCGCTTGGAAGACTCTTTCATCCTATGGAAGGCCATATGCTCTTCCAAACTATTGAAGTCCACAACGCTGATCATCTTTCTAAACAAAATCGATCTGCTTGATAAAAAGATCGCCGACGGTGCCGTCGTCAGGCGATTTCTACCCTCGTATGCCGACAGACCGAATGAAACGATGGCCGTTGTCAAATGTACAACATAAGTGTCCCACACCATCAGATTGGACTGACTGAAAATGTGATTGCAACAGACCTCAGAACGAAATTTAAAGACACAGCACGGCATTACTCTCCAGCACCGCGGATGTGTCACATATATGCGACGACAGTTGTCGTAAGTTTGTCCCCGCAAGCTTCCGTCGTTCTTCGGTAATGACCAATCCTCATTTTACAGGATACTCACGAAACATCGCAAATTCTGGATTCTGGTGCGTAGGATCTTGGCTACCTACCTTGGTCACTGCTCCTAATCGCACCATTCAGTACGTGACGGAATAATGCGGGAACATTTGAAAAGAGCAACTCTTATGTGAAAGGCATCTCAATGTATAGTTAAACCTGTCTCACGATCAGGGTATTGATGTATCATTGAGTTGAAACGAAGCAGCACATTATAACGTGAATATCTATACAGCGTATGTCTATGATCTCCCTACATAATACAAACCCCGCTTTTCCTCACGCTACGTTGCGACCCTCTCTGCTCACCACATGCGTCCCCCCGGAACCAATCGGGCTGCTAAAGCTGGGCCCAACCCTCACCGGGCGGCAACTTCAGGTTGTCGGCCTCCCTAATGAATCTGCGATGCGAATCTTCTGCCCTTGTCCGCGCCTCACGGTCCTCTCCAGAACTTAGGTCGTTGTCAGTGACTGATTGTAAATTAGGGTCTTGGTCGACGTCGGCCGTAATACCCTGGGTGTCTGCCATCAATCCTTCTTCGTCTTCACCGCGCCACCTCATACTGGAACCAAATTGTGCATGGTTGACAAATCCTCGCCTGCTAATACCCGCTTCCGCTTTGTATCTCACCGCATCGAGCTTGGGCTGAGCCTTCGATTGCAGGTTGGATATCGTCTTCTGAATGTTGGACATAGGCGATGAGTCGGTGGTGTCACTACCCCGTGTAAGAGAGACGTGACGCGAAAGACCTTGATAAGAAGGTGTCCGCGAGTGTGCGTGCAAGTACAGAGGGATGTGAGGTGAGGAAGGAGCATCTATCGTGCCTGAAGGAGGCATCAGTTGAACGCTCTCTGGTCGCTTCCGCCTGGGCGGGGGAAGTGGAGGTGAGTCTGCGTGGTGCATCGACTTCGAACGGAAAACCCTTGCAGAGGAGGGCTGCTGAGAGTCGCTGGTACCGGTCGAAGGTCGGCGATCAGGATGTGTGGGTGGAGCAGGGACTGGAGGGGAGACAATCGATGGGGAAGGATGTAACGACTTCAACGTAGCGCTCGCAACTTGCTCAAGGGAAGCCAATGAGCTTGATGCGGATGAAGGCGTACTACTTGGCTGTCTGCGGCGCGGAGGTACGGTGGGTGTGTCTTCAACGTCCGATGTCTTGGAACCTGGTTTAGAAGGACTTGTACTCCGCGTTCTTGAAGTTCCCGAGGAAGTGCTTTTCAATACCCGAAGGACGCGTTCTCGGTCCAATTGTTCCTCGACGCGCCTCATAGTCTGTCCGTGTTTGCTCGCCTCCAGGGACTGTCTCATAAGCGGGGTCATAATATGACTGGGTTTGGGAAGCACAAGCGGCGGACTGAGGGGAGCTGGTGGCACCATGGTCACCTCGGGCGGTTGTTGCGCGGACGCTGACGTTGTAGGTTTACGTGGAGGTAGTGGCGGAAGCTTTCCACTCTTTGCAAGTGTTCTTTCGGATGATTTAACGACTGCGTCTTGGCTTTCTACTCTATCCCGCACCAGGAACGGGTTATGACTGAGCCTTTGGCTATTTTGCTGAGCTGGTTGAACGCTCTGACCATCCGAACTTGTGCATACCGTGCTCTGCACGGATGAGGCGTGTTCCGTAGACCTTCGGACAAAGGGGTTCGTCTCCGGAGGTGATGTACTAAAACTGAGCCCCTTGGAGCGATCTGGATGGCTTGGCGGTGCTATGACCGAACGCTTTGGTGGTGAAGGTGGCCGAGGTATTCCAGTAGGCTTAGTGGTGCCTGGTTGAGCTGCATTGTTGCGTAGTGAGATGACAGATGGAAGGTATAGTGTGTCATGCGGGGAACTCACCCTGGACAAATGCAAGGGATCGATCGACACCTTTCCCGGACTGGGCATGGATGACGAGACGCAAGGCAGCAAAGAACTGGCCACCCGTGAGCGTGTCCGAGGGCATCAGACAGGGAGAGAATAGTCTCAGAATCTGGGAGTAGCTATATCAGCGTAGATGACACAGAGAAACACAATGGTGGGACGAACGTCGTCGATATCGGACGCCGGAAGATCGTGATATCTCCCCCTTAACCATGCCCGTGCTTCGCGGACGCCGACAGTGGTGGTTTCGAAGTCGCGGGCAGTTGTGCTTGTTTCGGTGTCGTTAGTGACGCAAAGATTGTTGAGCGACGAGGTGTACAGGTCATACTCGAAATCGCTGAGAGCAGATGCGTGCAGCGTTAACGGACGCATTGAGGCCATGGCGGGCTCTACGCTGGCTGGGCGTCGTCGCTGGCGCTGTCCAAAGGTTTGCAAACAATTTGAGTTTTTCGGATATCAGGGCTTGGCTACCACCGCCAGCGCTTAGCCTAACTTGCACCGTGCCTGTACGTGTACACCTTTTACACCATCACGATGGTATTACCGTCGGGCAACCCAAACCCCTCCGCTGACCGGGATAGTCCAGACGACGAACCTCCTCCGTATTCGAGTCTCCCTGGCACATCCCCTCCAAAGTGGGAGCCCCGGTTTGACGACCTCACAGCGGAATCACACCAGCGCCTTTCCATAGAAAGTCGCCAGCCCCTAGACCCTCCCCCCGAATGTTTCTCCACACCATCACCTCGTCGTATCAGATCACACAATTTCCTTTCCTTTACGATCTCCAGTGTGTCACATAAATTAGTCGACGGCTTTTGTGTGCTTCACCCCCGCGGATTACTGGAGGAACATGGAATCACAAAGGAGGACTGGGTGCGGTTTTTGGAAGACTTGACCATCGCAGCCCGCCTATCTGCACAGGGACTAAGTGCGGTAGGTTCCCGCATCCCCGCGAAGCCATTTCATCTCCGTGGTCCGTTCATTATAAACTTCCGAGTTGCGTACGACGCTGCGTTCGCGAGGACTCCGTTGCAAGAGGTCGGAGCTCTGATCGCCGTATGGAACGAGAGTGCCTTCGAAAGACGGAAGCTCAGAGTGACTCTCCATGTCAGGGAAGATGAGGGCAAGAAATCTGGCTACTACCTTCTTGTTGAATCGCTGTAATTTCGATCGTTGCCTTTATGCTACTTTGTATTATGGTGTAACTATCCGTTGTGTCTAGTATGTGGTCGATCCATTACGCTGCTGTATCCTAACCTCTAAAGTCAAGTGTTTAGTATGTTGTGCTATTGAAGTCCCCACTTAGATACTACGATAACGCCAGCCCACTCGGACCGTTCGAGACCCCATCCTGCACCTGAATGTTTGACCAACAGGTATAGCTGTCACCACACCGTTATGAAGTGCAGTGCAGGGGCACTAAAGGATAGCTTGATACTACATACATGTTTGCGGTGAGTGAGAATGAAATTCGCTGATACAAACGCCAGAGAATACAAATTGATGCACAACAGCAATGAGACTTATTCACTTGTCGTCGTCTCGGTGGTCTCCACGAGGGTTTGATGAACTGCTAGCCTGGTGCTAAAGATGAAGCAGCTCTAAATTTCAGCGGCAACGTTTTTAGAACTGTGCCCCTACCTGCCGTAGTTTCGCAAGATGAATCTTTAGTGTCTCCGCATAATTTTCGAATCCGAGCGTGACCATGGCATATAAAATGTCTTCACCGCCAATGGTCTTGCGTTTCTCCATCTGACACTTTTCGGCTGCCTCAGAGGTGATGAAGCTGATGAATTCCGAGACGCATTCCTGGACGCATTCCTTTGCGTCTTTGGCGATTTTTGCTGTCGGTGGTACGGACTGCTTCATGATACGAGATACGTTCGCTATCTAAGATACAGCTTGAACACATCCGAACGTGGTTCACGCGGAAAGAATGACGTACGGGAAGAAAACGATCCTGTTCCCTGTACTCTCCGACTTCCTGTTCGGTGATTGGTGCAGGTTCACGTGCCTCTTGGACACTTTGTGAAACGACGACACCTCGCGAACCATCTTCTAGGGGGGGAGTATCCGACATCGAACTCGTCAAGTGAACGAGTGGCCGTCGCTCAAAAAGAAACAAGATTGGACTGCACGGCCTGATCGATGCCAACTACGACAACGTCGAGCGCTTGGGTTGTGAAGGCTTCCAACCTGTTTCGGTATGAACCCTAACCCCAAGGATGGGTTATGAGAATGTATTAGCTTCGTCAACAGCCGACCCACCGACTGTAGGAACATCGCTTCTCGTGTTTTAGATGCCGGGTGATCACTGATATTACTGTACTAACCATTCTACGCAACGAGAGTGTATCTGGTGGTATAAAACCCTACAATTCTCTTCCTTGCGCTAGCCGCGCCTAACAACTCTGTGCTCGTGACGCCCCCCTTTAACCCGAGAATTGCAATGGCGGTCGAAATCAATTTCTCTGGGGAAGAAACGACCGCAACATGCAAACACGGGGTGCCTCACATGTTCAAGGTGGTAGAGGAGATGTGCCAAGGAATCAGCACGTGCACGACAGTACCCACACGTGAGACCACGTATCATTCTCGACGTGAACAGGTGGCCGCCACCCATATGTTCTAGAAAGATGTAAATGAGATGGTCCAAAGTCGATGAGAGAACGCGAGCATACTCGGATTTCTGAGCCATTCCAAGTCATTCCATTCTTCGACAGGTGCAGGGCGGTAGGGTGGGGGAGGCTCCAGCGCTTGCACTCGCACCGGGCGCTGCAACTGCTGCTGCCTCTCCCGCACCGCAACCTGCATCCTTTCTTGCTCCTCAAGAAGCATATTCTCGTCCCAAAGCTCACATGATGGCTTGCGGGTGCATCTACTCGCCATGCGATCCCAAAGAGCTGCCCCAGGAAACACTTAAGTTGGGATACACAGTCCACAAGTAGAAACTCACCCCCACATCTGTGACAGAAATGCGTGCCACAGTAACAAGTGATGTGATTGCAACCGTACGTAAGCTCCACGAGCCTCTGGAAAGTAGGAGGATCAGGGTCCAGCTATAGCAGATTTACCATATTTACGCACAGAACACGTCGGACAACGTCTCCAATTCTTTGCCTATTGGACTAAATCAGCAATATTACACACGTACAAAATTCCTATGCCACCTTTGCCATCAAAAGAATTGATTGGTCATCCGGAGACCGCTCGTTTTCTGGAAGGCCCTGTCCACGACGATAATCAACATCAACAAGTTCTACTAAAATTTTATCGTCTCACAAACCTGAAACTCTTCACACGTCAAGTCTGCAAGACTGTGAGTAAAGTACATCATGAAACCAGTATATAGTTCGCACCGTGGTGCCAAAGCACTTTGCATGGAACACATATCGATTCTTGGCATCGGGGACAAACTGCTATCGGGTCGTTGGGGTCCTCTTCAACTTGTAGGAGGGCCGAACACCGCGAGTTAGGGCAGTACTGCTTTTCCATAGAGTCGAAAAGCTTCTGAGTGTGCTGGGTAATCGCAGCACCGTCCTCAGTACCTTCTGTCAGAACGAGTGTAGTCTGCACCCACCCAGAGTACCATGTCCTTCTCACTTAAGATGCGTTCGGCAACCTCATCTGAGATTCCTTCTTCCCATGTACCTTGGTGGCATTCTGGACATTTAATCGGGAACACGACTGTTTCGAGGACGCCGTTGTAATTCCCTTCAGGGGCAAGCTTGCTCATGATGTAGTGTACGAGGCATGGCTGGCAATATGGGTGTTCGTCAGGACAGGGCAGACGAAAACCATAATTAAGATGGCTAGAAGAAGTAGCTGTTTTGGACGCAGCCATCGGAGAGTGGGTTGCCTGGAACGGCTCAAAACAAATCCCACAGCAGGGATATGGGGTTAGCAGAGAATCAGTTTTATTATCATACCCATCAGTCTGAGGGCGCTTGTCAAAAAGCAGATCAGTCGCCTAAATGAAATACGTAGAGGAAAGACATTTACATTCAAGGACGCTGTCGACGTCCATCATCCTTCCTAGAAATAGGGGGAAATGCTCATGACTGACCGTCGCAGTTTCATACAGATGCTAACCTTTGCCCTTTCCACCGAGAGATTCATTGCTGAGTGCCATCGTTGATCGGGAAGTCCCCTTCCCCTTGAAATTGCGATCTGCAGCCTGATGACGCCAACTTTAACTTGCAGAGAACAAGGGAAAAGATACCCACAAGAATATTTTCGACCTCCTCACGTCCCAGAAGGCTAAGTTCCTGCACTCAGCCCGAATATGTCAATCGCGGGTGTGTGTATGCGTCTCACCTTTCAACATCTCTGACATTGTCCATGTCCACGGTACCGTTGTTATTCGCAGTCTGCAGCCTTCTAGCAAACTCAAAATCAAGTGCAATTTTCTTCTCTTCTGCGGCAAGTTTTTGCGCGAGTTGTTGGCCCGCAGTGAATGCTGCCTCCTGTGCTGTTTGGATAGCTTCCGCTACCGCGTAATCGCTGGCTGACCGCGCGTCAGAAAGGAAGATGCTCATTGCTGCGGCTGCATCATGTAGCACGACACTAGACTCTTCCGTTCGACGTGTAAATCGTGACATCGCCCCATTTCTGAAGGCTGATACTGCTAACACGCTTTCGAGCTGGGCTGTCTCGGCCAGTTGGGCATCCGTGAGGGCCTGAAGGTCCTGGTCAATAAGATGAGCGATGAGTGAATTGCTGCTCAAGTCGCTTGCTATACTCGAATTCGTGGCCATCTTTAGCTAGGGAAGACTTGTTGGGTTGTTATGGAATGATTGTAACTGGGACAAGGCACCGTTAGAACTCCGCGCCTTCAATCCTTTCTATGTAAATATGTAGCGGTAGCTGAAGTTTTACGCCTATAGCAACTCGGGACAAACAGAGCCTACATACAGACGCGCCCCTACTGCTTGGGTGTCGTTGCATCGCTCTCCCGCTTGTGCATCTGTTAACGGTCCCGCGTTATCTGAACCTTCATCAGAATAAACGCGACTGTCCCCAACAACGCCATTGTCTTCCGCCCAGAACATCAGTCTCTGAAACAACTGGTTGACTATTGCTTACTCCAGTGAATACCGCGCCTCTCCACCAAATGTAGTTGCTTGTAAGCAAAGCACCTGATATCGGGGAACCTATGGCATACATGATGGTCAATTGGTACTCTTCCCGAGGACGCTGATTTACCGATCAAACCTCCAAGTGCTGTGGGTTAAGCTAGCGATCAACATCGAAGCAGGTTCTATAAGAATGACGACACACCCATAATGGCACTGGAAATACCCATTCGTACGCTAACGCCGGGTGCAACCTACTGAGTATTGAGGTAAAATTCTATTCCACAACATCACATACCCTAACTCGGAATGGTCGGGTGTAAGAAGTGCCATTATGGGCCCCCACATGGCCAGAGCTGTGGAACATTTCTGCAGGTTTGTCAGCTGCAGGGGGGAGTAGGTGGGGCTGACCTGATCCCGAAAACAAGCCATAGAGAACCCCGATAACGACGAAGCCTGGCAAAGTCTTGATCCATGCCATACTAAATAAGAGTACGGTGCACCCTATGCCGGCAACTATCAACAATGTATCTTGCCTAAATTTCCTGACAAGTATTCCGGACGCAAATTGCGCGACAAGACTCGAAGCGTTCATTATCACGAGCTTTGGGACCAATCAATTACAGAGCAGGAGGTGCGGGGCAACATAACCAACCGAGTAAAATGAGAATGTCTCGTTGACGCCATGGGATTGGCTGTCTAGTTGAAGATAAAACAGAGGGTAGTAGTACCAAAGCATATAGAAAAACAAGCTGGCAAAATCGTTCAGTAACAGCGCAATATAGTCCGATAGATGCACGCCAACCCTACGGTGCCGAGGAGGTATGCCTGAGTCGTGGGCACATTTCGTAGCGGCGGAAATGAGGCTTGTCACGGAATGGGATGGAGATGACCTTGTTCGCATCAAGAGACATGCCAGAAGCAGTAAACCGCTAATGAAGCCTGCACTAGGCGCGAACACTATTTGAGAAGCCCAATGGTCCATTCAGCAGGTAATTCAGCATAATGGGATGAATGGTAGCGCCGAGGCAGCTGCCTGACATTACCAACGACATAACAGGAGCAAGATGGTTCTTAAAGTGTTGGGAAAGGACTGCCATAGTTGGTACGAATAACAACCCGGAGGCGCACCCGGAACAGATACCCTGTGCAAGAAACACCTGGATTATGACAGTTACGGTCTCTACCAGCTAAGTTGGCTGGTTCACGAACCTGATAGTACTGTCCTGGTTTTGCCAAAGACAGCATAAACAGAGAGAACGCTTGCAAAAGCGACCCTCCTATCAACAGATGATAACTACCAAACTGGTCCGTCAGTCAACCTCGATGGATCAAAAAAGGTCCTACAAATATCCCAGGTCGTATAGCCTCCCGGAGACTAGTCCCACAGTGTCAAAAAGGAACGCATTGGTGCTACCTATCCACCTGAAACCAGATAGTTTCAGCAGCTAAGCAACAAAGACACAGGACGAACGAAATCGCGGAAGGACTCCTATTTGCTAAGTAGTGCTGGGCATAATAAGCTTCAAAAACTGTCAACTTCGGCAACAACCATTAGTGTGTCAAACGCTTGCCTTGATAGACGCCAAAAGAAGTTGTGTATCTTTCGCAGTCTGTAAGAAGTGAGGTGCGTCTCGGTGACGTTTAGCACTCACCCGTAGCTGCATACCTGGACCAAAAAGCTTGCAACCAACGTGATTGGTGACAGTCAATTTGTGTATAGAAATTAAACTTACGCTCCAATCGCCGCAGACACGCTCAGGAAATCACCCTCGTGGTATGACATACTTGCGGGTAGGCTACCCATGTCAATCGACGGCTTTTCGTTGCGGGGGATGCTGTCCTCATGTTCCATGGGATCTACGGCGAAGGTGAAGTCAGAGAGTGGGGCAAATTCACGCCCGGCGGCTGGTTGATCGTGCCCGCGGCAACTTCGGCTCGCATAGAAAACTTAGGGGAACGCGAATACTCTGTTGAATCCTGGGATACCCTTGTCGTAACGAGATTGTGCTCTCACGAGGTGAATGACCGGGATTGCTGATGCTTTGACAAAGCCCGATGACATCCATGCGGATAGCCTATCTGTATCTGTAAGTAATGCTCATGGACACTGGAACAGTACTAGTGATTGACCGGCGCCACGGGATACGGACACCCCTGATGTAAGTAATAGCTTCGGTCTTCGGACGGCCTCGGGGCCATCCGAGACAAAGTCCAAAACGTCTATGTAGCATTCAGAGCAAAGTTCATCGTTCATCGCACATTGACTGTACATTCCTTTGTGTATAAAATGATAGCTTGCCATGATGCTGTGGACTTGAAATACGAGGTTGTACAGCTCACTGACTAGCGGAGCGGCACAAGTGCCGGTCTGTGATTGTAGTGCCCTTTCTCGGAACAACCACCGCCTACCTAGCCTACAGTCACCAGACTAACCATGGCTACAGGGAAATTGGAATGAGTTAATAGAGCCCGCAGTCGGCCGATTCGTTCCCGAATGCTATCGCAAACCTCCTCGTTGGCGATTCAAAGCATAGAATTATACTACACATGTATTAGTATTCCAGTGGATTGGTAGCTGATCTGAATATGTGCAGCAGTACCCGGATCGAGCACCCAAAATGCTTGGAGTACCAGGCTCCATTTTGACGCTGGGTTTGAAGATGGGCAGCTTGGAACAAGCTACCACAAGAGGTGCTTGCAGATAGGGGATATTTCAACCAGCAGTACATCGTTTTCTGTTGTGGAGAAAAAGACCGGATGGCAGACGTGGCATGGAAGTACTAGATTTACACTTCTCTCTCTCTCTTCACAATGCCATAGTCTTATCAGGTATTGGATTGGAGGTAATGTCGATAACGGCCATCTCGGGCGCCTCGAAGCACCTTTCCCTGTCCTCAGAACTTTCAACGTCCCCAGGAAGCTTTGGCGGGTCTGCGAAGTGGACAGTACTCATACGTAGATCTAACGAGTTGGGGCTGGAGCCCTGGTGTCGAAGGCATTGCCGGGTATTCAGTGATGCTAGAAGTGAGTTGGCGTACACTATTCAAAGTAAGATGGAGGCCTTCTGTCAATCGCGAGCAAGGCACGGAAGACTGACATTTTCCAATGTTGAAATCCAATCCCATTCCCCAAGTATCTTGATTATAAGCAGTCTGGAGGAAGTGTGAGAGTGACATAGTCATCTTGCAATACACACATACCACAGCGAGCTCTGCGATGGCGACTGCCCTACGATGAAAAGCTTGAGTGAAGCGACGGTTACAAATGGAAGAGGTATGAAACTCACAAAGTCAGCAAACACCGGTTAATAGCATAGATGATAAGCCTATTCACGAGACGCTTCGTGCTAAAGCAGGATTCATTAGGAACGGACCATTGTTGACGCGAACTGGAGTTACCTTGGGAGTGCAGAGCCAGGGCCATTGCCATAGAGAAGTATGCAGAGTGACACCGTAATTAAAAAATCAGTTAGTGTGGCGATGGCCAAAGCCGGGATCACGCTATAAAACTAGGAAGAACGAGTGAGCTAGTGCGGCAATTTCTCTCGTGATGGAACTACCCTAGTCTGCGTAAGGGTGCTGAAATTGTTATTAGCGAACCTATGCATGGAGATCAGCACTTCTGTAAACATGGTTGGACGGGTTGCAGTACTCGAAGACAACTGTCTCTGCTTCTTGATCAGAACGTGTCTCTCATCGTCGAAGAAAACCACGAACCCACGCCAAACCCTGTGAAATATCATTATAAACACCTCCTGATCCTAATTTATGAAGAACCTACCGAACTGAACTAGTACCAACAATATCTATCGCGACCCCGTCATTTCATGATATGTTTGACTTGACGAGCAAACATACTCACAATCGGGGCAGTCACCAACCACTTCACTTTGTGAGCGACAAACTGGATGCCGATCAGCAAAATCTCTGAATACAGGCTCAATGCGACATACGGTGGTGTATTTTATGTATAAAGAAGCTAGTAATATTCGGTTTATGAGCATCGACCACAAAAGAGAGTTACTTACAAATGAACTAGAGAAACCACAAGTGACTGGAATACAGTTAAATCCTATCATAAAGGCTGTGAGATGAAAGAAGCGCACGTTCACCAGAACCGATGCCTGGAGGGAGGGGGGGGAACATTTATAATCAGAGTCTGGTAGAAAATTGGGTATGCGTACTGGTAGTGACCTGCCATAATTCATCAGTGGGAAGTAGTTTGGAAATAGCAATGTGTAAGTATACGAACCAGACCATATACTCCAAACTCGTCGTAACGCCATAATTGGTTATCTGTAGGGATTGAGCACAACGGTTACAAGGAATAGGTGCAACGATTTCACCAGGTAGTGATACAAAAGATGACACACTAATCAACTGTTGGCCATGCATTTACTTATATGCACCAAATGCTCACTGAACACGACATGGAGGGTATCAAGAGTCCTGACTTTCCGTGAGCAGATTTGACGGGTGTCCCAAGGTAGCCTAACTCGCCATATGGCAGCAACCAAGAACTTCATGGCTGAGACATCTTCAGAGTAGTGCATGTAATACACATAAGTCTATATAGCTAGTAAGTCAAGCACTAGCCTGAACATTCCGTGTAAAACGCACCTGCAGAGTTGTTGTGCCATATAACCTTTGATGGGAAATAAGGATATCAGTGACGAGGTCAAGCAAAGCCATACATACATAACTGAGACCAAACCCCCGATAAGGGCGCCTCCTATGTCAACATTTGAGCGGACAAGACTGTGCTGGACTAAGAGAGGTCTTCACCGAACGCGCCCATGATACCCATGTTGTTTGAGAAACCTTGGGCGAGGGATTTTGTCGATTAACTCGCAGTGAGGGTGGATGAAGAAGCGGTCGAGTGTAGCGAGAGCATGCTGTAGAGCAAGTCAACCTGATTCTTAAAGGCCTGCATTCAGTATAATATGGCCAACTCCGGTAATCGGCCCACTGCTGTACTAGCGCTACTTTTCGTTGGGTTCTAGTTAGTCGGTTGTATGGCAACACCGGTGATTGTCAGCGAATAAGCACGTGGAAGCTCGCTGTCCTCGATTCATCGCTGTGCCAGAGGTGGAAGGACGACTCATTCTTCTTGGAGAGTCCGCGATGTCGACAGAAAAATACCGAATGTCAACGACTCGGGTGTTCTGATCTCTCACCTAGGAATTGCAAGGAGCAGGAATGTGACTCACTGTCTCCCGTGGTTCTAATGTGACTCATGATTCTAAATCACTCGATAACCAGAGAATGGATTGACCGGGATATGGTGTAATCATCTGGCGTTGGGACGGGCACTGGAATATTGATTGGCTATTACTAGCTACTGCTGTACTAAAGATACTAAATAGCTCATGTACAAACAACACTAAATACATACGCCGTACTAGGAAAGGAAAAATTGCCTGCGATTGCCCGCACTTCAAGAGAACACCGACCTGAAGAACTATTTGGCTGTCGATTACAGAATGATTCCACCGGCTTCGCAGAGAATTTCCTTTTCACATGCGTGCCCCCGATTTTTTGCGACAACTTGAAACAGGGAAAAATGCGCGCGCCGCTGCTTCCAGTGACTGTGGCATCCTCGTATCGAGGCCGGGGAGGGGGAGCGAGGAGAGGGAGTACGTCGGTCTCGTACTGTTCTGTGGTGTACTCTAAGCTCTAACAGCCACCACTGATGACAGTCCAGTGCCCGAATTTTGGTGTCGTAAGAATACCACAGCCTTGATTGATAACGCATTCTTGACGCCTTGAGGGCAAAGGAAGGGTAAAGGAAGGGTCTGCACAGGATACCTCGCGTCATCGAGGAAGCTTAGTATTTTGTTAACCACTGATGAGAAGCATTACTTAGCACGCATTGAATACCACCGGATGTCCAACCTTGTATCTTTCATGTGTACATTTCGTTTGATCCACACCATTGATTCTGCTTTCGTTTTTGAGTGAACGTTCTAACATGCCTGGAGAAGCTGTCAGTAAAGCAGTAGTGCACATAGTGTCAACATGCAAACATCTGCGTTCATGGCACTTGACCTTAGCAGGATGTGAAATCCAGTGTCCTGTTCTCCGTTGGACTTCACTGAGCAGGATACTAAGCAGTTGACTCGTTTCCCTTTCTTATGCGTGGGGTGGATAAGTGCTGGCGAAGACAGAAACGGGTCTCTAGTCAATGATGACTCCTCCGCGGATTTGCAGTTGTAGTTTTCGGGCCCTCGTGCCGTGCCCTTCCTTGTTTCATTTCCGTTCCACTTGACTTGACTCCATTCATTCATTAACTGGTCCAATAACGTTGCCTCGTGTTCTATGCCGTCAGCGACAACTCACGTCGTTTGCCAATCAAATAGAAGAGCTGTATTCTGGGGTGGAAAATCGTTTCGTTGCATACCTTTTAACGCCACTTACGTGAGCTCGAAATTCAATATGAGGTGTGGTCAGTCCCGTAGCGCATGCCTCGTTCTTAACAAGAACCTCCCACTCCAAACCAAGTCACCAGCTGCGCCTGGTTAATAATCCGCTACTATTGTTGTTGCGTTGCATGCTACCCCCATCAGAGAGACAAAAATGTAATTCAGCAACGGAAGAAAAAAAACTGCGCTTCACGGATGATGTGATATGTCTGGAAACAGTAAACCTCCCATCAGTGGCAAGACCCCCGTTGAACTACAATGGGTGTAAGGTGCTTGCTTGCTACCATGGCATCGCAAGTGAAATCCAATCGTGGAGAGCTGTGGTACGTTCTGTGCCAATCTGACGTGTCATCTCGTTCTGCCTCGAAATCCCAAGTTCTTCAAAAGCTTGTAACAGCTGTCCATCCAAGATGCCTCTTGAGAGCGGCTTTGAAATGGTGTCGTTGCGCACAATCCTGGGCAAGTGTCAGTAATCATTACTGCCGCACTTCATTCTGCGATATTCACCGGTAAGCCTTTGGATTTAGCCCCGCAACGTGTTGGATGTTGCGGGATAATTGGCCTTGGAGGAGGTGTAGACGCTTAAGAATTGTTTCATCGACAGGGGTAAGCACAGATAATGAACCATCGTTAAAACCTATATTCAGTCAGATACTTGTACTGATGCGTCCTTGGTAAAGCTTACCGTTGATTAGTCGTGACTGTGGTATTTCCGGCTCTTCCTTTGTTCTCCGAGCAACGACAATGGAGCAACGAGACTCTTTATGCACGTGAAACTCCGCGCGGCACATCAAATGCTGACCGCCATTGGAATCGGGATCTGATTGCAATACGGCTTGAATAAAGGACCAACATATGGAATTCGTTGACTCACCTGTCGGGTCATACGACAGCAAACGCAAAACGCCTTCCTCATCGTGGGTGGCGATCGCGAGCTCATTGTTGGTGAAAAAGAACTCAGCATCAGTTATACAGGCTTGGCGCAAATCCTTTCCGAGGATGACAAGCTTGTAGGGATCCTCCTACTGGTGGTCAGACGCCGCTCCTATCCACGCAAATGCCAACTCACCTGAAACGCTACAAGCCATACACTCTTGACTGTATCTCCTATTAGTAACAGGTTCTTGAGGGACCGGAGGCTTGTAACGTAGACGCCAACATCTAAGAATGCGACGCCGACGAGACGTTCGTCAAGGTCGAATGCTCGGATGAACACCTTGACAAAAAAAAAAAGTGATCATCAATATTGAAGGAAGTGCTCGTCAAATACCTTTTGTCCCATGGAGGAGACGAGGTACCCATTGATGCCGCAAAGTGCTGTGACAGGACCCTTTGCATCATCACGAACTCGTAGTTTGAGTCTATACCACCGTTGATAACTGGACGAAGGGTCAGGCACGACCTCGACAACTTCGAAAATATACGTCTACACAGGAATGAGCAGGAAATAGCGTATTGTATGTGAAACACAAACGCACCGCGCCTTTCACGGCAAGGTCCTCACCACGGTCGATACTCGTTCCAACTGCAAGGAATTCCTTCGCCCCTGTTTCAGTACTCAGGGTTTCGAGTGTTATGCATTCCAGCGCGTTGACATATTCGTTCGGAGCAAACTCATATCTGAGCTATTTAGTCAGGTTTCTCGGCGCACAACCATATTCACATACCCATCCATAGTCACCCAACCATCAGGTGAGATCAACTCTAATGTGGAACAGTCGCAGCAGGGCAAAGAAATTCCCACATCTAAGCGTAATAAGTCTTGTAGATGGAAGGGTGTATCAGTGAAATTACCGTCCGGCTCCCAGGTGATATTGTTATCTTCGTCATACGACGTGAATCTGGCTTGTAGCGATGATGCCGCCACAATAAGTAATGAACTTGGTTCAAAAACCACATTGGAGTACGCTCGGGATCTAGGAACGAATCGCTTAGGGAGGCGTGCATCGAGTGCGATGTCCGGAAGCCACTCCAGTAGACTCGGACCCTGCATCATTGTTTCGTTAATAGATTCTGAGAAGACTAGACAAATATGAGTACCTCATCGGAATAAACGAGGAACTCCGATTTTGAATCCCAGAGTGAACATGCGGTGAATGCGTGCACAACTCCATGGCCAGAAGGGAATATATTCACACCACCCTTGTCAGTGCCGATTATCCAACTTGGACGGTCGCCAGTGAAGAAAACGCCGAACAGCGTCTGATTTGGGTTGGGTGATGTAATGAAAGGAACAAACACCCTAGATATCCGTTTCTGTTCTGCTAGAACAGTTTTTTCAGTTTCATCCTGTCTTGAAAGCTCAAAATGTCTGGTCGCAACTTTGCTGAACTTTGCTTTCAAGAAAGACACTCTTCCATTCGGAGGAGAGGTCATGTCAGGCAGCGCGGATGTCGGTAGCATTTCATAGACAACTAGACTACCGAAGCGGTTGAAAACCTGAAAAGGTATTAGTCAGCTTTCCGGAGCAGCAAGTAATACTAACGAAAAGATGCAGTGCGGGTGCCGATTCGCCTAGACAGGTGAGGAGAATTTGATCAATGTCAAGATCCTGGGGTTTTCTTGGTGGATCCTGCGGCAACGATAGGGCTGGTCCTTCATACGAGTCTGTTAATATTGCATCCAGCCCGCTAATCGCATGGCAAGAGAACACGAGGTTGAGCTTCGGCAATGACCATATCTGTGGCTACTTGAGCGCTGCAAGCCGCGCATATATTGGACAGACAGACCTCCATAGTTCCCTGTGGCCTTACAAGAACCAACCACTGACTGTGGCTCCCAGCACTGACTGCTGCTTGAAGCGTCGTAGTCGCACTTCGGTCGTGGTTGGGATCTATGTCGGTAGTAGCTAACTCAAAGATGCCGTTGTAATCCGTAAAGAAACATCCCGCGAGGTAACGGGACGCCTAGCGGAGGGTCAGTTTGAACGCACACCCTTTCATACATTGTTTGTGTACCTTTTCGCCCATCGGTGACATATCCTTCCGGCGTACTTTCCCCCGCTCGGATTCACCAATGAATAATCCGATGGTCTCATCCTCTCGTAGAATGAACACGAAGGGGTCGCAGATGCTGCACGCCTTAATTTTTGCTCGGGGCATGTTGCCATCCATATCTTTAATGATTTGTCTTTCTGTCCCATCTGCTCAACGTCGGTCTTCGTTTCACTCCATAGACAAAAAGAAACCGGGGTGAACGCACCAGGCTCCAGGACACGGATAGCGTTCGTCATGACGTGCAAAATTGCGGTGCGGTGAAAGAAGGGACCCGCGCCGACCGTTGTGCCAGGGACACGTGTTGGGATGGCCAGCTCCGTTTTCGCCGCCCGAGTAGCCACCTATGCGGCGCATTGATAAGTTGGCGTTGTCTAAGAAATAGCACATACCCTCGACACACCGGGAGAAGGATTGGCGTCCGTGCTAATGATTACTGTGTCGCGCTCAGGAACAAAGGGATTCACTACCTTCTCATAGGACGTCCCGTTGACTCGATGTGACTGACGAACGGGAAAAGACCACATGCCACGGGCACCTCCGAGTACGTGGAGTTTTCGCTTAACTCTCACCGGAAGATCGCGCTTCGCTGGGGTGAGAAGGGAAAATTCTGAGCAATGATCAGATACCTACCTGGAACAGCGTGAATCCACCTAAGTGCCCGCTTCCTGTAGCAGCAACGAGCTCTGGTATGTGTCGTTCCTGATAGATGCGCTTAATGACTGCAATAGTCAGAAGGAGCAAACTTACCCCGACTTTCGATAAAGAGAACGTCAGGTCAGATATCGGACCATATGCAGGGAGCGAGTCGCAAAATGATACGTGAATGACAGAGCGGATACGAGAAGTTGGTCCTCCAGAAATGGTACAATTTGGAGCTGCTTGTGTTACGACTTTCGGCTCGCCATACAAGTCTGGTGTGCAATGCGTCAGGGATGCAAGGTACTGGGAGCGCATTTAATTAGTTATTTCTTACCATCTTCATCTTCAATGTCCATTGAGGTATGAGTATCAACAACTGCAGCTGAAGCATCACTCTCCCGGGCCCCGCACGGGAGCTCTTCGTCGACCCGATGCGTCTTCAGTAGAACTGACGGGCCAGCAGTACTACCAACGAATAGAAGCTCGTTACCCAATTGACACGCAACGGATGGAATCGTAGTCTGCGCGAGGGTAGAGGATATCGTTAACTTTGAGACTGTCCGACCGTCAGACACGATTTCCACTGAGTGAATCATCCCGTCTTTGCGAATGACAAAGAAATTTTTCTCGTCCACAAACACAAGACGACTGCTTTCCAAAGTCAAATCCAAATCTTTTCCCAATGGAAGCATAGGCATATCGCTGACTCGGATGGCCCAGCCATTTACGGGAAGCGCGACCCGACGAGCAGCCTGGTCGACGTGTATTAACGCATTGCTCGTCACGATGACTACACCACCAAGAGGTACTGCGCAGGGAAGAAGGGAGGTGCAGTCGTAAGGGAGGCCCTCTACTGTCGTTATCACTGGGTAAGTGTGATTGAGCAAATCCAACGTGAAAATGTAAAGCTTGGCGGTATCCCTGTATTCCTTTAGACGCCTGCCGAAACATTAGCGAGCATGCAAAAGAAAGACCAGCGACCATGATCTTACCCCACCCAAGTCTTCTCCGCTTGACACAGCACCGCTACGGTTGGATTGTTGTATCCAGGCAAAAATACAAAGTCGACCACATTGCGCAAATCAGGATCAACATCCCCAACAAAATCTAGGATGAAACTGGGTGAATATGGCAGATCTCTGTGAATTCATGAGCATTGATGCGGTTGAGTGGAAAAATTATCGCACCTTGCCAGATTCAGATCTTGTTCTACAAGGTCAAGTTCTGCCTGAGTCTGATAGAAGGGTAGGATTGCGATCGAATCCTTTGGAAGGGAAAGGGCAGCGCAACGCGACAACGGATCGGCGCGGAGCGTAGGTTGAAATAGTGCACTATCAAGGGCCGCCTAACCGCCTGAAATTAAAAACATGTTGCAGCGAAAGAGTGGAAAATACATACGAGCTGAGGCGCCCTTTCATAAGTGTGGATGGATACGGTCACTAGATCATGTGTACTCTCGGACCATTCTAATAAAGCTATCTGAATGAATACCCTGTCAGAACTATATACGGATAGGACAGGGTACGGATACCTTGGCATCTTTGAATGATACTAAAAGTCGGTCGAGTTGGTCTTCATTGGAAGAGATGGTGCGAACTTTCTCCATGCCAGTTATGGTACCGTAGACGGCATGCTCCTTGATAAAATAGAAACGAGGCGCCGTAGCAGCATCCTGCCTGCCATCAGTCTACGCATGGCTCAGCAACTGAGAACATGATCACGCTCCGACGACTTACTTTCAGGGGGCCTAAGTTGACCCAGCCTTCACCCCCGTTGTCCATCTCAACCTCTCCTTCCACAGGCTCAGTGCCCTTGCGAGTTTGTGCGCGCCTTTCACGTTCACTGTCGACATGATTTGGTGTAACCAACGGTTGGTGTCGGACCTCATATACACGGAGAATGTTAGATCTTGCGGTGACAATGTTCAAAAAAGAGGAAGTGTCATGCTTTGACGCCGTAGATGGTGTCAACTTGAGGGCAATAGCAAACTCCACACCGCTCGGCGGAAGTAACTCATGTCTAAGGGCATGCATAACCCCTCTACAACAGCCCGCTGGTCTGCGCGTGGAGTACGACTGGCTCGCTGTTTGAATCGGGAGTGCCCCCCACGGCACGTGGCTTTGTTTATTGCACCAAACAAGGCCATCGAGTGTTCTCATATGCTGGCCTGAACCCCGTCCAGCTTCGAGTTCTGCTTCTCAGACTACAAAAAATCATATATCACCACAGCCCCAACCTGAACGGTGCGTACCCACTCAAGCCCGAGGACTCTCAGGTATCGTGGCTTGTGCTGAAGAAACGACTCTCAGTCTTCTATGTCACCCGCATGTGCCGTCGCTAGGAGCCCCTCTGGGAGCATGGGATACTGGTCTGAACCACGGGGTTCACTTCGACGCGATTCTTACAGCCTCGATTTCCGCTTGCTCTCACTCTAATATGCTACGAACCTATCTCTCCGATCTAATTGACTCTTGTGGTCCTGGGCAGCCGCGGCTGTGCATCCTTCTCAGCCGTTCCGTTAGGCCCATCGCAGCACGGCCGTATCCAAAGCACCGCTTCTTCGATGCCTTTTCCGTACCCGAGCTTGGTCGGAAGTCCTGGGCTGCCGCTCCATCCAAGATGGAGCGTTTCGTTCGCTTTTTTCGTGATCACAGAGATTTCGAGCTGTTACTTCTACGTATATTGGGACGATGCTGTGGTAATGCCCTCCGATATCTTTTTCATATTCGCAGATCGCCGACATTGATCTTATCAGGAAGCTGTGAACGTACTCCGTGCTCAAGATCGTGTGGCATTTGCTTGATAGCTGCATTTGGCCGGTGAGAGGGACCTCCAGTCCACGGTTAACTCTTCGGTCAAGTGAATCGCGTTTTGAAGGAGGCTCCTGAAAAGTCCTCACCCCTGATAGTCGCTCCCTGTGCGTCAACGGAGTGCCGACCTCATCGCTTTGTATTTTGTAATTACACCTTCCGACATACGGTCTTCCGCAGAGGGTTGGCTAGACGATCAAATGAAATTGCATCAATGTATTCCAACTGCACGCCAATCACTTCTTTGTTGGCCATGCAACTGTTGGTCAGCTGGCGTTCGGATTATCGCCCTCTGCCATTCCCTGATCCTGTTCAGGCGGAGAGAAACCCTCAGCCGCACCTAGCTCCGGCCGGTGCTACTGTGGTCGAAGTTTGCCATTGGCGCGCTTGATCGCACCGAAGCCGTACGGGGCGATTGCCTCACCTCACGCCCACACCTTGCTCCTAAACGGCCTTTTCATCTCCAGGCACCTGCGGTGAATCACCAGACTGTTGATGTGTCTTCTTGGACCTGCGCACGCCGTGGTGCTTGGGTTGTTATCCGTTGCGCAGCCCCTGAGATGAAATTATGCGGGAGTTTTGTCCAGCCTCTTTTAGAGGTACGAACACCGTCTCTCAGGAGGCTCTGTTTCTTTCTACCTGTGGAATCGTCTGCTGTAATCCTTCTCATTCGGCCTGTTTTCGGTACAGGCATTCCGGCTCCGTTGGTCTATGTGCATGCGCTCCCAGTGGCAGACTGGCGACAGAGGTTTAGGGCACCTCGAGAGTAGTAAAACTTTTCGCCGATCGACCTCCGATTTTGGTTTGAATATTACCTTTTGCGATGGACCCGTGAGTGCATGTTACAGCTACTATCGTTGGGCTGTCCTGTACATCTGTTTGTCGTGCTCCCGAATGTTGTCATTAGTAACTTGCGCTAAGCGCTTGAAAGCACCCCATGACCGCCAATTCGTAGGTTGGCCGGATGGCCGGATTACACCGGATCAGGCTGCCCTCTGTCATGACGTCTCAGGTCGCCCAATCGCCACATTTTTCACTGATAACATTGCCAAACCGGTTTGTGTCCACAGCTCTACCTTTTGCTCGTCACATATTTCAAGATTAGCTGATCCTAACTTGAGGCTGTCTAATGGCCTCCTAGAGTCACTTGAATCTCATTTTTCTATACAGCACATCAGAAAGGAAGGGATGCCGTGCAGCCTGATGAACTCGTGTAAGCAGCGTGGTCGTGGAACCGCCAATTCCACCTGCCATAGTACCTCGAGTATCCACTCGTGGTAATTGGCCCTGCCTGGCCACATACAAATTGCCCACCCTATCGGAAGTCCGTCGTTATATAACCGCACATGCCCTCGCCCTCTTGCAGAATACAGGAGGTCACTTATGGCTACTTCCTTCGCTCCTTCTTTGGCTTCGCTCAGCACCGGAACACGCCCTCCTTCACGCACAGACCGTAGCGGGAACTCCGGTTCCTCCAAGGTATGCCGCCCTCAATTGGCTTTGCGTTCCTCGGGGCTTATTGCGAACACCTGATTATTTAAAGAATTATGTCCTTCCTGTTCCATCGGGCTTCTCTGTTCGTATCTTCAAAGCTCCGTCGCTCTCCGCATCGTCCCGCCAACATGCAAATCAGCAGCCGTCTGTCCCGAAAAGTGACGCGGATTACCGATCGTCATCACAATCCCGCCAATCGGCCCCGGCGGCCTGGGAAGGCCACCATAAACTCACCAGGGCACCTCCAGTTCAAAGCTCAGACGATAGTCAAGGTCGCAACGGTAGATTCGGTGGCATCCACACTGGCCCTGTTTCAGACTCCTATATTTATGAGCGCCCCCTCCTCTCCAACTCCAACTCCTACTATTATCAGACATCATCAGACACTACGGGAAGCGACATTGACTCTATCTTCTCTGCAACTCATTCGTCATCCTCAAGTAACAGCAGCCTAGAAGATAGCCCGAGGAGAGGAGCTCTGCAACTGGCGCCACCGGAGCGACGTCCACCCTATGGTCAGCGAAACCCAGCACCGTTAGTCACGTACCCAGGGACCTACCACACGTGTCCGACGTGCACGGAGCTATGTACTGGCGCCTCATCGATGCCAACAAGCAGAGTAGATGCGCATTCGCAGGGCTCTCGCCCGCTCCCCACGCCACCCGTGAGCACCCGAGTGCGTAAGGACAGTTTGCAATTGACCACCGAGCGCTCCCCTTCCATCTCCCCTAATCACCTGAGGCCTCGCCCGCCGCCACTCCACATTGAAGACACTCCATCGTATCCTGTCTATGTACAAGGCACTTATCGTGGCCAATGGCAACCAGATGATATACCTGCAGCCCCGCAGCTTGGTCGTTCTGGGTCGCAAAGGAGCGTAACATCATCCAACAGTGGATCCTATGGGCCTCTTCTCCTCCCTCCGGGATTGTTTGTCCAAGATTGGGAGCACCCTCTCACTTCTGCACCAAGCGATATAGGTGGTGAGATTTCCGCGAGGCCACAACGCCGCAAATCGGAGGGTGGCAAGCCACACGTTCACGAGCCGAGGCGCATACGGTCGCAAACTGCGCCGGCGCCTCGTTCCGTGAGGTGGTGTGAGAATTTGATCTGCCCTAGCCCAGTTTTACCCAGCCAACGTAGGAAGGGATGGTTCAATCGTAGAGGGTGGGTTTCCCTCATTCCCCTCAATGTTGACTGACAATTGTGTGCTGCACAGGGACCAGCTGTGGCGTAATGACGGGTCGTACAGGCCTCCACCACCGGGCGAAGCTTACCCCCCTGACTTAGACGACTACCCAGAGCCAAATGAGGGCTGGCAAAATGAGGAAGGCGTCCGAATTGACCTCAGTCGTCGGCTAATACCGAAGGTCCCTCTCCGCGGCGTGCTCAAACAAACGAACTATTGTCCTGAGGAGGGCATAGTCGCTGGATACCTTATGGATTCCCCAGTTTCAGCTACGTCGGAGGACGAAGAATGAGTTCCATCGTGCCTCCTTTCCCTAGGTCCTTGCATGCCAAATCCACATATGTATTTTATGCAACGGACCATCACGTTCGTAAAGCATTCACGTTTCGATCATTATCAGCATAAGTATACCCCCGCACTCACCACATCCACATCGTTGCGGAGCTGGTATCCTCCTGTAATAGTAGACATGTAGCCATCTTGTCTGCCCAGGTGCATGTATTCCAAGCTGTTCTCGGCCGATAAGCGAAAAAAAACTTTTAGTCGCGCATACCATCACCCGCTCGGTATTCATATCGGAAGACGGATAGCCGCGCTACTTCACAGGATGTGGTATACAGTTGGCCAGGCGTTTTGAATGAAACTCGTGCAATCATGGAGGTCTTTCTCGGTCGCCAAGAACGTGATGATGGATTGATCATTGTTTCGCACCGCAGTTGGAGTACTGGGAGCGCATGTATCACGACCACTTGCCGTTGGGCTATGTGGGCAGGATCAGGTTAGAAACCTAATCGCGGTCCCAAAACTTTCCGTGATATCTCGTTACCAACTGACGCCACGGTCGTAACTACAGCACTTCTATACCGGGTGGGTATAAAGCAACCGCTAGGAATGAGGAAAACTCAATCCCTGACTGTGGGGAAAACATGTCTGGTCTGAAACGAACGCAGACATCCGACAGCGTGTATAGGGACACCATGATCCTGCCGAGAAGCGTATGTAGGCTAGTGTGGGGCTCGCCTGAATGCCCGGACAGGATAGGTGCAAGAAACGTAATCCATGACAGCTTGTGCCCATGAGTGAGAAACCGGGGAGTGCGGGCCAGACTCGCGAGGCAGACAACCGTCACTGAGGCTCTTTCACCGAGGAAAACTAGACTAATTGGCGTCTGTGACGCCCAGCAATGCGCACAAGTCGGATGGGCGGGAGTGGGTCGATCAACCCGCCAAACAATTCAGCGGACACGAGGTGCACCACACTGATCACCAGTCTCGAAGTCTACATAGTCAAAGGTCATCCGATTTCATAATTAAATTGCCGTTCAACAACTTGTTTTGCCACCCACCTTCCTATAGCATTCACCGACAGGCATTGAACAGGGCACGAGCCAGATCTTCAGATGTGATGCTGTACCTCGTACGTTGAGTTGCTCCACGGGTATGTGCATTCTAGTTTGATACTAGTTGCCAGCCCTTGCTAACAGATGCTGACTATCTTCGATGGTCCCAGCAGGAAAACGTAAGGAAAACGAGGAAGATAAGAGACCGTGTAGGGAACCTAGGGAAGGTCGAGGACGACGTTATCACACATACGCACATGAGTGTGAGACAGAAAGACGAGAACCGAGTCGGACCCGTGCCGGAAGACACCACACGACCCTGACACGATCGTTGGACGACATGTATGCTAAGTATCACTTGCCAAGGCAACGTCCACCTGGGCCACATACACGTCACGCCAGAACGGAGCTTCAGTGTGGCTTCGGTACCTTGCGCCTCGGTAGTACGTATACTGATTATCTGGACTCAAGTGGGCCAGCTGTAAATGCAATACTAATGAGACTCAATCGACGATGACCCCAAGTTGCTTGTACGTATCCGAGTTACCCTGTGAACGATCTTTCCCGTATCCGTTGCTGTTTACTAATTGACGTCGCAGACTTTCAGGAAGTCACATTCCTTGCGGGGCGGCCAGGCCTACCGTTTTGCAAGTCGCAACAGCTCCCTGACACGTTGCACCAATCTATGACACCGAATGTCGTCGCAGTACCTCTGGACTACAGACAGGATTGTGGCGCTGCTTTCTCTATGTAGAATTGGTGCCACTCCTCCGTACACGGCAAGAAGTGATGCCTTTCCCTTTGTTCAAACTGCCACGACAATGAGAGGGTGCATGTCCGCGCTGACCATATGCCCTGGTCGCACTACCTTGTTCCTCTATTCTCGCACTTTAGTTCCGCCTTCCCTTCAAGGAACAACGCACATGATCGCGGTGCAAATGTTGTTGTACTTCGCACCTTCTCGTCTCTAGGTCATCTTCTCTGAGGCTCCTGTGTTTCCACATGAAAGTAAAACGCCGCTGAGGGATCGCATGCGTCATGGTAGTCGTAACGGGTCGTTAAATATGGCGAGGGGGCATTTGCCAACGTTGTCAGCAAGCTACATACCGGTACAGCTTGACCAGGGAACTTCAACCCCACCCTCCACAATCATACCGCAATGAAAGCGTGCTCTGAGAAATTATTCATAAGTGAGCAATCGTTGCCATCGTTCAGTAAACCTCCTGGTATCAACTATGGTTACATCAGTTGCGGGTCAAAAATGTCCGCCTTAGTCTACGAATGTCATGTCGATCATAACCTCTCCTACATTTGGCAGATTATGATGGTAACTCTGCCAGTGACGGTACGAGACCCGGTGCGGCGAATAGGAGTACGGCACACAATTCAGGGAGAGCCTGCAAGCGGGTACCACAAGTGTTCATTGTTTTGCTTTGCGGCGTTGTTAACGGTGGCGGCAAAAAATCCCTGACGGGTAACCAGGAGGAGCGAGATGAGGCAAAGAACATGAATGCCGTGTCTTGCACCGAATGCTCCTTCGGGCACCTTATATGTGCCATCTGCAGGGACGTTAAGTTTCGTTACCCAACTCGAAACCATAGATATACTTACAAAAAGCTTCAGCTCGCACCAGAAGGACAGCCTGGAAGGCAACAAGTATGCAAAGTATGAGGAACATGTACAGTGAAACCTTGCGCAAGGTGTCGCCAACGTCTACCGTGTGTTGTGTAGTTCCGACAGCAGCTTCGATGACACCCGTAATACCAATAGAAACTGCCGCTGTCAACAACAGACGGAAAATCATGCGTCTTCGGGTAAGGCTGGAGATCGGATCGCTGGGAAGAGGGAGATCGGAAACCAAGCCTCTGTGAAAAGATCAGTACGCTCTCGCAATTAAAGCACTCAAGGGAACCTGACCTGTCAACAACAAGGGAGTAGGCTGAATAAAGCAAACCGAAGAAACCGACGTTGTACATGATTTCATATGTTATGAATAAGTTAAGATTCTGGCCGTCTGTTGCCACGGAAGCCAATAACGCTCGCAAAACGAAGGCTGCGATTCTCACTTATATCATGTAGTCGTCAATCAGCATATGGGGAATGCGATGATTGCATAACTTACCTGCGCAGAAGAATGCGATGACAATAAAAACGTAGGTTGGGCGTACAATCGCTTGTCTGACATACAGGAAGAACAAAGGCACGTAAATGATGGCAAAAATCACGGCGCCAGCGACGGATTCGATGCCATATGCCTTTGCGTAGTTAAAACCAGGAGGTGCAGGAACTCATAGCTTTACTGAGAGAGGGGGGAAAAAAGAAGGACTGAAGGGAGCGGCGGGTTGGAGAGAGCACTCTGCAGGTCAACTGCACTAACGGAAGGAAGGCTAATCTGCAACGACGAAAGGGCCTTTTGTAGGAGCGTGGCTATACCTGTCAAGCCTGCCCTCATCACCGAACACAGATCAATTTGTATCGCCTTTGTTCCTAACATAGCAGTACGACGCCACATGGTCTTACAATTGTAAATTCAGTCGCAAGGTAACGACCGTCCTGTGCCAGCTAACCGGGGGTAGATCAAAATTGCAGAGTCGATCACTTGTGATCGATTCGGGTTAGAGACCAGATCAGCTGTTCTGCTGATTTGGTCCCCCCGAGGCGTCTCTTGGTGGGCTGCTCGCGCGCGCTTAGTGTGTTGGTGTGCATGAAGTGCTAAAAAATAACTGGAAGTCAAACTCCTCAATTGCTGCAATGAACATCTGACAATCTCGGAGTTGGCACGGTTCCATTCTAAAAGTAAATTGAAAACAATGGTAGACGTATTAAATCATATATTTTGCACTGGCAACGCCACAGCAGTTATCTTCCGGTAACGAGGAGCGACTCGGAAATGTTTCCTGTTAGCATGGGGCAAGGTACTCAGACCTTAAGACAAACGACGCAGATAGAGAGGTCCAGGGGTCCTCTAGGTGCGGGCACCTGTAGTAATTAATTATTGTGCGAGCAGTAGTGGGTGCCAAACGCGGACCACATGGGGATTATGACGGCCTTTTGAATACGGTTTTCATGCCGTTCGTGATGATCAGTCCTTCCCCTCTTGTGTGTACAAATACTTATCGCTGGCAACTGCGTTCAATGCCCCAACATGTTAAAGGACTTACTGCACGAAAACCCGGCGGTCAGATGTTGCGTTGTCGAGGGGACGTTCAGGATTACAGTACCGATCGTTGCGAAGTTGAAGCAGACCGTTGTCGGAGGAAGCCAGGCGAGCATGGTAATGAGTGCGGAAATAAACAAGGCTGCTGAGTTTGGCAGACACTCAGTCGCATCTGCTGAATTGCCTGCAGATCAGTTTAACGCGCTTGTTCTCCTACGGGCTGCGTTACTAAATGAATACGAAGAGTGATGTCCCCCTTCCTTGCGCTTTATGTGAACCTTTTCTAGCATTGCTGTAATCATTAGGATTTTTCTCGCCGACCACTAGGGACTCGATTTCCTAAGACCGAGACCTTCCACACAATGCGGTACCCAACCCGACGGATAGTCCCCGATCCAGAAGACCACATGGTGCTCGAAACGCGCGGCCTGCTTCGAGCTTCTAGCGTTGTGCATGCCTGTTCATATTCCTCTCCGGAATGCAGCAGCGAGAGCAAAAGCGAGGCGGCGGTGCGCCGGAGAACGGAGAGATCAGAGGTGAGGCGTCCGATCGAATATTACTGCACGGCTACCTACTGCCAGGTGGACCAAATCACTTATCCACCTTTACCATCGACCAATAAACTGTACGTAGATTGAATCAGTGTATAAAATCGCTCACTAGGGACACTCGCTGTTACTGTGTAGGGGGCTGGGACATAGGGTGAACACCACCGTTGCTGCCGTTCTTAAGGGGATATCGGATAACTTGTGGGACGTTAGAATACGACCCGCCAGACATGAGACTGTTGTAAACACCGTCTTCCAGATGGCAGCTGCTAAGTAGGTGAGAATTCCAGATTCGGAGGAATGAAACTACACAGCTGAACACGGATGATCAAAACGGAGAGTGATAGATACAAGATTCCGGCGTGGCCATATCGTGCCGCCAGGACGGTTATGAGGACGCCTCTGAAGGCGGCGTCGTCACCATGCAGAACAGCGGCACCTAAACGCCAGTACTTGTAGAAAGCAAAAAAAAAAAAACCCTACTTAAGTAGATACAATGGGCGACAATGGGCGACTATGGAATGGTGTTTAGGCAACAGAGCCGAACAATTGACCGAGTAAAATGGTGATTGTTCCTTACCGTCATCTCTATGGCATGCCAGAGCAATAAGTACAAGACCAGCAACAAGTCCCCGTCAGCCTCACGTTCTTTCATTCTCCCTCGTTTCTTTTATACCGGGGCGTACGTCCTCCACCCTCACCTTCCCAGCACAGTCTCTCGCTTATCCCTCCCCCTCCCCCTCCCCCTATCCTCGACGTGTTCGAAACGACGATGAGATTGTTCGCCCTCTTAACTGTTCTGCCACTCGCTCTGGCAGCCCCGGTGTGTTCTGTGAACAACATGGCTGCCTCTACTACCGCCACAACCACCCCTACCCCCGCCACCACCGCCGCTGCGCCGACTCCCACCACAAACACGACCTCACCTGGCGGCGGCAGCTCCTCGCGCATTGCCATGGGTTGGTATGCGGACTGGCATTCCAATTTCACCGTTTCAAACATCAACTGGTCTGGTTACAACACAATGACATACTTTACGTCAGTCCCACTCTCCGACTGCTTGTAGCACTTTCTGATTCTCCCCTCCAGCGCACAACCCGATAGCAACTTGAACGTCGAGCTGCTGGATGGCTCGACCTTGGACCAATTCGTTTCCACTGCTCACACCAACGTAAGCATCATGTGATTTCTTTGCTGCCTTGTTTCTTAGTCGTGCCCAGAATGTCAAAGCCCTTTTGACCATTGGTGGCTGGGACGGCTCTATCTACTGGTCCAGCTCCGTTGCCACGGCTCAGAACCGTTCTACCTTTGCGACCAATGTAGCCCAGTTCGCTTCTGCTCACAACCTTGACGGCATTGACTTCGAGTACGTCTGCCGTTCGTTACTACTACGAGTCGCTCACCGGTAGTTTAGTTGGGAATATCCTGGTAAACAAGGCGTAGGTTGTAACGTTATCAGTTCCAATGACACCGCCAACTTCTTGGAGTTCATCACCGAGTTGCGTCAACAAGCCCCGAATCTCACGCTCTCTGCCGCCGTCAGCGTGTTGCCCTTTGTCGATTCCACCGGCAGTCCATCAACAAACGTTTCTGGTTTCGCACAGCAACTTGATTGGATTGAGATCATGAACTACGATGTCTTCGGAAGTTTCAGCACCGTTACTGGCCCCAACGCTCCTCTCGACGACTCGTGTTCCTCCAATCCAAGTGGCTCTGCGAAGTCCGCTGTCGCTGCCTGGACTCAGGCTGGATTCCCTGCAGACCAGATTGTCCTCGGCGTCCCGTCCTATAGTCACAGTTTCTCCGTGCCTAGCTCCACTGCTGCCCCGAACGGTCAAATCCAACTTTACACCTCGTTCTCGGCCGCCAACGAACCTCAAGGTGATGCCTGGGACTACATTCCTCCCGGTACTCTGGACGTTTGTGGCAATTCCCAGGGACCTAATGGTGTCTTTAATTTCTGGGCTCTGGTTGGGTACGGTTACTTGAACTCCGATGGAAGCGTCGCATCCGGCATGCTTAGCACGTTCGATAACTGCTCACAGACGGTGAGATCTTTCTCTCGAGTTATCTTAGCCGCTCTAACGTTTCCTCGTAGCCGTTCCTCTATGACCCTAACTCGCAAGTTCTATTCTCCTACGATAACCCCCAGTCATTCAGTACTGTCCCGCTATTTCTTGGCAGACGAGTACGGTCTCATTTTCGTGTAGCCGCCAAGGGTCAATACATCTCGCAGGCTGGTCTGCGCGGGTTTGCGATGTACGAAGTAGGTGGTGACTATAACGGCCTACTTATCAATGCCATCAACGGAGCTATGTCGTCATGAACCACTGATACGACACGAGATGGTGGATTCAACTCGTTCCCATTCTTGCCTCGCTCTTTGACTTTCGATCGCCTCAGGAGACGGTTGAACTGTCTCTGGCATTTCCATTCATTCGCTGGTCTCGGGTGATGTGATTGTTTGGAATATGGATTTGTTACCACCGAGGGAAGTATATATCTGTTTAATTTTGTACATGTGTCGGCACCCATTACCCCTCGATGGGGTTGACTGTATCTTCTAGTCGACTCTTTGTTTACTAGATAGTTTGTTGTATGTCGCAACCGAAACTTCACTTGTCCACAAGGTCATTGGGGACGAGAATTGTAGCCGTACTGGTCGCGTTTTATCCTTGTGGGAGATTGTTCGATTTGAGTCACGAGAGGTATCGAAATATCCCACTACTCTCGGAAGCCTCAATGGTTGGATCATATGGATGTTGGCAACGCACGCCGGTGGGTGAATAGCAACGGTAATGGGTAGAGGTGTTTGGTGTACATATATGTATTGGTAATTGATTAACTCTGTCGAATTCACGACTTATTCGAATAACCAGCCCTGCAACCTTCACCATCGCCATCGTTATCGCGGTCGCACTGTCGCAGATCCTCTGGGCTAGGATCGGCGAACCGCTGTGAAAATAGAGCTTTGGCGACTTACTACAGGTTCATGTAGCTTGTGAGCGTGATTGATGTGCACTACCACTCTTGGGTCCACTTCGAACATAACCGCGACTTGGACGTCAGTCATTCAGGGGATTCCGGAGCAGCGTCCAGGTGTCCTCTTCCTCACAGTCCATCATCCTAGCAAGTAGCCGCAGACGGTGTTTCCAGCATGCAATCACCAGTGTACGATGCTGGATATGTATGTGCAGCAATTTGAACGGCACCGCGATGAGCGAACTCGTGGCAGCGGTAACGAGCTGAACACAGTCAAAGGAGCGCGAAGGGGAAATACTAAAAGAACTTGGCAGGATTCGCATGACTGCCCAGACGGAGAGGACTCTAGACTCGACGATGTCTCTTCGAGCAGCAAAGGCTCCCAGTGCCCATTCCTCGTCCTCCGCCTACATGAGGCAGTTAGCCAGTTTATCACATTGCTTAGGAATTACCATCCTGAACTCTGCGGACCTCTAGTAATCGTGCCTTCCTTGGTACTTCTGATACAATACATGACCTTCCACATCAACTCAGGTGCATATGTGAACTGCTGACGAAGTTCGGCTATAAAGTATACTGTATGTTGTCCACTAGCGTCTTTCACGCCGTACGTGATGGCACTACATTCTTGTTCTACTCAATTTGAATGGCATGGAACAGGAAGTCATGCTCTTCCGCCGCCAGTGCGGAGTACTTGGCAGAAGAGGCAAATATATACTGTGGTTGCCATGCGGACCGGGTGCTATTGGAACGCTCAGAAAGTCCCTTTCCAAGTCGACTTCGTGGTCAATTGTAAGCTTGGTTCCATCAAGACCCTTGGTTTTGGAAAAGAAACCCAAGAAGAACGAGGGATTTGTTGTCGCTGTGCCCTCAATTGGTGGACATAGTCAGGATCCCCCCATCCGAAGGCCTGGGGAATGTGGAAAGAACCCTCCCCGGACTGAAGCTGCTGTTTGGACTTTCTTCCACAGTAGTGTGTTCCGATCAGGCAAGTTGTCTGGCTCAACCTCACCAGAACGAGATATCCGATAGATTGCGATTGCAAGGATTACCCACTGTCTTCATGCCCTTCGCGTCATGCACCAAGGTCCAGATAGTGCTGTGCGATACCGATTATATGCACTCCCATTACATCGCGTGCCTAGGTACCGGTGGAGCAGGATGGCTATCCGTCCAGTCATCATCCCTCTGCCCGCTGTAGCACCTCCTTGGAGCGTTGGATACCCCCGAACAAGTCATGTCGTTGTCAAAGGGAACCCGAGTCGGATTTGAGGGGTTTCCCGCCAGCGTTCCACGCTGGTTGGAGTCACCACAGACTCTGAAGTTGGAACAAAATTTGCCTACCTTGGCACTCTTCAAGCAGCCCCGAGGATCCGCCGACCGCTGCGCAAAATTCATCAGGTGACCTACTTTCGCTGCCTCTCTATACCCATTTATTTGCACGGCGAGAAGAGGGATGCTATGGAACCCTCTGAATCGGTACTAGTCGCGGTCGGAGGTCTTGATCAATCATGGAAGGCGCCACAACACGTACTGTTTTGAACAATTTCCCCCGCAATTGGGTCAGCCTCTTCATGACCGGCCCGGGGGTTGCAATCTATAAAGACTTTTTTTTCCAATTTAAGTGCGTTGAGGAATATATCCTATGTAGCACTATGCTCAACTAATCGATCTAATCCGCGTGGGGTCCTGTACCCCGCCTGCTCCGATTTGACAGCCACAGGAACTCCAACATTGCAGTTCAAGCTTCAAACACTGCAATGCGAGCACAGGCTATGATAAACAGATATATTTCCACAGGAAGCCATGTCAAAGCATATCATGGAGAATTAACTGCTACTCAAATCCTAAATGCAAATGGGAATTCGACCTTCAATGCCTCAACAGGGTCGCACTTATGATTAGGTACCATAGAGAAAAAAAGACATGCCAAAGTAAACCTCTACAAAGCAGTCAACTAAATGGAAGTAATATTACACTAGTGATATGATGATATGCAGGCGTCAACGGGGAGTCGTGATTGCCCGCCGAAGAAGTGGGTGAATATATAACACATGGTTTGAGAAAAACCTATGATAATATTTTGCCCGAGGAGAGCCATCCTGATGTAGACGTTCCGCTGGCAGACGGGCGTGCTTTTTTGTTTTGAAAATCCGAAATCCGAGGACAAGGATGGATGGTGGAAAGATTCGGAAGGTCTGATGGGGAAGGTCGCCAAGAGTGGGGAAACGGACGGGGAGCCTTGGAAATGAGAAGCCGCGAGACATCGAAGGGTCTCTGAAACCGAAAACGTTCATCAAGGCACCATCGACAAACCCGGCTTTCGGGGGCTAGAATATCACTGTGAGCCCAGACCGGGTCCATTGCTGAGTTCCGTCCCGACTTTCTGCACCAGTTCAATCCCAAGTGGACGGAGCACTTTCTCCCAGAGTTTGCGCCTTCTTCGACCCTCGAAGATTCCTGCGGAGCGCTCGCCTGTTTCACCCTCCGGGCCGAATACGAAGATCTTCCCGCGCGAGTTATCCCATGGACGTTCGCCCCATGCAAATGCAATCCAGCGAGTTTGTATGGCGTCACGTACGCGAGCGTATGTCCACTCGTCGACCACGGGCCGCGCCCAGCCCCCGCAAGGCAAGCCGCGGGTACAGTAATCGAACCTTTCCTCGTCTATTTCATTGATGTTGCTCAGCGTTACGGGGCCGCAACCAAAGGATGCGTTCTCAGAGGAGGGCAGGGACGGAAGGTCATCTGCGGCGAATGAGAGTGGGGACGAAGCCGGTGAAAGAGGTAATGGGACATTGTCGAAGAGGTATATGAGATCTGCCATGTGGTGGGGGACGCCACGAGCAGGACCTTCCTGGTCAAAAACGTAACGCCAGACGGGATTACCAGTTCTCTGAGCAGCTTGGTAGACGCACTCCGTAGGCCACGATATTCGAGCGTCTTCTATCAGCTCCAACACACGCTCCGACAGTTCGTCGGTCATGTGGGGTGCAATGTCATACGCGTTGAGGAGTGCCGTTGCCTTATTTAGAGACTGGCATATGGCGCGGAGGCGTCTGACGACACCGGAAGCTGCCCAATTGGAAGTGGTGTTCGACCAGAGATCAGAGTCGCAAGCGCAGTCACCGATGATGAGAGGTTGGAGACCAGCCACATGAGGGTGGAGTACCCGGGGCTTCGGATGAGGGCTTTGGCTGTTACTCTTCAGCTTTCGCACACCAAAGCGCAGGGCAGTCAGGTTCCTGCCCGGAGGAATTTTCTCGATTTCGTCCGATTCGGCAGGCGGAAACAGAGTCTCGCGCCAATTATTTTGGAAGAAAACTCCATCGTCAACAGCGCGGACGGGACATGGTATTTCTGCAAGGGTACTGGAGCAGATCGCACGAAGCTGCTCTACAGTCGAGGCCCGGAGAGGCGAGAGAGCCCTCGAAATCTGCCAGCCAGCGGCGTGCACGCCTGGCACATTGTAGTTCACGATGGCACTCTGCACAATGGCCCGTGCAAAGAGAGGACACCTTTTGTTGGCACCTGAATATAGATGATGAATGATATCCGCCGCGCCGGTCGACGACCCAAACAATGTCACATTCTCGGGGTCACCACCAAACTCGGAGATACACTCGTGCACCCATTCAAGCGCAGTGCGTTGGTCACGCAAGCCTGTAAGCGAGAAACGTTCAGAACGGGGGGAGAACGGCGACGTAGGAGAAGCACGGACCATAATTGCCAACACCCTCATCACCAGCTAATCGATTGTCTTCGGCAATAGATGGACTAGCAGCGAAACCAAAATAGCCTAGTCTGTAACTAATCATATGAAGGGAAAACGTGGTGAGGGTGAGATGCTTCTCGAACGTAAACGGATGGACGTACTTGATAGTAATCATGATAATCGGTTTGCCGATGCACATGCTCCTTCGAACGAGGGAGCCACCATCATACATCCAGCTTGAACCACAGCCTCTGTTACCACCCCTGTTTGAATGAGCACGAGGAAGCCCAAGCGAGAGAAAAAAAAACCTTACCCGTGTATCCACACCATAACCGGGAGACGTGATTCGCAGTTTTGGTTGGCAGGACAGGTGATGTTCAAGTTGAGACACTCGAACTCATTCTGGGGGAAACCCTGCCTCGGGAGATCTGATTCTGGGAGACCAATCAACTCTTCCTCGACACTCCTGCGACTGCTCTGAGGGCAGATTGGACTAAATGGTAGAATGAGCGGACGTGACCTGAAGGGAGGTAGAAAAGAAGAGATACCCGTATCTAGTGCTATCGACTACTGGGGGGTAGGAGGTACACAGTTTCGACTGACGGAATCGCGCGGGGACGGAGGCATACTTGATGCCGCGAAACTGGTGTATTGGGACGTCAGAGGTGGAGATCGGGTGTTCGATGCCCTTGAAGGTTGTCTGGAGACCAACATGACGGAAGAAGACGTGCGAAGGTTGTGGTATCATGATAGACGAGCAGTAGTAGCTGGGGATCATGCGGCAACGAGGAGGAGAGGGATAAGGTATAAAGAGAGGTGGCAAGACATATTTAAGCTGCTTTGGTCCGTCTCCTGCGTCATCCGGAGCTGTAGCTGACTTGCAGGATGGACTGCTCGATTTGCTTCAACGTCATGAAAAACCCAGGTAGTAGTCCCAGAATGGCAACTTTGGAATTGATAACTCCACGTGACCATAGGGGTCAAACCGGGTCAACAGAACTGTTCGAATCTGAAATTGAAACCTCACAACTGGATGACGTACAAGCAAATAACCCCGCCTGGCGCAGTCTGAATGGGAACACCCGGAATGACAAACATGCACCAACAGCGTGCCCAACCCGCCAGGTTCCCGAGTACATAGGCCAGCCCGGCCTAGATCTGAGAGTCTGAGACGGCAACTGCAAGTGATCCCGAGTGCGCCCATCTACGGCAGCGATCTCGTAGAGATATCACAAAGTCATGTGCTGTCTCATTGAAGAGTACTGGTGACAATAGTACTGTTATACAAGACCCGTAACCAGCCTTGCTTGCACCGCAATAGAGTCAACGCCATCGATCTGCGGTCATCAAATTTAAAAAGCCCTTCGTGATCTTACTTTTAGCTTACCTCCCGTTCTACGACCATTCCTTTGCCGTCTAAACGTTCAGATAGCAAGATCTTGGAATCACTTGGATGCACTCAGTGGTGGGAGGTGTTAACCAGGGACGTGCCACTGGCACTCCTCTCCACCGTTCTTATCGACCTTTTCTGTTTCATGTCGGTCGGATCGATACGACGCTTATGAGCCAGTGATAAGCTGATGGCACGTGATCAAGGGTGATTCTTGTCATGATCCTGCACCTGTAACGCGACTGTGGTAGTGTAGTCAGTTTGTCCTGACCATCGACTGAGCGGGCGAATGAACCACAATGAACGGTATGATCCAGATCCAGCTGGTCAGCTTTTCGTGCAGTCTGATGTTCTACGTGAAACCGGACAAGTGCCACTGATATCGATAAGGTCCGCCCCTCTGTGGAAAAACTTCTCATGCTCAAGCATTTAGTTCCCATGTGACCTCGTCGACAGTCACACTAAGGTTTTTTGTTCTTCAAAAGTTCAGATTAACAGACAGTGGTGCACCCTGACCACTCGAATCCGACAAGTATTTAGCCTACCTTGCCCTAAGGTACCATCTAGTGCGTACATAACTTGGAACTGTGTTTCAACACGAATTCCAGCCCTATTCAGTCGGCTTAGGATCACTGACACTCTAGGTTCCCGCAAGATATATCCGTGCTCACCTTCTCCCTCGTTTAAAGCTGATTTCTGATTGAGGGCGCCTAGTACTCTCCTCTTTGCCGCTCTATTTCCCTTCCCCACAAACACTCGTGACGTGGGTCGACTTGGCGCAGGGAAGGTCACTTACCGGCAAGGACTAAGAATGCTGCTCACTAGTGAACAACTCTAATTGCAACCCATTTTATGTAAGTTTTCCTCCATTCGAGCACCTTGTGCGTAATAAATGTAGGAATTATCATGTCGAGTCCTTAAAAAAATAATAACGAAAGGGCAATCGACAGTTGCTAAGGTTGTGTTCCTGCCAGGGTAACGCCAATGCGATAAACAAGAGCTGACGAGATCTGATCGACCCTTGCGGTTTTTTCACCGCTGCAAGCCAAATCTTGGTAGTCTTACCAAATTCCAGCTTCCCACCTGTGTGTATGTGTGTGGGTCGTGGCGTGCCCAGCATCGCTTGCTGATATTCAGACTGCGGCTCACGTCGTCTGAGTGAAAAGCGCTGACAGTGCCAGGCTTACTACCAGAAATCTCTACCGCCCTCTTATTGGTTCAGTCATGAACTTCCTACTTCTCCCATTCCCGCATTGACCACTCGAGTCCCGTGGACGACATTATTGTGCTTTTAGAAATCCTGGTTTGCTATGATATCTGTCGCACCATGGTCGCAGAGCATGAGGGGTATGTGAGGGGTTTGCGCACTGCCTTTTTGTGGGAACAGGCTCATCTTTGTTCTCACTCTTTCAGTGGCTTCAATTGCATGCCATTCTGTTGCAATCTTGAGCACAGTGCTCAGGCTCGGATATCGTTGGTGGATGGCCCGGTTCTGGTGGGAAGATGCAGTGGCAGCACTTGCTTTAGTCTGTGATGCTGTTACCCTTATTGCTGCTGTGATGATCGCGCCGTATCTTGGTCAGTGAGCCTCCGTCCTCCGATATTTTGAATCACGAGTGTGTTGACTGGGGGCTTCTTCCCAGGCTCAGGGGTCCGGACATTCCAGACTGCTGTGTCAGTTTGGATGTCTGCACTTTCCATTCCTGCAGTGATGTGGTACGGCCTAACTCTAGGTTCCCGCTGAAGCTCATATTAGAGGCATAGGGCTGCCCGAATTAGTGTCTTACTCTCCATCATGCGGGTAGGGAATCCGCCTCCAACCCTGAAGACGATTGCTGCAGCAGTCGGGATTTCGTTCATTATCATGTTCTGTGTTGTAGAGGGCCAGAGAATCTACGTGTGCCTCAGTTCAGGGTGCCGTGAGTTCGAATCCACTGCGGTTTCCCAGCTTGTCAGTAAGTAGTATCAAAAATTCATATCCCTGACAGCACCGTCGCAAAGCATTTTTGGCGGATTCAGCAGACGCAATCCATTTTTCTGTCTGGCGTTCCTATTTTATGTTGAAGTCGCTAGCGCACTGCGTTGCTTACACTCATCACAGCAGACGGTTTGGCAGACTTCAGTTTGGTAGCATTATCTATATGGTCGTTGAGCGCGACTAGGCTGTCACGATCAAGAAAGGTTCTGATTCAGTCAGCATTCACTGCGTCGATGATCATTACCGTTATCACGATCATCCATTCGGCCATCCTGTTCACACAGGAGTCCTCTGGAATCCTCCTAATCGCACACGTCAAGGTACGTCTGTAGTCGGCTCTTACTTTTGTGTTACCTTTTACTTCCCTGTTCTGTGTAGGCTGCTCTCTCGTTGATGATCTGCAACTTGCTTGTCATTGTCACCTTTGTATACAAAGTATGTCGCAAGGGTCAGCTCGACCTCGAACGAGGGAACTCGGGAATTCAGATGGAGTTCACGACTATAGAGTATTGCCCGGGCACAATGACCACTGGGGTGACCGCGCCCGAGCAGCATGAGCGCTCGGGAGGTGCGACGGAGATGAGTGCAGGGACCAAGCAGAGTAGCGTAGATAGTGTAACCACATCCAGTAATTTGTAGTCAGAGAGACGGTGGAGGTTTTCCAGCCAGTTCCAAGTTGATATATTTATCGACGGTTTATTTGTGATAATAGAGTTCTAAGGCATGTAATGTTATATTGGAATTCAATGACACCATAGTAACCACAATGACCCACCATTATCAATGAGATCTGTTGGCGAGAAGACTGCTAGTAACCACGTATATCTGGGCCTGCTAAGACAGAGGTGGAAGTAACGATGCGGTGTGCACACGTTATCGTGTAGCCCGGGCTACACCACGATCGATCATCGATCATACACATGGTCAAACTTTCTGTATACCTCAGTCCGCTCGCGCTGACCACTTTCACCATCGGTGATGTTATCCCTGCTTACCTTGGCAGCGGTACGTCCGTCGTGTGCCCATTCACAAAAAACTGGTGTTCTCAACTCCACACAATTCCCCTGACATTCATCCGAGGCTTCGATCAACAAGCACTCGACAAGCCATAGCACTCGTCAATGGTCCTGTTGCTACATGTGCATGGCCTCAACCAAACATGATGTGCAATAGTCACATTCAACCACATGATCGAAGACCACCATTGCTGGGTCCCTGTGCGAGAGTTGAGTCCCATGGATTTCATGCAAGAAGACTGATCTCTTCTCTCTGCAGCTACATGAAGTCAGCTTTCATAGCATCACGTGAGTGCTCGCACTCACGTTCTTGGCCCAGTTAATCTGCGTTTTAAGTTCGGTGAGCTCGAATTTGAGGACAATACTGAATTGCTGTCTATAAAACTTCAAGCCCGCAAAACTGTAGTGCAGGCTAAATGTCTTGGGGACCTACGACGTGTCCGCGTAAATGGTGCATAGATTGGAGGACATCGCTAGTTCGCGAACGCGCGTAAGGGCGTAGATGTACATCTGAGTCACTACCTACCTGGCTCCGATCTGTCCACCAGGGGTTCTGCGAGTTTTCCCTGTAGCACATGATCTCCATCGCGTTGGTATCACATGGGACATCGCACGATGAAATCTTTCTGGAATTCTTTTGCTTCAGATTCTACTGTGCCCAATGTGCGACTCAGGGTACCAATATCGTCACAAGTGAAACTACTCCCACGACCTTGCGTAGTATGGCGCAGAATGCATTCGGAATCAATGTACGCCCTGAGGAACGAAGAATCGCGGAAGTAGCCCGCCGGAGATGTTCTTCGTCATTCTTGTTGAACTCTGTTGCATAGTGCGTTCCATACTTTGCCACACGACCTAAAACACGATGGTCTAGGTAAAAAGCAACAACTCCCCTCACCACTGCTTTGTTTCTGTCCGTAAAACGGGGCAGATTATTGACCCATAATCAAGTGGTCAAGTATCTTAAGAAGCTTGCATGTGGCTGTCTAGTCGGCTGAACTGGAGTCCTAATGGTTCCAGGTAGTCCTTCAAGCTGGAGAAGAGCCAGTCGCTTCCACCGAAATCACCGACAAGGAAGACACACTTTAAAGCTTCAGGAACCGGCCCAGCCCAGTAATACCTGATTTACGGTTGCCCAGGAAGTTTGAGCTGCCCGGATGGGATGTTATATTCTGGATCTCTGTCTCCCACAGTCCCGAAGTGGATGAAAGACGGATCGTTTGAATTGCTGGACCAAAACTTCGTGGTCTTGTCGAATACGTTCATCAGAGTGATGTATTCCTCTGTTCCGAACCGAGAACCATGCAACTGCTCTGTTAACTACGTGGGGTGCGTCCAAGCAGTCAATAGGGGGTTGGCATTACCCTGCAGGTCTTGTCCAGCAGGTTGCGTGACACGAAAAGACCCTTGCAAGCGACCTGCAACGCGTGCGTGAGCAATGTATGCATCCTTACTTGGAAGGCGGCCTGATAAGCTCACATTCTGCGGGGGCAATTTCGTGCAGGGTTGGTGGAGACTCAGATGAGGTCACATAGTAGGAATTGATGTTGATTGTTGTCTCTCCAGTATCGATGGCCTGCGCCATCGTGGATACTCCTCGATATTGGTAAATGGTACTTTGCCATACCATGAACCCGTCTGCGGGATTTCCTAACTCTGGACAGCAGCACAAACTTGCTTCGCCCTCAGTGGCGAGTCGAATTCTGGCCTGCCCTTCCGGTATATCTGGCACGGGTCCAGCCTGCGCTGCCGCCTGGCGGATCTTGGCTTGTTGTGGACCTTGCCGTTCTTTAGGATGGCTAAGAACGAAATCAGTATTGTCTCCGAACAACGCCCATATATCCGGCCTGCACGCATGGTTCTCTTCTATATGCATCCTCGTACACTGAAATAAGTAGTCCGGGAAGTTGGCAAGGACGTCTATGGCGTTCCTGAACGGTGGAAGCGGTGGTAGGTCCCACACATGGAAGGACGGTGTGTTCCTAGGACATAAGTGAAGTATCCACAGGCTGTACTTGCACTTCAGCAGGGATAGCATAATGCATATTGACTGGAGATGTTACCATTCAGTTTTCACCCACTCCTCGGAGGCCGCGTGTTCGACAACTGTTTCCTGTAAGCTTCCGCTCCGAAAGCGCGCAGGTTTCTGTGCTTATCGTAATAAAACGATATTAGGATATGCTCCATGAATGGAAAACTTCTAGTTTCATAAGCTCGTATGGTCATTGAAGAGAAGTCTCCCCTGACCGTGTTACATTGTGGATGACTGGTGGGTCACCCGGGCCGAGAATGCTGTAAGAAGCACTTCTGGGCTTCGTTCTCTGTACGGCCAAGGCGAGCACACGTTTTCGTGTAGTCCCCGCGTATGGCTATCGTTCAGTCATGGTACGTTCAATGGACCGTCAGTCATCGAGCGCTACGCCCAGTACTTAAGGCTGACATGCATGACACTCAATTGGTTCTATGCCTTTTGTGCATATACCCTCGACAGCACAGACGTGGTCTACCTCAGTAACCCGGGTACTCTCCCACCGAGGCAAAGCGCGTAGAGCAGATAGGTCCATCCTATGACTCTACCTCCACCATTGTAATTTTGGAAGTCTCAAAGCGCGATCTATAGTACCACGACACAAACCACGTATTTTCGTAACAATTCCTAAGTCACAACCTTTGCAAAAGCGCAAAGGCTGCCAGCACATCATTAGTACTACATCAATAACAATACAGCATGCTACGTGAACGATGTTGAATGTCCACTATGGTTGCAAGGTGATCGTTGAAGTCGTTCTCATCTCAGCATTCTCATCTGGATCCAAAGAGTAAAGTGGAAAAAAGTATTCAAGAGAGGATTTTAACTTAGAAGTCCTCCTCGATCCCAGCGGGGCGCTGGAGCCCGGCCACATTTACACCAGGCAGAGGCCACTTGCGGGCGAACGTGACGACCTCGTGGCGGAGCTCCTTCACCATCTTGGCACCAACTTTGCCTTCGGTCTCGGTCGTGGCAACGCGGACGAAGTCTTTGAGCATTTTAGTACCAGCCTCCTTCTGGAGAGTCATAGAGAGCTGGATGGCACGGTGAAGGAAGTTAGCCACGACCTTGATGTCTTCCTCCTTCATGTTGCGTGAGGTTAGCGCAGATGTGCCAAGTCGAATACCCCCGGGAGTCTGGGCAGAAGCGTCTCCAGATACTGCGTTTTCTGATGCGGCATCTTCAGTCCACAGAAAAAAGCGCATACGGAAAAAGTCTAGGAACGTACTGTTGATCGTGATCCCAAGGAGGTCACAAACTTTCTCGACCTTGCTGCCTGTCAAACCTAGCGGGCGGAGGTCCCAGAGTACGAGATGGTTGTCAGTTCCATCTGTTTGAAGCTTGTACCCATGTTCGCGGAGAGAAGATCCCAACATCCTCGCATTTGCGATCACCTGACGTGCGTACTCCTTAAACTCAGGCTGAGAAACCTGCAGGAGTGCTGTGGCGACCGCAGCAATGGTCTGCGGATATACAAGATCAGGTTGCAGTTAGAAATAGAGGGATAATGATAATACGAACGTTGTTGTGGGGGCCACCTTGGCATGCAGGGAAAACGGCATCATTCACACGTTTCTCTAGATCTTCGTAGTTGGCACCGTCTTTCCTGAAGAAGATCAGACCCGCGCGAGGACCACGAAGGGTTTTGTGCCTTCACACGCACAGTCAATCTTCTCATGGGCCTGTGATCTTAGATGATTCAACACTCACGTTGTGGTTGTGACAACATCACAGTAATCGAAAGGGCTGTTAAGTTCTTGTGCGGCAATCAGACCACTGGTGTGAGCAATGTCAGCCATGAGATAAGCTCCCCCGTCATCACAGACAGCCCTGAGGGCCTTGTAGTCCCAGTCCCGAGGATAAGCAGAGGCACCACAGATGATCAGACGGGGTTTAAAAATTTTGGCTTGCTTGCGAAGACCGGCATAGTCAATCAGCTGCGTCGACGGATCCAGAGCATAGGGGAAAGATTGGAAGTAGATGGAGGAGGCAGTCATCTTCTTCTTAGCCGTCTGAAGAGGATGTAAGGAAGCGGCGCAATGATAGTACATGACCCAGCACGCACGTAGTAACCATGAGTGAGGTGACCGCCATCAGGAAGACCAAGACCCATAAGACGGTCCTGGGGTTGGATAAGAGCGGTCAGGGCTGCGAAGCTAAAGTGCTCGTGTCAGATCTTAGAGGGGAAGATAGACTGAAACCTGGCGTACTTTGCAGTCTAGGGAATCGAGCCGAAGTTAGTTCAAGTGCTACCACAATAAAAGGAATTCATTAAGCTTACACTACCCGAATAAGGTTGCACGTTGACGCCCCATTTTGCCGGGTCCAAGTTGAACGCTTTCAAGGCTCGCTTGCGACAAAGAACTTCGAGTTCGTCGATGTACTCGTTACCACCGTAGTAGCGAGCACCAGGGAGACCTTCCGAGTACTTGTTAGTGAGGATCGATCCGTTGGCTTCCATGGTTGCAAGACTGGTCAAGTTCTTGGCAAGATGTTAAGGAATCGATGCGAAGTGAGAGGATGAGAGTACCTCTGAGGCGATCAGTTCAAGGCCGGTGAACTGCCTCCATGTTTCCTTGTCGATGATATTTTTTACCTCTGGGTCGATCTCCGCAAGAGGTGCATACAACACTTTGTTCTGGAGGGCAAATCAGCGGGCAGAGCAATTGCAAGCCAGCTTAGACATACGAAAGCAGGGGTATTTTCGGTTGCCATTTTTCTGAGATGAGCGAGGGCACCGAAGTTTCTAAGTGTTGGGGTGAGGGGACGAAGCAAAGGTCGCGAGAGACTAATATGCAACATTTTCTGACAAGAGTCTTAAATTTTCGAGAGGTTAATTATCGCCCGGATAAATCCGATCTGCTCCCTGTTGACGTGGGTGTGTGCGAGAAGCTCTTGTCGTGCAATTCAAACACGTATGGTCTCGGACGAGTTCAAATGGTGAAAGACAAATGTTGCACAAATTTATACGCTCTCACACGAGTCGGATCCTGTGTGTGGTCCAGGGAAAATTTACATCATCGGTTAAATAGTCACGGAGTCAATGTGAAACCCCTGCGCTTCCAGCCTCAGGTGGGATGTTCGCAGGTTCCAAGTGTCGCATTCTTTGCTTGCCTGGAGACCGAAGGAACATCCAGTTTTGCAGAAAGTCATTAGCCCCTATTTCGATTGCCGGGATAAATAATCACCCATTTCGTTAGACAGAAATTATTTATTAAGTAAAAAAAAAATTAGTATTTTCGTTCGACGCTGTGGACGATGGCGGACGCGCTGAAACCACCGCTGCAGTCGACGGTGCGACCATCTGACCGCGAACCGAGTCAGGACGACTTGGAAAAGCTCCGTGCTTGGCACGAAGAGCGTCTCCAGCGGAAGTTGCGTGGCGAGTACGAAAGCCAGCAGCTGCACCTGGGAGAGCTGGTGAGTGCTTTGTGTCTGACCTGACGCGGTGTGTGTCCCCGCTGAGAGTCCGTCGCCGTTGCAGGTGAACGACACGCTCGACTGTCCTGTCCGAATAGCCAGTGTCAAAGTGCATGGCGCAACGCACACCAGCGAAACATTTCTTGACTGGCTCATCCGCCCGCGTCTCACATCGCCCGATGCCCGCTCGACGTTACACTCGGTTCTCCAAACCACGCGCAGCATTTCGCACTCGCTTTCGGCCACAGACCTTTTCCGCACCGTATCTGCACGCATAGAACGCTCCCCACAAGGTACACCCGGCGACGTTGACCTCAATTTCACCGTGACAGAACGGGGCCGTTTCTTCGTCAAGACTGCAACGGAAATCGGGAACTGCGAGGGCACTGCCGTGAGGTTTTACGCTTGCACACGTCTTCTTATTCACTCACCCACTGGTAGTCCATCACCGCCCGCCTCACTAATATTCTTGGCCGCGCAGACACTTTCGCCTTTAACTCATCTGTAGGGACGAAAACTAAACGCGCTTTCGACGCATCTTTTTCATTACCCGTCTCCCCTTCCCTTAGCACTACTGCTTTCCTCTCCCTTACTGGTGCAGACCGTGAACTCGGCGTACAGGGCGGGTTGGGCCGGGAGGAACGCGTTACGATCAAAGCTGGCCTACGACATGGCGGCGATGGTTTGGAGAGTGGTATGCATGAACTTACTGCAGAGGCTCTCTGGCGATCCATTGGCAACCTGGCCCCTGAGGCAGGTTTGGGGTATGTAGGACATCTGGATTACTCTCGACGGGGGTACTGATCTCCTTGCCTTCCCTTTGGCACCTCGACGTCGTTATTGCTCCGTCAATTACGTTTGTATGCTAGCATCCGCCAATCGGCGGGTCCTGCCCTTAAAGCTGCTTTGGCACATAGGTGGACCCTCAACATGCTAAATGACCATATCACACCATCTAAAGGTGCGCTTATGCGCATCACCAACGAGCTTTCGGTCACAAAGCGCATACCGCCAAGTCCTTCCCTAGCGTACACTACGTCCTCGTTTTGGAGTATAAGTAGCATAGGGAATGATGGTGACATGGGCGAGGGGCCAACAGCGTTCTGGAAAACCGAAGCTGAAGCGAAACGTGGTTGGGCCCTTCCAAGAAGTTCGGTGAGTGTAGCTGCTACGCGGGTTTCACGTACCGAGCGCCCACGTCTGTTGCCTTGCTGATCCTTGCCCCAGACGCTGACGCTCTGCGCTCGCTCTGGCCTGTTGCAAGTTCTTGCAGGCGATAGCGATAGCCTCCACTGGAGCGACCGCTTTCAACTTGGAGGGCCGCTCAGCGTGCGCGGTTTTTCAGCGGACGGCATGGGCCCACGGCAAGGCAGTACGTATCTCTGTCCATCCTCAGTACCTGAACCCAGGGTAACGGCCCTAACTTTGAATACACTACCTTAGCTACTTCTCTCGGTGGAACTATATACTACGCACTTGGCCTCTCTCTTCTCAGCAACATTCCGATGCGACCTACGTGGCCCATAAAATTGCACACTTGGGTTAACGTGGGGCGCTTGCAAGACCACAATCAGGATGGTGAGTTCGTTGGAATTGCAAGCCTTATCTTGTCATAGCTGTTCTGACATCGACTCTCGATCACTAGTGCGCTCCACCATGCACACACTTCTCACCCGTCCGTCGGTATCCGCTGGCCTTGGCCTCGTCTACCGCCTTGACCCTATACGTGTTGAGGCAAATGTCGCATTTCCTCTCGTCGCTGCACGTGGAGAGGGCCTCCGACGTGGCATACAGGTTGGGATTGGGTTGGAGATGCTATAGGGTGGTGGGACTAACGTATAGTATTTACATTATACATAACGATAGAATCATACCAATGCATACACACACTTATAACCGAACTTATTTGAGTCCCTTAAACACCGACCACGAGACAGGGGCCCCTGTCTTCGAGTTGGAGCGCAGGTGTGTGGAATCGTGCGGATGCACGAAAAGATTCTAGCAGCACCGTGATGTATGGTCCCAGATCCTCGGGGAGCTATAAATTACCTGTATACACGATTGTCTACTAATACACTTATAGCGAAGTGTCCAGAGTGCCCAGAAGGCTTCTGGAACATATATCCAGTCATACCCGAAATATGATAGTGAATGCAGGATGAAACTACCAGAATCACACCTCTCCCTCTCTTCGCGATGCTGAATGCCTTTCTCCATCTTTTGAACTCCCTCCATTCTCCAGAAGCTTTGGCGGTTTCGCAAAATGAACAACATTGACGGGTTCATGTGACTCGGAACCCCGGGATCGAAGATGCTGCCGAGTATTCGACGATGCTAGAAACGAGCTGGCGTATACTATTCAATAGTAAGATTGGGAGTTCCCAGAGAACGGAAGACTGACGTTTTCCAGCGATGAAGTCCAACGCTATTGCCCATGCAATTATGTCATCGGCGTCCTGAATAAAGTGTAAGAACGCCATAGTCGTCTTGCAATAGGTCATAGGTACCACAATGAGCCTCGCAATGATGACTAGTCTACCACAAAAGGACTAAATCAAGTCACCGTTACAAAGCAAAAAGGGATCAAACATACAAAGTCAGCAGACACCGGTTAACAGCATAGATGATAAGCGTATTTAACAAACACTTCGTTCTAAGTAGGGTTCATTAGGAAGGAACGACCGATACCGACTGGAGTCACCTTGGAATTGCGGAGTGCGAACCACTTCCATGCAAAAGTATGCAGAGTGACACCGTGAGCAAAACCTCTGCTAAAACGACGACAGACCCAACAGGTACTGCAGTGTAAAACTAAGAATAATGATCCGTGAGCCACTGCACCAGTTTCTCTGTTAACGAAACTACCCTGATGTGCGAGGCGAAGCTGAGCGTGTTATTGACGAGTCTACATGCGGAGATAAGTATTTTAGCGGAGGTGTTGAACAGAGTGGGGCACATTTCAATAGCTGTCGCTGCTTCTTGTTAGAATGGGTCTCTCGGTGGAGGAAAAACAATGCACAAACCTATGGCAAGCCCTGTCGAAACATTGTTATAATGCCTCATGAGTGCAATAAAAAAACTCACATAACTCAGCTAGTACTAGTAGCATCTATCAACATCCTGTCACTGGATAATACCTTTGCCATCACAAGTAAATGTACTCACAATTGGTGCGGTCACCAACCACCTCGGTTGACGACGACATACTGAATGCCAATCAATGATGACTCGAGTTGCAGTTCGAGTGTGACATACGGCAATATATCGTATGCGCAGAGAAGCTGGCGACACTTGGTTTAGGAGCGTCAACCCGCAAAGAGGGCCACTTACAATTGAACTATAATCAGAACAAGTGTCTGGAGTAGGGTTAGATCCTATCGCAAAGTTTAGTGAGATGAAAGAACGCACATTCACCAGAAGCGACGCCTAAGCAGTGAAACACTCTAATTCGGTGCCTTGTAGGAAAATGGGTGTACGCACTGGGAATGACCTGCTATTTCTCATCAGCGGGAAGCACCTTTGAAATGGACAACATACGAACCACACAATATACTCCAAACTCAACAGATCTCCGTAATTGGTTATCTGCAGTGGTTGAGTTACGAGGGGTAGAAGCACCGGTTTCACCAGGTAGTAGTACAACATATGGCACACCAATCGAAATTGGTCCTGCATTCACCTGGACGTACTAATACTCGCTAAACGAGACATGTAACGTATCGAGGATCCTGAATTCGCATGAGCAGGTTTGATGGCTACCCCTCGGTAGCCTAACTCACCATATGGCAGCGACGGCAGACTTTATGATCGACGAGTCCTCAGAGTCATGCATGTAGTACACATAAGCCTGTATAACCAGTAAGCAGATCGTGAGCCTTTACATTTCGTATAAAGCGCCCCTGGAGAGTCGTTATGCCATACAACCTTTAACGGGAAACGTGAATATCAGAGGGAAAATTCCGCAACGCAATACGTACATGGCAGAGACCAAACCCCCGATGAGTGTGGAACCTATCACGAACGTATGAGCAGATGATTGCACTGCGTTTGGCTATGAAATGTCTTCACCGAACCCGCCAGGGATGCCCATGTCGTTTGGGTAACTTGTAACGCAAACGAGGGTGGAGAGGGCGTATTGACCTGACAATGGAGTAATCAACTCCTCTTTTCTAAAGGATGAAGGCTGTATCGATATGATCGGGAGAACTTGATCCATCAAGCTTCGAAGATGACCGAAATTCCAATGGCGATGGCTAGCTCGGATAACGATAATGCCCCCATTTTCGTAGGGGCACTGCGTTTCAGATGGTCTTGGACTGATATCAAGCCTTCAGACTCATCACCCGTACAGACGTCGTGATCATCAGATACTACGCGGCGGCGTGCCCTTCGAATGCCAGTGATGGCTCGATGTTCCCCTGAAATCACTCACGAAATACACTTCCCATGTGTGAGGTTTTGAAGAGAATAAGGATGTTGTTCGTTGTAGGTCTACCGCTGGTGACTTTCAGTATTCGCCCTCCCTCAGGACGAGCACCAGAAGAAGGCATGTACGCGAAATTCTCCAGTGGAATACTTACTTTTATACAAAGTTTTTGAGCATACCGGTAAGATAGCGCGGGTAATCACATTATAAGAGGCCCCTTCGAGGCGACGCACATAGTAAATGGGTACATTTACATCTCCATGCCATCGTTAATCATTCCATCAACCGTTCGCTTGGACAAACGGCGGCACACGAGCCTTCGCAAAAATTCCATGTTAAAGCAGCCGAGGAACGATGCGAGCGTGCTCACCGCTGAAACAAATCCAATGGGCTAGCGTTCGGCGTTGTAGGCGCCTCCTCCTGATTTCTGGATCCCGTGATTGGCTGAATGGGGACCCAACAACTTAGTGGACTCGTGCCTTCCTCGTAGCTCGCCTGAGCGACATACAGCAACAACCCATCGGAGGGAATTTGACTGGTGATGATCTTCGAAGATCGTAATTCGATAGGATTGTAGGCTGTATCGATCGACATTGCAGCCGGTGAAGATGGTTGGAAGGGCGTCGATGTGGGTATTTCCACCGAAATCTCTCGCGTAGAACGAGCTAATGGTATGATAGACGAGAACAAAGTTCGCCATGTCGTGTCTGAATGATAGGGGATAGGGATGAACGATGTAGGATATGGAAACCTGTAAGAATCAGGTTGTTGCGCAGGTTGTGCTTGAGCTTGGTCGTTCGCAAGTGAGAAGTGGAACACGGAGGACGGTGGTGAAAATTTGGGAAGCTCTGCTAGCCGTGTGTCCCTCCACCACAACCTGAAAACGAGAATCTACATAACGACAACCTCGGCATATGACACGAAGACGGACCTGAACGGAGTTTCGCAATCTGCGACGTCCTGTCCTTTCCACTTGATGACATCCAGCACGTGTACGATACCATTTTTTTTCCAATTGGTATCAAGAATGCAGTCCAAGATTGTCAGCGGTGGTAGTGAGGAAGGAAACCGAGGAAGTAGCATCTTCCCCAAGAGGCGGGAACGAAGAGTAGTGTTTGGTGCTATACGAAGGTGCTGAGTCTCACTGGAGAGGGGACAAGAGAATGAGAACTTACATATGCCAATTACGCCAGCAGCCGACTGATGTGTTACTGCTAAACATCGCTTCCCAATGGGAACAGGCGCCACTGCGACCCAACCTTGCTCCATGTCCGATGGAAGACCGTCGTCAGGTTCACTCTTACCGTCACCCCACACATTGGGATCTTCCTTCATCTCGAGAAGTTCCGCATACATGCATTTATCGGCCCATTTGCTAGGTTTGGCTTTGGTCCTTTTCCGTTTGTTCTTATTCCGCTTCCTTTTTGGTTGAGTTATGTCTTCCATCTGCTGTTCCTGCTCTTCTGGGGGTTCCAGGGTTGCTGGTTGTTTCGCCAAGGAAGCATAACCTGCGATGCCCTCTCGAATTATTACGGATTCGTCGTCAACGTCTTCGTCTCCTTCATCATCAGACGGGCCGAGACTCAGATCTGCAAAAGCATCTAGATTTCTAGCGGTGTCAAATTTCTGAGATCTTCTCTGGATTACCGAACATGTGAGCAAGAGCTGCGCTAAAAGACTCAGCATGGTCTCACACACTCGTTTCTGTTCTTCGAGAGCCTGCATGAACCCCTGTCAGGAACATGATCGACAAGGAGCACAGCGTTGATCCACGTACTTTTATACGCCTCACCTCTTGAGACACAAGTCGATCTGTCACGACTGTGGGCGGTACTTTATACGAAGCTTTTCTATCTGCGTGAGCCAACATGTTTTGGTGCAACTCGAGGAGTGTTTGATCGATCCTGGTGTGTTGTCCTTTGGCCAAACAACTCCCACGTGCATCGGTCATGCATACTTCCAACAAAATTACGACAAGGGACTGGGGGTTTAGTAGCCCTAAGTGAATTCGACGAGCTGGACCAGTACTAAGTAGACGAGAGATGCTTCCTGGTGCCACACGAATATCGCAGCGGGCTACCGTCGTTCCGCGCCTTTCCCCACCCCAATGAGATGGTCGTGATGAAATATGATTGACCACCTATTCCTGTTTCTCGCCAGTGAACTACAACTGCCCTACTCCTTTCAAATGCTCGGTCAAAGGCAACAACACTAGAGATAAGTACGGAGGATTACATTTGTGGTTAACGTTACAGAAACTCTATGTAGGGTACCAGTATACTCCCACCTCCTTGAAGGTACAACGAACTGCAGGGTATGTTTCCTTTGAATGCAACCAATCATTCAAGCTTCGCCGTCCGAGGGTCAGCACCCAAAGAAGCTCGAAGGTTCATGACTCCACCGGCAACTGAACTGAAAGCATGGGCGTAGAAATATGCAGCATGCGAAAGAAGGGACTGTTCCAGCAGTGCCAGCACGTCTGTCAACATGATCGCCCACCCGAACTCTCTACGGTCTTCGAATGTGAGAAGGTCCGATATAAGGATTGCACCTTGTTCCCTGAGATACGCGAGATTCCCTGGGTCTCGCTCGTCCGTTGCGATGTAGAATCTTCAACAAGTATGAGTCTTTGTTGTTTTCAATGGCAACCAAGGTGTAACTGACTTATCATCTGGTAATGGCGGGTCCAAGTAGGATAAAGAAGGGTCTGGTTTGGCGTCGGGAACGTCATACGTAGTGACATTTCCGCCGTGGATGGACTCCAATATGTGGCGACCCTCTTCTAAATGCATCTTAACTCGTGCAAGGTGCGCTTTGAAATCGGCCTCCATTGCCCACTGCAACCGAACGACTAAAGAAGCAAGCAATCAGCCAATTCCAACGACGAGATCTTGGTAAATTCACGCACAATCCCCTCTGCGCATGTGGCCAGCCATCCAGAGACGACCATCATTAATCGCCAACATTCGGTCTCTTAGTTTCCAGGCCAAATTGATGACGTTTTCCGTGAGTCGTATATCATACAACACAGTCTGCGTAAATCGTGCTCGATTATCTGCGGTAGTGAAGAACAGACTTCCCTGCAACAGAAATCAAAATGAATGATCACAGTAGGCGGCGAATTACACACAGGCTTGCGAGTCCAGTGTATCTCACCGCGGACGAGGAGAACCTCAGTCGAAATTTGGCTGAAATCCTCGTAAAGACCTTGTATCCGTTCTCGGGGGGCGGCTTCGAGGATAGGTAAGGCAACATCTTTAACGGCGTCCATTCCGGCACTTGGAGCGCAACTTCAGAGAAAACATATTTGCACTGGAAACAGCCACTTACGCGCCGTCGTACGTGTAGAGTGCTTCAAAGCCATTCTCTTTGAGGACGTCCTGCACCTCTTCGTCTGAGGACTGGGACGTGATTCGTTCACCATCCTCCACAATCATGCGAACATCTTTCCAACTCAAGACAGGCCAACTTTGGGACGGCACATGATCCATTAATGCATGGTATAGGCTCGTATCGGACGTAGTGTTCCATGATCCAATTTGTGCACGAGAGCTGTCACCCCCTTCGGGGGTCCATCCTCCACGCTCCCGCATGTCGTCCGGGATACGGTCCACGCGGACAATCTCACCGGGGTCATACCAGTCATTTTCAATGATGCGGAGGCTGGGTTTACGCTCTCCAGTCGATGATATGTGATGATATGCTTCGGTATCCCAATCGCCGCGACCTGTCTCGACGTCCGCGGAAATGTTATGTAAACGAAGAAATTCGGAGACTGTGACGACAGGATGAGTCTCTCGAATGTGTGTTAGATTGAACATCAGTGAGATGGGTATCCTCCAAGCCATTTGCTTTTCATATGGCAATAGCCGCCACTCGTCGGAACCGACAGCATCACCCCGGTTGACCATGGTCGCCCATGCAGCGCAAGTGTGACTTCAAAGACGATCAATCAGTATGGATGCACTACGCTCATATTCCAAAATCCAAATCGCGCACATATCAAACTCGCACGCGCGAGCGTAAACAAACGAGGGGATGATGCTCGTTCTGTTTAATATACGCCCATGAAGCAGCGCGGTCTCAATGATGTACCGCATCTGGGAAACCATGGTGAGATGAGCGAATCTGGCCATCCTGACACACGTACATTATTCCATCCTAACCATAGACTGTAGTCACGAGCGTAGAAGCCATTGGTGTGAGCCACCATTTCTTGCAGCGCCTCAAGGTCTATCTGGGTTGTCGGGGGAGGTCTCTGCGAGGATGCAGCGAACGCATCGTCCGGTATAACGAAGACAGAATCCGGGAGGTTCTCCTGGTATGATTTGAGGGGTGGGCCAAAGCTGCCTATTGTCGAAAGACCAAAACCTGCCAGGATACCAAATAAGATGGAGGCTGCAATGACATTTATTTTAGGTGTTTGTGTCGAACGGGAGAACGAAACCATGATTAGAAGAGAGTATTTAGATGCTGAAGAACAACTGGCGGCAGGCCTGGTGGCCCTTAGTTGCTAGTGAATAGCAGGGGAGCGAAAGACATATGAAGCGCCGACGGTGCAAACTCGGCCTTGCTTGACGATGTGTGTATATATGAAGTTCTATTTCTAGTGACGTGGAACGCCGGCTATGCAGCGTAGCTATGCGACTCAGTACTCAACGTTTCAACCATGTATTTACGCCAGAGGATCCGTTGCAACACAAAATCTACAACGAAGCATGTATGTTCTCGCAGATTCCGGAGGACATCGGTGAACACTGCTCAGTACTTAGTGTCGACGTGGGCGCCGGACTAAAAGCCGCATCTTAACCTCTTACACTGATTGCCGATTAATATCCTATTCCTTCCCCATCTGTGTTGTGGACTGTGCGATCTGCTGCCGACCGCTTTTCCAAGAGTGTTTCATCGAATGTTCATCTGTTCATCAAGCTGCCTCTTCAAGACGTCCCTCATTTTCCCTTGGGCCACTCCGCGACCAAAGCAGATCAGCTGAGCCGCATTGGCACCATCAAACCCCACCTTGAAGTTAAGACGCAACGAGTCGCAACTTGGGGGGAATGTTGGTCCGCAGGTCAGCGCACTCACGAACTGGCCACGATAGGTCATGTTGCATCGCAGGTATGACGCTATTGGGACTGCGCTCTTTGGTCTCACCAGCCATGGCCCTCGGTGAAAGAGCATCTTTTTTGCTCTCAGATTCTCTGCTACATATACGAACAAAAAGGACAATAGGCGAAGGATCTTGCTAAGCTGGCCTCTGACTTCCCTCCTTAGAAACTCTGGCTGCTTCAGGCATGTATTAACATAGACCAAATTGCAAGGGGTCTCCGGCTTTCCGTATCTGATGCAACCTCTCCTGATGCCCTCCACGATTCCAACTAGGTGAATGTCTGCGAGTCTATGGCGCGTATAGTTCAAGGTCTGTTAGCGCTATTCGATCACGCTTTTCTAGCCTCCTCGAATGTCGCATGATATTTCAGCTGGATGAATGTCATGCTTGTGCGAACCTATGATGCGGATGCACGAGGCACTCCACTTGAGCATACAAGGCACGGTCGTTATACAGGTCCTCGTGCTAGATCCAGCCTACAACACCAGGTATACCTTCTGGCGTCCGGTCTATCTTTGCGAGGCTCGTAGAAGCAGTTTATGATTTGTCGGGATCAGCTAGCCTTTCGTATCGCATTCTAATTTGCTGAAATTACTGCGCGGAGATGAGTGAATACAATTCCAAGGTGTGATGGTGAAATCAATATCTGGCGGTCCGATAGTCGGGTCAGTCTTTGTTTGTGTCCTAGCTTATCTGACGCCCCCTCTTCTTTCATTACTTTACTCTGAATAGATCAATTTGTCCAATGATACCAGCCCCTTCTGCGCAGCTCCTCAGTGTAGATCATGCGACGCGACCGTATTAAATACTGTTCGGGTTCCGTGAGCTAATACCCACTACGACAATGCTAGAGAGCACAGTCTAAATTATTCAGTGCTCACCTGGGATACGATAAGTATTACTTCTCCTACCATTAGTGACATATCGGAGATCAATCTTACCCGAAAGACCCAATTGGGCTAGGCATGTGCCGCTCGTTGCTTCTGATTCCAAGGTCTTGTCAATTACAGACTCACTTGGTTCACATCGGAGCATCTCGATCGTGTTATCCTGCCTCTCGTGGTCATTTCGATTTCATGCCGCCAATTAACAAATATGTAGGTACAGGACTGGTTCGCTGACCACGGCTAGAACCGCTTTGGCGGTGTGACAATTGAGCGGCTTGTGCCCGCAATGGGGAGACGAGAGTGGACCGTCATGCTTCAAGGACGCAACATCTTGCATCGCTCTCATGACCGAGACGACGATCATGCATGCCCGAGATACAGACAATGGCCTGCGCCACTTGGGCTCTGCGACACCTCGTGCATCATGATTGAAGGTACACAGCGACACATGAACATATTCGTCAAGACGAGTATCATTCCGTGAAAGTGGCTGATGGAAATGATCCCAATTACTTATATGCGTGCACCCAACACGACCGCGTCTGATTTGTTCCGCAGACTCTCTGGCGCAGTTAGTGGAACAGTTCCTCAGTGTGCGACACTTGTGTCTGGTTCAGCAGCCCTCCATGTGTCACTCCCTGCGCAAGACACATACTGCACTCTCTCCGATCTTGGCCCATCTACGTCCCTCTGCACTCTCTTCCCCAGTTGCAATTCCTCCTTGTACGGGAAGGATACAACACCGTTCTCGAGAGCAACAGGAACTCTTCCTCTTCCTCGCCCTCCATCGACGTCGTCGTTTCTAGAAACTGAATGTGCCCTCTCCCCCATTTTTCAATATTGTTGCACCGTTGTCATGAATTTCGTATGCTGATAGTGTTTTCAGCGCTTACTCCACACTCACTTTTAACGGCGCGGGTCTCTACATCATTCGCCCTCTCCGTGGCGTTGCCTCGCCATTTTCAGCACATTACGTGCGAAGACACCGATCACCATGGTACTGGTGTAGTTCTTGTGCGTTCCATACTAGACCGCGGTTACATGTGGATAACTTTCGAGACCGTCGCACCCCGCCATGCTTGCGCCTGCCATAATTTAGGTGGTTCCTCGTCACGTTTGAGCTTCCTTAGTACTTGTATAACCACTGACAAACTGGATGTTGATACTTCCTTTACTTGAATTGCCACTTAATAGTCCACCCTCAGCGTAACCGGGGGGACACAACATATCTCCTCAATGCGTGTATGCATGTCGTTGGATGAGCTTATATGTGCCCGCACCATCCTCATCTCCCGCCTGTGAATACACTCCCACATCCTTACACAAAGCACAGTACCAATGTAGCCAGACCCTTGTACAAAACATGGTTCTGACTTACGTAACCCCCCCTAGGGGTGCCTGAGGACTTTGGGTATCTGCACCCTGTAGGACTCCTGTCGGGCAACATTTCGTGGTGAGGTTAGTTAGCGACTCCGTTAACCATAATTAACTCCTCGGTCCACACATAACGAAGAACGACGCAATCGCACCATCGTGACATTCCAACAATCAAGAGATTATTGCCGTGAGGAATGTCGAGAGCCCAGTGTACGGTGGGGTTCAAGGGGTACCGACTAGCTCAAAAACTCCAGGGCCGATGGAAATATCTCGGAGAAGTGCCACTCGGTCCTAGTAGTGGGTCACTTTTTTATATATTAACGCCGCTGTAGAGAATGGATACCGATCTCTGGGTGCTATACTGTGCTACCGTGATTTGGCGATATAGCTTGCACGAGTAATGATAAACGACCCCAGTTGTCTCCCCTAGGCGATCCAAAGTGTCAGAAGTCAGCCTTGCACGCACTGGGAGGTGCTACGGACTTCCAGAATCGAAGTATTACACCGCACCGATCGCCGCAACATCGTTGCGAAGAAACGTACTTATGATCGGTCTTACAGGTGACCTCGGAATTCACGGAAGGTGGCCAGGGACGACGTCCCTGCGGTATTTTCGGGGATAGTATGGAAAACAATAAGCTATCTGAAGTTCTAGGGTGATAAAAAAAACGTCAGCCCGAAGACCAGGTGGTTTCTGAGCGATAAACTGATAAGGATATGAGCACCACCCTTACCTCGACAAATATAACTCCCAGACTAACGTCCGCTCTGTGTGCCAATGACGGAGATCTAGAAGGGCTCTGTAGAAACGCTGTCATGAGCCAAAACCTAATTAATAACGCGATTTATGCTGTCGAGATTCAGGAAGAATTGCTCATATTCTGAGCTCTGAGAGTTTGAACCTCTCTCCAAAAGGTGTAGAGTAATTCACCCAATGGGGACAACAGCGCAGTATGTGGTCACGCGGTAGCCTTTGGAGACGCCCATGCTCCTGCGCAATGGCTATTGTGGCTGCCGCGAGGGTTAAACCAGGTCCGGCCCAATGATGTGGTACGAGCGCCTTCAACTCTACGTGATCTGGACCGCAATCAGGACACAACAGACGTTCTCTTGTTCTACTCCCAGTGGTTCCGCTGAACGTTCTTAACAATTAGTTCTGCTCTAGCGCCATCTTTAGAGAAAGCGTTCCTAAGGACCTGCTATGACAGCATAACTTAACAATGAACTCCTTACAATCACCGTACAAATTTCTCCTTCCCACTGAGGAGCAATTGTTAGTCGGTTCCGTATTTGCACGTCAGGGTAGGCGGAGCAGTAACCACTCGAAACAGGATTTAGGAACCCTAAGGGGATCAATGAAGATACTGAATGGCATCTTTGACTATGCACGTGCACTTGAGTTTTTGACCTTCGGACGCCACCAAGGTAAGGGAACACAGCATATCCATACATACGCAGCATCGGCGATTTGGCGACGGCGATTGAGGGCACAGTCCTGCCTATTATGATTCCTTCTGTGAGCGGGGAGGGATCGGTTCTCAAGTGTATCGAGGCTACCTGATCTGAGGTGGCGAGGACGATGCACACATTAAGCTATAATGAAAGTGCTTGCTTGTGAGCGCGATGATCAGCGCAAGCTTACATACTCGTATGAGGCACTTGCGAGTTCGAGATCTACCGAGACTGGACTGTTACATAAGGACAAAGACGGGCTCGATCTCCTTTTCGCGTCTGTAAATTTATAGAAACCGAGATAATGATAATGCCAAATATCAAAAATGAGCAATGGCGACGATACCAGCAAGTAATGCTCACAAGTCCAACCGTATGAAAACCTTCTAACTTCAACTGGCTACCATTTTGGAAAGACAGGTCAGGGAAGACGACAGGTCGGAGAAATCCGTGCTTTACATGTACGTGTACGAGCCTTCAAGGATCGACATAGCGGGGGAATGTCAATCACGCAATCCACTAGTCCCATCATCGATCAGGTCATGTCATCAAGGAATCCAGAAGCTGTCAGCGTATCAAGATACATACATATCTCCACAACGTCCCAATTATCGTGTCCGAGTTGGGCAGATAAAGTGGGTATGGTTTTGTACGACCCTCGTAAAGCCATCACCACAATGCCTAACCAGAGAAAAGGCCAACGTAAGAAAATACAGGGATATATCGATCAATGATGGTCAAACCCCAGTGACCAATGCTAGCGACCTAGTGTTCCCGAGCGTGAGTCTTCGTTATTGTTTTCGGGCAGTCTCCGCGGCGAAACGAGTCGGCATGTTTCAAGTTTATGTATCACTGTGATGGTGATGTGCTGCGGGATTTTTTATTTTCAGGTCTGCACCGCGGGAGTGTCTGTTGTCGTGTGTCCACTGGTGGCGGTCAAATACGGTTACATACGTCACCAAGAACGTCTGACGGAGGATGCTCGTACAACTGGAGGATTCCAATGGAGTAAGTGAGTTCCAGGAAGGTAGCAACCGAAGGCTGAACGCCGTTGGAGATGAAAACTAAAACGGCATCTCCCGCGACTCTCTGAACAAGCTTTCATCAGAGTACACGTATGCATGGATGCCATATCAGCTGATACTTCCCCGTAAACACTAGTCACGGAACCCAAACCGGCATGAACACTCGGACCGATTTCTGCACCTGCACTTAGAGTTGCGCCATGTAGTACAGACCGATACGAGTGGGGGTGTTAGCATCGTAAACGTCGCCGTTAGGCTTTACAATAAACTTACCTTTGAAAAGTGTGCGAAACCGTGCTGCTAATAACAGAAGGGAAAGTGATATTTTGCCTGTTTCAGTTCAAGTCCCCGCTCACTACCCCCAAATCCGATGCTACTCGCAACAGCGACCCTTTGCTAGAGTCTGTTTTTACTTTCCAAGCCTGTCCATCAAACGGACGCCACCGTCCACAGCGGCTGAATGCTTACTTCATTTTTTGACGGGCACATGTGCTTCTATCCTTGCTGGTGCTTATTATATGTCAGTATCAGGTTGCTGTTCGCCACTCCGAGGGGTGGATCAGTGATGCATCGGGACCGGGGACCGCAGCACGCAGCAGCCTTTCTCTTTGAGTCACAGCCCTGTATCCATTACGACGCACCGTTACGGTTGGCTTAGGTGACCTTTCGAAACCATTCTCACTATCTGTCGACTGATGGGTACATATGGTTAATGAACATGTGCGCTAACGCGTACTAGTACATGTGGGATACAAGATAGTGTTGTATTCGTCGCTCCAGCTTTCATTGCATAGTGGATGGACTCCGACGAATCTATCCTATACTAGAACTAGCCTTGTGCCATCCCTTGCGGGTCCGTAACGAATTTTCGAACGTTGCTCGCAATCCTTCATTGACACAGGGACGCCTCGGTGCCCGATCGGAACCCTGTTTGCTCGATAGTGACTGGTTGATAGTATGCACTTCAAGCTCGTGATCGCACTGGATCAATCAGAAGACTGAATTACTGGTAATATTGCATTGTATTGCTTCTATGTATGCCAAGCATATAGCTGCGAGTAGTGCCAAGACAGGATGAATCAGAATTCTATATATCTACGAGAATGCATTGATTTGGTTTCGATGGACGGATATCTGAATGATTTCGGTGGGCGTATGAATGAACGATGAAGAGTGAGTTCTGTTTGTACAATGGCAATTGATCAAAAAAGCAAACGAAATGCGAAAGCGATGGATGAGAAAGATAACGAATGACCTGCTGTATTCATCGATCCGAATGAAGACGAATTCCAGGTATGTCATCCACTTTTTGATGGCACGAGGAGATAGGATACACGTAACCAAGAAGAGAAGCGACGGCAAGGGCAGCACATAGCGAAACAAGGATATCCAGGACGACGAACGGGAGGGACAGCGAGCAGAGCAAACGAGTCGGAAAGGAGCGTTACAAGAACCGAAGGTGTACAGATGTGTATATTCCCACAACAAGAGAATGGACGGATGGTGTACAGCCTGATAAAACGAATCCGATGAATGAGTGTAGTAAGTTGAAGAATCGAGTTGAAACTGAAGCGAATGTGATGGGCCGAGATATGGTCGATTAAGGAGCCTGGTATCCACAACGATGTGGATGAGACAAAACGAGCGAAATATAGTCCACACGACGAAGTCCGCAGGCCGAAGTAATAAATAGTTCACCGTCGTCGTCACTGACAGTGATAGAATGTGAGTGCCGTGCCCAGACGCTGCGCGAGCGTACGTCCATGTATCTGTACGGATCACAATTGAACCTACTTCACCAAGTTAAAATACGCCAGAAAGAATATACTGTTACTCACTTCTAAACCGTAAGCAGATTCCTATTTCTTCCAGAAGCCTTTCACAGTCCCCCCCCTTACGGCCTTCTGTGATGATGCAGGCAAAGGAAGTTTCGATGCACCAATGCTATTGTCGACCGGTACAACGCCGACTTTCATGTTTCCCTGTGTATCGAGAGAGTACACGGGAACTTTAATTCCACTCGTGATAGAGCGCACCGCTTTCGATGGCGGCGGAGATGCCATCTTTGATGGGGTAAGCGATAACTTTGATTTGGGTGGAGGAGAAACAGGAGGGCGGAAAGACGTAATGTTTACCGGAGCGTTGGCAGCCTTAGATGAACGCGGCGGGGAAGGCGCCCGACCGGCTAGCACCGAAGCAAGCTTCTTGGGCGGGGTGAACTTGGTGGGTGGAGGGACGCCACTAGCAATCGCCCGACTCGAGCTGCTCTGAATGGACTGGCCTTCTGAATGGGCACCAGGCACAGGTAACTTCGATCGCGTGGCAGGCGACGAAATTGGTACAGGAATCGCATTAGACCGCACCTTGATCGATTTCGGCTTGCTCGTCAACCTGAATATAGACTTGGTTCTGTTCGGCGTAGATATGTTCGCGGGCGACATGGGTGGGGGGGAAGAGTCCAATGGGTGAATCGATGGGGGGTCGTCTGCACCCAACTCAGGTACTGGATGAGCGTCGGATTGGAACGAAACACGTTTGCTTGGCGGTGGTGGGAGAAGCGAAGTACGGGAGGCATTACCATTCTGCAGATGGTTAATGGAAGTGGAACTCGAAGAGACAATGGTAGGGGAGGGTAACAAAGACGTCTTTGAGGCTGACGCTGCAGACGAAGGCGGTGCATTCGCAAGAGAAACTTGCGATGCGTTCCGAAAAGACGTCACCGTGCTCGCAGAACCGGGTATCGGCGGCAACATAGACTCAAGCATGTTCCCACGAGACGGGATACGCGGGATTCCAGACCTGGTAGTTGGAAGCGCTGGATGCGTCCCTTGGGACAGTAGACCACTGTGGGGATCACCACCGCCGGAAGCGCGCGTCGGCGACATGGGCAAAGGAGGTACCTCCTCGGTCGGGGAGGAAATGGATGGACGTTGACCCGAGAAGGACGCACGTGAGAGTGAAAATGACAGTCGAAGAGACGCGAGAGATGCCTTCTTGTTCAGACTCTTGTTCGGCTTGCATTTCTCCCTAGCACCCTCGTCGTCACTGTCATGTCTGACGTCCTCATCATAACTGGTAACCGCGGAACCGACACTTGTTGTAGTTGCCGATGGGTCATTGCGCCCGGGAGACAGCCGAGAGAGAAAATTTATGAATTTGGTACGGTGCTTGGGCGTCTTCAAGTCTTTCGTGTGCGACTTCTTTGCTTTGGGCGGCGTCCGCGGACTCAGGAACGAATTTGGTTTTCCCGCCTCGGACGAGACCGTTGTGGCGAGGGACCAGCGCGACTCCGATTGGACGCCTGACATGATCGCACGAAGGTGTGTTGATTGTGCGGGGACATGGGCGTCCCTCCACCAGCGCTGCGAATGCGATCAATGCGGGTCAGCAGAGCGTAAAACATAAATGTACGTACCAGGCACGGGGAGTCCCGTCGCAGATGATCGAAAAGAAGCCGCTGCTGGCGACGCCGGCGCTACAGTTGTAGCGGGCGAGCCGGGAAGAGCCATTTGCGTTGGCGAGGGAGGGCAGACCACATCAGCCCCTTCAGCGCAAGCCGATGCAGTTTCCGAGGATGGCTGTTCGACGTCTGAAGACGCTACAAGGGCAGCATTTTCGGGTAGGCAGCAAGCGCCAAAAGTGACACTAGCTGGTGACGCAGGGAAACTCGCATTGGGGGTGGTAATGGAGGTCTCCCGAGAGAACGCACACGAAAAATTAGAGAGAGTTGGAGAAGGGAATACGGAGTCCTTGTCGTCCTGTGGGGCAAAGAGGCGAACGTCCTGTTCCTGGTGCGGATAGACGTCTTTTTTCGCAAGTAAGTATCCATCCGGACACGCGTGTTCGTGTCGGAGCATCAAATCATGCTGCGACTCCCCATGCACAATGACAGACACGGGAAGGGGTGGTATGAAAACGTCTGGCGGGGCAGTCTGGTCAGAAGACAGTGTGCTCGTGAAGGAGGGCAGACGTGAAATTCGCATCGAGGACGAGCGGGAACGGAGTGCCCGCGGTGACATCGAATGTGATATGGAGGTTGCTGGCGACGGAGGGGGTGCGGGCAACGGCTAGAGATGCACGTTGGCATTGAAGCACTACGGAAAAAAGTGAAAACGAACCTTGTCAAGGTGCTTGCTTGGCGTAGATGGGGCAGATTGTATTTTGAGGTGGGCAGCCATTTCTTGGACGATAAATTTGAGGGCGCGTTCGCGTTCGCGTTCCTCGCGTTGGTCCTCTTCTGAGCGACGAGGAGACTGAGGAAAGAAAAGGGTGTCGTAGGAGGGGCAAGGCGTCTGAGCGGGGAGAGGACGGTGAGTCTGCAGATGACCGTGGGAGGAGGGGAGAGTCCGGTCGATCTATGGAGAATGTGCGGTGGGCCCCGAGAGACGAAGATGGCGAGGGGGACGGGGGTCTCGAGTGGGGGGCATTGGCGGCAGGGTCCTGCTCCGAGAATGCGAAGTCATACTGGTGTTCTATCCACGAGTGCACCCGAGCGTTGCGGGTGCTGGACGAATCAGAGAGCAGTTGGGTGAGCAGTTCAGTATAGGCAGCGTCGTCCTCTGACATGCTCTGCATACTAGCTAACATGTAGTACTAGTATATAGGCTGGGGGGGGCGAGAAGGGACAGGTTCGACGATCCTGGGCGGGGGCCCATTTTATCATTTTATCCGTCGACAGCTTTTTTCCTCTGAGAACCCAGAGAGGTAGCGAGGCACGTGGCATGCGTAGATCCACAACCGAGATTGAATTCAGATCACCGGTGCTTTGCCTTTTCCAGACTGCCCGCGGACCGTCCCCATCGCTGATGTAAGCAGATCCCCAAATCGATCAATATTGAACCCGACTCCGGCAACCGACGCCACGGCCACAATCGTTTTCTGGGACCGCCGCCCCGTACGGAGATCTGTGAGAGCCTGGTCGCCTATCAGTGCATCAAACACAAAATCGAAAAAGAAAAGACAGAATCTCCATCGCTACTCTACCATTCCATTAGACAGCTTGCCCAGCTGGTCACCAACACTAGTCTTTTTCGCCTACTATTAATCCGTTTCCCACATGCGACTACTGCCGAGTGCTACCGTAAAACGCCTTAACTAGCATAATATACGCGACACTGTTCATGTCCTGGAGTTCGGTGCCGTCCTCAGATCCTGGATCTCGACCTCCAACAAGGCAAATCTGCGTTCAGAAGCAACTCCACAACTGTGTGTACACCACGACGTTCCAGAAGAACTGCGAACTGAGTCCAGTGGGCCGCCCATTCTACTCCGACACGGCGGGAGGCCGTTAACCTACCCTTCGCCTGGGTATCCTAGGTCCCCGTCCCGGTCACTTGTTCTGCAAGGCACTTCTAATGCTTAGTACCATCGTCTCCATTGCGTTGTACGTTACACCTTGTTACACCTCCAGTTATACTTGTCTAGTTGTACGTACCTTCTTTAAGGACGAACCGCGTGAAGTTGGCCTGGTCTAGACGCCCCTACTCAGGGTTGAAATCCGACAGCCGAGTACTCCGCACGCGTACCAAGTTCCAAGCCAACCACTGTTTGAAACGCTGAGCAACTCGTCCATCATGATGGGCACTTATTATTACAGTAGCAAATGCGCGATTGCTGATATCTTGTGCACTGCTAATAATCATGCTCGTGCACTCGCGTTCACATACAAGAAACGGAGAGTGGATGTGTAGGAATTATATCTGAACGTAACGGTGCCTGCAAACACGGAAGTTGCAAGAAACAAACCTGTTTGCGCCACCATTCCATTTGACAGCACCCTCAATCCTCAATGCTTACCACTATTAGGATCCTGACACGCATAATATAACTAGATTATGTCTCTCGCGGCAGAGCACGCATACGCATATGAGATACTAACAGTATGGTGGTTACCAGCGACCACCTCGCCGCTAACCGATGTCAAAATGTCATTGATTCGTCAGTGATCAGCTGTGTCGGCGTCAGGAGGTGTCACAGAGGCCAAGTCTAGGTACTGTGCAACCACCTCTATCTCACAGTCTGCAAGCGCTTGGGCCGTGATTACGCCACGGTAATCGGATCGCGGGAGTACCTAGGGGTACGCGTGTCGATAGTATGAATAAGTCCAATCAACTCACGACGTGCGTACAATCCTTGCGTTCTCCAAGCTCCTCCCGTCTGATCCGGGTTTCTGTGCAAAACAACAGTGTGCGTATAGCGGAGTCGCATCAGTTGAACACAACAAAAAACAGCACTTCCACATGGCCATCATTCCACCTAGTGTGCCGTGGGGAAAAATACTGATGGCCAGCGCTGAACTTACCCTGTAAACCACAGGCCCAGAATAGTAAGTCAATGCAGTGTCTGAATTCTCCCCTGTCCGGCGTATGCAGGACACTACTGCAAAAGGTGAATTGAAATTGAGCACACTCACGTATGTACTTACGTTGAACATCCTGACGCACGTCCCCACGGGGTCAACTGGGTTCGATCAGAGTGCTGCCACGACATCAACAAACCTTATGCTAGCTTCGACTTACTACCAGTATCAGGTCAGTATTCATTTTGAAAACGCCGTGGCGAATACGATCGATTTACAGAAACTATACTTACTGCACTCACCAAACTGAGAATGAGATTATCGGTCGCGGGCGGTACCAGACAAGTCTATTGGCAGACAGCCGCTAACGCTGTTCTAATTCAATCCCACAGTTCGATTCCAGGTACCGAAAAATCCTATATTGCAATGCTTGGGCGCATTACCGCCTCCAGACGAAGCTGAGACAGAATGCAAGTATGTGCCCTTCTAGCTCGTACTTGCAAAGTCACGTTCGATGGGAGCGCCATCCTGGCAGGCACTGCACTGATGCAATATCACTCTTGTAGGTACTATATGCTGCAAATGGAGAAGAAGAATGGAATCTTCCAGTCAATCTGAACAATTAGAAAGGCTTACTGTAAGTCACTTACCTGTTTTGTCCACCGTCAACTTAGTACGGTCTCCTGTGTCAGACTGGCACTGACTTGAAAATGTCTGTTTTCGCTAATTCCTCTGTGCAATCCCGTTTCTGTGAAAGTTTTCTCTTGCTGACGGCTTGGGTTAGCGGATTCGGACGCTAAGGTGCAACGGACGTACTCGTGCAAATGACCCCTAACTCTCAACACTCAGCAGTGACGACAACGGCCGACTGGCCGTTGAGTGGCATTACGGCTTCTCGGTCTGCTAGGTGATGACATCACCATGTGTCCGTGTCGATGGTGTATAATATTTCATCCCCGCCAGTGAGGTGCTACAAGTGTCATTGTTACAGGCACCCATCTCGACAGTTGATTCGTTACTACAGGTGACATTCAACTCACAGTCTCGGGTTATCAGAACAGCGATAATCGATGGTGCCGCGTTTATCTTAAGTAGCAGCTCGACGTACTTTGCGTACATCGACCTGAAAGCTTACCGGCATCGCGGGCAGGATCTCGCACCAGTGGCGTGACCGTAGAAGGTAAGCAGAGGGCTGACATCGCGAGGATGCCGATTATTCAATCCTTTCTATCACCCCTCCCGACACTGTACCATTAATGTCTCTGGTCGACACTCACGCCGACACAGTTCTTGATCGGAATCTACGGGGCTTGCGTCACAGGAACTAGCCGAAGTAGGACAAAAGTAAACCTATTGAAGATAAATCTGATCGTGAAACACTGGGCAGATTAGCATCCTCATCTGGGACCAGTTTTCCTTGGAGAATATAGGTTTCGCCAGTGGACATATTCCCCTAGTCATACAATCACACGCGGTTTTTCGTTTGCAGCTCAGCACTCGCAGAGTCGTTTTCCCGGCACATCACGCAAGTTCACTTGCTATCTCTCGTACGACTAACAACTGTGATGGTTTGTCTCCCAGATAAGTCATTAATGTACAAATGCGAGGCGTAAGAACTCCAGCTCTACTTGGTAGTCACTTCAATATTCCGGAGAATGGCTTCCCCGGTACTTACCGTATTACCTCTTTCGCTATAGTAACCTGCAGCCAACTAAAGTTTTCGGGACGGGTGTTTTGTCGTCTTGACGAGGACACGGCCGCCATCTGCGGAACAATGACCATTGTCCACAGATACTATCCATTCACGTGTGCGGTGCTTGCGCTCATTCATACCATCGTCTGTGATGCCCACTGTTTCGTGGACTAGCAACACTAAAACACTTCGCGAGGACTTGGTGTGCCCCAGTTTCGCCTACGGTGGGCATTCGGAGTAAGACCTGCCTGACAGAGACTAATGAGATCGAGGCGAAGCTTTGAAGAACCATTGCCGTGGGCACCGGGACAGTGTCCATTACGAACGGCTGCGGCAAACTTTCGAAATCGCAAACCTAGAGGTTTTGTTACCTGGATCGGGTAGAACGTATTACGGTTCAAGTGGGGGTGAAGTCTTTCTATTTCCTTCTGCAGTCCTTCGGTCCGATGACCCATCTAAGATCGTGATGTCAGTTGCACGACCACTACAAAAATCCTATGATCAATTACCACTTCCCAAGTTCTCCTATGCTGAGCACTGGGTGATATTAGCTAAGTAGTTGACGAGCTGTTCAATGATGCAATTTATAAAAGAGGACAACACCGGTGCATGCCATCACAGTCGGGGCACTCTAGTTCCGCACCCTATGCTCAGTACTACATAGTACTCAGTTTTGACTCTATCAATGACGAGAGAGCTAGGTAGGTTCAACCGATCTCAGTGACTTCCCATTCTGTCTCATCTTCTCTAATAATTTTTTTTTTTGGATAAAGTAATCGAATGTACACAATCCTTGATTTCTATTGTTCCGACTAGTCATCCCGTGCTTCTCCGCCCTACACTCTTCCGGACTGCTCTTAACTTCAATGCTGTCCAGCTGAGATTGATCGGCAACCTGCTGCTAAGTACCGCAAATGGAAATAGATTAAACGCTTGAACCAATCAGTTGATTAGGGAGAGTTGACGGGTGTAATGGCGAGCCACCAAGCAGGTAGCTTCGATTTCAAGAAATACTTACGAGAGCGATACTTAGTTCGAAAAATTTGCAGGTGGCGATGCCGTGGGAACTTCCTTAAAAGGAAAGGCCACCCTCAGGCGGGTGGGCGGGGAGGGGGTTCGGGCGTTCGAGTGGGCCCTGCGGGGCATCGTACCGTCAGGGCTCGGGCGGGATGGCTCGGGAGGGTGCCGAGGAACTCTGTTCACGTCCTACACATGTTTATCTATGCTCTTAACCAACGAAAAGTGGGAAATTTGCATCGGGAATGGGTTGTAAAGTGCAAAATCCATTGTAAAGTGTGCTAAGTCACTTAGCACCGGGAAATTTGCAGCCAGATAAGCAAATTTTCCCAGGCGGGAGGGCGGCCCGTGCCAATTTTTTTGCGAGCGCGCGTTCGCACGTGCGCAGCCGAGCCCGAAGCGCAAGCGCCACACGCGAGGCGTGATCACGTGACCGCTTCCCGCGCCCGAACACCACTCATCTAGCAAATTTGGGCGGGTCTCTTCGCAGAATACCCATTTATTTCGTGAATAATTACATGGCCGACATAGAGTGGCTTCCAGTAGCATTGAATTGAGTACAGATGTACAGGCAAGGGTTGTGCACAGCCCGCAAGTCTCCCGACCCTCACTTTCTCGCACGCGCGCCTTCCCCTTAGTCAGCGAATTTGCAGTGGCTGCAAGCACAGCCACCTGCAAATTTTTCGGAATAAACGTACTAGCGCGTACTGCTGCACATAACACTATCTTAGTCCGTCTCCTGTATATCTCGACATCTTTTGGAATCACAGCGAAATTTGCAGACAAATACAATGCCACCGGCCTGGTTGCGAATTAGTTGACGTTTCCGCTTAGTCCCGAAGAACAAGCAGCGGAGAAAGCCAACCTTCCACTAGCAAGTCGTGGACCCCGTAAAATCCAAGTAATCTAATCTCCACGGATATACGGATCCCTTGGATGCAAAGATGAGCAGGTCAACAAGAAGTAAATGACCGTTGGCGAAGGATCACGCGCCCTGGCCAAACTAGGCGAGTTCAGCATGCATACGGAACGAAAGTAATATATTACATACCCAAGAAAATCACCCATTTGATGTGTGAGGTAAATACTGCCACGATGTAGGTCGTGGAGGAGCGGGGGCTCTTCGCAGAGGCTGTGGTTATGATCTCGTCCGCGGTCGCAAGAAGTGCGACATTCTCAGGCGCTTAGACGATTGTACTACGATACCGAAGCCTTAACACAGTAATCCGTCAAGGTCTTTCCACTGCAAGTCTGTAGGACGGTCATTGCGAGTCAGCCAAGGACGTTAATGTAAAGGTCATTGGTGTTGCAGCCTGCATATGACCCCGCCAGGAAAAACTAACTGTAAGTCCGAAAAATCAGGGCTAAGAGAGTATTTTGAACGGTGATAAGTAGGTAGCACCCCGTAGTGCCCCCTGGTTACTCGGAGGAATTGTATATGCAACCCGGTGTCCGCTGAGTGGACCAATTGGAACCAAGCATTAAACAGTACTAGGCACCGCCTTATCGTTTTCTGTAGTACCTGTGGTATTGACCGCAGAACTCACGAGAGCATGATCAAACAACTATGTTGCTTGGTAACTCATGGTACTCGCAGCGTCGTAGCTTTGGTTTAGGACTGCCTGACTCCATTGTAAAAGAGACCATCGCAATTTCGATGCTCCCATCCTTTGAGTACCATTAGCTGTGAATTCCTCCTAAAGAAAAAAAGAATTGCAGCGTAGAGAACACGGTCACCTTTTTGAGTGCTTGACGGCAAATTCGACAGCGTCAAAAAGGTTTTTCCGCTACACATATGTGATATGCAGCTCCGCCGACAGGATAGAAGTTCAGGGCGCTCGGTTGAACGGATCGAACGTACGACGCTCCCATGATGCTGCGCACGATTTCCTGGAATACATAACTTATGTTCATGTTAAGCTGCGGTGGAGTGGACAATCGTTTTAACTGCCCCGGACGTCGTCTTTAGTGCTTGTCGGCGCATTAAGTCGGTGCGGTGTCGCCGTGTAGTAAACCGAATGTGCGTACGGCCCGCGGCCCGCCCGGCCCCTAACCTATGCGCTTCGTTTGGGTAAAAAATCATAATGCGCGCGATACACACAGGTATGGGCGGTACACAATATATAATGCACGACACAGGATATGCGGTGCGAGGCGCGCGATGTCGGGAGTGCACGAATGGTTGGCCATTTATGGAGGTGAACTATCCCAAGTAAATGCGGGGAGTGACAGTCTAGATGATTTAAGGAACTAGCAGGTAACTACGTAGCATGGACTCTATGATACTTTGATAGGAAGAGAGGTAAACCGTACTGCTGATCCCATGAAGCACCCATGGGACGATTCGAAATGTTAGACCTTCAAAGCGCTAGTTGACCTGAAAGAACTCCTTGACAACCACTGCCGAATTTTTGTATGCGTTCCTCCTGTTAGTATGAAACACCATAAACCACGCTGCAGAGATGACTGGCATTAACTGTGGTGGAATAGGATGGGAACATCACTACATCGATGGTTGGTGAATTGTGATACTGTGGGCGTGGGAAGTCAAAGCCTAACCCATGATTGGTGACAATATTTGCTGCAAACTCGTACTTCTCCATTCGAGGCCGCCTTCAGGGAGATCATTTGCTAGGCCGTAGTCCATGCAGAATCCACACTTCGGATGCATGCAAATATACCTTGTCATAAATTTCGCCGCCGTATTCACTCCATGTTCAATGTGTACCCTCATGCAATCGATAAATCGACATTATGTCTCCCAGTTCATATGGTTGCTGCGTCGGGAAAATCTAGATTCTACTGGCAAATACTGTAGGCTTGTTTCGCTGGATGGCATCAGTTGAATACAAGCACGAGTCAAGCCTTGTCTCCGAGTACATTATCGCATATCGTGCATCATATGTCCTGTGTTGCGCATTGTATATTGTGTATCGCGCATACCTCTGTGTATCGCGCGCATTACCCAAACGGAGCGCCATACTAACCCATCTCTGCTGCACTCATATCCAAAAATCCCGTTGTATTTACACGACGTAAAGCAGAGTATGCAGAGTGAACTCGCTGTTATCTATTTAGCACTTGGGTATGAGGGACCGCTGTAGGTGGTCTGGATACCCCGCCCGCCTATCTGAGAGGCTCGAAGGGACCACCGAGGATGCTCTATGTGGGAAATGTTCCTTTAAACCGATCATGACTTTTCCCTTACCTTCCCCTGGGTGCACTTTCGACAGTTCCAGACGTCATACGTGAACGAAGACGCACGCAACAGTTGCAACTTGGCGAGTTAGGGAAAGGGCATAACGATCACCTAGATCGAAGAGCTCGACGTAGCAGACTTGACGCCAAGCCAAGTAAAATTACAACTATTCATTCCTTGTGTATATGAGACATTCTTTGGGATTGAGTGATGCATACAGGTGATAATGTGAAGGTATCATAATAGCGCACTCTCCAGAGAGCTTGCGAGTTGACAGAAAGGGTAAATGCGGTGGTAAGAAATGAAGACACGGAGCCTTCACTTACTCCCTGTTTGCCCAAATCTATTCGCTGGAATGCAGTAGGTCGTTCAGAACCCTGACTACTGACCCGCCCCCTTCGTCGACTCTCTCGCGATCGCTCGCCTTGACCTTGGAGAGGATACGACCGAAGCGGTCAGGATGCCACCTCCGGATGAGTTCCTTGATTCTATCTTTCTGAGACCTGTCCTGAGGCTGGAAAGGTGATAACACATAGCTATGGATGGCAGCCGTGGTGAGATCTTCGGGGTTGCTGGGAGTCTTGAACATCGGCCAAGGGAAGTCTTCCCAGATAAGCGACTCCCGAGACTGGATCTTTTCCCATTGGCGACGGTGGCTTTCGAAAATTTTCAGAGCCTCCTCCCGCGTCATTTCCCTCCCCACCCTGTTGCGCCGTTCATATTCCTGCTTTGCAATGCGCTCTTGCTCACGTTTGAACTGTTCCTCTCGTTGCCGGGCTTGTTCGGCTTGGCGTTGGTGGAATTCGGCATCTGAAACCAGCGGATTCCAGCTAGGTTTCGTACTCGAGGTAGTGCCCATGGTCGGCTTCGATGCGGAGGATGTTTGGGAACTTGGAGTGGCACTTGGTCGAGCGGAAGCAGAAGCCCACCCGCTGCCAGCACTTCCACGACTTGGAGTTGCACTGGATCCACTGGGCGGGCTTGCAGCGGGTGCACTCTGGTCATTACGACTAGGCATAGGCAGAGGTCCGGATGCGCTGGACGTCTGAGAAGGAGGAGGCGTCGGATGGTAATAATCAGACCAAGTTGTCCATCCATCCTGCTTTTTCTTCTCTTCGGTACGCCGACGGATTTCCTCCTCTCGTTTCCGAAACTGCTCTTGTTGCGCTTTCTCTTTTTCTTCTTGCTCCATTCTCTGCTTCTCCTCTTCCTTGGAGCGCGCCAGTTCTGCCTCTTTGCAGAGGACTTCTTTCTCTCTGCGCTGGACCTCCGCCTCTCTATGCCGGACCTCCGCCTCTTTACGCCGGACCTCCGCCTCCCGCTCCCTTAACTCTGCCTCTTTCCGTAGCGTCTCAGCCTGTTTCATCTGTGTCTTCTCCTCGATTCGCTTAACTTCTGCCTCTTTCAGTGACGCCTGTCGTTCCCGGCGTTGAGCCTCATCTTCCTTTTTCATGGCCTCCTCTGCTATCCTCTTTGCCTCCTCCTCTCTGCTCTCTGCTTCTTTCTCTTTCTTTCTCGCTTCTTCTTCTCTCCGCCTGAATTCTAACTCCTTCATCTTTTCCTTTCGCTTTGCCTCCTCAATCCAGAGCGAACGTTGCCTCTTCGTTTCCACTTCCTCTGCCTTGCGCTCGGCCAGCCTGGCATCCTTCTCTTCCTTCTGCCTGACTTCATCCTCCTGCCTAGATTCATCCTCCTTTCGCTTCGCCTCCTCTATCCTCCCGGTTTCTTTTTCTCGTTCTAGTCTTTCTTCCCTCCTTCTCAGATCCTCCTCCCATTTTTGAGCAGCCTCTTCTCTGACGCGGAGGTCGTCGATTTCTTTGATCTTGCCGAGGTTGTACTTGTGATAACCGCGATGATGCCACGCAACGTCTTCGTCGTCTGATTGGCCTTCAAAATCTTCTTCGTAATGGGTGTGAACCGGGCGATCTCCCGTTGGCAACTGTTCCTGCTGGAAGTAGGCATTGCGCATATTATCTTGTGAAGAGAATTGTGTACGGAGACTAGAAGGCTGCCAATTCCGCGGATTCTCGTCGGGAGTTTGCGGGGAACGAGATGAACTGTCATTACGGCTTCCATAGGGTGATCGCAGCCAGTTTTTAGCACCATGACTGCCGGAGAGTCCATATCCCATATCGTCAAAAGATGACACTGATTTCTTGGCGACAATAGGGTCTGCTGGCTGATGGCGCTGGTACCTGAACTCGAGAGGAGCTGTCGGAAGGACGGCTGCTACGTTGAACTTGCGGGAGAGAGATTCGGTATATTCGAAGAGGGTTGATGCATGCCGGAGCGTTCTTCCAATCTCTGAGGTGCGCCAAGTACAGGACGAGATTCACTATGAGTACGTGACTGTTTCTCTTTATCGCGTGCCCTGTCCAAATTACCCCACTCCTGCTCTGCCATATGTATACCGGCCTTCTCTCGATCCACGTTGCTTGACATAGCCTGGGGCTCGTCTGTTAACTGAGCGTTTAAGACAGATGGAGCGCGCAAAGAGGATGTTGTGCTGGCGGTGCTGCCACGGCGGGCAAGAGTAAATGTACGCGACATCTGGGCATCTTCCTCAGGTGTAATGGAAGGCTTCCAAATTTCCGGTATGTTGGGTCTCCCGCCAATGCTCGGCTTGCGCCGGACGCTGTCCCGGCGAGCGATGTCGGGAGGATCGGTAGGGAACCTGGATGACCTCAGTATGGATTCATCATCATACGCTGGAGAATGCCGCGGACGATCAATAGACGACCGCTCGGCCTCGAAGATAGGAGCTTTATATGAACTCGCTGAGGTAATTGACCCAGCCCTGGTTTTGGCTGACCGCAAGGGATGAACTTCATCGACCGTAGGGAGGACATCGTCGAAATCGCGGCTGTGAGGTTGAGAGAAGGAGGCACCCCTATTGCGCTCGTTATCCAAGGAAAGGCTGGGAGCTCTTGTCAACCGGCCAGACTTGCGGGAGGAGGCCGCGTCCGGGCTATGAGGCTTGGTAACAGGAGGCGGTGGAGGCGGTGGAGGTGGCTGTGGAGATTGCAGAGGAGCTGGTGGAGGAGGGGGTCGCGGAGGAGATGAAGCGTGTTCAGAATCCTGCCCCGTTGCCTTGTGCCTTTTTCCTCGTTCAATATTATCCCACATGACCTTCTGTTCTTTCATTACATCTTCTGTCCAAACTCCGGAATTCAACTGTATGTTCTGACGTTCGCGCTGTAGCTCAAATGTATAGCTTTCTTGAGCCATCCTGTAAATGTTCTGGATGGCAACTTCGCCATCAGCTCGTATCCGTTCGACCTCACCGGGGGAAGCCTTTTCGAGGTCTTCCTGCATGCTCTTCCTCGCCTCTTCCAACATAGGACGGATGTTGTCCTGAATCTGCTGTTTCAGGCATTCTTTCCACTTATTATCGGGTTCGAAATCAGCCGGTAAAGGTGCACCAGGAGGGCCAGCGGCATTCTGAACTGTTGCTGACATGAAGCAAGGATGCCACGAGGAGGAGCTTTACTTGAATTTGACGGCAAGTGATGCGGGGTATGGACACGTTGAACGATCAAGATGGGAATGGCTATGCAAGGTCATCAGAATCTGAGAGAGGGATTGAAAGGGAGTGCAAACCTCGAAGATCAGCCTAGGGCTCGGTGGAGAGAGGATTGTACGTGGTGTGGGGTGCGGAGCGTGAGGGAAATGGAATCCAGCTGTGATGGGGAAAATAGGTCATTTGCCTCGTGTCAGTTCACGCGCTGCTAGAAGGAGTTTGAAGACACCTCGATGCAATGGACGGACTTACGCGGTTAGATAAACTTGTGGGCATGCATCCGAGCAATAGACGCAGTGTGAGATCGGGAGACAGGACGGCGGGATGGGCAGCGTTGGCCAGCTTGCCCAGTCGCGATGGGTGAGAAGCGATCTCAAGATCAGTCACAGAGCTGCAGGTGATAACACAGTCGGTAAGTTAATTGTGCAAGGGCGGCTAATATGGGATGCCGTGCCGGTCCGAGTCGGAGCGGTCCTCCGACTCGGAAACATGTCACAAGGTTGGTGCCTATGCCGGCGCCGCCGCCTACGCCTACAGCAAGACTACCTACAAACTAGCCGTAGCCGTAGGCGGCGGCGGCGGCGCAGGCGCCAACTTTGAGCAGCCCTATGGTGATCACAAGCTCATTCTTCTGAGAGACGTATGTCGAGGCCCTTCAAGTGAATGGTCAGAGAGCCAATCAATGAGTCGGTTGGCAATCGGACTAGGTATAGCTACGAAAGCAAGTGTCTATGCTTCACCCTATCAAACGTCGAGGATCCAACTCACGAGCATGCACGAGCACTTTCTTCTCTCTTCTCACCTTACCTCGCAACATTGCTTGGGGGACCGAGCGGCGCAAGACGCACTTTTCAAGCTCAAGTTCAATCAGTTTTTATCATGACAGGATATGGTAGTGACGTCTACAAGGCACCGCGGCCGTCCCCGCTCGAGGAAAGAGCTAAAACGAACTTCCCCGCTATGCTCGTGGTCAATGACAGCTTAGACAATGTATCTCGAAACAAGTCATGCGGATTTGTCCACATACAGCATCACATACTTACTCATGATGGTGCCAGCTTGGCTACCTGCTGCTACCTGCAGGCTGATTTCATCAAAGACGCCGTTCCCATGTCTGCGCTACATAGATCAAGCGTTCGGTCTCGGTTCGGCTGTGATTGCCCGCGGGCTGACCACAAACATCTGCAAAACTACCCGAGGGAGTGAGCAGGTTATACCTGCCTCCGTTTGGAAGTGACTTGTCGTAAGACTCGCTAAGACACTTGTTGGCCAATGAGAGAGCTCGCTCAAGTGCGGAAGAGCTGTTAAGAGCCGCGTCGCGTAGCTGTTTCCCAGATGAAGGTCAACATTTTGGGAATGCCTGGGTGACGATTTTACGTACGACTCGCTAGGATGTGAACTCTGGGCCCATCTCGCAGTCTTTCCTTATGGTGTGTACACGCATCCTGTTGGAGACATTCTCGCGAATTTCCACGAGACATTTATTGACTTCATAAGGAAGAGATAAATGGTGGAGCAGAGAAGCCTTGCCATGGTAAGTTCATCCCAGGGCATAGCTAGGCCAGTTGATTAGATCAAATTCGGGAAGGAATGGAACTTGACAGATGAGCGTTTTTACCCAGCCCAATCGCACGTCCTGTGACGTGGTGATACATGCTAGGTTGATTATTCTTACGCCCAGAAGACAGCCCTCAGCGTTGTTGAGTGGTTTGGTTTATGTGAGGTTGCGATCCTCGAGACCGAGTCCGTCCGCGACCGCTCAATACAGCGCTGGTCCGAGTACTTACGTACATTAGACCGCATTCGGACCGCCGCCTCGAGGCAATGGTGTGGCAGGCACGTGATAACATAGCCCAACTGATCCTTGGCAGCCACTGAATTTTATCCTCGTTCATCTTTCACAATACCACTGACTACATTGGTGAGTGAATTTGGACCAAAGCTGCAATCAGCAGTATTGGTCTGTGGCCGCGTCGTTACCCTCATAAATCGCTCACGTATATCGCTATTATTTTTTGAACTAGAAGAAGTTGTCAACGAATGGCAGTTCCGTGCCACTGAACCACAGTATTCCCGCAGACCCGTATCCTCCCATTAAGATTTCATACACAGCAGATTCCTATCATGGACCGATCGTACACTTGATAACACCGCATTTTGAATTTGGCAATTATCTGCCAGCGCGCGAACCACATGCACCAGTCAGTTGTAATCGAACCGTGATTTCCACTCGCAATCTCTTATCCCTTGCCAAAATACACCCTTCGATTTTTGCGGCGTCATACATATATCTCCCCTCCGAATCTTTTGCAAGTGCTATCATACCCTAATGCCTAGCAAACGTCGTGCTCCAGCCAAGGCGCCTGCATCTGCAGCGCACAAGGCCACTCCAACCCCTTCCAAGGATACCCTTCCTACGCCACCCAAAGCAACGCCAGCTCCCCCTCCTCCCCCTCCTCCAGTTGAAACCCCTGCAACCAAGGTGCGAAAGGAATGGCAAAAGTTCATCGTTGCTTGGTACGAGCCAGAGAAGAAAAAACTCGAAGAACAGCTCCAGAAAGAGCTGACTACGAAGTACAAGAAATCGGGGTCTTCTAAGGCCCAACAAAAAGCCAGAACAGCAGAGCTTGAGAAGAAGCTCTCCAACTTGGCAAAGCAACTAGCCGAACGCGCACGCAACGAGTGGGAAAGGCGCCTTGAGGCTGCGCAATTACGAGAAAACCAATGGGACGACATGACTAGCGAGGAACAGCAGGCTGTGATGAACGTGTTTGTCGGTTTCTTTGGTGACGAGGATGATGATGAAGACGACGACGATGCAGAAGATGATCAAGTGGCTTCGACCAACTCCTTGTCTTTGGAGGCGGATGAGGGTGCAATCCCGGACCAGCCCGGGGGTTTCACCTCATTACCACGGGCTAAACCCTCTCCCCTTGCATCGGCTAACGCCACATTCCAATTCGTGAATCCGACGTCTTTATTTGTTGAAGGGGCAAGTCAGCCACACCCTGCAACAAATTTACCCTCCTTATCAATGGTTAGAAACGTGAACCGTTCGGATGTTTAACCCAACTCATCCTCTATATTGCATTTCGTAGGACCATCTTGCGACACTTGGTACTTCACACACTGGGCGTCCAGTTGACCCTTCCCCAATGAACGCTAGCTCTAGCGGCGCCTTCAGTTTCCACAATTGGGCGTCAGAAGCTGGCCTTACCGCCCATCAGACATCCAAGCTAGCATCACAGACATTGGGCTCTCGGCCAAGTGCAACCGACGGCATATCACGTCAAGCTTCTGCGGTGTCGAGCATTTCGTCCCCTCCACTATTCTCCAATAAATCATCCCCTCCGCAGTCCTCGCCACCCATCCAATCGACGAAAGCCTCGCCGTCGGCCGTAAACGATGCTTTGCCGTTGGGAAAGCGATACATCGGCCCTGTCATACTCGACGATGATGAACCTCTTGACGAAAACCTTTTGAAGTCCAAGATGGCTGCCGACTATGAGGAATTTAAACACAGTCTTCGCATCCAGATGATCTATGATTTCCACACGGAAGCTGCAGATATCGAGATCAAACTTCTGGAGATGCTTCTTACCAACGAAGGGACGAAAGAGAGTAGGGCCAGAGCTGTCCAGGAACATGAGATGCACATGATGGCCTTGCGCGAGCAGAAGGAGGAAGAGCGCAAGAGACTTTGCGCCCAGGAGCGTGAGAGACGTCGTGAAGAACACAGAGCTTACTTAGCTCAGTCGGCACTCCGTTCTGCTCAGGGCAGGGATGTTGAACCATCATCAGGAAGGAAAGGAGCTCCGCCGAAGTCATCTGACAAATCTGCGCCACCGAAGGGACCTACAGCCTCCCCGAAGGAGGACATGCCGGTCCATCCGCTGACTGCCTCGGCCTCGGGTTCTGGCCCCAAGCTCGAGCCTCCGAGCATCTTGAAAAAGTCCCCTAGCGTCCTGACAGAGGCCGAGGCTTCGTCGAACGAGGCAATTTTTGCCGAAGCCGCAGCATTTTTAGCTAAGGGGCGTCTTGCTACTGATGGGCTTGTTGTTTCCCAGCCACCCGAGCCTCGGAAGGGGATCAACAGTACTCGTCCCCTCAATCGCGAGATACCACAGATTACAGTCAATTTTGCCGACTCTCCGTCTATCGTTCCTCCCGCTCCTGCCGCAAAGGACAAAAAAGCTGCGAAGAAAGCACAGGCAGCCACGTCCAAGCCCCCCGTCATTAATGAAGTGTCCAACAGACCTGATGTCGACGCTGAACCTCCACCACCTCTATCCTCCTGGGGTGCATCTATTTCACGAGGTGTCTGGGGCAACCCACCAACGCACGCATCTAAGGGATTGGACCCCGACGCTGGCACGAACCTCTTCTCAACTGTTGCCTCATCTCTGACGGCTGCATGGGACACTACCAAGAAGCCTAGCTCTGGGAAAAAGTCGAAGACCGTCTCCTTCCCTGACGATGTAGGGGGTGAAAGTGATGCTGCTCCCATTGCACCGTGTGAGCCGAAACTGCCCAAAAGCACTCGGAGTGCCGTCAACGGCAAAAATGCGAAGATCGTACCAGTGGTCGAGGCACAAGTGCCTCGAGGGCCTGTAAAGGTCACACCCCAATCCTCTAACGCAAAGAAACCTAACAAAGCGCCGGACGCTTCGGCGGCAAGCAAGAGACCCAAAGCAGCTGTCGTCTCGGAGGAGCTGGAAGGTGTAGAGGAGGAAGATATGTCGCTGTCAGCAACTCCTCCGTCGTCGCAACAAGCAAGGACGAAAGCCGCATGGGGTCCAACGCCAGCAGGCCAAACAAAGGTTGCCACATCGCAAGCCGGACCTCAGCCGCTTCGTGGTATGGAAGCCTCCAGGTCCAAGTCCGCACGTGTGGAGACTGTTCCGGATCCGACTGACGCTTGGGGAATGGCCAGAGGCGGTGGTAGCGCCAACATGCCGGGTGCACTTGAGGTAGACGTCTCGGAGGAATTGGACGAAGATGATAATTGGCTCGACAAAGAAAACGCTGACTATTGGAACAAGTTTATCGGTGTTGACACCGAGAAGCAGCCAGCAGCCACCTCATTCGTTTCCGCTGAGCACGTTCCATGGATCCCCACTGCAGATCCTCATAGCGATGGTGATGATGATGATGATCTAGGTGATGATGATGGCGGCCTTGGTGGCGAAATATGGATGCAGTACGCCATCAGCGGAGGTGAAATACCCGGGCTGGATGCTACCATTGAACCTGAGGTAGTTTCGAGTCAGCGAAGACTGGAGTTGAATGTTTGGGAACAAGGGAAGATGAAGAAGGGTGGAGGCTCGAGTGATGACGCTGGCAAGTCATCTTCGATGTTTGATAAAACTGCTTTCCAAGGGGCCCCATGGCCAAAGATGGAGAATTGGTTGTCTTCCAGCTCGAGAGTTGGACAGAGTTCAGGATCTGCTAGATTTCTTTGATATTCCGTGCTTCTGATACCATTGTCGTTTGTCGTTTTCATGCTTGCTGTGTACATGCCGTTCGTGTTTATTGGAACTAGACCGCTTAGTTCGCGTCGGGTAGCTTACCTAGTGTTATAATACGTTTCGTCGTTACCTTGGAGGGTTATTCAGGAGGTCCAAAAGCGAGGCAGAAATGTGTGATGTGATATTATGTGGTCAAGACGGGGTAGGAAGAGGTCAAGATTCTGGGGACCATGAGGGGGGTACAAATCCCTGGTGCGATCGATACGGGCGCAATATTTTGGGGCACGCTTTTCCAAAAAGTGTCTTGCCTCGAGTTTCAGCGAACACGCTGTAAGCACATCTGCTGCTGAAAAATCGCATCTTACTGTACCAGAGTAACGGTAATCGAGGCCACGTGTCAAACCGGAGCTTCGGGACGTCCATTCGTTCCTCCATAACTAACGACCCTTAGGTAGGTTTGTCGAAATGCAGGTCCATACGGTACTTGAGCGCAAGAATGGAACTTTTCGTGTTTTTTTTTTTTTTTTTTTTTTTTTTTTTTTCTTTCCGTTGACAGTGTCGCCTGCGATACGTTCTGCCCTCACCAGCACATCTCAATATATCGCCAGGTTGGTATGGAAATCGTGGAGGATTCATCTAACATGATGTGGACGCATTCCAAAACCCACGAAATCATTGAAAATATCACGCGTCTCGTGGTAATTTCACTTGCTAGCCCGGGGAATGCACGTACCCATATTCTAATCCCTTGCAAGATGGGTAAGTCATTAGTCTACTTGTCACGCGGGCTACCAGGACATAGTGCGGGACGCGAAGCTTTCATTCATGTCCCTAGTGAGCCAGATAAGGGTGGCTGCCCCGCGTCCAGAACGCGAATTGAACACTACCACTGTGTCATCCCACCCCCTCTCCAATCTGAGGACTTTTCATTTGCGTCCCCAAACACGTTCCGTACACATTGGAGATTGCAGTATAAAGTAGTATATCAGCTTGTGGGACTTTCGAATAGTTGTTATCAGGAAGAGCACGGGAAACGAAGACGCTTTCTACCGTTAATTACGGCGGAGAATTTCCTTCGCTCTGGTAATAGCTTGGTCCTTCCCTTACCTCTTGCATTATTCTTTGACACTCTTCCATTACAGCTCCAAAAGAGGCCCAGCTGTTCTTGAAGTGTTTAACACATCACAGGTTGTTCAACTCACCTTAAGACAGATATAAACGAAATTGTGTTGTGGAGACTCGTGGTGTGAATAATACATCGTGAAATGTGTTACCCGCAACTTGGGGATCCACTCAACCTTCGGCTGCAATGGTGCAAGAGGGCACGCGAATCGTATTACTAGTCTGACTCCATAGTGGGGCTAGGGAAGAGGGGGGAAATTTGACACGATGGCTCGTACCGTGTCCCATGGTCGAGAGGCTTCGAAGAGGGAGGGGGTCACGTGGCGGAGTGGCCATCAACCAATTCTTCCAGACTACATTATACACCCAGCCTCCAACCATCAGAAAGACACAGTTATGGCTTCTCTATTTCCTGTGATATTCCTGCTTATCATCGTACTTGGTTTGGAGGCGTGCACATACCTTCTAGTCCCGAAAGGTCCGCAGCAGGTGTAAGTTCCCCCCTACCGAGTCTACTGAGTGAGTCTCTACAGCCAATTTATGTCTAGGACTATTCGGACCGCTCTCATGCTTACATTTGCTGCGTGCTATCTCATGTGGATGGTGACTTATATGGCTCAACTGCACCCTCTCGTCGGTATGTACAGAGGTCGGATGAAGTCATCATCATTTGGGACTGATACGATTTGACGTTCGACAGCGCCATATCGGTCGCCAAAGCTGGAAATTTGATTATGGTAGGGTATGGGACGGACGCTATACACTACGTGCGTACCATTAGTGTTTCGTTCGTGTTGTGCTCGTGCTGAATGCGCTTCCAACAGACCGGATGTAAGATACTCATGTGCCCTCGTGTAATAGACCTTATCGTTGGTCTTGTTCTGCATAATAGTGCGAGCTCTAGGACGTTATCATCTAGTTTTTGGTGTGGCAGCTGGCGAGTTGAATCCTTCATATCCATCATGGTATCTTTTCTTGCCTAAATCTCTATTTTGAGATATAAATTTTGACCGCCACGCGCATTCTTGTCATTGGTTTAGGACACTCGTACATTCACCACTTTGTTGACGCCGAATGTACATATAGTTCGCCGGTGACTACTCAGAATTGGCTGAAACCAGCTGAGCCCATTACGTCTTCCGTTGGTACGGGTAGTGTATGTCATCGATTGAATCAATCTAGACGTCTCGTTAAACACCAAGTATATATTCTAGTCATGCTTCACAACTGAATACTGTTAGATCAATGAGTGGCACAGTAATTGTCTAAAACCATCTAATCTGATTCTGCCATTATCGTAGTCAACGCCCGCACTGCGGCGCCAGCTAGCTCCTGCGCGACCGCTCGATGATCTTCTCTGACCTTCGGAAGTACGAGAACGTTAAACTTGTCAGGATGGAACCGTAATACTTCCACCCTGACTCTATCCTTCGCCGACTTCTGCATCGGGCAAGGACGAAGAGGATGGAAGATGAAGGTGAGGACATCTTCGCGCGTGATCTCCTGCGCCGTGAAGTGCTTCAATACGAGACTTGGCCAAGGCAGTTCCCTGACGTCGATGGAAGACAGCGTGTGGTTAGTCTTGAGTTCGGCCCACTTCGCTTCATAAAGAGCGAACAACTGTTGGAGTGCTCGGGGGTTCTCCTCAGCACGATGTGCTGCTTCAGCTCGTTCCCGTGCTTTTCGTTCCCTTGCTTGGCGTTCCTTGGCTTCACGTTCACGAGCTCCCCGTTCTCTAGCCTCGTGTTCCCTGGCTTCACGTTCCCGAGCCTCACGTTGCCTAGCTTCGCGTTCCCTGGCCTCGCGTTCTCTGGCCTCACGTTCTCGGGCTTCGCGTCCCCTGGCCTCACGTTCCCTAGCCTCACGCTCTCGGGCTTCCCTGGCCTTCCGCTGTTGTTCCTCCAATTTCTCTCTGTCTTCACGGGCACGTCGACGTGCCTCCTCGACACGAACTCTTTCTTCCTCCTGCCTCTTCTTTTCCTTCTCTTCACGCATTTTACGGATGATGCGAAGTTCCTCTTGCCTCTCGGCATCCTTCTTGGCTTGTTCCCTCAAGCGCTCCGCATCGCTTTCCATCTCGGCATGCGCTTCGAGTCTCTGTGGCGTTTCATCTTCAGCTCGCTCGGCTGTGTCGCGGTAGCGACTGAGATTATTGCGGAAAACCGAGTCGAGGTGCAACCTCCGGAGTTGTTGCGCAAAAATTTTGTCTTCGTTTGTTATGAGAGTACTGTGCATTGTGTTCTCCACTTCGTCGCGCATACGTTGGAGGTCAGCACGGGCTCGCGCAGCGAGGCGTTCGTGACGGGCAATCTTCTTCTGTCGTATTCTCTCTTGGCCATGACAGTTTCGGAGGCAAGAGCGAGCAGCCTCGCGATTTATCGATAGTCGCTTGTAACCGAAGCGCTTGCGAGGAGAAGGTTTAACGGACAGAGGAGGGTTGGCAGTGGCAGGTGCAGGTGCATGCGCATGCGCAGCAGGAGGGGAAGGTTTCTTGGGTTGGAACCAATTGTGAGGATGTCCTGGATTGACAACGCGTTTCGGCGATGCAAACATAGGAAACTCATCGAAAATGGATTTTTTTGGTGGGGCATCGTCATCAGCCAAGGGCGACGCGCCCCCTCGAACCGGACTAGTAAATGGGCTGGGTTGGGGCGAAGGAGTGTGTTGAAATTGCGGTCCTTGGAACAGATTGAAGCAGGGCTTCATGCGGTTAGAAAATCCAAGACCAGCTGGATGCCCAGACCGCCGAGGCGTAAAAGGAGAGGACACCCTACCCGCTTGGTTGAAAGCATAAGGGCGAGTGAACATCGTAGAGAGTAGCAGCGAAAAGTAGGCGGGATGAATGAAAGCGGGGGATTCTTGAGGTAAAGCGAGTGACTCGGTCTTGAGTTGCGTATGGATTTCCGTCCACCGTGGCCGGACTTATAGCAGCTAGCGCGACTTGTGGGCGCCAGTTTGCTCGACTTTTCCGTTCCTCAAACGCGTCCATATCAGTTAGTCAAAAGCCACGGTCCACCGCTAAGATTGAAACCCAGTTGTATTGGCGTCGAAATCGACATTGTTCTTGACATTCGAGGTAGAACCGGTGGACACGACCGCGATCCATGTATAAACAAGATAATGCAGATAGCCGAAGCGACATCTCTCTATTCTTCAGTCCACCAATATTGTCAGATCTGAATTAATCCATGACGAAGGCAGTGTGGTCACGAGGTTAAGAGCGGGCGGTACTGAGAATAATGTCCAGCACGCAGCATTGATGGCACGTCCGACGTGGTGACTCGAATTGAATGTTGGTACATAGGCGGTGCTAGATCCAAAAAGGAAATACGTCGGGGCCACTTAAAGGTCAAAGCGCTTTTGTCCGGACCATCCTCTGATCCTCTTAGACAAAGAAATCCAGTGGCCAAAGCGACAAAGGCCCTTTCATTGCATTGACATCTCGAGATCAAAGCAAGCTAATTCGAAAGAACGTATTTAGTGAGTGCATGAAAGCGGGAGTGAACTCAACAACGAAGACACACCCGAGAAGAACACCTTCAGCCTATTCACGTCCGCCAGCCAATTATACTCCAGTCCACCCACGCCAGCACTCACGTATTATGCCGCCACGTACTACACGCAATAGCCAAGGCCTAAGAACCGCGGTTGTAGCCCCACGATGCGCACGACGTGCAAGAGCCCCTGTCGCTGCTCAAGCCCGGCGCGCCACAACTTCCACTGCCAATGATGCGGAATGCCCTTCAAAGAAGATTCAGTGGCTGAAGTGCAGGGACCAATATGGTGTTCCTGTGATCGTCAAGTACTCTGATACTGGGGAAGGCATACACATGGTGTGGGACTGGTCTGGGATAGACGAAAACTCTCCTACCTCGGACGAAGACGATGACACCATGGACACGGACCTGGGTACACCGCCACCCAGTACCGCCAGCAAATCGATCCACACCCCACAACAGCGACATCCATATGACGCGGGCTCCGTCCTACGAACGCCAGTGAAGAGGGCTAAGCCACTGCAACCCAGCCCGACTCGTTTCGGCGACAAAGATGTTCACTGTTCTCACGAGTACCCTATAGGAAACAACGGCAACTACAGAATGATCCTCAACCATGAAGTGGGCTCAAGCGTTAACTTGTCGAGAGAGGAGGTGGAACGACTTCGTGTTATTGAAGATGAGAAAATCTTCTTTGCGCAACTGGAAAAGTTGATGGCTGAGAGAAGCGCAATGTGCTTGGGAGATGGAGTCTGGGAGGACGCGACGATGGACGAACTCTCTCCAAAACGTCGAGTGCAGACCGCCGGTCCAGGGGGTACGATTCTTCTCTCTGGAGAGCCAGTCCATCAACCGAACCACGGCAAGGTTCGCGCTAATAATCAAGCACTACTCTCCAACTATAAAACTGGTTCCAACGGGGAGTTACGCGATCGCCGCGGTCGTCCAGTGCTTGGTCCTGAAGGAACGGTCTTTATCGACCCCACGTTTTGTCCAGCGAAGCGACCTGGTCTTCATGTGCCGGTAGTCGCAAAGGAAGACGACGACGAAGACATGGAAGACGGAGGCACCAATCAAACTCCCTCAGACGGTCGCCACTACGTCAACGCCATGCCGATCAGGCGTGGCCCGCATCCGTCACCAAAGCCACTTGGTCCTGAACCAACCGAGTTGGTCATTTGTTGATCGACGACATACATCTTGTTTAGTGCATATGGCCTAATATGTAGAATATCGAGTCATTCGTACTGCCTGATCCCCCGCATGCGTACGCACATACCCTACTGCCATACGATGAACACGTTCCTTACCCTGTTTTTCTACTTACCGCGTCATTGTAGACGGGCATTCCTGGAACTGGATGCCACATGTATTACCCTGAGCTCCGTTAAATTTGTATCATAGCAGTGGCAAAATTCATACCGCGTGAATGCAGATTTGAATAAACTGATCCGTGGCGCGTCGAGAAGCTCTTGGATGAGTGATACTTTTCATGTTTCCCAAGTGCAAATTGTTGAGAAGCAGGGCTTCTCGCTAGCGAAAGCCGGCAGAATCCGACGGGCCTCTGTCATGCAGTAAGCGGTCCCGCAAGCTCAAGGCAAAGCCAGATGAAGGTTTGCTAGACTGACGTAACGTGGCAATACCACCCGTTGCCGCTAGATAAACACATGATGAATCTAATGGGTCGACAGAAGGCAACTATACTAAGGATCAATGTAGTCGAATCCTGTTTCAACGGGCTTCTTCCATCCTCCTTGGGTTGCGTGTCGTCTTCTGAACGTTGGGCATGGAGGACGGGTTATTGACATCGCTATGTGGTGCGAAAAAGAGGTGGTCTGACGAACCCTGGCATCTATAACATCGATTATCAAGCCTGACAGGGGCGTATCGATTCTGCCTAATGGATGGCATCTGTATAATAATATATCGACATCAAACAAAAAACTCTCACAGAAGCGAGTTGTTGACGCACTGGTTTGTACTGTATCAATTAACAGCAAGAAGCGTCCAGGGACAACAAGTTCATTGAAACAGGAATTTCGACACTAGAAGAGCATGGTAATTGCAGGTGGCGCTTGCAAGTTCATCGACACTGGAAAGTAATTGATGAGCTGGCGGTTCTTCATTCTCTATCAGCCGTTCGCCGGACCATGGTAAGCTTTGGTTTCATGTCCTGTGTTGAGCCTGCGACAACTTTGCCGGCGACCCGAGACAGCCGACGGACACTTCATTTTCACACGCTTTTATCACATCGACACCGACCAACCAACTATGGCCTCCCCTCCAAAGCCTTGGGAGCGCGGCACCCCAGCAGCAACACAACCGTCTACACCAGCGACGTCAACGCCATCCTCTTCCGATCCACCGGCTGTCCCGCCACGGCCAGCAATGCTGAGCTCGCAGCCTGTTCCGGCCACCTCGACACCTTACAGTGCCCTGGCCCCGTACAGTCCTTATTCACGGCTGGGTACGTCTTACTCGCCTTACGGGGGTGGGATGTATGGCGGAGGCATCGGGTACGGAGGAATGAATCCTTATGGTGGTTATGGCTACGGCATGAATAGTATGTACGGAGGAATGCCCGGTATGGGCGGATACCCTGGCATGGATCCCAACAATCTATCGCTCACACAGACGCTGGAGGCCACTACGCAACAAACGTTCTCCCTTCTCCACTCAGTCGTCCAGACGTTCAGTGGTGTGGCTCAGATGCTCGAGTCGACGTTCATGGCAACACACAGTTCCTTCTTTGCCATGGTCGGCGTTGTTGAACAGTTCGCTCATTTACGGAATGCTCTGGGTAGCGTTCTAGGGCTATTTGGCCTCGTGCGGTGGATGAAGGAGCTTATCACGGGACGGCCAAGCACACAGAATTCTCTGCAGGGAGAGTTCCGGGAATTTATCAATGGCAAACCGGTGCAGGGACCTGTGGGTCCACCCGCGCCCAAACCCAGCAAAAAGCCTTTGATCATATTCTTCCTCGCTATTATTGGCATACCTTATGCCATGTCGCGGCTTGTGAAAATTCTCAACGAGCGTGTCCAGCAACAGCAGCAAATCGGTGGGCCCCTGATCGATCCGTCTACCTTGCCCTTTGCACGAGCGCTCTACCCCTTTACCCCCTCTTCGCCGAGTGAGCTTGCTCTCAAGGAGAACGAGATCGTCGCGGTCACGAGTAAACTGGACCCTCGTACCGGGATGGAGGTGGATCCTCGCTTGGACGTGGAGACTGATTGGTGGCGAGGAAGGACTCGCGATGGAAGGGAAGGATGGTTTCCCAAGAAGTGGGTGGAGGTTCTCGAGCGGCGAAAGCCGGTGGAACGAGAGAAGACGGTCGAGTGATGTGTTCTTTGCTGTTTGCCATATATTGCTGTTTCTGATGCGCCATTGGTTTTGTTCAATCGGGTTCCCTAGTGGTGTTGTATCGTGTCTCGTACCCGACGAGCTGCTATCATATATCCTGTCGTTTGAAAATTAATAGCCTGTTGCCTCGTAACGGTCTTGCTTGGATCGTGTTTCGAGCCCCCAACGAAACGTTTCTTTTTCTTTCTGTCGATCGAGCAGCTTATGCGATCGCCAGGTGACGTATTGACATGCCAGGTTACCGGACTGCTTAGTTCGACTGCCGTGCGTGTTTCCAAGGATCAGGATGGAGGCCATGCTGTTATCGGGAAGAGATCCCACAGGCGTGGCATGGCATGGGAGCGCAAGGTACTATGTATACTACTAAATGTGGATGCGGGGGAGTAATGATAATGAATTGAGCGCGAGGAGAGCGTGGTACACGCTTGAACGATGATGTCAGAGGAGGCACAGGTACTCTGGTGATGGGATCTGCGGTGATGCGGGTGAGGAGGTGCCTTCCATATTTGGACGATGATGTGATCGTCACGGGGCGTGGTTCGTGATAAAAAAGCACGAGTGGGGCAACACGTGGCCGAATGGCGGACCTCATGGGAAAGATGAGCGCCGACACGAGGCAGCGAGACCCCGAAGATCGATCACGAAACATTCGTTGCAATCGGACAAAAGGATAAATTAAACTCGATAAATCAGGGAAAACACCGCCGCGGCGCCGCCTATCTAATCCCGACTCCCGACTCCCGACGTGCTCCACGGGTGGGGGGTGGAGAGTGGGGAGGGGGAGGAGGAGGAGGACGCGATTTCGAGAAATTGAGATCAGGATGTGGCACAGTAGAAGCAAGATGCAGTGGAGATTGCCTGTTGAAATGAGCTCGTGCAGGAGGGACGTCTGCCTCGCGGCAGGGATGGAGGTGTGATGGGTGGAGGCGCGGTCGGGGATGATGGAATGGGGCGGTGACCGGGGTCCACAGTGTGTTGTGTGCGCTGGGAAGTGTTTCCCAAAAAGGCAGTCATCCTGACCTCGCCAACGTTGCATGTCAATTGATTGCAGGTCGCAAACGCCGGCCGAAAATGCGTGAAAAACGCGCTCGACGCCGCCGCCTGTCCATCATCATCATCATCATTAAACAGTATCCCCCTCTGTTTCCTCTAATAAAAGTATTGCCAGGTGGGTGTGAAAGGGAACCGGCACACTCTGTTATATATTAGACAGGGAACGTCATTCCTTCTCGTCGACGTCATTCGACTGTGTCGTCATTTGCAGCTCCTGCTCTGCAGCTCGACGACCACGGCTCTGGCAGGTTGCTCGACACCGCTCGCGCCGTCGAAGAACCCATGTCTGACGTCTCTCCGAAACCCGCCCCTTCTCAGCCTCAGCCCACCATGACGTCCCCCCCTGCCCCATCAAATGGGGCGGTCGTCTCCACCCATGCACAGCTCGCAGCTCTCCTTGCCGCCAGCTATCAAGAAAAAGAATCTCTCCAAAAAGAACTCGTCTCCGCTCGAAAACGTCTTGAATCTCTCGACCGTCAGCTTGCCGCATTCTCAAAGTCTTCCTCTTCGTCCTCCCCAAATGCCAGCTCAGCTGCCATCTCTGATGTCGCTCAGCGCTACATCCAGGAGGCCGAGCTACGTGCAGAACGTGCGGAACTCGCCCGTGATGAAGCAGATGCTCGCAGTCGGGTTATCACAGAGGCTTGGGAAGAACTCCATCGATATCTGGCCACGCTCGATTTTCGCTCCCAAGATGCTCGAGCGGGCTTTGCGCGCATCATGGCCGAAGGTGGAGGTCAACTCGTCCTTGCACCTCCCCCCGCGTTTGGTTCGCATCATAGCCATTACCCCCTTCACACCCCTCCCTCTGCCACCAGCCCCGCTATCATGCTTATCCCTCCATCCCAGTCCCGTTCCCACCACAGACATTCCTCCACTCCGTCATCTCATCCCCCCTCTGCGACCTCTCATCCTCCTCCTCAAAATGCGTCCCCATCACGTGTCAGACCTAGATCGAACAGCTTCGACGATCAATCTCCCTACCTCTCTGCGCCGGGTCAACCACCCGCCAAACGGCACCGCAGCGATCGTGGAGAGTATGACCACCATCCCCATGTTCGTTCCCTTGCAGTTTCTTATTTATCTAAACCCTCTGATCAGTATCTAACAGCTGAATTCCTCTTCACTGCGCTCTCGTGGCCGCCCAACTGATATCGACGTTCATGCTGCACATCGCTCGTCCCATCGTGACCTCGCGTCACCACATCTCTCCGTGCAACCCACCTCCTATGTACACCGTCCATCTCATGTGGTTCATTCTCGCTCATCTTCGCGCTCGTCACAGCACTCCCTCTCCATCGACGAGATGCTCCTCGAGGCATCGACAGATGATCCCCGACCACGGAACAACGAGCCACCATCCCCTCGAGTCGTTTTGGCACACCACCAACACCCGACCTCCCATCACAATTCGGTAACAGCTTCATCAAGAGGGCTGGTTAATACACCCACGGTTGGTCCGCTGGAGCAGCCGGGTGAATTGAGGACATATCAGACTCACGTTTTTGCACCCCCCGTTACGGGTGCACCTACGAAGAAAGGGAAGATGAGTTTGGGTGGGTCTTTTTTAAAAAGTTCCATTTTTTGTTGTAAAAAAAGGCCGTCTCTAATTTTTTTTTTTGGGCGATGCAACAGCTAACGGGGCACCTACGCTACCCACGCCGTCAAACACGTCGACATCATCGACAGCACCCCCACAAACTCCCACGACATCGCACCCTCTCGCGTCTTCAACGTCAGCCAATCTCTCTCATCCCCATCCACACCATGTTGGGACTGCGCACGGCCACCCCCAGCAACAGCCGCCGCAACCGACGGTTCATCGTACTCCCGCAGGAACTTATCCCCCGACAAATTCGCTCGGTCAACGCATCTGTCGTCAATGCGGACTTGTAGGGCGGTACAAGGAAGGGAAATGCGTCGAGAAGTGGGGTCCTGGGCCCGAGGGGCCTGGTACCGTTTGCGACCGGTGTCGAAAGAAGATGAAAAGGGTCGAACGGAGAGGTACACTCGGGGGCGTTGGCGGCGTTGCCGCCGGTAATATCACCAGCGGTGTTTCCAGTGTCGACCAGCAAATAGGTGGTCAGCATCAGGGAGGAAACGGAGTGAACCAGCTAACGCATGCGCATACGATGCCCGCAAGGGTTTCCAGGAGTGACACTGTTCCTGCACACGTTCTTCCTAGTGCTTCCGTTGGCAACGGTGACGGAAACGGAGGTGGGTCGGTCGGCCCGACTGGAACGCGGATTATCGGTTCAGCGGCCTTCGGGGGTAAGCGAGATAGAGACCGAGATAGATATCCTGTTTCTCAGCCACACTCTCCGCACCCATATGCTCATGGACAAAGTCAGGGTTTGTCACCTTCGCAACGGCCTACTACGTCGGGTTACGCGACTACCTCCCCCCCTTCTGCCACTGGGTCCAAAGATCCCACCTCAACGCCTGGCACAGCACACCGGCCTAGTTCGATAGAGGGCCACGGTCAGACTTCTCTGCCCTCCCCACCAGCGATCGCGACGCTCCCCCTTGATGACGATTGCCGACCTTCTGCTCCCGCTCGATCGTTACTCTCCAGTCCTCCGAGTGGGAGTGGTACCGGAGCGAGAGCATCAGTTCAGGGACCGAGATCCGTGACAGGGGCCTTGAGCGTACAGCGGGAAAGGGATTCTCGACAACGAGCGGCGGGCACTGTCAAGGCAAGAGGAAGGGCCAGCGACTCCAGTAGTGGGAGTGGCAGCGTAGATGTTGATGCTGATGCTGATGCAGACGGTGAGGATGCAGATGCAGATGGGGAGGATGCCGATGCCGACCCGGACGCGGACCCTGATGCGGAGACGCGATTGAACGAACCCGACAATGAAGATGACGAGGTAATGAAGGAGCACGACAATGGTGACGAAGGGGAAGATGCCGATAAAGATGCCGAAATGGAACTTCTCAAAGCCGTCGACGCTGCTGAGAAGAGTAACGTCTCGCGAGCGAGTGGGAGCACTGGGAGTAGGGCTGTTGGAGGTGGGAACACGCGCGAAGCATCAGCCCGGTTTGGTGGGCGAGGCGGGATCAGTGCGCAGAGAAGCGGCATAAGTGTGAAGGGTGAGTGAGGTCCATTGCGCTCGTGGCCCCAACTTGCTTGTGTGGTTGGGAAACTCGTTTCCGGTAGTCCTATGGCGGATTTCCTCAGATACCAGGATGAGGAGGATTCGGTCATCTGGCGAAGAATACAGATGATCTCTTATTCGGCTCTGACCCTCCACTTTTCCCGAGGCCGCTGCCAGTTTCTTCTATGCCCAGATTTTCTACAACATACCCATTCTTTCGTCGTGGTTGTCTTCTCATTTTTGTCGCACCCCTTTTCCCCCTTACTTTTAGACCTTTTGCTTTTGTCGGGCTCTTGTTCTTTGCTTGCTTTTGGTCGTTCTTTTTTTTTTTCTCTGGTTTCTCTTCGGTTTCCTTTTTGTGGGTTTCTGTGGGAACTATTTCGCCTTTCGTTGATCCTTGCTGTGTCCCCGCTCGTTGGTCGTCCGCCTCCTCCCTCGCTCTCTCGCTATTGATTGTTGATCGTCTTGCCTCTCGACTCGGTTCACTGGTGCTTCCATTTGCGACTCGGGCACTTACCTTCTTTTGTGTCTGTCCTCGCTATACTGGGTGAGTGTACTGGTGGCGCGGACAAAAGATGAACTAACGTCCCTGTGCGCCAAGGCTCTCCGTCACTGATACCCTCCCCCCAACCCCACCTACAACTTCTTTTATCCTAATGCCTCGCTAGGAGCTCCCGCGTCGCGACATCACATCAACCATCCATCCCTATAGATCTTTTCCCTGCTTCATTCACATGCGTTCGCCGTTCTCTTGCAACACCTACCTGCCTTCGGTCGACCCACTTGCTCACGATACGATACGACGCGTTACGTCCCCCCAAAACCAATAAAAATAAAAATTCCTGCCGACGTACACTGGAAGATACGAGTGCTTTCTATGTGGCGGATGGAAGACAGGAGAAGAACTGGTACGAAGAAATATGGACAGACAAGACAGACAGACACGGGAAGTGACTGTGTGATCTGTGTACTGTAGGAAGTTCAAATTGTAGCCTTGCATCGCGCAAGTTTGATTCGAAGCAATTACTTGTTGTAGTTCTAGTACAGCTGAATAAACGGGCCGTCGAAATCAGTTGTTACCACGAATTGGAACAAGTCGAATGGAAGTGGTAGGTAGTTCGAGGACACTCGGACAGAGCTGACACAGACTTCGAATCGAAGCGAGTTCACATTGGAGCTCGGTTCGGTTCGAGATACTAGCTGAGTGACAACTCGTAGTGACTGGAGGTGAACTCATCCAACTTTCAGAGCGTAGTGAGACACTTCGTTGCAGGTCCAACGGCACGGAGGCCGGCCGCGCTCCAAGTTTGTGCACGGTAAAGGTATGCTGCACTAGATGCTTGTCCGGACTGCAAACTCACCAAGATGCATGCCTAGAAAAAAGACACTGAGTTTAGGCTTGGTGCACGAATGTCTACTCCGAGGGGACTTCAGTAAGCTCGCTCGTCAATATCGGCCAACCATACGACTGCATTCGCGCCGGCACAGTTGGCGATAAACGTGTCCACGCATATTGTCACACGAACAGCTAGCTAAATCTGCGCATAATAGGCATGGTGCTCATCGTCCCTTTGCGGATCTCAGGTGGCCATAGACCCGCCCCGCGACGCAAGAATCACGTTTTTAGGATCCTGGGGCACTCATGAATGATGATCGGTAGCTTAGGCCATGTCAAAGCTATGGCATTGAAATTCAAAATAATCCACCGCGAATACAGAGCCTTGCGCAGCGAGTTTGAAATTTTCTCTTCCATTTCACCTCCTCGCCTTCTGGTGCGGCCGCCCCTGTCGCCTAAGTTCTTCAGGGCAACTATGGCCCTGCAGGTGAAGTGGCACGCTGTGGATTTATTTCTAACATCGTTCGACACATGCTGATCTGTGCTAATACACCCCTTTTTCCAAGCTGCAAAATTTCCAAATGATGTCCTATGGTTCACAAGAGATGATCGATCTTATTTTTGCGCTACTGCAAGGCCGCCCCGGATCATTATCCAAAGATTAGAACCTCCGTGCACAGCTACAGTACCGCAAACAAATTAGCATCATGACGTATGATATAGGTCACTGATCTTTGCTCTCGGGCGCGTATGGAAAAGGTACCCGCTGTAGAACGGAAGAGTACTGTGATCGCGGGGCAACGTTAAGAACGGAGATTCGCTAGGCCACTGTCATATCGCAATGAGGGGTGGGCTGACATATGACGTCCGCGCAGGTAATACAGTTGTCGTTGCCGAACACTTTGGCGGTAGTGGTGGAGTCAAGTCGGCCGCTCACCCCTCCTCGCGGTCAGTCGCGCTCCATTACTGTTCCCTCTCATCCCTAATCCTTATCACGCCATGCGGCGCTCAATTCAGCGTCCGGTCTGACAGAGAAACTAGGGAAGGTATAGCAGAAGGGTTATAACGTAAATTTCCGACCAACACGGAATATCTTCGGATTTCTGATCTTATAGGTTTCGGACTCCAATTGAGGGCTGAATCTGTTGGTCGCGTTAGGTTTTCCCTCCGTTTGCAGTATTCGGTTGGACGACAGTTCTCGTCGGCCTCCGTGGCCGTAGTCCGGTAGCTATACGCCCTCCGCGTTTTACGCCTGGAGTCGTTCCCACCGGAATCAGTGTTCTCCCTTGCGGCAGTCTTTCCACCCGCAGCATTGTTGATTGCACTTGATCTGTATTAGAGGATGTTGGAGTCGTATTGACCCGACCTTGCCTGTTACGTTTTCCTCACGCACTACGCACGGTATGCTGGCTTCAAAGCTTAGCCTTCGCAAAGTCCGTTCAATCGCCTTTATCGATCATTCCCTCTATCGTGAGCACAAGTGACCGCGATCAATGAAACGACCAATTTCACGGTCATACGTTTCCTTTCTCACTCGCGCAGAAGAATCGCTTCTTTGCATGACCGCGCCAGCGTGTCACATTACACACTCCACCAGCCTCCTTGTGTGCACGCGTTATTCATTTCCCCTCGCTCTCTGCCGTTAACAAGCGTCAACTTCAATTCCCCGCTTCCAATTCCGTACCTCCTCACGGGGTCCTACCGCGTGCTCGCTCCTCACAGCATGCTGCCTCTCTTGGTCTACCGTCAGGAAGGTTTGCTGTGATCCTCACTATGATTTCGTGTTTCGCCCGATGATGGTTTTGCGTGCTACATACGTCATGCGATCAATTATTGAGGGCAATATCAGGATTAACTGCAACCCGTCCTGACGCGCCCCTGCCTTCCAAGTATCGATGCTGTAGATAGCGCGCCACCCGAACGGATGCCTATGGAAAGCTTCTTTGATATTCCTAGGGACGACATTACCAAAACTTTCAAAACCTGTGGTGCTTGAATTCCAATTGGATGCGAAAGCCATAATCTTTCCCTACTACGCGGTCTTCAGCGCTGTGGCCAGTTTAAATGGCTTCTTCGTGCGCCCATTACAATCAGCTAAGCCTCACACGTACTCAGTGACATAGTGGTCACCAGATCCGCCTGATCGACTTACCAGGTACGCAGGAGTTGTGACGTCGCCGCCTTGCGTCAGCGGCGTGTCCTATTTTCGATCACTTATCAGATCCCATGTATGCCGTTCGTGTTTTATGACCATTGCGTCATAACGTACCGCTCCTCATCTTGTACCTACATCGTTGGCCTTGTGGCACGTTGTTCCATGACGAATGCGGGGAGGTGGGGAGCTGATACGCGGGTTTCGTTAATTGTATGTGGTTTGTTGGCATGCCGCCTGCCAAGGCGCAATTTGTCGTAGGCATGGATTGGGCAAGGACTATAACTAAGCTCGCCCGCGTCCGCGAGCGCAGCAAGATCCGTCCACTTACCAACCGTCTAGTTGTGTCCCTATGGTGAGATCATGACATCATCCTGCATTATTGCGCCAGTTTCAACTAATACAGTTTAAGTAATGAACTGTACGTCTCTGCGGTAGGTCAATACAGTCCGACATTCACGTTTGATCCTGCCTATCTATAAACCAACTGGGTGGCTCCCTGGCGCTCCTTGGCGTTTTGACCAATGATCGCAATGTCCGTTTCCTTGTCACATCTTCCGCTCTCTCAAAATGAAGACGTCGCGCGGTGGACGCGCTGAGACATTGCTTGCGCGTGCGTTTTACAATGGCCCCCTCATGGACAAACCGGAGTCACCGAACGTTCGGATCATTTTTGCTGTATTTTGAGAGGTTATTTCACAGGCCCTTACCAGGACTGTGATAACTTGGGAAAAATACAATGTGTGGCGGTGGAAGCTCACGCCTTCAGCAAAGTCGCGATTGCCAACAGGTGGGTTCGGTTGATTTTACTACCGCAGTCACTTCAATCACTAGAATCCGACCCGATTCCATATCAAACAGCTGGCGTCCGAGTAGGAGAATTGGTTTAAGAAACCCGTGTGTGTTATAAACTTACGGGACGTCGTTCACTTCCTAAGCACGTAATTTAATATACTACGTGGAATGCTGGTCTGGCATGGCAGTGAGAACAACCCAGGTGCCTCGGGAATTGGCAGTCATTTCCTGATAAGGAATCGTGATGATTGCTGGCTTAGTCACTGAAAGTCGTACCGTTCCAAGTCGAAGCCTCGAGTCCGTATCCATATCCACGGCTATGCTTCCTAGCGCGGAAGCTGGAGATATCCCTAATTCGCATTCGATACCTTCCAATGCACCCGAACACTGTCCGGTAATGTTTTTGTAGAAACGTAGAAGATCTATTTCACTAACTCCACTTAGGGCACGGAGTCTGAGCTTGCGGGAAAAGCGGATGCGTGTCAGGGCTGTCCGAATCAAGAGATCTGTGCTTCGAGCAAGCCGAACGGTCCAGATCCAGCCCTTCCGTACATCCATGAGCGAATGACTTCCGTCAAGAGGAAAATAGTCGTCCTCTCCGGAAAGGGTGGTGTCGGGAAATCTACTTTTGCAGCCCAGCTCGCTTGGGCCTTTGCAGCAGACGAACAACTTCAGACCGGTTTGATGGATGTAGACATCTGTGGTCCATCTGTTCCGACTATTCTTGGCATCGCATCGGAACAAGTCCATTCTTCTTCCGCTGGCTGGTCCCCTGTATATGTGCAGGATAACCTGGGGATTATGTCTGTCGGCTTTATGCTACCGTCGTCTCGTGATGCTGTCATGTGGCGGGGTCCGAAGAAGAATGGGTTGATTGCTCAATTCCTGAAAGACGTGGACTGGGGCGACTTGGATTATCTCGTCATTGACACGCCTCCCGGGACATCGGACGAACACTTGAGCATCGTTCAGTATCTCAAGGAGAGCGGAATAGATGGTGCTGTACTCATCACCACCCCTCAAGAAGTGGCTCTGCAAGACGTTCGGAGGGAAATTGACTTTTGTCGAAAAGTTGGCCTGCGAATATTGGGCGTTGTAGAGAACATGTCAGGATTTGTGTGCCCTTCGTGCAAATCAGAGAGTCAGATCTTCAGACCGACGACCGGAGGCGCAGAGAAACTGGCGAAGGAGACGGGTATTGAGCTACTCGGAAAGGTGCCCCTCGATCCACGGATCGGCAGGAGCGCAGACTATGGTTTGAGCTTCTTAGACGAATACCCGGACAGTCCTGCAAGTGCATCCTACCTACAAATCATTGACAGTAAGTGAGGTCATATTTGGTCACTTGGTAGAAGCTGACGGGCTTTTAGGAATCAAGTACATTCTCGGAGATAAGTGACGTTGTATCATTTGTATTTCTATCGCTATATCTGAAGAATGTACCAAGTACCCGGCATACAGCTACTCGTATTTGGCAAGTAGTTGATGTTGCGCATATCACAGTTTATTTACTCCCCTCACGGTGTTACCCTGATCCTATCATTCGCATCGGAACCCAGCAGACCCTGAAAGAGCCACTTGTCGCAACTTGACGGGATGTTTAAGACGATTTACCTTGACAGCATAAGAGAGGAATGAACATTCAAACTTAGGGGTTTCTGCAGGATAGGTACGGCGGATATCCATCAAGCAAGCTGCTGCGGTCCTTTACGATGAGCAGAGGGTAACGAGGACACTTGGCGCCTCAATATGACGAAAGTCGACATGTTCCCGGAGATATGTGGTCCCACGCAGGTATTGATACACATGCGCTCGGCGCTGGTGCAGCTGCTTCGTGAAGCCAGAAGAAAAATCAAAAGGCACGGTTAATATCAGTGACCGCCCGTCCGAGCAATTTGTAAATAGCAAGAACGCCACTGTTCTAGTACCGCCAGCACCTCTACGACGGTACACTTACTACCCTGACACAAGTGGCAGTCCGAATGAAGCTCGTTGCAGGACTCGGAGAGTTTGCAGAGTCGAAAAGGCATTCGAAAAGTACGTGCCGGAGAAAGTATGCAGGAGCACTAGATCCAGTGTCGAAAAGAGAACCTATGGTCCCCCATGTAGTTTCTGGTCATGTGCATATTGCAAGCTGTCGCCTGCGCCTACGTGTCCTGCCAAAGGTAAGGTAATGAAGAGTAGACCTTCGGTAAGCTCCGGGGGTATCGGTTTTGGGTACCTCTGTTTCAATACGTTTCAGGCCCACATATTTGGACGCCTTCCCCGATGAAGGTGGACTGTGGGCGCAGGCAAGATGCACTGGAGTGACTGGACTATACAGCCACAGCAGAGTAGCTTGACATTGAAACCGCAGCTGTGTAAGAACGTCCGACGTTGTCGTGTCTCCTATTATGTAAGCACAGCAGTCGATGATATGTGTCGCGATTCCTGTCTGCAATATTTACCACGGGAATCGCTGGCAGAACACTGCGTCCTTTCGCACCTCCAGGGCGCGCTGGTTGTGTAGCGCCTTTTGAACTGCCCACGATCTTCAACGCGGCGTTTCTCACCCTCAGACATCATAGACGATGCCGAGACAGAAGAACTTAACCCCCCAGGAGTTGTACAGAGCGCGAAAGGCCCGCGAAGAGAAAGAAAGGAATGCGTTACTTCCGCCTGGCCTGGTAAATCATGGAAACACATGTTTCATGAATTCAGTACTGCAGGGGGTATGTAACTGCCAGCCTACGAAGAATCAGATGATTCCTCACCTATTCCAGCTCATAGCTACACAATACCTGGAACAACTTGCCATGTTCAAACCTATACCATTCGTGGTACAATCGCCCACCGATGTCCCCGTCGCATCGCACAGATCTCCAGAGTTAACTAATGGACATGGGGTCGGCGGCGAGTTCGAGCTACCACGAACTGATGGACTTACCATCGGTGACACGTTTATTAACGTAATGTTACGGGCATGGGTCATGCGGAATAATCGTGATCGGGACAGCCTCAGTCCTAGGTACGGTATGGAATTGTGATAGCTATCCGGTTCTGACACATTCATCTAAACCACAGGGAAATTCTGACGGCGCTAGGGCAGAAACACGACCAATACCTAGATTTCAGACAGCAGGATGCGCACGAGTTTCTTAGGCAACTCTTGGATGCTATGCGCATGGAAGAGATTGATGTGAGCTTCATTCAAAATCACCCTGTCTTCTCTCACCCTGTCCTTGCAGATAATTAAGAGAAGATCACAAAATCAGTCTGTTCAGAAATCAGGCCTACCAAAACAGTGCAATGAAGAAGGCACACCATCCAAGTTCCCAGATCGGCCGTCATCCGATCACTCCGAAGTCAAGAAAACGTCTCAGGCTGGCGAACCACTGCAACAAGCAAACGACAAACCCACGTCTTTCGTCGATATGCTCTTTGGTGGAAAGCTGGCTAGCATTCTGGTCTGCCAAACTTGCAAGCATGTTTCCCACACGTATGAAGACTTCAATGATCTTAGCCTGAGCATCAAAGCCGAAGATTATGTGCGGGAAAGGAAACGAGACAGGATAAAGCAGCTGGCTAAAAAGCTACGAAATATATCGAACTCGGCATTAGCAGCGGTGCCGCCTGTGCAACGTTCATCTTCCGTACCAGCAACACCAGTCCGGGACTCTTCGGACAGTCCTGAACTGTCAGAATCCCCAAGGAGACGGAGTATAGACCTTGCAGAGGTTAAGGTACAAGTTCAACCTGTTGATGAAGAGAAACAATCCGGCATCGATGCGGACACAGTGGTGATTCCTATTATCCCAGACTTGCCTGTCCCAGTCACGACTCCGCCGAATTCTGAGACTATGGAACCAATACCTGTCACACAACCTTCGGAGGCGACACTGCTGCAGGAGTCAGTTGCCATTCCTATCTCTGGCGAGATCTCGAAAGCCAATGGATGGGAGAAGAGGATCAAAGACGACAGTTGGGTGAAACTCAGCAGGCGTATAAGCGCAACAGTGGGACTTTCCAGGAGTTCTCGAGAGTCCAGTCGTAGCCGGAGAGAGGAGAGAAAGGCCAAGAATAGCAGTCCGCCCAAAACAAGCCCTAAGGTTATCGAAGGACCTGTTGCGCCGCGTACTTCTGCCTCCGTCACATCAACGCAAGAAGACGCGAACTTCACCAGGTCTCCAAATACCAATATAGAAAAAGAGCCGCCGCCAACTTCTATGTTCCTTGTGAATGAGAAGTTGCAGGTGCAGGTGGCAGGTATGAAGAGATCGCTGTCTACCAATCAAAAGTATCCTGGCAATCCACTGGAAACTCAATTTCCTGTTACCAACCCGTCACCTAAACGACATAAACAGCGGCCTCCGAAACCCAGTGCGGAAGAAGCCGCCTACTTACGTGATGTCCTCGCAGATATCCACCCTCAGAATATTATTCGACCATTCTCATTTTTCAGGCAATCCAAAGATCAAGTTGTCGCAAACTCTGGCGTCTTGCAAGGGACGCTCCTAAAACTTGGCCAACTGGGGGGAATAGAAGAATGCTTACGGCTCTTTACTTCTGTAGAAGTTCTGGATAGCGAAAACATGGTTCGTTGCCGCCGTTGTTGGAAAATAGCGAACGGCGTATACAAACCTTCATCGACAAGATCTGCGCAGGGCAGCGGTTCATGCACGGACAGCAATGACGATGATGCGGACCAAATTATACCTCTCCCGTCTTATTCCTATCCGAGACACGGCCCAGAGGCATTCAGCGCCGAATCTGGATTCCCTCCCCCCGGAATAGTCACCACCTGTACCCCTTCCGAGAACCAGGATACCCATATTGACGATACCTCTCACCTGAATACCAACATTTCATTGCAAGCTTCCGCGGCAAAGATATCGAAGCCACCGCCTCCGGTGTTACAGCTCAATGATTGCGCCACTATTGATGATACCCAATTTGAAAAATCCCGGCCTTCTGAACAGGACGTACTTGTACCTTCAATCTCAACGGCTCTACCCCAGTCTCCACACTCTGTGGAAACCGCGAGGCCAACAGCTTCGCGACGAAGTACTACGTCATCTTTTGTAACGCAGTTTTCTCCTGCAACTGCATCTTCGAAGGGGACTTCGCTAAGTGCTCCATTTGACTGGCGTCGAAGGGACAAAGATCGGGTTTCCGATAGTGCCACCGAAAGTGATGGTGTATCGGAAGATAGCGACATGATATATGTCTCCTCTGACATTTCATCCGCTGCTTCCCCCACTTTCTCGCCGAATGTATCCCAGGAACAACTCGAGTCTACCTCGCAGCCATCTCGTGATACTCCTTCGAAGACAAAGACAGATCAATGTGACGTTCCCCGCTCCGAGCAGGTGCTCATGCGGCCGGCCTACAAACGTTATCTCATTGCAACACCGCCGCCGATCCTCGTAAGTCCACCTGAAGCGCTTTCAGCAGTCATCAAAGACCCCCGCGACGTCGTTTGCATCGGGCTTCAAGAAGCTTGATGATTACGTTTCGTTTCCTGAATACTTGGACTTGGCCCCCTACCTTGCCCCTAGGAGAGAAGATTATTTTGTCACGAAGGCAGCCGTGGGGCGGGGCCGTGGAAAGAGAGTAGAACCATGCACGTATCGACTGTATGCTGTCGTCGTACACATTGGAAACATGGTATGTCCCAGAACCTGTCATGGTTTCTGCTGCCTCATATGTTGTCAGCTGGGTGGGCATTATGTTGCATACACTGCTCTCCCGCCTTCGACGTCTCAAAGCAACCACCCTGGCAAGGAACAACATTCGCCAGACAGAGCTCCCAGAGATTGGGCTTATATCAGCGACACTGTCGTCCGGCTTGTCTCATTCGAAGAAGTCATGAAGACCAAAGCTTACATTTGCATGTACGAGCGGATATAAGTGATCTGTCCATTCTAGACCTCCATATTCTATCAACAACCATTTTACCTGACGTCTCCTTGCGCTATCTTTATTCGCTTTAGCCCAAGCTCGTACTATTTATTTACTCCGTAGCGGAGTCCGTATGTAGAGAGAGATGTATTCATGTAATTCTACCCATCGCATAATTATAATTCTAGACGAGGTGGTCCGCCGTCAGTCGAAAATACAACTGCTCAGTGACTCCAGGATGGGCAAATTTGATGTGCTGTTTGCCGTGTAGTCAATGCATTTGTTTTCAAAATAACCATTATTGGGTACGGTGGTCTCAAGTTTTCCGCCCGCAAGAGATGTCCTGACAAGGTAGCAGCCATTGGGCTCGCATTGAAGGTATCTCTGCAAACCGTCAGCCCCAGTTGAGCAATTACCAACGGGTGCGAGGCGACGGACAATGACTCAGAGGGCAACTTACCAGAGACGCAGCTCACGAGTACACATCCGTAGTCTGGTAACCAAACCGTTTATGAGGCCTATGAGACAAGCTGTCTTCCTCATACAGTCTAATTGCTAGGCTAATATATCCAACCGGGCACTGAAAACAGCCCAGCATTGGTAACGATGACGCCTTGTCCTATCGAACAGCACAAGTTGCTATGACGAGGACAGGGAGATGACCAAACGGAATGTCTCACCAAGCGTGTTTGTACAGACCGGCCCCGAGAGACCTGTAACAACTCGGTGCAGTCTATCAGGGCCCTGGCCGATACTGTACGAGGAAGAACCATCCAATATGCTTGCAGGTATTTCTTCAGAGATGAGAGGGCTTGTGTTTTCAGGGGCCCCATCCCGTGCCACCGAGCAAATCCTGGAGGCATGGTTTCGTAAGTAATCTGAATTAAATCTACCAGAAAGTTTGCTCTGCGGATTGCTACATTATCGGAAATCATTGGGAAGACCCAGTGTTTAATAGAGAACTTGCCGTTTTAACCTTTGCGCACCATACCAGGGTGGCTATCGATCAGAAAGATCAGAAAACCGCCGAGTAGCGAGGTATGGCAAAGTTCTCGATGCTTATTCTTATACCGTTTGAGCTAGAATGGCTCCAAAAAACGAGCCAGTAATTTGCCAAGTGCTGTGGCCGTTTTCATGATGTAGTATATAGGAGACATTGTAAAGAGTAACTAGCAAGTTCGAGCAGTCACTGGCGGCAACCGCGATTGTTTGGTAACAACAACAACTCCGCGTTCGCGTTGCTCAAGTGTTCTTTCTGCACAAGTACTTGGGCCCCGAACGTTAAGAATGGCGGATGCGGCCTTCAAGGATATACCTGAATTGTTTGAAGTCAGTATTGCCTTCCAGGTGTCTGTATCTGCGGATTGGTTGATCGCAAAGTTTTAGGTCGATATAGGCGAAGCCCTGACGGCTAGAACAGAGAGCTTGGGTGAGCGGACTCGGTTCTGCTGCGTCATAACACAACTCTAACTCTTAATGTAGCCACCTTTCGTGAGCTTGGACCGCCGGACCTCTGTCATGTTGTGAAGAGCACGGGAAGGACTGGGCAGCGCGATGTATGTAGAGGCATTCTGATTGTCTGTTATCCTTCTCACAACAACGCGACTCATTCGTCACTATGAACAGCTGGGTTCTTTCCATTATATATCAGGCGTCGACGCTTCTTCATCTGCTTCGCTCGCTGCTTATATCAACTCCCTTACTTATTCCTTCGAAGATAACTTGGCGTGGTTCTCGAAGGGTCCTACATGGAAGGTCAGGAGCGGTTGTTATTGGTTGGTACCTTGATTGTCTCTCCCTCTCGTCTCCGTGACCGCAAATTTTAGTTGTTTCAACGCGTTCTCTCGCGTAGATGTTCGCGTCGACGTGAAGATTCCAGGTGGAGTGAATGCTTATGTCGTGGATTTGCGTGGGGAGCGGTTCGTCCTTTCTATACTTTTCGAAGGCTCTAGGTCATTTCATTCCTGTTACCACAGTCACGAAGCCACACCTGAAATATGGCAAGAAACCTACATGTCTGCTCTGCTCCGGGCGATTTTGTATTCGGACGATCCTTCCTACTGGCTTGATGCATACCGTAAACTAGATCCAGTCACGTCTTCTGAAGGAGAAGTACGATTTCTCCAAGCTGCAGAAGCATTGTTCATGAAAGGTGCGTTCACTCTTACTTTGTGTTTCTCAGACTCCACCGACTTCCATATACAGGGTGGCAGGTAGGATCGGACCCGGAGATTCAAGTTGCGACGATTGTCTCAAATCATTTAACTGCCGGTATCCTGAAATACTTCGGTGGATGTGGGAGGTGGCAACAAGCAGCCAACCTTTTTGAAAAGCTTTCTGCCCGCGAACCCGAAGTTGCCTCCCTCCTTGCCAAAAGTTACCTAGGAATGAGTAAGGCGCCTGCTCTCCCGTAGTATCGTGAGTGAATGTGACGACTCGCACAGACGAAGAGGTGAAAGCGGTGCAAATCATGTCAAACGCTATCAAGCACACACCACGCTCTTACACTCTCCTACACGTTCAAAGTGACTTCCTTCGCTCAAAAGGTAAAGCCGACTGGGCACTCAAACTAGCGAAGGAAGCAGTAAATTGTGCCCCAAGTGAGTTCGTGACGTGGGAGAAGCTCACAGAACTGTATATCGAGACGAAGGATTACGAATCTGCAAGTATTTTTAAAATCTTTAGTGCCCTTTCTGCTCATCCACTCCGCTCAGGCGTTGCTCACTCTGAATTCCTGCCCTATGTTTACGTACAATGGCAGAGATACTCATCGTGCTATCCCGACGTCTCGTGTACATCTTCCCACCAAAAGGCAAATCAGTGATATCCTTCCCGAGAGGCAAAAATTCGAGGATGACGAAGTATGGTCACCGGCTCATGCGTTGATAACCCTTCAGCCTGACACTCTTGCATAGGCTGATCCTGCTCTCCTTCGGCTACCGGCTCCCGGGTTGCGGGGAACTTGGGCGCGGGCATATGTTCTCCTTACTCGCTTGGTTTCTGAAATCGGGTGGGACGAGCTCTTGAAAACACGGAGTGCCGTTTTCGTGATGGAAGAAGAATACCGCATGCAAAAGGCGCAGGCCGATATCCAAAATGCTGCCCTCAGGCAGCGGATACGTCAGGAGGCGGATAGCGCGGTAATTTACGAAGATGGGACAGTTGGTCGTCGATCCGAGTCTGCGACACTCACTGCCGACGACGATGCGTCTATCAAGGGCGTACGTGGCTCAGGGGGATCAAAAGCGTCCGAACTGGACAATAAGTTGGAGGAGGAGGTCCTCAATCCCTCTGATAGCATCCCTGTCATACGGGTGTCCACCGAATCGGACATAGAAAGAGAATTGGCGGAGTCTGGTTGGGCGACGCCAAATGGCAAGGACACCGATGGCCCTGCATCCGTCATTACAAGTCCCATCGTTGAGAGACCATTGACTGCTGCTGCTAATGAGGAGGCAGAGGCGTCTCCAGCTACTCCCCAGGAAGGATTTTCCTTCACGAACAAACGTTTATGTGAGCGTTGGTTGGATAATTTATTCATGGTCCTTTATGAGGTAAGCAAGGCACAAGGTACACACCTTTTCAGCAGGCACTAATGGCTCATACAGGATTTGAGAGTGTGGACAATATTCCGGGCCGAGGTGGCACATTTCAAAACACAACACGTGGCCTATCGGAAAACTGGCTTGGAGTGGGAAATCCTTGGTGACCTGGGTGTCCGTTTGCATCACAAAGAGGAAGCAAAGGAAGCGTACCAGAGATGCATCGAGACCTCCCGATACTCCCAAAAGCCATGGACAAAACTACTGGAGACGTACGCTGAGGAGGGTGACATCACCCGTACTGTCCAAGCCGCCATAAGACTTGCTGCATACCAACATGCGGATTTTACCGAGATGACAGTGAGCAACCCCATGCGGCCGTGCTCTACGGTGTAATGACTGAAACCCTACAGTACCCGACCCTCATTGCCCGATGCTTCTTTAAGTTGGGGGAAATCCATGGCCACGCCAAGATCTCGTTCACACTGCTGAGCATGGGCCTGTCCGAACCTATACTGAAGATTATGGATAGTTACCTGCAATATGGAAAGACGTTTAAGGTGGAAGGATACGACTTTTGATACGGTACTTGGTTCGTTTCGATTTAGATAATTCATCGTGTTGTGAGACATGGCGTGACCCGGTGAGACTTCCCGAGTAGGCAATGGTATGTAGAGTGGGTCCCATTTAGCTTGCCTCCTCCGCCATCGCAAACCTGCCAGCATTTCCGGGGCGTCTCTGGCACTTATCCCCGTCACTGGCCGTCACTTGCAGCAAAATCTGCTATTAGCTCTCATACCTCTGACGTGCAGAAACCGGACTTGTGTCGTTGCCAACCAAGATGTCTGACTCTCCTATTCGACGACTTTCCACTAGTAGTCCCAGCCAGCTCAAACGAGAGGAGACCCTCATCAACGCCTATGAGGCGGAGGAGGAACGAATAATCAACATACTATCACGCAAGCTGGAACAGGTATGAACGTGCCCATGGTTCGGCTGATAGTGGAGGGATGACAATGGCTGCATCATAGCTCCGCGAAGAGAAAATCAACCTTGAAAATGCCCTCGAGGCCGAGTCGGAATCTCATGTGAACCGTCTAAACAGAGAGCTCTCCGCGCTGCGTCTGGTACAGCAACAACAGGCAGCAGGATCACCGTCCGTTTCTCCCGACGCGAGAACCGGGACATCCGCGTTTCTGAACGGATATGATCCCACTGCTCCCAGCGCTGAGGTGTTGTTAGAGGCTATGAGGCGTGAAAACGAGCAGTTGAGGAGCCGCTTGGTGGATACTGAGCGGGACTATGTGCGCATCGCACGATTGAACGAGATCTATCGCGAGGAGTTGTTGGAACATAGACGCAGAGTAAGCCATTCGTTGCCAACACACGTGTGGATGATTGAAGTTTTCTCGTAAAGCTTGGATTGTCGGTGGATAACTTGGTTGGATTGTCATCAGCAGATCCGCTTTCACAGCCGACCCACCGACGTTCCCTATCCAACCTTTCTCCCTCAAATACGTCTGTTGCACACACCGCGAGTCCTCGCATGTCACACGGTGTGCCAATACCTCGACCATCCCCTGTGCATCATCGGCCCTTGAACCACCCCTCTGAAACCACGACGCCGCTTTCACATTCACCATCATCTACAGAGTCACCTTTTGTCTTTTCGCCCACTGCGACAAACCCTGCGAGTTACACGAGTAACGGCACGCATTCAACAACACCACCCTCGTCAGTTTCACTTACTTCCAACCCTCCTCCCCCATATCCTGTTCCCAATCCCCACGCTTTAACTTATCCGTCTGTCCCACCTCCGTCGTTATCTTCATCGTACGGGTCTCCCATCATTTCTTACGTCTCTTCTCCAATGGAATCTCTACGGCCAAACGGACGTCTGGGATCGGACCGCCGTATGGTAGAGTCCGGAACGCTTAGGAACGGCCTCAGTCGCAGGGCAAGTGTTGATCGAGGTGCCCGAATTGCTGAGACGGGGATGTTGATGCCTCGCTCACGGGCTGGAAGTCAGAATCTTGGGGCGATGTTGGAGGGCACTGATCTGGCGGAGCAACCTAGCGAGTAAGGCCACTTCTTCGCCCCCAGAGTACCAACTTAGTTTCCGTTTTCCATTTCTACACGGCGATCGTCGCGCCTGTTTGAATAAGTATTGTACGTGTAAGAATTAAAGTTTCCATTGTACTTCGTCGTCCCTGATGAGTCGAACAATGCCAATGCGGTCTGACGCGAGGACCCCGATACAGAGGCGCGCTCTTCTGTCGGTGCTGTGGAGCGGGGCAGCATCACAGAATATCACAGTAATCCTCTCGTTACAATTTACACTTGTATTATTCGAAGCTATGTGATGGATCGCCCAAGTACGCCATCCAACTGCTCATGGAGGAACGGAGGACACAGAAAACGTAAGTAATTGTGGAAAAAGTGTCAGGGGTCCGAGTTCCGCCTGCCGTCCAAGTTCGGATCCGGAGCTGTGACTCGTCGGATCCAGTTGCCCGCAGGGCCGCAGGTATAAATTATTGGCGCGTCGTGTTTTACCTCCGCAAACCCCTTTTTTTTCCATGTCATACCAATTCACAGGATACTCATCGACGCCCACCACACCTCAGACCCCCATTCAGTGGGATGGCGGTGACGCGCCGCATCTTGAGCAGCAAGTTCTTCACCACCCTTTGCAGCAGCAGCAGCAGCAGCAGCAACAACAACAATCAGCCACAACCACAGCAACCAGCAGAGATGTACACCACGCCGTCCCCATCAACCATCCAAATCCAAGAGTTTGTCTCGGTCGTACCCAGCCATGATTCTAACCGTCAACGCGACCATGCGCGCCATCCTCAGCAGATAAGACCACATATCCAAGTTGATACACGTCAAATGCGTGTCGGAACAAGTACCACACCCCCTTCTGGCCCGCCATCTGCAGGCACTTATCAGGGGCCGGGCCCAGAACGAGCCCGGGCTATGCCAAGTTTCGTCGACGCTCGTATGGTTGCTCACCCATACAGGCGCCCTCAAAGTGCGGGCACAGGAACAGTCAGACCCAGAAGAGAGTACGAAGATGTTGTGCAAAGCGTGAGATCCCAAAGACACGTTTCGGTTGGAAGCATGCCAGCACCAACCACCGCTCCAACAAGACTCCCCCCTTACCTAGGCACTGCCTCAGCAACGTGAGCTGATCCTTTGCAGTCAGGACACAATGATACGCTTCACACACCACAGAACGTCCTTAATCAGCCCAGCCCATGCGGTCAATGTTCCTCCGGAAAACCGCAAGTTCATCATACGAACGGATGTTCATTATGACTCCGAGACGCACCTTTTGAGTGCATCACTTGAATTACCTGGCCTGAAGAAGAGCGACATCAGTATCGTCCTTTCTACATGCTATTACAATGGAGTGAAACAAGTCGTGGTGTCGGGGAGAGCAAGGCCAGTTTTTCCAAGCAAAGGCTACGCTGTGAGAGAACGCAAGTACGGTGAATTCACACGAACGCTCGTAGGTTGCGAGTGAGACCAAGGTCAGTTGTCTCCACTACAGACAATCCTGTGTGTCAAGTTATGGTTGTCAGCCCGAAGATATCACTGCTGAAATGCAAGACGGGATACTTACCATCAAGATCAGACTTCCTCCTTTTCCAGAAGGAGAACCTATAGAACACGAGATCACTGTACAATGAGCGACTATCCACCAAGCAGACTACTTTGCAGAAAGTCCTACTGATCCGCGTCTAGCCTGAAAATGTCCATAAACCATGGATCCTGCCCAATCGCGTAATATTCATCAGGACAAGTTGTTGATGTTTTATAGGTGCTCGCAACCTGTTGCAGCCCCGTTGACTCCCTCTTTGTTCACGACTACTCCTCTTACTTTAGTCCACGAAACCTTAGATGGACACTGACCTCGTACGATACATATGTAAAGTATATATTCTTCTATACCATAGTCTTGTCCTTGTCCTGACGATATACACACTTGTGGTCGCGGGTTTGAGTTGAATACAAATAGATTTGCTTCACTCACTTGGACGGTTCAGTTGCAGGCAACCCGGTTTTCGTAGTGTGTGTGGCACGGACCCTGTCCAGTGGGCCGTCGCGAGTCCCGGTACCTCGTCACGTGTTCTAAACCTCTTACACTCTTCCTCGAGTCGTGACTACCGCAATGGCTGACCTCATAGCTGAAGTGCGAAAAATACCACCAGTAACGCGCTTCCTTCTAGGATCTTCCCTCGGTGTCACACTTGCAGCCCGTCTGAATATCATCCCTCCCTACTACCTCATATTCCTGAAAGAACACGTCACCAAGCAATTAGAGGTAGGCACTTAGCGATCAGGAGGATGCGCTTCTCAATCCCTACTTCAGCTATGGCGACTGTATACAAGCATGTTCTTTGGAAGTAAGTACTTAACTGTCTCGGGGGTGTGGATGCGTAATAACGTCAACCAAAGGCATGCAGTTCGACTACATCTTCGAGCTCGCTATGTTATAGTGGGTATTCGCACGCTTACTGTCTACCAATTTCTTATGATGTGTGCCACTAGTCGGAATTCTAACGGCGTTGAAACGATGTATTACCAAGGTAGATCGTCCGACTACGCTTGGCAACTCGTATTCGCGTGCTTGGCCATCATTGTAACGACCTTCCCTTTTTTTCATTCCTCATCATTCATCCTCATCTTTTTGTGTGTTTCCAGCTAGCAAACAGGCCGCTCGAGTCGTGGTCTCATAACCGTCCCTTACTTCATACTCTCACCTACCTTTCGTGTGCTCTGGCCCCGCCAGGCACACAGAGTTCCATTATGGGCCTTATAACTCTCCCAGTTGCGTACGTGCCATATGCAATGCTTGGCATGGATCTTCTGGTCAGCGGTATGAACGTTGCTGCGCAATCCGTGAGCGGGTTGGTTGTTGGCCATCTATGGTGGTGGTTGGTATGGGGTGCCAACACCGGAGCTGGTGGGATGGAACGTGGTCCATTGGCTAACTATGCTCGGGCACCTCGCTGGCTCAGAAATTGGTTTGGTGAGCGTGAGGGCGTTAGGGGATCGTCTGGGGCCGGATACCATGTAGTACCACCCCGGAGGCAACAGACGAGTGCTCGAGGTACAGGTCACAACTGGGGAGGTGGTCAGCGACTAGGTAGTTCATAAACATGTTAACAACCATGCGTGGATGTATTTCAGTTTGAACACGATTGGGACCATCGCCACTCCACACTATCCTGGTTACGATGCCGTCCTCGTAGCCAAGGTACATCCTCGGCGCGTCATGCCTGTCGCACGGATGCCACAGACGAATTGACTGACAGCAGTGTGCCCGCGAGGAGGCTCTAGTGTGTATCAAATTCCGCAGTCATCCTCCAGGCATGACCTCAAAGTGCCAATTTCATCACCCCTGTAATATGCTCCCCAATTGGGTTTTACAGCGACCTTGGCAAAGAGTAACTGAGCGCGGGGGATAACTCTCGTCGTCATGTCGTTAACAGACGCAGTGCCCAGTTTTCGATGCGATGGCATGCCAAAGCACGACGAATGATATCATGGTAGTGGATTGTGTTAAGGTATTGTTAATGGTATCCGGGAACCCGATATGACTTACTCCTTCCTACCGTATTGTTGCCGGTACGCTTCCATCGCCTTCAGCTGTTCCTGCTTACCGTTGCTCGCTAGCCAACGCATGAGGTCTTTCATCTTCAGCACCGACTGGACGCGTCCTCTGCCGCCCACGACGTTTTCGATCTCGTCTACAGTGCTTTCTCCATCTTTCCCCACTTCCTCTCTATCTAGCAGCTGCACGACGCCCACCACTTCTCCCCCTGCACTCTGGATCGATGCGATGGCCAAGCTAACGGCCGTGCCCGCAGTCATGACGTCGTCGAGGATGAGCACTTTCTTCCCTTTGACAGGCACACCGACTAGCTTCCCACCCTCGCCATGATCTTTTGCCTCCTTCCTGTCGTAAGCAAATCCATAAGACTTGCCGTAGGTCGCACTTAGTACGAGGGCGGTGCATGCAGCCAACGAGATACCCTTGTACGCCGGTCCAAAGATGACATCGAATGGAGGGAGGGGGTTGGTTGGAAAGCCGAGTCCGGCGATTATAGTAGCAGCGTATGCGTTCGCTATGGTATTTAAGATATTTCCGGAACTCATGAGGCCCGCATTGAAAAAGTAGGGCGAAACACTGCAGATATTCACGAGTAACAAACGTTAATTTTCCTCCGACACTAGAGGGTAGATATTGGCCCTGCACTTACCGGCCAGATTTAAGGGTGAACGCTCCGAATTTCAGAGCGCCGACCTCTTCCGCCTGTTCTAGCAGTTGGTTTTGGAAACCTTGTAGTGTTTCGGTAATGGATGCCATGGTAATAGATGGTAGGCTTGATTATCTTGTTTGGAACAGGGGCTTTTGCCAAACAACCGCTTTTGGTCGACAGGCCATCCGACGCGCGTCCTCGCAAAACACTATTAGCTAGGTTGACACTCGCCATGCCAGAGCGCCAGGTTGCAGAAATCAAGGCTTTTGCGGAGGATCCAAAGAACAAGAAGAAAGAGGATGATGACAGGGACAAGCTCAACCCTTCCAAACCCAATGGCGACAAGAGAGACGAGGAGGAAGAGCTTGTGAGTACCCCCAACGCGTCTCGGATGCGCTCATACCAAGTTTTGGATTCCAGTCGGAGGAAGATGCACAGCTCAAGGCAGAGCTGGAAATGCTTGTCGAGCGACTAAAGGTAGGGGGTGTCCATCGCATCTGTGCTCTGGCATGACTGAACGTGCCATCCTCCAGGAATCAAACACGAACCTGTACCGTCCTGCCCTCGAAACTCTCCGAACACTCATCAGGACTTCGACCTCTTCAATGACGTCTGTTCCGAAACCACTCAAGTTTCTGCACCCGCATTACCCAGGGCTCCAGAGCCTCTTTGAAACCTGGCCAACATCGGAGGACAAGGTCGTCACACCTGTCATCGTATCCCGAATGATCCTAATGCACATTTAGAGTCTCTTTGCAGATATTCTGTCCGCTCTTGCGATGACCTACTCCGATACACAACCTAGGGGTACCCTTCGATATCGTCTCATATCCGCCTCCCTCATGCCTTCCTCCTCAACGATCCCCGAACCTGGGTCGTGGGGCCATGAATACGTCCGACATCTTGCGGCAGAGCTCGGGGAGGAGTATACCATCCGACAAGAAGGAGAGGAGTCCCCTAGCCCGGAGAAACCCAACGCAGAGCTAGTAACAATACCGGGCTCCATCGAAGATTTACACGCGCTGGGACTAGAATGTGCCAAATTTTTCCTTGGCCATAACGCAGAGCCAGACGCCGTCGATCTTCTCGTGGAGCTGGAGATCGTGGATCGGATAGCTGACCTTGTCGATATAAACACGTTCGGTCGGGTCTGCACGTACATGGATCGGTACGTAAGTTGAGAGCCGAGCGTATATCTTTCTCACACATCCATATATGACAGCTGCGTAAATCTTTTACCCCCTCCGGACGATGTTACCTTCCTGCGGACTATACACAAAGTTTACCTCCAATTCTCCAAATTACCTGAAGCACTGAGCATTGGGATGCGTTTGAATGACGCCGACCTCATTCGAGAGGATTTCAACGCGTCTGGGAATCCGTTCGTAACAGTTTCGGAGTGTTTTTAGTTTGCCATTCTTAGCTATTTGGCAGGATAATGCGGCGCCAACTTGCGTTTCTGCTGGCTCGGTCGCAAATTCCTGTTGAATGGTTGCATCCACCACCATCTGAAGACGCTGACGGGGAGGCGGAGTTCCCAAAAGACATAATGGAATGTCTAAGTAACACTAACCTAAGCAAGTTCTTTAAAGAATTCGGAAAAGAACTTGGCGTTGCGGATCCCAAGAGCTTAGAGGACGTGTATAAAAGCCATCTCGAGAACACCCGTATGTCCCATACTATCTGACGTGTTGCAGCTGTACCAATTTTTCCAAATGAAAGGGGGAGGGCTCTCAGCGAATGTCGACTCTGCACGGGGTAACTTGGCAGGCACCTTCGTAAATGCGTTCGTGAACGCTGGCTTTGGGAACGACAAACTTATGGTAGAAGCAGAGGAAGGAAACAGTTGGGTCTATAAGAACAAGGATCATGGTCAGCGTGTTCCGTGCGAGCTTAGCAGAGTGTCTTATCCTATCTCACCTCTCAGGGATGATGAGCGCGGTTGCCAGTCTCGGTCTCAGTCTGCTCTGGGACACTGATATTGGTCTCAGTCACGTTGACAAGTATACGTACTCGTCAGAAGAACACATCAAAGCCGGTGCTCTCCTTGCCACTGGACTACTTAATGCCGGCGTCCGTACGGAAGCCGATGCTGCACTTGCCCTTCTCGGTGAATACGTCACGAATGCGTCGCTTTCTTTGAAAACCGCTTCAATTGTCGGCTTGGGACTCGCATACGCTGGGTCACATCGGGAGGACCTGTTTAACATTCTATTACCTTTGGTCGCCGATGAAGATACGTCCATGGAGGTCGCTTCGCTGAGTGCGCTCGCTCTTGGGTTTGTGTTTGTGGGCAGTGGGAACGGGGACATCATTAGTACCATTTTACAAACTCTCATGGAACGGGACGAGCGGGCGCTTGGCGAGAAGTGGGGTCGCTTTTTGGCATTGAGTCTTGCCCTCTTGTTCGTTGGTCAGTACGCAGTTAATCTGACGGCTGACCAAAGACTAAAATGGCATTCATACAGGTCTGCAAGATGCATCCGACGCAACACTAGAAACGCTGAAGACCATTGAGCATCCCATTTCTAAGCAGGCACAGATTCTCGTTGAGATATGTTCTTTTGTGGCTACTGGAAATGTCTTGCGCGTACAACGGCTCCTCCACCTGTGCGGAGAACATCTGGAAGCTGTGAAAGAGAAGGAAGAAGCCCAAAAGGAAAAACAGAAGGAAAAGGCAGAGAAGAAAGAAGACAGCAAGGAAGAAAGTAAACCGGATGACACCTTCCGATCATTTGCCGTCCTCGGTATTGCAATGATTGCCATGGGAGAGGAGATTGGGGCGGAAATGTCCATGAGGCAGTTCAATCATTTGGTACGCTCCTCCGATCTGTCAAATTCCACCGCCAACAGCTGCTGAATGTTCTTGCAGATGCATTATGGTGACCCGATTATCCGCAAGTCTGTTCCTCTTGCTCTGGGTCTTATCAGCGCCTCCAATCCACAACTCACCGTCCTTGATACGCTGTCCAAGTACAGCCATGATAGCGACTTACAGGTTGCTTTGAACGCCATATTTGCTATGGGCTTAGTTGGCGCTGGTACGAACAATGCACGGCTGGCGCAGATGCTTCGCCAATTGGCGGTGTACTACTACAAAGAACCTGACTGCTTGTTCGTGGTACGCGTAGCTCAGGGCCTGGTGCATATGGGCAAGGGCACCATAGGAATCAACCCTTTCTTTAGCGACCGTAACATATTGAGTCGACCGGCCGTCGCTGGCTTACTGGCAGCAATAATGGCATTCACAGATGCAAAAGCTTGTGAGTGGATAAGTTACAAATTCTTGGTTGGCCTCGTTCACCATTTCGTTTCTGCCAGTCGTGCTTGACAAGTACCATTGGATGCTGTACTTCCTGGTGACTGCCATGTACCCGCGGTTCCTCATCACCCTTAACGAGGATTTGGAATCTCTTCCTGTTACAGTCCGCGTTGGCCAGGTCAGCGTTATAGGGTTTACGATGGTTTTATATTCTTACATGTATCTTTTGTGCAGGCTGTGGATGTTGTCGGTCAAGCAGGCAAACCCCGAACTATCTCGGGTTTCCAGACCCATCAGACTCCTGTGCGGTTGGGTACCACCGAGAGAGCTGAGTTGGCAACAGAAGAGTACATTCCATACGCACATGTGCTAGAAGGGTTTGTCGTTCTGCGGAAGAACCCGGGCTGGGAGGAGACGATGCAGCTGTAGTTCCAAAATACATATATAGTGCTTGTACGCATTGTTAGATTACATTGATTTTATCAAGGCTCGCTTTCTGAAGCAGCCCTTCGGGGCATTCTTTGGGCATGGGGCCCACTTGCTATATTACATAACTTCCCCTGGGTAAGCTAAACTCGATATCCGATTACCGCTGTTGGACGGGACTGCGACTGCTCTCGACGACGAACGTCAGTGTACAATGCCAGACGGAGACCAATGGAGTGCACGAATTGCGAGTTGAGACAACGTCAGTTTTATTGTGAGAATTGCTTGAGGAATCAGTGCGTCTCTGTCGGTTCACTGCCATCTGATATTATTCCCCTGACAGCGAGGTCAGCCTTCGTGATTTTCGACGACAAACCCAACATTTCGCCAAAGATCGGGATGAACAGGTCTCTCGTGCAACGCGGGCATTGCGAAGTGTCGAAGGGGCCCGTGTGTCGCGAGCAGTATTTGCAGCTGCCCAGCGTAGGGCGGAGGAGCTTGCAGAAGCTTTGGGACAGCTCAGGCGGGAGAACGAAGCCAGTGAGTAGCCTATAGCCTTGCATTTCTCCTTCCTGGAGATATTCTATTCTTAACCTGCTACACGTCTTTGTTTTGGTATTTTATTTATTTCATTTGCCAGAACGCGATCGCGTGCGGCTTATGCGCGAGAGTGTTGCTGCCCGACGCCGTACGCTCTCAGCAGCACGGCTCTTATCTACGCCACCACTCGACGGCGCACTAACGCGGGAGACACAAGCATTGCACGTACTGTCCAATGCTCTTGCGCGTGCGCGAGGTGGCCTCGTACAGGAGTTGGTTGAGGTGTTCAGCGTAGTTGAAGTTGGGGGCAGGCCAGCTTTAGGAGGTCGCGCGGGCACACGCGGAGAGTGGACCGTTGGTGGACTTGTCTTGCCAGTACCGGGCGACATTCAACGTTGGTTTTACCATCGCTGCCGTTTTCGTATCCTTCATACTGACGTCGCACATATATGTAGGCTATCCGTCCGACCACATCAATGCGGTTTTGACGTATACGATACATTTCGTGGGCTTACTAGCCTTTTACTTAGGTGTGAAACTACCTTTTGAAATAACGTGGAGTGGTGGTCGTTTCGGCGTCGGCCAGCCGTGGATCGGGGCCGGCAGGGGTGGCGAGTCAGGTAGTTGGGCGAAGTCAGTGACATTTCACTTGCTCTCGTGATGTACTGATTTGGACACGAGCAGATGGTCAACGAAACATCCTTTGCACCTGTCAGCCCCAGGGTCAACGAGGCCCTCGTCGCCGAGTTCGCCTACCGTACAACCCTCTACGCACTACCCTTCCACTTCAGCCAGCGCGTCCTCCGTGATGTCTGTGTCAACCACACCCGTTTCTGCAAGCGGATCTCAGCCTCAGTCCTCTTTCACTACAGCGTTCGCAATGCTGCTATACAATGTGTGTTACCTCGCTCATACCCAAGGCGTCGAAATTCCCCTTTCGCAGGCGGGAGACGCACTGTCTAATTTATGGGCGGTGTGCTGTAGTGGAGAACTGGGCCGGTGTGTATCCTTCATCGTTGTGTCTCGTGTTTACTGATTTCGTCACGTTTCAAACAGCCGCTCGCACGCAACCACACCACTCCTCTCACCACCAACGCCATCCTCATTCCCCCTTGACTTCGCTCAGCTTTTGCAAGCAACGACCGCTGTACCTACACGAGGACGGCGCCGACGTCCCATGCCAGGTAATTCGCCCGTCGACACAAGCTCGTATTCACCTGGGACGCCCACTGATGACCGTGACTGGGGTGTTCTTCCTTCACGACATCATAAACGGATTGTTGAGGAAGAGGGGTGGGAAGTTGTCGATGATGAAGCAGAAACAGAGTTCGGTTGACGAAGAAAACGAGTGGTGTCATTAGAGCAGGGGCCGCGTCGGAGTTCCTGCGTATTGTCTGCATTGAAAAGTTACTAGAATATCTGGCGTACGATCTTCTTGTAGCGTATACCTACTTGTATGTAGTATCTAATATTTTCAACGGATCACGCTGCCCTCATCATACTACGCTTGTCATTTTGGGACTTCGACGCTTGCCGAAGTACTGCATACTCTTGGCATAATAGTCCCAACTTGGTCCCATCATACTCCAGCCGGCCTTTAGGCTTTTCTTCGAGCCACTTGTAGTTGGCGCGGACAATGAGCTCGGAGGGCATCCAAATAACCATCCCCGGTGAGATTGCATATCCTGACCGCTGTACTGCATCTAAGACTTCCACAGACCTCGACGAGGAGGACTTGTCGTCAACACCAATTCCGTTTGGACGAGCCGGGGCGTTTGGTTTCGGCGGCTCATCTAACTCTGGTCCAGAGCTCGCCCACAGTCCTCACACCGACGACGACTGACAAAGGTTTCTTTGGCACGCACAATCGTGGTGACTCTCTCGCCTCCAACGACTCATTTCTTGATCACATACCGCGTAAGCCTTTTGCTCATGTACCACAACCGTCTATTGCAGCGTCCACCATTTCTGGAACTACCACTATAAGTTCGACGACTGGTGCCGCTGCAAGCACCTCCGCGTCTCCGTTCAGCAAAAAGCCGTCCTTTGCATCAATCCGAAATGCATTCAAGTCCAGTTCGAAAAACAATGCTGACGTGCCTCCTTTGCCGAGCATCGACGGCCAGGTTTACCCAATTCTGAAGAATCCTTTCAACAGGTCAACGTCATCGCTGGCCCATTCAATTACTTCCACTTCGAAGCATAACACGACGAGCCCTCCACACGTGCATCCTCGACCGCCAACGCCTGCGGGCGAGTCTCGGTATCCCCGATCGCTGTCCCGCGCCCGTGGACACTCGAAAGCGCGTTCGCATCACTCTCAATCAGGTTCTATATTTCATAACTCAGACAATGGTAGTGACCATGGCCATTCATCCGGTCATCATCCACCTAATCACGCCTTTACTTTTGGCCATCCACCTGCATCACCACCACCAGTTCCTCGTGTCCCTGATGGACTCCTAGCTACTCGTGGCGATAGTCCAGCAATGTCGGATGATGATTTCTCTGTGGGTATCAGCGGAGGGAAAAGTCCATCGGATTATGCGCTTCATGCTGTGTTCATACGCTTTGCAACACTTGCAGAGGCAAAAATTGATGCTTTTCTACATGAAAGTCTGGTAAGTGTTTCTGTTGCCCGAAGCTTACCGTTGAGCAGCAAATCGTGTTTGATTAATTATGTCATTCTGACAGAATACCGATCCTGCTCTCACTGATTACTTTGCACCGTCCCTCGACCCTCAGTTTGACGATTTATTGCGGTCGTTGGCTAAAATCGCACAACGGCATGCCAAAAATGTAGTGGAGGCTATTACGCGATGGCGTCGTGGAATTGGTGACTTGTCAGGTGCTAGCGGTGCAAGTTCTACGCGGTCGCGAACGGCGGAGCACCGATCCCTTGCTGTTATCTACATTATGTGCAGAGCACTGATCTCGGTCCTTTCTTCCTTGCCTCCTCAAGCTCTGGGCGATACGCTTGGTTACTCCCTAGAAGAGACTATTTTCGACCAGTTCAAGAGTCCTGCAGCAACTTCAAATACCAACTACCGATCATGTACTGAACTTTATGCTGTCGTCTTGGGGTGTCTTGCTAGGATCAGGTTGGATTTTTTTCTTCATGGTGTTCTCTGCTTCTTACCTGTGACAGATTTGTGAGTGTGACTGATCGTTTCCTTAATGAACTCGCGCCAGTCGCCGGTGGTCAGGTCGCGAAAGACTCGGATACCAAGTTTGAGAATTTGGTTAAAGGCTTACGCCACGTGCAGCTCAAGGTGGGCCCATTTTATAAAACTAGTTTTTCTGCCTTTGATAATCTATATACTTTCCACTCCATAAAATCGAAGGTTTGGCCACCTGAAGCTTTCGAAGAAGGCGCAGAATTCATGGAGTCGCTGGCGAAGTCATTCGAAAATGCACATGGACTCCGTTTTAAAATCGCTTTCGCAGAAACGATCGTACGGTTACTCCATCCCATTGGCAAGGTGTGCAAGGTCGCTCTTGATAGTGTCCTTGACAGCTTATTACATCATGGAGTAGACTGCACAAGCGGAAGTCAATCATCCGCTATGGGGAAAAGCCATCGAAAGGATCTATCCTCGTGCTCGAGAAATGATGGGAAAGCCGCGGTATTGGCAAGCGGCGTACCCGCTCGCGGTGACAACCCTATGTGTTGCCCCACATCAATTCTTTCTCAAAACATGGACAGCTTGTTTTGAGTATGGAATTGGAAAACTCAAGGTATGTGTCGACCGTGCCACACGAGGCTTTTCGCTAATTTTCCTCGTTTAGGATAAACCAAGTCGTATACCGATAATGAATGGCGTAGTGCGCTTGATCTGGACTTATCTCTTTCGATGTCAAGAGTCCGCCTCGACGAGTACAGCTAAACTCGATACGCTGCTCAAACAACTATTCCCTCAAGGACGGGCACTAGTTTATCCCAATGAAGAACACCTGGAACCATTCATCTGCGTCATACATTTTGTACTCTCCAAGTACTTCGACTTTGGTCGTGATTTCTGCATGGATCTTTTGCAGGAATCCTCCGGCGTTTTGGTCCCTGAGAGAGTTGCGGTTGCGGTGCAAGCGACTTTGCTTACCCTTCACGCCGTGGAGCGCGAAGATCCGACGCCGACATGGCCGTCAAGCTCCGATTTTTCCGCTGTGCCATCTTGGGATGATTATCCGTCGTCCTCGGACACATTACCATCGGCCTTGCTGTCCAAACCTGGCGTTCAGGACTTCTGCGAACGGTTTGGTGCGGCCATCTCTGCTATTGCACAGTCTTGCTTCAAGGCTGTTGGCCGCATGTCCGTCTTTGATGAGCAGTGGGCTCTTTCCCGTTTATCTTCAACCGGTGGCGGTACTTCCTTTGAAGAATCGCATAACGTAGTCATACGACGACATCCAGAGGGAGCAGTTGCATACCCGAGTCAGCTGGTCTCTCAGATGAGCATTCTCCAGTCCTGCTTCCAATCTTGGCCACGTTGTCTTCATACGCCGTCGCTTTCCCTTCCAGATGCTGTTGATATGCTGGTACGGGGTGTGATACACGTAGAGCCTCGGGTTGGTGAGGCGGCTGGTGCTGCCCTGCGACGATTGATGAAGGATGCACGTCACGGTCTTACCGTGTTGAAGTGTTTCACGACCTTATTGTTTGACCCTAGGAGTCTCGAACGCGAGGTGGCTGGTATCCGGATGGTACTCGAGAGCACAAGGTTATTGAACCTTTGGACAAGCATAGTCGACAACTGGATCTCGGGGTTGACTCACGGAAAGAAGCTGGACGCTGTAGGAAACGATTTACAGACAATTGCAACGCAAGCACGAGATATCGCAGCTGGCGCCCTTTTCCTGCTGTCATACGAACTATCATCTATTCGGTGTATTGGTGTTAAGCTAGTGCGGTCGCTGCAGTCCTTGTTCGCTACTCTCGCATTATCAGATCCAAGTCTGGTATCGACACAGTTTTCAACCCTGTTTCAGCACAACGTCCACAACAATTTGCAAGGCTTTGATGAACTTCTGGATCGCGCTGAATTCGATCGTTTGCAGCAGTGGAAGAAGTCAGGCAAACCAGACGTTCTCTTACGCATCGCGGATAGCAACAATGACAAAGACCGCAGAATCTGGCGACACATATATCCATCCTTCATGCATTCCTCTCAGTCGCTTGCACCTCACCTGGTTTCCGATTGCAGAGCTATCGTCGAAGCTGCCGTATCTCGCTATCACTCTACTATGTTACATCTTGCCGGGATATCTGGCTTCAGCAATCCGTTCACAATCCTCTCGGGCGTCCGAAAAAGACGGTTACAAGCTTATCAAAGAGAACATGCAGCTGATCGATCAGTGGCACGTTTGGATTAAAATTCTCTCATCCACGGTCACAGTATCTGAGGGTCGCCTTGCCATGGTGCATGCAGGCAGGGAACATTCGCGGGTCCCATCAGACGTTGGCTTTGAGCGAGAGAGAACATCCACTTCTCGGAATCTATTCAGGCACCTGACTCCGTTCTTGGACTCTGATTACGCTCCATTCAGAGACTGCTGCTGTTTTGAGTATCAGTTCTTTCCCACCTGAGGCGTACTCACAGCTCCTCGAAGATCTTAACTCATTCGCGCGTCAGTTCTACGACGAGATCAGGCCGAAAAATGGCTCATCAGGTTGGACCGGTCGCTCTCGTCGTCAATCGAGACTGCACTCTGCGGTTGCGCGTATCTACTACCTCACCGCACCGCATTTGCAACACCCAAACTTGACGGCCAAGCAGGACGCGCTCTCCCATGCTCTGAAATTCGTCAGAAATACTCAAGCATTTCTCGTGGTACCCGAAAATCGAGAAAACTATGCCCACCAGCGCTTGCGACGCTATTTTTGTGGATTAGTTGAACGCCTCTTTGATGCTTTGGCAGGTCTGCCGGATTCAGATCGTTTCACCCCTCCCAACATCCACATCACGCTTTATCGGCTAGTAGAGGGGTGGTGTCAGTATGGTCCCCAGAGCGAGTCTGTTAAACAAAGGTTTATTCTTATGCAAAGAGCCGCAGTAGCTGCAAACAATGACCCACAAATGGAAGTCGCTGAACGGTTCCAGAACGAGACCAAACTCCTGTCCAATGCAACGATTGGTGCGCTAGCAGCGCTTTGTGTGAGCTGTTCCGTGGTTGTGCCGTGTCGTTATACTCAAGTTCTGCAGCAAAAAGCTTGCCTTCCCCAAGATGCCATGGAATCTACGTCTCCGACTGAGCGACCTCCGCAAGACCTCAGAACTCCCGACCCGGGACAACTAGTCGAACGCCTCCACGCCGTCTTTGAAACTGATCACATACATCTAAGAGCGAGCGCGAGGTTGGTTTCCTTATGGATAACCGCAACCTTCTCATGTTCTTGCACAGGAAAGCACTGAAGTCTCTACTTACCTTACCGCAGCTAAGCTCGACCTTCTTGAGTGACGTCATGCGCCGCAGCTTCTGTGATCCGACCACTTCCTCTTTGACCGCTACTACATTTTTCGAAGTTGTCGCGGATGTAGTTTGCGATACTCCGGACCATCCCTTCACCTTTCCTCAAATTGTCACTCTAGGAATGGCAAACCTCTGCCATAACGATATTTCGATCAGACGGCGTGCTTTCGATATCCTCGTTGCCACTCATGAACGTGCCTCGGGTGTCATAGCTATGGCTGAGTTTGAGACGATGATCGTCAATCCCGCGCCGAGCGTGTACTTGCAGACTCATCGGCTAATCGCCGAATGTATGGCCGGGGAGCATCCTGCCCAAGCTCATGACGTCCTTGCGGAAGTTAGCGCACTCCTTCTGCGGATACATCACGGTGGTGGCGGAAGGGTGTCTCATCTTATGCTTCAGAGCTTGGAACATTGGGTACCACATCTCCACGTGCAGGACCAGGACCCGCACTCTTTACATCTCACCACTGATGGGAGCTTCGCGGTTTACCACTTGCTCACTCTCACCAAAAGATACAGTGACGCGGAACCGGAACAAATTGGTGCAATATGGGCTAGTCTGGTAGAAGTTCCAGACCCCCGTTGTGGACGTGCTGTCGCCTCATTCCTAGTTAACGAATCTTCCAAAGTGGCCACGAGATCCTTTGTGAAATGTGCATCCGAGGTGATAGCATGTCTTTCGAGGTCGGCCGTTGGTGTCCAGATATTCGAAGAGCTGTGCAGTATCTGCGAGCCCGAGAGAATGCTGCCCACGCTTGACCACAGGCTTAGACACTTGGCGCCGGCTGAAGTCGAACTGTGGTCGGATTTAGACGTGTTATTCGCCGACGACCAGCCGAGATATTTCCTAGGATCTGCCCAGTATGCAATGCTGTTCATTGGTTCGACGGCGCTGGAGCGGCTATGGACCTATGGCAATGAGATATCCGCCATCCTCTTGGCTGTCCTTTCCCATATCGACCACCGAGTGCCAATGCTGCGCGCTGCGGCTCGGCGTATGCTGTTCCAGCTAACGAGGTCTTGCATCCCATGGTACCCGCCTGCCACAGATAAGGTTGGAGCTCCCAACCGAACAGCACTACTTTCCGTTGTTTCCGCCATGGAGGGTAGGGGAGACTCCCTATTCTGGACTGATGAAGATCCGATAGACGTTGTCAACACTCGCATGGAATACGTTGTGGACCAGATACTTTCTGTCATCGGACTCTTCGTACCAGACTTGGCATCCCAGCTAGGCAAGGTTGCCATCGAATACTTGGACCATTGTGTAATCCGCAGCATTGCCATGCGGTGCCTTCAGGTCTATCGGTGTTTGAAGCTCCCTCTTACCCAGGCTGTTCTTGGGCATATCCTAGTTCGTTTCACTACCATGGCCGGAGATCAAGATTCGGAACTTCATCCGGTCAATGCAGAGATCATAACAGCGATTACCGCTTCGGTTGTTGCGGGAAACTATGAGCCTGCACTCCTTCCTAAAATTTTCTGGACCGCTGCAGCATGCCTCATGACTGTGGTGGAACGGGAGTTTGTAGAAGCAGTCAAGCTCCTAATAGCCGTTCTCTCTCGGCTTGACCTGGAAGATGCAGATGTCGTTGGGTCGCTCCTGTTCCAGCAACCTGAATCGTGGAATGCTTCAAGCGGCCTACAAACCTATTTGTTGGGTGGCATGCGCTCGGCAGTGACAATGCAAGACACATTTACTGCTTTGCTACAACTAACACGTGTATCAGACTCGCGACTCGTGGAGCCTTCAGAGCGTCGCTTGTGTGAGCTCTTCACTCTATCCTTACCCTGGTGCCTGCGAGCCATGGTGAGCGACAATCGTGATGCAGCACTCGACGAGTTCTGCACGTGTATAGCCAGACTAGCAGAGCAGGAAGGTCGAGACTCCATCGCTCGTGTAATGACATCACTTGTGAAGAATCGTTTTCGGACCAAGGATGACTTTCTTCGGCAGTCCGCGGCTACCCTTCGTGAGCACTACGCAGCACATTGGACTAATGTCTCAACGCTACTTCTTGGCCTGGTCCTCAACAAAGAGAACTGGGTGCGCGTTCACACCATGCAGGTGTTGAAGGTGTTCTTCGAACAACGCGATCTGCGGAACGCGTCACACTGCCTCACTACGGAACACCTGATGCCGTTGCTTAGACTTGTTGAAGGGGACCTAGCAGCGCAGGCACTGGATGTCCTTGAAGAACCCAATAAAGTACATGGCGGGCCAAATGCGAGACAGGTCCTACGTATGAGCATGCACGGAGCTCTCAATCACGGGACCGTTGACGAGGGCGAGATATTTGGGGTCCCCGAGGAGTCCGGGTGGTCCATTCCGCATGTCGACACGAGACGTACCGAATACCGACACAACCTGTATGCGGTCGCCCAAACGTGCATTGGTTCTTGGCGCCCGTCTCTCATTCGGTTGGAATCCCGGGGAAATATTGTTTCGTTTACGGACGGATTAGATGAGGACTTGGGCGTGCTAGTCCAGGATTTGCACGATTTGAGCGAGTTCTTCCAGAATAATAGATCTCAGCAACAGGTTCTCCTTCCAAGCCAGCAACTCGAGGAGCGGGTCGCATCCATCATTGCACGTTCCACTGGGGATTCTGACGATGCGCCCCACACGCCGTTCGCAGACGCGTTCCAGATTGGCAATCTACACTACTTTTCCGACGATTCTGCCGATGATAGTGGGTCTGAGTCAGAATTGGACGCATTTGTATTCGATTCCCCTGCTTACCATCGTGAAGGACCAAATGGTACCCACCTTGGCTAGTCATACCATTAGTACCCATATGGACCGGCATTGGCATAAGTACAGCGCATATATTCTGGAATGTACGAGTACAACTAATAAAGAATCCAAACTGAAATGCCTAGTCAACACCTCTCGAATACTCGGTACAAGTCAGGCAGATTGGCCACTTGAACAACATCGTTGTCCAGTAAAGACCTGGGTGCGATGAAGAACCTCCGTAGTGCATGGAACAATATATGTTCCGTTTGCCATGCAGCGGATTTCTCTTGTCCAGCACCATCACCAGACCAAACGCCAGATGCGGGCGAGTAGAAATAGGCTAGTTCGCGCATGAAAGACTCAAAACATTCTCGTTCCGACTTCCAATCAACCTAAGAATATGAGAAGAAAGAATGCAAACTGAAACAGAATGTCCCTAACCTGTGGACCTAGTCGCATGAGAAAAGTTGGTAACTTGTTAAGGTCTGGAGTGTACTCCTTAAGCAAATGCGGCAGAGTCAGGACATCTCCCGACTCAGAGATGTCCAGTGCGAAATATTCACTGAGCATCTCACGCCGGTCGACCAGGGTTCGCGCAATACGCTGAAAATTCTAGTGACACAAACGTGCTCACCACATATAACATGGCACTTACGTCCACTATCTCAGACTTCTGTAAGCCACTCCGTTCTGTGCCACTTTCGATATTGACGGCAAGCTCGACGAGTGTGCGCAAAGGCGGGTGTGGGTCAAGGCGTAACCGCCTATAGTTACCAAACTGCATTAGTGCTAGTTGGTAAAACATTTCTTCTCTACGGATACGTCGTTGATTCATCAGTTTGTTAGCAGCAAAGAGTGAGTGTAGGTACATACGCCACGGTAGCATGATTGATAAGGTACAGTTTCGTCGAATGTTGAATAAGTGATAGACAACGAATATTGTCGACAATCCCGACGAATACATGATTCCTGATAATCTCAGTGAGATCTAAGAAGTGGCTCTTAGCTATGAAACTATGCATTAATCACACAACTAACCATGGTGGACATTCTTGACAACGGATTGCCTGAGTTCCGCTATTGAGGTCAGGCTACATTGGGACTCCTTAATGTCCCTTAGTCGTACTGCTCTCCCGGACGAGTCGTCCGAACGCGACGGATCGTTCACAGGAAGCATGGACTCCAGGGTACGATCTTGGAGTGACGTCCGCACTTTGTGCTGAGAAAGAGTCTTTTGCACTAGAAGAAGTGAGTCGACTGTCGTCAGAATAGCTTTCAAGCCTACCAAGGGGTGCGCTTTTTGTAGGTCCATCATCGTTTTCGTTGCTGTCTTCACTTTCACTTTCATTTCCATCTTCCCTCGCTTTCTTCTTGCCTTTCAACGATGCCGAATTTGTTGATACTGCCGGGGAGGAGGGTCTTAAGTCTGAGTAAGTACCCCGAAAACATGTTGGCTTAGAGAGATACCTGGTATTCGAACACCCTTGATTGACTCTGGCCCACCACATTCTGCTGTATGGCGTCCGATATCCGCTCTACAATAGCCTCCTCATTTAAAAACAAGACTTCCCGTTTGGTTGGGTGTACATTAACGTCGACAGAACGGGGATCCATTTCAATGCTGGATGAAATAAGTAGAGACCCACCACAGCGCTGTGAGTCAGTTTACCTCAAGTACACAAAAGGGAACGTGCCCTTGGGCAAAAATCCGCTGTACACACTCTCTATTGCCCTTCTGAGAGGAGATGATTCCACCAGGACGGTCTATAGTAGAGCCATGAGAGATCGCCTCTGGTGAGTAGGTATCAAGTAGCTAACGAACGCACGGTTGATGAAAAGGAGAAACACCATCTTCTTAGCTTGGAAATTTGCATTTGTGCAGTAGGCTTCAGCGGACCATCTTTCAGGGTCATCAATACCATCTTTGGACTGCTCGGAAGTAACATCAACGCGTAGCAACTCCTTCGCGATTGCATGACCATACAGCGATCGGATTGCTTGAAGGATGTCCGAGGCTGGGGAAGTCGATATTTCCGGGCTTGGAGATCCGGCCTGTGGACATGGTCAAGGTCGGAAATACACTGTAATTTCCGCGATAATATACCTTCTTGCAGAGGAAAGAAATGGCTGGGTTATGCACCGCGTATTTCGTCACGACATCCAGAACCCTTGCATATTCTTCCGAAGGACTTCGAAGAGCAGACAATCGAATTGGGGTATTATAAAACATATCTTCGATCTGTGTGCGTCGTCGTTCGTTATTCACCATCGTCCGGATGTACAACACACGGTGATTATTGTCCCATCAACTCCCGCACAAGGCTTGGGATCCGGTGTCTGACCTGGTTTTGAAGGAACAAGTACACCGTCCAAATAACACGCTCTTTCAAGAAGATGAGAAACCAAATGTTTTCATATTCTAAGTGAGTGTCACATACTTCCATGCATGAGCTTCGGACCTCGTCTTGGTTACCACAGAGAGACGTGCGACGTGAGATATAGAGGCCAGGGCTTCGCCACGAAAGCCGTAGGTCGTAATTCGAGATAGATCAGAGAACGACGATATCTTGGACGTCGTGAACCGCTCGGCAAGGATCGGTAGATCGGATCTCTACAAAAACCAGAAGTCGTACGGTGCGCACGACTTGGAAACAACCTACACGTATACCGCAGCCATTATCTTGGATTTGAAGGAGTTTCATGCCACCATCCTTGACAGTGATTTTTATTGACGTTGCTCGTGCGTCCAGGCAGTTCTCTAGCAGTTCTTTCAATGCAGACGCAGGTCGGTGAATGATCTTTGCTTGTGAGCATTATTTAAATGGTCCGTCACAACTATGATTATTACCTCTCCTGCGGCTATGCGGTTTATTAATGACTGGTGCAGTCGATGTATTGGTAGAGGGCTTTGCGGAGATGACGCGGACTTTTCCTGGCTCATTGCTCGTTCCAAGGAGGTGTAGCACGCGTAAATTGCAAGGCGCGTCATAGGCGCAAAGCAGATGCCCGATTAGGACGACCCTGGCCTGCCCACGTGCATTTCGATCAGCTCAGCCCTCTCTGCATACTTGCAGCCGACCCATCTCCGTTGTCATAAATGGCCACCACCCTGCTCACCTCCGTAACCCCAGGCTTAGCACCTATGCTACCCTCGCTGCTACCGATGGACAAGTACAGGGGAGCTGTTGTAGAGGTACCTTGATCTCTGACATTGCGAGGGTAACAGAATGGTGACGTTGTGATTGTACAGGATCTGCAACTGCCACCTGCTTTCTCGCTCCCATCCCATGAGTCTATTTCTCGCGCAATCCAGCTAGCATACGATCGCGACTTCTCACAGATACCGTAGCTAAGTTGGTTCATCATCATAGAGCAAATACTGATCGAAACTCTGCAGCGTGCTGAACAGCAAGCGACGTCCTCTTGGCTATGTTGACGTGGCTACGCTGAAAGCCAAGTGGGAGGCAGGTATCGCACAACCGGTACGTTTCTATCTGGAATTGCGCTGTGCTTAGTTTTACTTTTGTGTCTCTGCAATCTCGGCGTCTATCTGTATTGACCTATCCGGCTGCCAGAGCGACTCTGTGGTGAAGTACATGACCAAGTTTAATCGCAAAGCAAGTGAACCATATACCCTCGTCACGCCCGACACGCCACTGGCGGATCTAGCAGAATTTCTTCGCGACAACTTGTTTGCATTAGGTGCGCACTTAGGGATCGGTAGCCGTCAATGCTGGCTGATCCGAAGAGCAAAGTGACGGATTATGACAGGAAGTTCGTTCTTGCTGTAGCCACTTCTCAGGATTTGGACGTGAGCTGCCTTTGTCTGTCTTATCAACAACAAGGCTTACCGCCCTTTCGCCCCCAGAACTTCGTCTCTCGGAGAGGTATATCAGGTTGAGGCATTTGTTTTGTATTTATAGCTCCTAATGCGTTCCCATCATCCAATCATGGGCCACTGTAATCTCCAAGTGTCTTTCATCTTTTGAGCAATAGACATGTAGATTGTGGGTGATGAATCGATGACGCATGACGCAACACCGCCACTAAGCTCGCCTCCAGGATAACAGGGCTGTTCAATACAACTTAAGAGACTGACTCCATCCGGTACGTACATAAGTCAAGGTGACTGAGTCACGATTGCTCACATGCCTCCCTTTAGTGGGCGTTTAATCGTGTGATTCATCTTTCCTGTGTTCCACCATGGTGGTTTTCTACGACGAGATCCCAGAATCCCTCGTTGAATGGATTAAGAAACAACGCATGTTTTGGGTTGCTACGGCTCCCATGAATGTGCATGGGCACGTCAACCTCTCGCCGAAAGGTGGGGAGAATACCTTCCATGTAGTGGATTCCAGGAAGGTCTATTACGAAGACCTAACGGGTAGCGGTGCGTTTCACACTGATGATGATCGATCCTACATGTCAGGCCCCCCAATATTTGGAATTGGCAGGTGTCGAAACCATCTCGCATCTTCGTGAGAATGGGCGTATCACAATATTATTCAGTGCATTTGACGGACCACCAAGGATCGTGCGTCTGTGGGGCATCGGTACGCCAAGCAATACATTGCCGTTTGTCTGGCATGCCGTGTCGTCCTTACCATTGCACATTGTACGGCGCAGGTACCGTGTGCGAATATGGAACCCCTGAATACAGTACCCTTATCCCACAAGCAACTCGCCAGCCCGGATCGCGGGCCGCTATAGTCATTGATGTATTCAAGGTCAGCTCGGTAAGTATGCTACGGTGCAATGCTACACTCTTCTCATTAATCATCAATCATACCCCATACCGTTTCTCTACGCTATATACCAGTCCTGCGGCTTTGCTGTTCCACTGTACAACTTCGTGGCACACCGTACTCGGCTTCACAGGTTCAGCGACGGGAGGGAACGCGTTGACAGAGCCCATGCTTTGCCTGCTGATTCGGAGGACGTCGATGCCAAGCAGATCAATGTCCCTCCCAATTCACTCCGCGAGTATTGGCTCAAGAACAATATGAGTTCTCTTGATGGCCTTCCTGGACTACTTACGGCACCGGACGCCATAGCGCGCATTGTCCCGCGTAACAATTTTCAGAAGACCCCCATGCTGACGTTGCATGATACTAGTAGGACCTCTAATAAAGACGGCCACGGCATTGTCCAGCACCCCGAAAAGGTGTTCGTCTTGGGATTCTTCCTGGGTGCTTTCACTGTCATTACAATCACCAGAATCCTTGGTAAACTGGAGCTGCCTTTTAGTCTCTGAATACATGGTTGTGCTGGTAGTTATGTAAACGATTCACCAATTTCTATCGCGTCAACGCTCCTGTACGATACAAAGCATAGTGTTGGGTAGCCATTGCAAGCAAGGACAGCAAGCAGGGTAATTTGAACGAGCGGAAGAAAATGCAAATCCATAGCGAATCGCAGGTGTAGTACGAGAGCAAACGCAGCAACGGTACCCGACGTGAATGCGTGAACTCTGAACAAGAAAAACTGTCAAACTGCAGCGACCGGAGCGTCCATCATGAAGCACATTAATGGCACTCAATGCCAAGAGTGAAAGAGGCTGTACCAGTAAATGTCCGAACATCAGTGATTTCATCAATACGTCGTTATACCACCAGAGACGAGTATCTGCGAAGCAAGCCAAGTTAAGAAACCATTTTCAGAAAAGGCCACCCAATCGATGGGCTAGCGCTTGGACGAATTCTTCATTGACGCCAAACTCCCTCGCAATTGCACTGTAAGGTGACCCCGTGCAACCACTATCCAACGGAATGGATGTGGCATTAGAAAAGATATAACTCGGAGATAATCTGTGTGTGGTGGTTTGAGCACTTTTGCAGGCAAGCTCAACGGCCATCATCATCTCGAGTTGCTGAGCGGTGAATGCTGATCCGGAACTGAGTGTGGCGCGGACGAGAAAACCAAACAACGTACCGTGACATGAGATACCGACTTCTAAGAGGTCGTTAAGGAGCTGAAGGTCGTCCGCCTGTCCACGCTCTTGGCAACGTGCAGCTAAAATGTTCAGAGCATCTAGGACAGATAGTTAAGATTAAAATTAATGGTTTCAGGTAGACCGAGCTTACTGTATGTCAAGCCTGTTGGATGCGTCAGGAAGGTATGTACAACATGGGCTGCAAATCACCTACCAAATAGCGCATCTCTTACACCAGCGGACCAATACGCCATGCTTTCGACCTCGGCAGGAAATTTCGACAAAATGCTGATGAGGAAGTAGAACGGAAGGGAAGGCACTTTCAGGAAGTGAGACTGCCACAAGAATTTACTTAATCATAAAACGTGCACCGAGTAAACAGAGCTTACATCCGGGGATTGTATAAGTCGCATCAAAGCATCAAGTTCAGTGACCGTCACGACACCTGTCGTGACCACGACAGCAAGATGCTCCGGTCCCAGTCCTGAAAGCGTTGGCCGACAACCGTCGAAGGCGCCTTTCCATGATGGGAATAGCTGTGCGCGAAGTCGTAACTACACCGCTCGCTGCATGGAATGCAGTCCAACTCACCGCCCGCATAAGCTCTTCTTGGCTACTGCGCGTAACAGTAACGCCACGTGCCCGTTTTCCTTTTCCAAGGACCGAATTCTGCACTTCGCGCAGTGCAGTTTTTGCGATGTCTTCCGTTGTGAGTTCAACATAAGCATGACTAAGAGTCTTCCCGCGCTGGTCTAAAAGAACATGGACACGGACGACTGGATGCTTCAGCCAAGCAGCGATAGCGGGAGGTGTGATATCCTAGGGGACACGTTAACTCGTAAAACATTCCTTACTGAAATGAACCCACCCAAGGAACATTGTCTATACGAAGGACAATATTTTCGTTTCTTTGCGTGGGGGTTGGGACACCTGTCGGCGAAGGGTTGCGGGATGTGCTGTAGAGCGACATTGCGCTCATCAGTGATGGTAAGGGTTTCGAGTTAGAAACATTGAGAGAGAATGGATAATCTCCCCTTGAGGAGCGCTGCTGTAGGGGAGGCGCCACGCTGTCGAAAAACGATGGCATCTGGTTGCTCTGTAGGGTGATTGAAGGCGATGGATCGGTTTCGCAGCAAGGGACAGTGTGGAAGGCAAAATTGAGAACTGACGCCTTGCAAACAGCACATTCCATATCTTTCTCGCCGACAATGTTGAGTGCGCTGGTAAAACAAGCGTTGCAATGAGGGTGTTTACAGGGCTCGATAACAACGAGTCGGCCACCTGAGCGGCCACAAACAAGGCAGGATGAAATGGTTGGCTTGGTGATAGCGTTAATGTGCATGTCAGGGTACGCAGGGCAGAAATCTTGCGGAATAGATTCAGGGATTGTTGATAATGGGCAAGCGTTGAAAGGATCTTGCAAAATCAAAGATTGGGAAGCAGTAGGGAAAGACTGAGGGTAGGGCTCAGGAGCATTTTCGTCGATGTCGAACAGTTCCGCTGATATCTGAAACATTAAGCGGCCACACCGAGTCAGGATATCTATTGGGGAACGCCTCGGAAGCACAATCACAGACCTGTCCAAAAGAAGGGCGGCGGCGATGTAGAAGGGCAGGGGCGGTGTAGCTTCCATTAACTTTTAATTCATTGGAATTGGATGGCTTGGGTGGCGGCGTGTTCAGCACCCCGAGGGTCCGCCTGGCAGGAGTCTGCACTTGCTGGGTTGCCGCACATGCCAGAGAGATGTTCGACTGCGTCCGGGAGCGCCTATGACCTGTGAGGAGTGGAGCCGGCAGAAGAACTACATAGGATCATCAGAGCAGGCTCGATATAGTGCAGTGGTGGCAATGCTATACCTGCGTCGTTTACGAAAGCTGTTGACCTCGCATCAGAAAAGGGGGGGTCATCAACTTCTGGCAGAGAAATGTGCATATACACAGCCAGGAGCGAGTCATCATCGGCCGCAAAGGGTGGTGTTCACGGACAACATGGTTAGGTAATAGCACGGTGAGTGTGCCTTGCCTCCAGACACGCAGAACGAAAAAGAGTACCTTCATCGTTCCCAAAACTAGAATCTGAGGCGAGGGCGACCTTGATGCCATTCTCATTCGCACGCGAACGCCAGTTCGCACCAGCGTCCGCCAAACTCTCGCTGGCCAACTTGCAAGGTGCTTCACATTCAGGCGATTGGAGGGCAGGAAACCCCTTCGAGCCAGTGACTGACCCCGGGGTAGTGAGTGTTGAGCTAGACGGTGTGGGGAAGGAGCGAAGACTAAGTGGTGTATAGGGTGAGGAATATGTGCTCGCCGGACTGATAGGTGACCGAGACGATGACTTCATTGGGCGGACTGAGCGCTGGGGTGTGGCCGGACGAAAATTGTCGCGCTCTGTTTTGTTGAGACGGGTGACAGCGGGAGAGGTAGGGCGCTGACGCTGGAATCGAAGGGACCGAAAGAGAGTGCTTGTGCATGGTGGCGATGGAAGGCATTGCTGTCATGCAGTTGGAAGAAGAGTCAATAAGTGCCGTTCTCTCAGCAGAAATTGCCCACCTTTCAACGTCCGAGTGTCGAACAACGGAAAAGCAGGGCGGAATGTGGGGACGAACGAAAGCACAAGCCAAATTGTAGGTGGCTCAAAACAAGGTAACGACCTGCGGGGTTAACTACTGATCGGGATGGTTACAGGTCTTTTCTGGTCTCTTGTGACTTTTTTCGAAGTTGACGAGGGCTGTACGGACACTGGCAGACGATGGATGGACAGGAACGAAGGCTATCTACCGCAACGACAGCCAACGTGAGGTTGCAACAAGCTTGCAAGTCAAAGCTGCCGTGGGAAATTGCTTAAAGAGCGCGTCGTCGCGTACAGTCACGTGACCCAAACACAATACTTACGTCTCAAGCTCAAACTCTTAGTTACACTTCTACCTTTAACCAACGTTTACGCCGGTAGTCAACACGGCGGCGACCTAGCCACGCTGAAAATTTAACGACGCCATCATTTTCTACATTTACAATGATGTGACCGCCAGCCGCGGACGGCATAGATACAAGAACATACATACACAAGGTCGTCATCTGCACAAACTAGATATGGTAGCTCAAAACATTCACTCTTAGGCCCCTAAACAACACAGCTGCTTCCTTGGATGTTATCAAATACTTGGCGGACAATGGCCGCGATTGCAAGTCAGTGCCTGATAGTTAATCACATCAAAGCCATGCTTTACCTACGTCCATTAGCCTACAGAACATGATAAAGCACTATGAAGACGAGGGCGCACAGTTCCCCTACTCACTACTGCAAAGAAAGACGGAGTCAGGTCAATATACAGTTGTAGACTTACCGGGGTTGTCAGTGCATCCCGGTTGATCTCAAAAAAGGTTGCCCAAGCAACGTCTGGGACAAGGCTGCGTGACCATGTGCGCAAAGTAACTCTCCCTTCTCAACGGCTGTATGTGGCCACGCAAGGCGCTAATCGTACCTTCAAGTCCTGCACAACTTCCATCGCTGACTGCCAGGGAGCAACTCCTGGATCCAGAGCCAGTTGGCTCTGGTAGTAACGTGCCCTCAATCGCCACTTCCGGACACTGTCGCTAGGCAGTTGGCGGCTAAGACCCAAGCAGGGTGCGATGCGTTTGTTATGGAATGGACACAGTAGACGACGACGCTGAAACAGCCATATCTGATAAATGCCTAGCGAGGTTGTGGGGAACGGTGGCTCATCTGGCGTTTAAATGATAGATGGTGAGCTTTCATCGGCGGTCGTGCACTAGCATTTACCGAGCGCTTTCTAACCAACTGTTTATATCGAATTAGTAGTTCGGGCACATAGGCTTATATCGACCAATGGTGATAGAGCGGTGGCTTGTTCGCACGGCACAAGGAATTTTTCTGCGAGAAAGTGTGTACTTACGACTCTACACACCTTCACTTATCGATTGCCAAGCCGGCAGTGAGTACGAGAGATCGCTTGGCAGGTAAGTAAATACCGTATCTTTGTAATGTAATACCACCCAATCGACACGTGAAAGCACACAGGTTTGTGATTATTCCAAAAGAAATGCAGCTGACGGCAATTAAGCAAAAGCCCTCACCGGCATTCTTACGCAAACCTGTTAGGATGGAAAGTATAGATGACATCTACGCGCATCCTTCCGCTTGCTCGTGTTCCGCAAGGATATTAGACAGCATGGGAGAGATGTGAAAAAATCCCTGCGTCAGGGCAATGCAATGAGTATCTACCGCGGCTAACTCTTTAACCCTAACAGTCAACAGCACGGAGAAGACCTACACGCCACTTTTAGTAAAACAATTTGTTTCGTGTAGCGCCGATCTCGACAGGCTAACCATTTGCACTATTACCGACGTCTATCCCTCCACGAGGTGGAAGAGATGACACTCAGCCCCCTCGGGCTGTCGGCGTGCCGTCGATTTCAAGGACACGCATCCATGACGGAAGGATTTTGTACCCTCACCCCCCGATACCAACGATTTTATGGGGGGTAGAGATATTGAAGGTACAGAGTTGGCATAGCCCCGGATTGACTACCCCGATATTAAGGACTGCCGACTGCAGGATCTGTGGTTTAGGAGCAAGTAAACAGATGCCTACTTCCAGATAAAGAACGCTGCCAAGCTTATGTAATTGCAGTGTCTGCAACAGACGTATCCGTGACAGGTATCACTGAAAAGGAAAGACGCCTGTTTGGCAAGAGCCTTGGATCCAAACAAACGCCGCGGAAAAAGTAGCAGCTTCGAGGAACGGAGGATTACAAGTTTACGACCGATTTTTTCCTAGGCCAGTCTCAAATAATGATCAGAAGTTGAAGTTGGGATTTTGAACCCATTTCACTCTGTCTAAGCCAAGCGTTCTTCGGCTTGACTGTTTTACGGATAGCTCAGGGACGCATCACTTGGCACACTCCCCATCTGGTGAATGGTTCTCGTATGTCTGTTTCATGTCTTTTCTGATACTTGATATACAATTTATTAAGACAGTCAAGCGGCGGTAATTACCTTGAGCGCGATCCCAAGCAAACGAAACTACAATCAGACTCCGCGCTGTCCATTGTGTGTTATCAGTTGTCGTAAGGTTTCCCGCATTCGGAAGGCTAAGAACTAACCGACACCTCGCCGAGGATTGCAAAATCCACTAAGTCGGAAAAATTGAGGCTGCGGCTTGTCTCCAAATGCACAGCACTTGGGGCCTGAATCGAATATAAAGACCTCTACCTTGTTGAGGTCCTGCTGCCCCGAGTTCTACCTCCGGAGTACCCGTTCACTAGCACCACTGCGACGTTCTTTGTGGCAAAATCCTTGAGGACGATCTTTCTAATGGAGGGCTCAATGGTACTCCCCGCTCCGGTTGTGGAACGACGGCGCTCACAGTCGTCCTCACATCGACGCCCAAAAAGTCCTGGTGCCGATGACGCGACGATTGTGACTGTCAAAGGTTTTTTCCTAGAAGAAATCGACGAGCAGCGTGCGATCGTGCCGTTGGTAGGATACTGTTTCATGACCGGCTTCCTGTGAGTTCGGTTGGTTCGCAAGAGCGTGTAATAAATTTGGCTTACTTGCGTACAGCAATGCTGTCTGTTTCTCAGCAATCTTCGCCTGGTGCGCATCTCAAACTGGGAATACTATCCAGGTAATATTGTAAAGCCCTTGTCGATGCAAGCACTCTTGAGCTGATCTTGCTTTACTGACCTACAGCTCTCTATCGCGATCGGCCGATTTTTAGACAAGGAGCCAGACCACCTTTACCGCATGACTGATCGCCTTGCTCTCATATCTTTGCTCAGCTTTATCCTAGGCGGTTTCGTTGGGCGGATCGGCGAGAGAGTTGGGTACAGTGCTCGTATATGGTTGGTATGCGGAACTCTATTCCAGGCCCTCCTCACCATGGGGGCTGCTATCGCGCTCTGGAAGAGTCACTTGCCTTGGTACGCACCAACTGGAACTGGCCCAGTGTGGACAACTCCGTTGGCCTTCCTAGGGTATGGATTCATGAGTGCAAGCATGGGCCTGCAAGGTGTTATGGCTAAGCGGATCAATACGCAGTTCTCTACCTCAGGTCAGTTGCAATAAGATGTACATTTTTTCTGGAACTCAAGTGTGGTTGATCTAGTCGTACTCACTTCTATATGGTGTGAGTTGATATCCGAACCCAAGCTATTCCACCTTCGGAGGGGCGTGGCAGATCGCGACCATAAATTGTTGACCATCCTCTTCATGCTTGTGGGTGGCTTTTCGGGGCGCTGCACGATCGATCAAGTGGGCCCAGCAATTACCTTGGGAATAGCAGCTGGATTGCGTCTCGTTATCAGCGGTTCGTGGTTCCTGATCCCGAAGAAAACGGAAAGGAAGTTTGATGCAGAAGATGACGAGGGGTTCAAGAAGTGATGCATCCCCGATTTGTAGACTTCCTTTTGAATCACGGCGCCGTTGCATGTAGCTTGGTCTGCTTTTCTGTTCCCCCATAGACGTCTTTTCTGTTCCCAGTCATCCATTGCGATTTCACGAATGTCCCTGTAGATTTCTTGCAACCGTGTATTTTTTAGTTGCTCCGACAGTTGTCTCTTTGTTTTCCCTGCCCCTTCATTTACGGTGTCTCATCACCAATTGGATACACAACGCACTCGTAGACAGGCATGTTTGGTCTGCATTTAAGTCACTGTAGTTCGAAGCGCGGCCATCCCCGTCCATCCGACGTACTTGCAGCCAAGTCACACGTTCGTCATGCAGAACATTCCTCTGTGAATAGGTACCGTCACGCAAGTCAGCTTCAATGTCAAGTCCCATGGATACATCGGGTGGTGAGGCTGTTTCCAATGATAAGCAAGTGCCATACCACGGAGGGAAAGAAACGGCTGAATTCGCAGATGCTACAACGGGCTTGCTACCGCTTGACTCATTTAACCGCACACGCCAATGCATGAACAGGAGGAATCCGGTCGTGCACATTAGCAACGTACTTCTCCTTGAAGGGGGGACAAACTGCTCTCAGGTCGTCAGTGAAGGTATCCCCTCGACGACGAACTTGAAGGGACTTGGCGGTATACTAGATATGGCATCCGAGATTGCTACCATCTCAGGTGTGAATCTTACGGGACCTTTCAAAACAAGGGCAAAATGGTGATTGGACATTTACTATAAGTACGAAAAGAGGGAAAATCCAAAAGCTTTCTTCGGCTCGCGCGTTGGGATACTGACAAGAGGACTGGGCTCAAACTCTGACAAAGAGCACAGACACTGGCTGAGTAAGCAGACGGAGATGCCGGCCCGCGACTACTAAGGTTAGTAGGTGGCAGTGCTGTGCTTCCCGTTCGAAAACGTTCAGTTTCAACCTAGTGGCGACCAGGTGACTTGTGATTACTAGTGAGTATCGAATTGCAAAACGAGTACTGCAAGAATGAACATTGGGCCTGCGCGGATGCCATCACGACGAAAGGGACAAATGGCCGGTGTCTCCTGAAGACAGGTTGTTTCAACTGTGCGTACCACGCACCCTAAACGACCATATCTAACCACTGACACCATCGCAAGTGCGTCGAAATTTGTACCTGTACCTGAAACATATGTAACATCCTTCCGACTCGGTGTGTTGTATTTGCAACACACCGGTTTCAAATCGGGGCTTTTTAGCGTGGTTTGATACTAGCATGTTCCCCCGGCTCCTACATACCCGGGAGCGACACTTGCACATGCCAACATTCGCGTGTAAGATCACACCTCACTCCTATACACCCACGCGCTGCCTCAAGCTGAATCTGTATGCCATTTGGTACCCCTCCTGCTCTCGGAACGGGGAAAGTATTCCTGATACCACAATGCGCATGGCTCACAGGATTTCCGAGAGCAACGGCTGGAATAGATTACCTGCCATATCAACTTCGAAGATTCTCTCATCACTCGTGGATGACCCGAATTCTCCGTCACGTGCAGCGATGGAACTAAACTACGCCGGCGTAATCGGACGCAACAAGCAAACCATGTTCCTCAAGGTACGAACGGGAATGCCCCCGTAGATGACCAATATGCATACTACTGCGGCCGCCAAGACGCCACTTATCGATCGGACCGGTTGGCCAATTACAACTGTATGACGTCCAGGCCGTATATTTTGGCAGCCCCACCGATCAGAAAGTGGAGCCAAGCTGTTAGGCACCCTATAATCATTATGAGTAGTCGTCGACCTGTGAGGTGGTATCGCGGGGCAAAATCGTACCTCTCGCCTGGCTCCTACTTCCTGATCTCGCTCTCTTCGTCCCCTCCTCTTTCAGTCCGGAAACGATGCAACTCCGGGTATCGGATTCAGAATTAAGGCACGGGAGCTTCTAGTCTTGAACTAACCCAATTAAGTATGTCCACATAACTTGGATTCTTTCCACCAAGTAAAAGACGTAAGTTTTCGCCACCTGAACCCCGCCATTGACGCTCATCATATGGTATCTACATCAATCATCTTGGAATAATTGCAGTCGTTGCAAAGAAATGGCAAAGGAGGTTCACTATCATTTGGTGACTTATATGCGCAGGCTACCCAAGTTGCATTCAAGAGAAACTGAATTAGGAATTAGCGATTCTCGCGCGAAGCGAGGAGCGGAGAAGGTGCGCACTGTATTTGTTAAAAGCATTGGATTTCCGTGGCAGGAAATCGATCGATTAATCCACCGGCAGCAAAGAACACGACGAAAGGGGGGATGCGTTTCCAGCATTGTGTTGCGAGGGTAAACGGATATTCTGGGAGAGCGTCAAGAGCAATTGCGAAACCGGGAACATGCTACGGCAGGCTAACATATGTCATACAGCTATTCACATGTGCCGTGCATGTTGCCGTTTAAACAGGTTACGACAAGTTCAAACTGAGAGTAGAGCGATGAAACCGATGACTTCGGACGTCGCCGTTACACTTCAGTGCTTGCACAGAGCCCCCTCGCTTGCCTTTTGTACCGAGCATCGAACCTTTTCAAATACCTGGTTTCAACTGCTTTTTGCCTGTCTGCGTGCGGTGCTGGACCGATTTTGGCGATCAGACTCCTATCTCGGACACCAAAATGCGTTGGAACTCGTGGTAGTATGAAATGGCCATAGCATACACCGCCTTTCACTACCTCGGGTCGCCGCATTGGGGCACCGCATAGAATTGTGCTGTTATCGGATAATAATAATTAACGACGACACTCGTCGTTCACAACTATTACTAGGAGCAAACCTGATGCCTCTCGAAAATTGCACACTCCAGGAAAAGCCGGACATAGCCAGGCAGACGTCAGCATCTGGGAACGGCGTTTCAAGTTATCTGAAACTTTGGGAACTGGACTTGAGGATCTCTGGCTGCGCGGAAAACTAGCGCGAGGGCGGTGAGGGTACGACGACTGATAGGAGCCATAACCCTCCTAACGTGAATGGACGACGTTGACTGGCAGAAGGGACAGAGCTGAAGTGACCTCAAAGGGACAAGTTGGTGCTAATATAGGGACTTGGATGAGCAGTGATTTGAACCTGCTACCGACAAAATGGAGGACAGCGCGAAGAACGGCAGTCGTGGGTGTGGCACCCCTGTCTTTAAATGTTGGCTCAATCGCGGTTTTGACCATTTCCTCAGTCTGCCAACTGTGGAAGATGGAAGAGTTGGTACGATGTAAGCATGTAATCGCCTATTTGGTGGGGCTCCAATAACCGGGATCCGGGCCAGAGGAGTTTGGTGTTGAGCATTTAAGAGATGATGTCGAATCGCTGGTGGTCCAGACTCGAGTTCATACAGACCACCAGAGGATCGTGTCAAGAGAAGTCTCCCCCTTCTTTCACACCAAATTGCTCAAGTATCCTGATCTCCTAGGCCACTATCGTCTCTATAATTCCAGTTCCATGGGGGGGGGCAGGTCAACAGTCACTGACCTTGGTCATTGCTGTCTAGGAAAAACCTCAACTCGGAGACCCAATTGCTGGAGGCGGGGAGTCCGTTCCTACGGTAGATCAAATGGGCATGTGACATGGGCATCGCCAAGAGTGTAGTGTATAGCCCGCGTTCCAACCCTTTCAACCCTCCCAGTCAACTATCAAGGTCAGACGGCAATGATGAGCCGCAGCAATATTCTAGAATCTGGATGTCACCGTGACTCCACTCCTGCCATGCTTCCCTGCAATGTTGTGTGTTTTTCTCGTGCAGACAGTTTTGGGTGTTGTCCGGCGGCAACCTTCTCAAGATCCCCGTGAGAGGGAAGCCTCAGTGTGGTGGCCTCGGGGGCAGTATCTTGAAGTCTTCTGATGCTTGCCTAGCTGCTTAATTATAAACGTGCGGTCGTACCTCTCCATCTTAGCTGTGTCTGTCACCACTGACAGAAACAGAGCAAATCATTGGGGAAAGGGAATCAAAAGATCACTTACATAATAGCGCCCACCCACTTTACGCATTTTTGATGATATCTTTATTTCGTAGTGTGAAAGCGTACAGAGCCAACGTTCAAGAACAAGGGAATTTTTGTTTTTTAAACCTGGGAAAGCTTGAATTACGGAAAGCCAGACTGCATCGAGCGCCACGACGGAGGTTGAACCGTTCACGCAGCGGTTTCGACACCACATTCTTACGCTATGTAAACGATGACGTAACCGTGCGCACGCATGTAACCGTGACCAGCAGTGCAAAACGGGACCGTGGCACAGCAGTCATATATCATGCCTGAAACTGGCACCTGTGAGAACTGTGTTGTTCTTCGCACAGTGTAGACATATTACCCTGCGTGTACAGGAAGTGGGGCTTGAAGCATTGAATTGAACTGTGATGTTGATACCGACGGTTTGCCACAGCCAACAGAGCTGGCATCAAAAGCGCACCGAAGGACGGGAACCAGGACCAGACCCAGAGTAACGGTTCCGTTTCCTGGCGCGTAGATGTGACCGTGACCAACAGGCGGTGCCGGCATACCAGTATGAGCTTGGGGGAGGTAGGCAGAGACTTGAAAACCCCACGTATATGAATCGATGATCGTGGGTTGATTGGGCGCGGACTATAACAAGTCCGCTGTAGCGTTATACGTACTGCGGTGGGCGAGCACGGGTGAAAATGGTACAATTAGGAACAGATCCGCGTCGGCAGAAATGGATGTACGATTTCACACGTAGATGTGCATTAATCACATTGCCCTGGGACCGACGGGACCATCCGGCCAGTTTGGTGGTCGCCGTAGAGACAGCTACAGACAGCTACCTTGTGGGACAATGTGGGGCGGGGATAACGACATGTGTTAGTTTATGAGCGCGCCGGCACAGCAAAAACAAGGCCTGTAGGTTGATTTGGGGTTGATCGGGCAAGTCTGGACAGGAAGGGATCTTGCCAACGAGATCTGGTGGGGAGGAGAGTCGCATACGGGGCATCTATTGTTTTACTCCAACATCGAACGCAGCGAGAAACAAGGGGTGGATCGTGCGACGGTGCCGGATCTCGGAATGTATCGTATGGAGTGACGACGGAGTGTGCGGAGTGCCCGCCGAGGCAGGATTGGCGGCCGGAGCCTCTTCCTCGCCAATCACCGGGCAGACACAGTCACTAGTCCTGGTACTGATACTCGACGACAATCTGCATGACAGGACTCTCCGTGCACGGCGGGGGAGAAGAAGCGGTAATAATATGATGGCCCAATCGGATGACAGCACAGGCCGACAAGGATGGAATCAAACGTATCACCCACTACGATACAATAAATAGCAGCCTGCAAAATGCCACAACCACACACCCTCGATCCACGACAATGTGCAGTTGGCGCTCACTCCCAACGGAACTCCTCATCGACATCATGATCCGCCTGCCGTCTAGTGCAGTCAGAGCACTCGCTGCCACGTGCCGATCATCCCATTCGCTCTGTCTCCCTGCCATCTTCGCGAACGTCATCCTCCCGTCCGCCGAATCTCTCCAGGCATTCGTTCTCCACGTCCCAAGACACTATGGCCAATACATCCTCTCTCTATCCGTCTGCACGGAGCGTAAGAGCACACACCTCGACCACTTCTCCCCCACAGACGCTCTCGTCGAGATCCTCTCCGCGTCCTCTCGCCTTCAATCTCTTTCCCTTTCACTCGCATCGTCCCTCGATCCACCAAAAATAATCCAAGCGTTCACTCACTTTGACAAACGTACACACGTTTGAGATACGCAACTGCGGTTTGGAGGAGGACACTCCTCTGTATGTCACCTATTCTTGAAACCCTTTTCTCCCCCGTACTGATGCATTCCCTAGATCTGAGCGGCTCGTCGTATCTCTTGCAGCTTCCCTCCCTTCCATCGCCCACCTCAAACTCTCCCGCATCTCCCGATCTGCTGCGTGTGTCGATCTATGCGACGTGCCCTACAATGTTCCCATCGCCATGCACGACTTCGACATTCCACCACACCCCCGTCTAGGAGCGGATCTTGCTCTTCCTTCCCTCCTTACTATTCCAACTCTACGAGTGCTCGAGATACGCGACACTTGGTTGGGAGGTGATTCCAGACTTGATTTTGGCTCAAACGAATCACGATCTCCCATCGAAAAACTCCTGCTCACAGGGAACATGTATACGTCGGACAACGCAGCGTTTGATAGTGACGCGTACACAGCATGGATACGCGCTTGCCGCCCTTCACTACCTACACTTGCCCTGGGTACGGCGCTCGCGCCCAAGGTGGACATCGTTCCCTTGTCACCTTCCTTAGCCTCTCGCCCAGAAATATCTTGGGACGACGAGGAAGCAGAGCTGCCGCAAATGTCTCATCTACACATCGATGCGTCCCTTGTAACCGTGGATACCCTTCCTTCCACGATGGAGGTCCTCAGCAACTGCGGAATCACTCGTGTTACTATCTCCTATGGCGACGGTACTCCGCCACCCGAACCACTGAGTGAGGAAGACGATTTCACACATCAGTGCGCATTGGACGACCTCAAGGAATGGCAAGATACCGTAGAGGAGTTTCTCGGATCACTGGAAAGCGGACAGTGGCACGCATTGAGGCAGATTGAAGTTACCTTTGGGAAGGACGTGAGGGCGAGGTGGGAGCTGTAGCATTTTTGGAGAATGAACATCGACAAGCACTGCTGTTTTGGATGGTCCATCTGCATAGGTCTACCAATTGTCATTTCGATTTGGTGATTAGGATACCCTGCTGTCTATACATATGTACGTGGTGGAATAAAGGGGGAATGTACATCAATTGTTGAAAACATAAGCGTCTCAACGAAGGAACAGCTCAACCGAATCTTTTGGCACCACGGCAAAATTAATGTTGCATCCTGGACACGCGCTGGCTAGCTCATTCAATCGCACCAATCATATTTTACTTCAGTGCTAATCACGTAGCTCACAATGACTGGATAAATGAAGGAGAAACGTCCAGTGCAGTTCTCCCAAGGCGTGCCAGAGACCCAGTGGATCCCCTGTCTGTGCACGTATTGCCAAGTAGCATCACGACATCGGAGGTCCTAAGATCTCCCGTATTACCTGGAACCTGGATCAATAGAATAGCTCTTCCTGTGGCTGCCTGTGTGGTGCACAACTTTTCCGGACCGCTGCCACCGATCATCCGAGTGCGCTTGTTATTCAATATCCGCCGAAGACGTCGACGATCCCTGGAGAATTCAGAAATATCTGCGGTACCGCCGGAGACGGTATATCGACAACTGTACTACAACGACCCTGGTAACGCTGCTGCGGTCCTGGTACTACATAGTTCTCGGTGCCTCGTCGGCTCAATCTCGCAAGTATAATATTCCAGCCCTGTGGAGGCTAAGACACATGGCCAAGGCATAGGAGAAATTCACCTGCCGGCATACCTTAGGTTTGGCACTTCGATCACGTGTACAGTTTCAAAGCACGGCTCCCTCCCGCAGACATGGTCACGGTACCCCGCAAGGTCGCAAAATCAAGATAGTCCCAGTAGATGAGACATGCCGGCCTCCCCCAGAAACACAAGATACCGCTGGGAATAGCGGTACGTAAATCCGCGGGCTCATGTAGACCCGCCTGACAGCTTACCATCATCAATAAGCCCGTTTAAACGGTACTTCGACTGTGAGGCCTAGCGAAGCGTAGTTGCGCGCGCGGTCGGCGGTACAGCCGAGGGAAGAACTTCCGACGCGCGACGCCGCATACAGCGGGAAAATGTCAGCCTCTGGTCGGTGATAGTGGAAGGACTTGTCTGTTACTAGGCATGCTCAATCGTAGTTGACGTTGGTCAGCCGTTGGCTGGTTGGCTGAAAGGGTCGGAGACCAAGGGATTCGGCCACAATATTGGGGCATAAAAATATTCTTCTGCGCACATAGCAGCCCTGAAAGGGACTTCTGGTCGTCGACACCGGTCAGAGGGACGGGGGACATTCTCCGACCCAGTAAGATATATCATCGAGCTTCTACTACCTACTTACCCGTCTGGTTTGTTGTCGTGGATAGGGATAGCGCAGCCGGCGCCCAGGAATTGCTATGCATTTAGGGGTGTCGTTTACCCCGAAGACATCCACAAAGCGTGGAAGAGCGCGGAGGAATGAGAAGGAGGCAGGCGGGCTGCTGTAGATGCCCCTCGGACTCCGGAGTCCGAGGGGGGGAGATTTCGCCAAAAAGAACATGCCATTTTTTTCTTTAGACCATAAATCTGCATCATTTTTGTAGCGATGTTCTCAGAGGGAACTGACTCGCACTCTCCTAGAACACCGCTCCAAGATGGTGTGTGCGGTATGCTGTAAGAATAAGGTCACATCAAAAGACACCGCCACCCATTTATCCCCGCTCCCTCTCGATTGCAGTGGGATATTATTCACCACTAGACAGAAGAGAGAATGTGAACTCTTGCAATAATTATTCGACGTCCGTGCTGCCGCCGATAACAAAGGAAGAAAAATTAGCGATATGGTTGAGACGTAGCCAGGAACAGCCATTGATCGCCTACCTGTAGAAGTGTTCTCTCGGGTTCTCAGCATGGCCCTTTCCGTGGCTGACTGCGGCAAGTGGAGCGAGGTTCGTTGCCAGAAACAACAATCCGTGAGCGTATCTCGCCGGTGGCGGGACGTCGTTCTCAACAGCCCGTCTTTATGGACTGCTATCTGTGTGTGTCCTAGCTGGCCCTCATCATTCGTGGAGATGCATGTGGCAAGGAGTCGCGAACAGCCGCTTGACATTACAATTCTGGGGTGGCAGCCCTTCAGCAGCTGTGATGCACTTCTTCGTCCCATGCTCTGCTGCACACATTGTTGACGCAGCCTTGCCATTTATGCCGGTGCGGAGGACACACACACCCTACTGCGTGACCTGAGCAGGCTATCATTTCCCTGTCTCAAAGACATGCATATCCAAAGCTATCACAGCTTTGATGTCCCACCTCCCACGTTTTCCACGGCTGATAACACCCCTGTCTCGAACAATTAGTCCTCGAAAATTATCGCCTTCAAGTTCTAACCACGCTGCTCCCTTTCCTAGAAAAGCTGACGCCACTCGCTCTCCACGGAGAGATAGGTTGCTGGAAACTCGGACTACAGTCCATTCACTTACCACTGCTGAGATCGTTCATAATAGACGTCAATGATCTGAGTCGCTGTCGAAGAACTGTCGCCTTTTTTTTTTTTTTGTGCAGCTCAGCTGATGATATTCCATAGGAACCTCTGTAGGAAGCAGTGGGAACTTCTCGATGCAACGAGTTGCAAGTATGTATGTACTATCTGCCGCACACGCACTGCCCTCTCGAAGCCTTGCATTGGTATTGGGTGCATCCTCCCAAAGCCAACTTCGTCATGTCCCTGCACTAGCAAACGTGATCCCTGTCCGTCAAAGTCACCTGGAGTAGCAGCACTAGGTAACGTAACTAAGAACAACTTGGATTTGTTTGGGATCTTCGATGTTACGCTGCATTTGCAGTATGGAGAAGTAGAAAAGGCATTCGGGAAACTACCGGTTGAGCTTATCAGGCTCATTCAATATACCGGCCTCCTCAACTGGATCGGGAAGCGCTTGGAGCAGCGCCGGATCTTTCCAGCCGGCCATTACGGTTTCCGAGATGCAGCCTTGCCCGCCACGGCGGTGAGCTATGGTAGCTCGATGGCTTCAAGCCAAATATACCCATCGTGTGGATGCCGACGATAACTCCGTAGTTGTCCGATCGGGACACAAGTTCTAAAGGAGACCGCACAAGCCCGCACTTCAGAATTTCCAAGGTTTCGACAATGAACTATACGAGAGAAAAGTCGGGATTATTTATTGGCTTTTGCCTGCAGAGTGCGGTGAAGTGCACCTACAATCGATAATGTATGTTATGTGAGAGGGAATGCGACAAATCCTGACTAGTTTATAGGTAAGTGCGAATGAGTGTACATATGGATCCACAGCAACACATTTATGGACTGGAAATGCATGTATGTTGAATAGTGTGGCAAAATAGTGTCAACTTACGATGTCGTCTTCCGTTATACCCACGTCCCAGGGAGTCCTCGTCTTCGTCTATTATTCCTCCTAGCTGTGCTGGACTCATACCCGGAAAAAACATGGCGGTAGCCTTCTTCATCTTCACCACCATCACCTGAAGTTCGTTCACGCCCCCTGTTCGTGCCCCACGACTGATTCCACCAGTCCGGTCGACTCCTTCTCGACGATAAAACATTTGGCCTGTCCGAACCACCCGCTACCATACTAGTTGTGACCTCGTTGCTTTGCGGTTGCAAGTGCTTTCGCAAACTTCGCACCGAGTGTTGCCGCCTAGCTGGAACCAACCATCGGTCCAAGCCAAGTTCATCGTCATCGTCCTCATCATCCTCATCGCTGGGTGATTCATTCCCTCGAGTATCCATTCCCCAGCCTCCGAGATAACGATGTTGAATCTCCCACCCATCATTCTCTACACGGGTCTTAGCTAATGAAGGCACGATATCCGTATCTTTGCCTTTTCCTTTCCGTCGACCCCAGGAGCCCGGATGCTTGTCCCTGGCCTTCCCTGACTGATTTAACCTATCGGAACGTATTTGCGAATGCTGGTCAACTCTGCTGGTTCGCACAGGCGAACTTGCACGTGAGGTGGGCGCAGATCGACACAACACCACTGCGTGATGTACTTGTACTTCGCATATCTTGGCTTTCTGGTCCTGAACTTCTGGGCGTAGCAGCGATGGTTTCCCCGTCGGTCGGGTCCCCTTGCGTTGCAAGCTAGAGCGTTCTGACAGTGCAGAACTGGATTTTTGCGTGGCAACTGTCCGGGCGGATGCTGTATCTGACGTCAACGTCGTGCTCGCTCCGGACAATATTGCTTTGGTGACGGATTCAAGCCAATTTCGAGGTAGAGGCGGTTCGGCGACTTGTTCTCTAGGTTCCCGTTTACATTCATAATTCGACACGACTTCGGGATCATTTAGATTGAACGCGCGATGATGGCGTTGTGCCCCGCGATGGCGTCCATAGGCTGCTTGTAGTCGTTGATGGGAGCGCACGGAGATTTCCGACGAAGAGGGGCGCTTGTTCAATGGCTGTATGTTGGGCGCCGAAGCCATATGCCTAAGATAGGCATGAGAAGTAGGTACATATGACTGGCCTAACTTAGATGGTTGGCGATGAAGGGAAGGCCTTTGCTGTTGCGTAAGGTGATAACGTGAATGGTGCGGGAGTCCGAGTGAAGACTGGTGAGGTTGTACGATATGTCGTGCAGTCCCGGCGGATGGGTGAATGGGCTCTGTCGAGCCCAGTGCCGAATTGATCCGCATCCGCTGTACCGTAATGTGCAAATTCTCGGAGGAGAGGTTCTGCGAATAACCGGGTAGAGAAGTGGTTGAAGACGCGTTTGATGCCTTCGTCAACCCATTTAACTGCCTAACTTGGGGCGAGGGTGAGGGAGGAGCGGAGGACGCCTGTCCTTCGGTTTGCCGTAAAATTGCCATGGTGGGTTCACTTGAAGTTGCGGCCTCGCGGGACAAACTTGAGTTGCGGCTAACAAGTCCAGTAAGAAAGCCAACAACAGCACCCACACCACCTCGTATGCTGCTGTTCAATCGGCCTTCTTGCTTCTCCGACGGATTTCCTGCAGACCGCTCCGCCTCGGGTGTGAACACCCGCGTTTCTGTGTACCCTGCCTCCCGAAGCAAATCCTCGAGGCGCTCATATGTCTTAGAAGTGCCACGCCGATGTAACGGAACACGCCCAAGCGAGTCTGGATAGCGGGCCATTGTCCGGCCACGAGGGGGGGTTACAGGCGTAGACGAAATACCAGCGTTCATTATAGTCGCCGCTGACGTTGCCTGACGCGACCGCGACTCGGGAGCAAGTTCCGATGAAACGGGCGGTCTTGGAGAGGCATCTTGATTCTGTAAGAGAAAAGTATCGATGGGGTGTAAGAACCTCAGTTCCTCGCTAACATTTAATCACAACCACGCACATGCATATTAACCTGCCGACCTTCACCGGTGGCGGTCGTTTGGCCTAACATGATGCCAGGCTTGCCGCTCGATCAAACAACGTGGGCAGGTACGACCCGTTCGTCGTACGGTCGGGGAAGATCCCCGCAGGTCAATGGTATTTTACCGTCGGTATAGTGCAGTGAAATGGGCGCTGTACCGCTGTTTGGATGTTTTGATATTAAATACGAGGTAATCCAATGAAATACGACGGCCGATGGCTGAAGTCGTTGGGTAAGTTGGGGTATACCCTGGTAGGAGCGCGTGGGCGATGATTAATACGAGCTATTGGCTTTAGCACGGTGGCATATGCCAGCATATATAACCATTTCATTTCAAAGCACACGGCGCGGTGATGAGGAAAAAAAAAAAAATGATGTGGCCAATCCTGGAACCGGACCACACTGCCTGGTCCATACGAGCTGTCGCTCACGAGCGACGTCCAGCACGACGCTGGTCATTATTGTCTCTTTGCGTCGATGCGTTAATCCCGACGCTTTGACTCGAAATGTTGATGGCATGTTACCACAAATACTATGGATCCGGACGTCCCAGCACCCTCAAAGCAATCCTCACATTCATTATCGTGGTATCCATGCGAACTAGCACAGCGCGTTGGCAACAAACCCGTTGCACAGCGTCGGAACCAAGCAATGCACATATCTACATCCAAATAGCTAGTGATCAAAGCGTCTCAATGTCCTCACAATCTTCTTTCTCTTCGAGTAGGCACTGCTGTCGTAGGGCGGCTTGCTGGTCAGAGCTTTTGAAGACCGTGCTGAATTCGAACTTGTTGTCACATGCTATCCGGAACTCTTCCGCTCGAGTGGACTTGATGCGTTGGAGATATGACAGAATGCGTAAAGCGTCCTGGGGAATGCATGAGCAGCGAGGACGCGTGTCAATGCTTGTAAACCGACCTCGACAGGAAGATCGATATTGTCTTGTAGACTGGTGAATAACAACGATTCTATGTCTTTCATCGAGTTGCCGAGGATCTCACTAGCCTTGGCGCATGCTAAGATGACGGTGGAAGAGGTCGAATGTGACTGCAGATATTGAGATGTAAACACATCCAAGGATATTTCTTCCGGTTTTAAAGCAATTAGAGTTTCGTGGAGAACGGATTTGACGGCACTACCGATCGAATCGGATAACGAAGAGACTGCCACAGACACCTTAGTAGTCACAGAAATAAGCCATAAAGGACTCACCTGTTTTGCCAAACTGTACAACCCGAAGGTGTACCTCTGGGTGTTGTGCATCCGCAGTATGAGCACGAACAAGGGCCTGGGCAGCTTGCATATATTTCTCTAAGAACGCGTTTACAAACTCCTCAGTACAGTATGAACGGAGATACTCACTTCGCCGTATTGCAACATCAAAGTTCGTTAGGCACACGTCCATGATGTGTTTTCCCACATTCCTTGAACGTCTCCAGGAACTTCGCGGCCCTTTCAAGCGGGTCATCAGCTAGAATCATCTTCACTCCGTCCGGGTCATCGTCCTTCGGAGGCGGAGCATCGAGTCCTTTGTCATCGGATTGGTTCGAAACTGTGGAGAATATACGCCAGCGTAAAGAACTAAATGTGCATAGACGAAGACGAATCCTTAATTCACCCTTTTTGTTGACGGCGTCCTGGGATTCATGCGACGGGTCATTCCCTCTACGCGCTGCCTTCTTTGCTTTTGACAGCGCTTTCTTGGACGATTCGGTCGTTTCTGCACCGCAGACTAGGTAAGCAATGGGTATACTGGTTGAATTCGCGAGCTGACCATGGGAGGGTTGCAACGATTTGCCGAGTAATGGATCATCATAGAGCTCTATCCATATCTGTATGTTCATAAATGAAGATGGAAGTTTTCCCATCGAGGCATACTGACCAGAGCAGCTGACACTACAGCATGGACATATGCGGGGTGGGAGTGAACTTCGTCCTCCCACTTTAACATGCTAGCGGGGATCCATGGGTTAGAAGTTCGGTACAGTCTTGTCATTACTTACTCGAGGTACGGAAGCAGAATGGTTTTTCGGATGGAGTACTGGTGGAAGTCGTACTGATCTTCACGAAAAGACTCAAACACCTACGAAGTACTGATTAGGGAAAGGGTAAACTCTACGTATTACGCACCTTCTGGACAGCGTAATATTTTTTGAGAGCGAGGTTAAGTTTGCCAGTGCGATTATAAGCGTCCCCTACTTCAACCAGGTAGTGCAAGGCTTGCATTTCGGTTAAGTCTGCGCCAGGTGTAGCTGCGCCTTTCTGTGGTAGATGATGTAAATTGGACGGCGTAAGATTCTGTTAGCGAACTTACTCTTGTGAATAGTCCGAAAATTTCTTCCGCTTCGTCCACCATACCTGCCCGGAGACGATACTTCCCGGACTTCGTGTTGATAAACCGGTCCTGGCCGTCTAGTGCACGTGCCTCGTTCATGGACCGTACAGCGCCATACGGATCGCCCGCCCTTTTCAGCACTTTCGCCTTCATCACGTATATTTCTGGCAGTGTTGGAGTGTGCTCCACTGCAAGATTCAAGATGTCGAGGGCCTTCCGGTGTCGGTCCAAAAAAGAATAATGCTGCGCAAGGAAGTAAAGTGTCCATAGGTATTCGGCCGGTTCGGACGGCGAGGATGCACGGATATCTTCCACAATCTCCTCTATGACTTGACGTTTGAAAGGATCTGCATAGAGTTTCTTGAGGTCACTAAAGAGTGAAGGTATGCCTTTGCTGAGCCCCGCTTCTATGTACGGCTTCACTAGTTCCTTAAATTTATCACCTAAAGGCAAGGTTCATAGTTGGTTTAAAGTGGAACGGAGACATGTACCTTCGGCCACAGTAAGTGCCAACCGCCGAGGAGCGTATGCTTTCGGAGAGTGCGCCGAAAATCCAGAAAGCAATCCAAGGGCCTGTGTACGGGAGTCGTCATTGAGGCTACCTTTGCTCCAATGTAAGAGAAAGAGGTCAGGGAACAAAAGGGAATGCCAATATTACCGAGATCAATCCCTTGGTTTGCAAGCACGGCGTGGTAATAATCGGTACACTCAGGATTGAGATCCAAGAGTGCGCGCCATTCTGATTCTGCCCGAGTGTCCCACTCCGCGGCTTGCGGGCTTTCTGTATTAGAATTCTTCAACTTTGATAATATGCGGGCTAATGAGAGGAGGTCAGGAACGAAACGGAAGCGGGGGAAACATTCACCTCTGAATGTGTGAATAGCTGTGCGATCCACAACATACCTATCCTTGGATTTTTTGTCGAGCAAGGCAAGTGCGGCCTGTAGATCACCTAGATCTTCTAGCACACGAACGTGGAAGAGTATAAATTCTGAATATTCTGCATCATTTGCTGGGGCCTCCTGATAGTGGAATCGAGTGAAATGGCACGTAGTATGGAAACACAAAAATTTACCCGGAGGAAACCCTGGAAGTGTTCCAAGACGTGCTTGGCCTCTACCAAGTTACCGCTTAACTTATATGCGACGGCGAGACCGACCCAATGAGCCCGAACGTTGGGGCGTAGCCGCAACATATGCAGGCGAGATTCCACGAGAGCCTCGTAGGCGCGTGTCTGCGCTTGCAAGACAGAAGTCTCACGAACGATATTGAAGTTGTCCTGACCCTTTTGTCACAAAGGATCGTGAATAAGACATGAGAAGAAGCATACTTTGTCGAAGCGCAGCGCCTGCATATAGGACTTCAGCGCTTCCTCATACTTGTGCTCTCCCTTTTGTACGAGAGCCCAGACGTGCCAGCATATATGTGAAGTGAGGTCTTTGCGCATACCGTCCCTTATGAGCTTTATACCCTCATCTCTCTGTCCGAGATGCACCAGGATAAGACCCTTCATACACATTGTTTCTAGACAGCAATTAATCTGCACGCCGAGTATTGACACCGAGAATACTCTTACCGCCATGGTCTGGATACTTTTTCAATATCTGATCGGCTACCTTCCTCCCTCTTGTCAATTGCTTGAGCTCATAACACGAGAGCAAGTCCTGGAAGGCTTTGCGGTCCTTTTGCGCAAGTGTAACTTGTTGCGGTGCCATGATAAGCAAATGAGGAGCGGAACTGTATGGCGGTTGGGTTTGACTTGAGCTGACGTCGAACCTCGTCAGTGTTGCAACCTGGTCGGTGTGCGAGGTTGGTGCGAGGACGATCAAATTTGTAGCAGGCCATTGATCACACAAGCCAAAGGGGCCGGTTTCTCGGCCAATTTCGGCGGCGGTTCAATTCTCACGTCCGAACTACCAAATCACCCATAGTACTAGTGATGCAAACCTCGGTGCATGTTCTGAAGATGGTTTAAAGAGGTTGATTGTCTGTTTTTGGGGGTCTGCTTATCCCATTAAACAGTACTAGTGAGTTATGTGTTGGCGCTACGTATCGGCATCGCGATCGTGGGTTTTGAATATTAAATCTCCGAGACTCCGATCCTGCGGTGTGACGCGAGACGCGTTCTGGGCGAGCAACCCAAGCGCCGACGAGGGGGTCATTATATTGCAAGCTGTCCCGACACCCGACTGCCGCAATGGTGGCACAGACGCGTACCGCGAATACGGCACAGAAGAAACTCACTTTCAATGAGAAACTGGTCGGGAAGAACCTTGGCACCGATGCGTTGCTCAAAAAACTCAAAGCCCTGCACACGGAACTCTCAGAACTCGACCAGGAGATAGTCGACGTGCACTCGCTCTCCTCCGTTCGGACCCAGCTCATAAACACCTCTCTTCTCCTTCATAAGGAAAGGGGTGTCAAGGCTTACGTCGCATGTTGTCTTGCTGATATTCTCCGACTCTATGCGCCCGATGCCCCTTATACCGTAACCGAGCTCAGGGATATCTTCCAGTTCTTTTTCAGGCAGCTCTCAGCTGGCCTTAAGAGCACGGAGTCAACGTATTATAACGAGTACTTCCGCTTGCTCGAGTCCCTGTCGGTTGTGAAGAGTGTCGTTCTTGTCTGCGATCTCCCCAATGCCGAGGAGCTCATGATCGAAGTTTTCCGCGACTTCTTTGCCCTCGTACGGCGCGACCTTGCTAAGAAGATCGAACTGTTTATTGCAGATATACTCATTGCACTCATAGACGAATGTCAGTCACTTCCAACCGAGGTCCTTGAAGTTATCATGGCGCAATTCATGGACAAGAACACTGTAAGTCGCTTCGTGTTTCGTGTTTCGATCTATCTTACACGTACATTAGCGTATGGATCAGCCCGCTTACCGTCTTGCTGTTCAAATCTGCAATACAACTGCAGACAAACTTCAACGTCATGTCTGTCAATACTTTACCGACATCATCATCACAAATTCTCGGGACCTTCAGTCGGAAAGTGACTATGAGGAAATCCGTACCGCGCACGAACTCGTTAAACAACTTGCTCGATCGTGTCCCTCACTCCTGCACAGCGTGATTCCACAGTTAGAAGAGGAATTGCGGGTGAAGAAGTCCAGGTGAGGGTAATCGTCACTCAGACGCTTGGGGAGATGTTTGGAGACAAAGGGGGAGCGGACCTTGTTCGAAAATATCCATCAACTTGGAATGTGTGGTTGATGCGAAAGGGCGACAAAGCACCCCCCGTGCGTTTGAAACTTGTGGAAAGCGCAAAGGGCTTAGTCCTAAATTTACCTGAGCATCGAGAAACAATAGAAGGCAAGCTTACTCAACTCTCTTTGACCTCCGGTGACGATTGCCATGTTGAATAGATATTTTGAGGCTCAAGCTGTTAGACCCGGACGACAAGGTCCGAGCCGCAGTGTGCAAAGTGTACTCGCAGCTTGACTATGAAACGGCCCTTCATCATGTTTCTACTAGTCAATTACGCGCTGTGGCTGGCCGTGGAATGGATAAGAAGCATACTGTTCGTGTTGAGGCTTTAAATGCTATAGGGAAGCTTTATGCTCTCGCCTATCCTGAAATGTGAGCCTTCTATTTACTTTCACTGCTTTACGCTCAAGCTGCTTCTAGTGAGAACGGTGATCCCTCAGCGATCGAACATTTCTCTTGGATCCCTAACCAGGTTTTTCATATTGCGAATGTGACGCTTGAGAGCAAGTATGTGGGTGGCTCCTTGATATCGCTAAAATTCATTTCTTCACCAGACCAGCGGCCGAACAAGTCATAGCGGACTATATTTTTCCGTTACCGCCGTTGTCAAATGTTGCGTCAACATCGACATCGAAAAATATCGAGGTCGACGAAACAGTATGGACGGACAGGTTGTTGAATGTCATGCAATATCTAGATGATACTGCAATCAATGCCGTGTTGAGCATGTCTGGGGTCAAAGTTAAGTAGGTGGCGGATTCCGTTAAGTACAAATGCTTCTGGCAACTAATGGCCCATTGGTAGTCGTCCCACAGCATATGAACACTTCTTACAGGCTTGCATACAGAACAATGTAAGCCAGGTTGCGAGACTTGTTTAAAGTGTCTAATGATACCCACTGCAGGGTGGCGTGATCGACGAAAACGAGGAGGCTGTGAAACAGAAGCTAGTCAATATCATTCGTCATCTGTCCAGTATGGCATTGATTCATGAGAAAGATAATCACTAAAACTGAAGTAGGACAATTTTCGGATCCCCACAAAGTGACTGAGGACCTGCAAGCTTTTGCCAAAGCCAATGAAAATCGATTATACAAGCTTCTGAAGACATGCATGGACCTTCAGTCCGACCTCAAAAGTATAGTGAAAGCATCTGTACGACCCTACTTACCCTTTAACGGGTTGATGTTGGCTGAAATAGCTGCATTCTAGAACGAGTTTTTACGACGGGTTGAACAATCTCACGAATCTATTCTTTCTACAATGTCTATATTCATCCGCCGTTGCACCCTCCGTATCCTTAACCAATCATCCATCTCACCCCTCCTCAAACGCCTCCAAAAATCTTCTTCATCCTCCGTTGCTTCCCCGATGACGAAGCACATACATCAACTTCTAACATATGTCTCGAAGCACTGTCCCGCGCTGTACAAGGCGCACATGGGTGAACTGACTAAAGCGATTGCCGATGAAAAGAATATAATGCTTGTGGAACTCGGTATGCAAGCGTTAGCAGCCGTGGTACGAACAGACGAGTCTCTTACTTCGTTTGACAAGTATGTTTCCCTCCTGAAAAAAGGCGACGTTTTGATAATGCCACAATCTAACGCAGGCGAACGATGGATCGCGTAACGAAGTATGCATTAGGTGAGAACCGCAGAGTGACAAAATTTGCATCGAGGCTGCTGGCTTCCTTGAAGGGGGGTGATGAACAGTGCATGCAAGTTATAGAAGTACGTGTGACGCGTTAATACTACCTTTTTTCGAGGGCTGATGGGTCGTCAGTCTGTGGCGCAGAGACTCCCAGATGCCGGGCCGGAGATGCTGGTTGCGCATACCACTCTACTTGTCCAGATGGCCCGTTTTCGGTCGGAGGCCTTCGAACACAAAAGTGATGACATCATGGCTTTTTTGGTCAAAAAGCTGCTGGTGGCACCGAGCCAGGCAGATGATGTGAGTCACTCTGCTGCTTTAGCACTTTGATTTGTGACCGAGAATTTTATGTATATGAAGGAAGATATGGATGTGGATAATGACTGGGTAAACGACGATGACGTCCCACCGATCCTTCGAGCTCGGATTCAAGCCTTGAAAGTCTGCCGAAATCGCTGTCTTGCCCACGCGTCCAGTTCAAATGCTATTGACATCGCTACGCCTGCTTTGAAGATGTTCACGGCTCTAATTCAGCATTCTGGTTCATTCAAGGTAGACGCCTCGGATAGGTAAGTTTTCTAATGACTCCCTTCGGCCTGGGTTGACAGTGTATCTTAGCCCATCTGTCAAGTCACGCATGCGATTGCAAGCAGCCGTATCGTTGTTGCATTTATCGGCCGTCGAGGCATATGCCACCGTGATCAATCCTCATTTTGTCTGGCTAGCCATCACTGTCCAAGTAAGGGTGGATATTTCAGCCAAGTGGTTGAATCACTAACAGACTACACCAGGACCCATGTTACCACGTCCGAATGATTTTCCTCACGAAACTCATATCTCTACTTTCTCCACGCAAACTGCCGCCCCGCTTTAATACAATCCCGTTCCTCACAGTCCTGGATCCTGAGGATGATGTTCGCAACAGGGCCACGGCATACGTTTCATTCGCAAACCGCACACTGCCACCAGGTAGCAGCGCATCTGCGTCTTGAAGCAGGATAGCTGACATACTATTTCCCTAGCCGCGCGCGTTGAACACCTTGAAGTGATCTTCATACGCCTTCTTCACCTACTGGCACACCACCCCGATTTTTCAATTGCTCACGAAAATTTGCAAGACATGGCAAAGTGAGGACATGTTTAAATCATGTCGATTCCTCACTTGACCTCCGCTTCACAGATACGTGGAGTTTTACCTCGATCAGATAATATCTTCCGAGAACATTTCCCTTCTTTACCACCTCGCGATGAAAGCCAAAACCGTCCGCGACGCCGAATCACATACATACAGCGAGGTAAATTGTTATGAAGCGACTTCTTCTTGCTCTTCTAACCACTGGAAATGTAGCATCTATATGCAATGAGCGAACTTGCACAGGAACTGATCAAAGCGCGCGCGCAAGCCCGGTCGTGGGCGCTTCAGAGCTTCCCCGGAAAAGTGAAGCTTCCATCAGATATATTCCGTTCCCTTCCAAATCCGGAAGCAGCCGTGAAGGTTAATATGCCCCTGTCTGCATTCTATTCTTTTCCTCAGATGTTGATTCATTGCACCCTTGTCCAGATCCTAAAGACGGTGTATCTCCCTCAGGAGACAATTGAGTGGCTGGCTGAGGCCGCGAAGCCGCACAAGACAGCAGCCACCGCTGCAGCGAAGGTGAGTCGTATTATCTATACCAATCATTATGTGCTAAGGAATACTGCGATTATTTCAGGAAAAACGGCGCGAGGCAAGGGAGGCGAGGGACGAGAAGTCGCCGCAAGGTGCCAAACGCAAAGCATCTCGTCCGCGTGTGAACGGCGCAGCGAAGTGAGCGTGGCTATTTTGTTTGGGACTGAGCACTTGACACTTACACACACCACACAGACGTGCAAAGCCATCGGCACGCTGGATGAGTGATCAGTCTGAGACTGCGGAATCGTCGTCGGATCCGGAAGACCATTCCGAAGACGAGTCTCCGCATTCTGAAAGGCATTCATCCCCGAAGACTTCAAAGTCCGGGCTGAGTGAGGACGAGGGGCAGGACAGCGACAAAGAAGGGGTCTCTGCAAACGAAGACACTTCTAAGGCCAGAAGAGCAGGTCGAAAAGCTCGGACGAGAGCAAAGGTGAGTACACTGCCTGTGTCAGTGATGCAGGTGGAGCGTCAGACCTGACCACCATCCCTCGATCAGGCAAAGATCAGTCAACAGATCAGAGGGGGCACGGTGCGATCGAAGAAATCCTAACCAAATCCATAACCCAGAATCCAGCAGTCCAGCTAGTCGATCCGTTTTATGTGGCCCCGTCAGCTGCTTCCTGCAACAACCTTCGTTATCCTCTCGTAGTCATTCTCGGTTTTGTGTGTTTTCTTTCTTTCTTTTTTTTTTTTTGTTTCCCAATCAGTTGTGTACTACGCCATCCAAGTGTTCATTATCCAGATACGGTCTGCCATTAACCCCTTCCACGAGTACCCTTCATTCCGATGTTGATACGCCATCCTTGCTACTGTGCTACATATGTATATGTGTATATACCTTTCTTCTATATTGGTGGAAAGTCTTCACAACCGGAAGTGGTACAGTGAGACGATTCATAATCGAAGACTAGGATTTATGGACGGCGTGCCAAAGCACAAGTGTAGAGAAAGCCTGCTACGAGGTGAAGAATCTGTTACACGTGGGCCAAGCTCGCAGCAAGAGCAGGTAGAAGGTATAGTAAGGTATAGCATGTAAGTAAGTACAGTACACTTGCTCATAATGCATACTAGTTGCGCGAGCCATTTCCCTATGCAATATGACAAATATGCAGGATGAAATGCTGACATAATGTGTGACCTTTGTGACAATTGCAATTGTAACTACGAGATGGTCTACAACTTCTAATAGCTAGTCAACATCGTTTGTGTCATATTCCACAATTCCTTGTGATGTATCTGCATCACTTTCCAAGATGCAGGCCACCTCAAGTTTCTCGCAGAGCTGAATAATTTCAGAACATGGAAGCTGGCACAACTTGAGGTTGATGTCTGAGAGTTTGGTCTGGAGCTCAGGAGGCATGGCTTAGATATAAATGTCCTCTCAAAAACACTTCATTCTTGAAATATGACTAGAAAATTTTGTGGACAGCCTTAAGATATGCCTGTTCAGCTCCACTCCAGGCCACATGTACCATTTCATACTGCATAAACTGGGTGCTGACACTATTCATTATGCATTATGCAAATATTTGCCATTTTCCCTGCAAGCCACTGTGGCTACACCCATAAGTCCATGCAATATGACATCTATGCATTACTAGCTTATGCATTACGAGCAAGTGTACTGTACTCCCGAGAGATATGTAGGAAAGGAAGATGGGTGTTTACATAATGCAGGCAAGGGCAGGTCTGCGGGATCGTGAGAATCCTGTAAGGAATTTGCCGACTCTGGTTGGGCGAGCGTGGTAGGTACTGACAACCAGTAAAGCCCGCCAACCTCAAGACTCCGGGGACCAATTCAACATGGTGAGTGGTATACCTACGCTACGAGAGACACGAGATGGCCAAGGTTTTGTGCTGGAGAGAGCCGTGGGCAGGTAGCGCACCAGGAGTGGGTGGATGAGCTGTCACCCCTTAGGATGATGAAGTGCACGGCCAGTTACTATGGATGGCCATACACGACGCCTACCAGTTGCACCCACTGGACTGTCGGAACATCCAAGTAATCAATGAAGCTTACATTCGCAACAGACTAAGAAGAGAAGAAATGCCGGCCGCAGCAAGCATGGCCGCGGTCACGTTGGCTACCTCCGCTGTTCCAACTGCTCGCGCTGCGTCGCCAAGGACAAGGCTATTAAACGTTTCACTGTGAGGAACATGGTCGAGAGCGCAGCCGTCCGTGATATTAGCGAGGCTAGCGTCTACCCAGGTATGTATTCGCGTCAATTACGATACTTCCCTGACAGTATGGTTCTATTATTTGATGTGCAGAATATGTTATCCCTAAACTTTACATCAAAATTGCATATTGCGTCTCCTGCGCAATCCACTCGCATGGTAAGTGATATTGGTGGTGCATGCCAGTTCCATTTATCACTCTTGTAATGCCAGTCGTTCGCGTGAGGTCACGCGAGGGTCGCCGCAACCGTGCCCCTCCCCCACGTATCCGTTGGAAGGATGGCAAGAAGGTCAACCCGGCAGTGGCTGCTGCCGAGGACGCGAAGGCTGGCAAGGCATGAGACCTGTCCTCCCTATAGGTGGTTTTGTTATGTAATATGCAGCCCGATGTATCATTCTCATGCCCAATATCCACACATAACATCCTCCATCGGCGCGAATATCTTGGGCGACAGTAGCCGTTCTATGTTGTACTGTTTCGCTGAGAAACTTTCGTTAGTGCAGCGCGTGGCAAAGGATGACAAAATAAGAAGCAAGGTACCGTGAACAACCGCACGATCTTTTACTATAGCAAGGTAGTTCAGATATGACCAGCGTGGAGCTGTAGCTTGTACTGGTCACCTGCAGGTGAGGGAACGGGACTTCTACCAGGCTCCGAGTACGGTTGATTTGATGATTACAGTTCCCCACTTGTACTTCTCTGGATACCCCGCTCTTCTTATGTCTAGTAGTTGTTATCAGAGCCCTTTAGCGGTGGGCCTGCCTAAAGTGCCTCCAGAATTTTCCGTAGCTGTTCTATCAGCACCTTGTTCTCCTCTGGAGTTCCGACAGTTATTCTTAAGCACCCTGCACAACCAGGCTCGCTACCCCTGTACCTCACCACGACTCCGTTCTCCTCCGCGAGTACCTTGTAAATCCTTTGGGATCTTTGGTTGTCAGGTATACGGGTCACCTTGTCAACAACAGGTACCACGAGGAAGTTTGCATCGTTCCCCCCAATGATGGGACCCAACCCTAAGTGACTCAGGTCCGTGAGTGACTGAGCCAATCTACTCCTGGAATCCAACAGAAATTCTATTTTTTCCCGCATAGTTGTAAGAGAAGGTTGCTCCAAGGCAGCAAGAGCTAGTTGGGCTGTTGGTGTGGAGATATTGTAAGGCGCCTTCGTGTTCGTAAGTATTTGTATCAGGGGTGGTTGGGCGAGGGCAAGGCCTAGGCTATGATCACGGATTTCCCTGCTGAGCGCAAAGTGACCCGTTGTGAATCAATGAACTACCCACCGAATACCGGCTAACCCGAAGCTCTTGCTCAACGTCTGCATGACACAGAGATTTCCATAATCTCTAATCAGTGACACTGCCGAAGCATCTTCGCCGGCGAAGTCTATGTATGCCTCGTCCACGACAACAATGCCTTTGAATGGCTCATAGTCAAGCAAAGAACGGAGTGACTTGAGGGATATCAATGTTCCGGTGGGGTTTCCAGGCGAGCATAGAAAAACGAGTTTTATTGTAGGGTCAGAGGACAAGGCCGCCTTAATCTATGGTGGAATGTTAGCTCTAGGGTTGGGGGAAGGTGTCGAGCAGCACTAACATCATTTACCACCAAGCTGAACCGTCCATTCTCACCACCTTCCCCTTGATCCCCACTCAGATTTAAATTGCAGCGCACGATGCCAACATCGTTGACATGCGCACACACGGTGTACATGCCATACGTAGGGGGAGTGATCAAGATTTTCTCGCGACCGGGCGTGACGCATACACGTAAGAGTAGGTCGATAACCTCGTCGGAACCGACGCCGAGAAACACATGTTTTGGATCAGGGAGGGAGCGTAGTTGAGCGATACGGGCTTTGATATGGTCGTGGGACGGGTCGGGGTATCTATGTAAATCTGCGTCGAGCACGGAGAGTAGCTCTTCTGTCTTGCCCACTGAAGAGATGGAGTGTCCAAGGGAGTTTTCATTGGCATCCAGAAGTATTCCCTCCTGATAGTCGTCGCGAGCGCAACGGTATGGGTGTAAGGAGAGGATGTTAGGCCTTATGACTTTCTCGATGTCGAAATGGGCAGGCCGCTGGGGCTCACAAGAAGGGGCCAAACCCAGAATGGCCATCGGTGGTTCGGGGAGAATGTCGTCGAGACGATTGTCGTCTACGGGACTCTTTATTTGTGGTCCGCGTCGATGACTCGATGATCGGCAAATCTAATCTAATCGTCGGCTACCACCCACCTTTCTCCAGAGTGCACACATTACAGAGCAATCTGGCACCGTGATCTTCGTGGTCAAATTTAATGTATCCACTACGTACGCAGAATGCTGGTGATCATGGAGGACCCTCCGTTGCAACGCTCGGAAGGTATTACAGCAGTCACAAGTTACAGTGCCAAAAACCCAGACAGGCAGAAATGAAAGAGGAGGCCTAAAGCACTCACTGACCCGTCCAGAGACTAGAGCTATTCCCCTCCCGCAGGGTCAGAGTCTACGATGCTGTACTGTTTCATCAGCATGCACTCCCCACCATTCTCAAGATCGATGCTGTACGCATAGAAGTAGCCGTCTGAACAAATCACCATAACTTGGGGGAGAGTGCTGGACATTCGTAGGTCCAGCATTAGAAACAACCGAAGTAAATAGATTGCCTATCCTCAGGACACATCCGAAAAAGTGCAAATTTACGCACCTACTTAGTCCAACCACTGACCTCACTCCGCTCGTTGGAAGGCGCAAGTTTGCAAAGTCTCGGGCTGGTTCCCACATTTCCGTAATCGTATGAGGGAGATATCCCCCAACAGAAGAAGACAATGATTTCGTGAGATGGAGAGAACGTCGTCGAAGGGACGCACTTGATGGCATTGGTTAAATGTCTCCCGAGGGTCATACCACAAGATAAAAGGGAGAAAGTGGACTCACGAAACGCCACCGCTCTTCTTTCGCTCATCCACAAATGTGTCGTAATCCCCTGCAGCCCTCCCATCATCCTGGTCCTTGCTGTCTATACTTTCTAACGGACTCGAAGGTCTATCCTTTTTCGAGTTCCCGGAAACCTGTCGTCCTCCCAGTTTGAAGATATGGACTGTGTCATGTGCCGAGCTAACGGCTAAAAGGCTTCCTACAGTGTTGAATGCCATGCTGTAAATCTTCGTTTCTCGTGTTCCTCTTCTAAACTGCCATAGTCTCTCGGCCCCTGGTACACTCCATACGCGAATGATCGTTCCCTTGTCGGATGCAGTGGCAAGAAGGGTACCAGACGGAGAAATAGCAAGTGCTGAGAGTGGAGATTTATGTGCACGTATGATATTAGTTAGCGTTAATGTCGTAGTGGAAAAGAGAAGCACATCGCCCGAGGACGAATCCAGAGCTGCCGATCCAGATGAACCTCCAGGCGTTAAAGGTGACGGAACAGGCGACGGGTAGGCAAGGTAGGACTGTTCTGCATTCGGAGACAGAGCACATATTGCTGCACAGAAAATTCGTTGTAGAGCAATCAAGGTCGCCCCGGATACGTGCGGTGCTCACCTTCTGGATTTGGCGCAGTCTCAATGACGTGGAGAAGTCGCATGTTAGATATGTCGTATATGTATATTTCGGTCTCGAGTACAATAACCAGAGTCTTGCGGTTAAGTTTGACGGCAAGGATGGAAGAGGGGAAGAGGAGCTCGCATATCATGGATTGACGCTAAAGCCGACTCAGATTCGGACACGAAACGTTTAACGCATTCGGTGCACCTTTGTATTCACTATTTGCAACTTGCGAGGACTCGACTGAGGTTGATCTGCTGCGCCGACAAGAGCAAGAAGTGACGTGCAGAAGAGCATCTCCACAATTCCGCGCGCTCCGTCGTCTGAGGTATTGCTCGAGCCAACTTGTGCCTTTGTGTTCTAGAACACTTACTCATGGTATAAACCCTGCCGAAGGGATCACAATTCGTGATACTGTAACCCTTCCGAGTGCCTACGGATATGCAACTGTTGACAGGTAAGGACAAAGGGTGGTATCCCTCTGTAACGACTCTACTCACGAGTAGTCTTGGTTGAAGTTGGCGAAGAGCATATTGGGATTTGTTCGTTCTGCCATGGTCGCGGCGTACTTGCTGGTGTTGGGTCGGCGTCACCGCTGTATTGAATTGACTTGCAAGGGAGCACGGAACAAAGCGAAACAAACAAAGGGGTTGCGATTACAGTGGTTGTGGGCGTTTATGTACATTACACGGCGGTCAATAAGATGATCTACCCAATACATCATTCTTCCATATCCTCGTCACTGGCATCTTCATCGCTGTCACTCTCCTCACCCTCAGCAACGTCGATGGGATCAATGCTCAAATCGTGATCTGCGCCAACGTATGAGTCGCAAATGACGTATAACTTGAGCGAGTGTGCCCCCTTAGGCAGAGCAAACTCCAGTTTCGCGGTCAAGCTCTTGCTGACCTGTAACACGTTTGATAACATGTAGTTGGCGCGTGCTAGGCTCCCCGATCACTAGCCACCAATTTGCCATCTTCTTCAGGGGATAGAACGGTGCTACAACGGTTTGGTCATCATCGGCGTTCTCTTCGTCGGCGTCTCGAGCAAGCGAGACATGCATCAAGATGGGCGCGCCAGCTGTGTATTCGCCTTTCACAAGTTCGTAGGAGACATCCAAAGTGGGGTATGAGTTGACAAACATGGCGACATCACGCCTACAGAAGACGTTGTTAGCTGAGAAACAAATTGAAAATTTGAAACCTTCGTACATCTGTCGCATATCCATTTGCAGCAATGCATTCCGCTTGTCATCCTCCATCTCCATGACATCATAAACGGACTCGACACCTGCCTCCTTGCAGCGTTTGATTACCTGACACCGAAGTATGATGAGTAGGATAGCCAGATATGTACTGGCAGCAACGTACCTCGGTGTCGAAGTGAGGAATCTGCTTCAGGGGAGAATCCGTTTCCCACATTGCTTGCACACACATTTGTGACAGGTCCATAGCCCCCAAGGCATTTAACCAAGCATTGGACGACATGACGTCTACACATGCAGAAAGCAAGTTCAGCACCTTCTCCAGAACAAGCACTTGATCGGCAGCGAGGTCCGCCGGGAGCTGAATGCGCGAGAAGTGAGCTTGAAGTAGAAGGAACGTCTTAAAGCGCGGTGCCTCGAAATCTGGGAGCTCAAGCCTAACGGGAACACGGTCGTATATCCGGCGAAGTACCACGTCTTCGTGTCGGCGGATGGGAATCGCTTCGAATTCTGCCGACGAAGAAACCACCTCCAACAATCCCTTGAGCTTCGTACGCTCTTTTAGTGACAACGTGTACACGTCGACCGTGACATCTGAGGTTTCACTGTTTAAACGTGTGCCAGCAGGAAAAAATGAATAAACTCACAAGATATGTTGTAGTACGCAGCGATCATGCCAAGGTTGAGCGCAGAGACATCCATTTCATCTTCTGTGGGTAATGTAAGTCAACGCGTAAAGTGATGAACAGAACTGGACATGCCAATTGCGATACACTTAGATTCGGTAAGATCTTGCAACGTGTTCTCTACAAGTTCGGACAGGTGATCGGAAAGATGTTGATGGTTGACATTGTGCAGATTATAGTAATTCGGATTTTGCGTCAATCGGCGGTAGAAGAATGTCCACGTGAGGATATCCTAAGCAGGTATTAGTAAGTCGAAAGGAATAGACATGAGGACCTCATTACCATCGCATCTTGCTTGTTCTCAATGGTCTTGACAGCAATTTCCGCAAGGAAGTAGTCGTGGAGAAGGTGCGTAGGAAGATGCGACTCGATGGGTAGCCCCTCCGCCAGGAATTTCTTGTAAAAGTCCTTGCGTGTCTGCTGACACATCAACACACACCGACTCCGCTCGTCTTCTGTGGGTCGGCAGGCACGGCCCATCATTTGTAGGACGTCCATCACAGGGTAATCAACATAACGGTGCTCCTTCCCTTCATAATACTGGACACCCATGATTATGACCATGTAGCTTGCAACGGGAAGGCTCCATGCCGTGTCCTAAACGAATCAGCTAAGCCATCAATTCGTAACGAAATAAATATTACAACTGACCTTGGAGACGACTAAAACCTGAATAGCGCCAGACTGGAACAGCCGTTCGACAATGCGTTTATCCTGCTTGTCCATTGCCTCGTGATAGTAACCAATACCGTCTTTCAAGCACTCCACAAGACCCTTGTCGTTAACGTGATCCAGGTGGGGTTGCAAATCCGCCTCTTCTATGTTCAGGAAGCGCTTCGGGTCGCTATCTGCTGCGCAGTGGACTAACAAATCGTCAACTGTCAGGCGACACTGTTTTCTCGAGGGGACGAAGATAATAACGGGTTTTGTCGGTGCGTACTCGACCATAGCTAGGTACGCCGGCTTGGACATAGCGATCATCAGTGATGGATGGTGAGGAATGTTGAAACTCTGCAAATGGATATCCATGTCAAGAGGTCTTGAGCTATAGTAGCTGCGTTAGTTGATGTCATGTGAAGATTCACGGGGGACTAACCTCGGCGAGAAGTTGAAGATTGCATGTGAAGGAGCGCCTATCCACTCGCCAAGGTCACGGGCATTTGCAAGGGACACACCACATGCAACGATACGCGTCTTAATCTCCGTCTGTGCGGAGACATATCGTGTCCGCGAGATGATGACTTCGTAGGTAGGGCCAACCTCGCCTCCAACCAACTGAATTTCATCTGCAATGAGAAGGGCAATTGTTTGCACATTCTTCCTTTGTCGCCATCTTCGGGAAAGGACATCCCACTTCACTACCATGTAAGTCCCATTGAAGACCGATGCAGAAGTGAGACACGTACCTGGGTTGGTGTGCATATAATGACATCCCCTTTTTCCAGTAAACGCAAGTCCGCACTCATCTCTCCGGTTAAGCTCACAATTTCTTTGCCGCCTTGAACGCCGCTGAACTTGCGACGCCATTCAACGACGCGTTGGTCCACCATCTCCTGGTACGGCTCGATACAAACCGCACGTGAACCATCCCGCTTACTCCACAATCGTAGCATCGCGAATTCGGCACAGACCGTCTTCCCGCTACCAGTGGGTGCGCCAATGAAGACGTTCTCATCGGACGTGTATAACGCTTGGAAAACTTGCGTTTGAATCTTGTTGAACGTTTTGATTGTCGAGGAGTAGATGTTCTCGAACTCCTTATTGTGCAGCGCGGACAAAGGCAATGGTTGGAGGTCGAGCAGGGGCGTTGGCAGTGGAAATTTCTCCGGCAATATCAAATGCTTGAATGAAATAGGGAGGCGCGTCTCTGCGTGCAGCCAACGATCCGAAACGACCGAGATATAATAATTGGGAGGCACCGGTTCAAACATGGGTACGGTTATCGTGACGTTGTGCTCGTTGTGCTCGCCCTCTGCGTAGCGTTGACGGAGAACAAAAGTATCATGGAAGAGGACAATCTCGCCGTCAACATCCTCCACTAGAATATGGAAGGCCTCTGTAGTACCGTGGATCTTCTCGTCCCACTTGAAATCAGGAATGATGGTGAGATCAATACGAATGAGGGAACGCGTGATGGGCTGGATTTGAGCTTGTAGCCTAAACGCGACTTAGCATGATATGACACATTAGACCTGTCGATATACTCACTGTAGCTTAGGGAAACTGTGTACTAGCCGATGCACGAGGCGACCCGCGTTGGGGATGCCGATCAGCTCTCCCAATTCAGGGGGCTCGAGGTCAAAGTAGCGATACCATGGCTAACAAACTATTCAGGACACACACTATTCCAACCGCAAGATTGACTTACGAATTGTTTACCCTCCGCCTTTCTAACGACTTCTTGCGGGACACCTTTGAACTGTCGAAGCGGCGTCATCGACCCCCACCTGCAAGGGACGTTAGCTGCGAATAAACTTGCGAAGAGCTGGCGCAACCTACATTCGTTTTTCGACCATCTTGCAAAGGGCAAGGCATGCCCGAGCTGGCACGGCCCACCCGCGCTTGAGACAGATTTCGAACATTGCACGCAGGATACTAGAGAGCGTTTGGAACCCGCAAGCGTCGATTCATGCAGGGAACTCACCGTCCAGCAGACTGTTGCACAAACACCATATCCGCAACGAGTGCGAAACCTGAAAACCCGCACCTCAGCCAAAATCTGGGAGTTGGGCTACAGAGTATTTACCTTCGAGCTTCAGCTGCGAGATGTACGCTTGCAAGAGTACGTTGATCTTGGCTGCTGGTTCATCCACGCCCTCTTTCACAGGAATAGGTACACGCTCGAGTAACTTGCTCAGCTCCAGCTTCTCCTCCTGCCTAACAGGTAGCAGTTTAAACTCGTTGGACAACGCAAACACACGGAAGAGCTCCAGCATCGACATCGTTGGACGTAGGTGCTGGTTGTAGGTTGCCATTGAACTGTGTGTGATATAGTAGTGCGAAGCGATTCGTCCCAGTTCCGTACTCTGGAACCTGCCCGAAGCTCGTTCATACTTGATCAAGTGGCATTTCTCGAGGAGAACCGCCGCAGAATGTATGATATCGGCTCGCTTTTGGACGAGCTCCTCGTCGTCTTGGTAGTCCACGCCGACACCGTATAAGCCAGGTGACCTGAGCATACGGACGTACCTAAAACTTATAGTTAGCGACCACTCTCAAAGCTCTACCAAAACAGCGAAACTTACAAATATGTGTATCCCAACCACTGTACCGCCTCATCCCTGTTTCGCACCGTACCTAAAACAATTTCCGCATTCAGATTATCTGCCAACTTTGACACCAGCTGGCTTTCGATTGGCAGCTGCTGGTTCAGCAAGCTCAAATAATACTGAAGTTCAGCGTGATTCGTTATGATAACACCCTCGCCAAACGTGTCATATTGGGGTCGCCCAGCACGGCCAAGCATTTGGAGCACGTCTTGCGGTGATAATTCAACCCACCGACCCTTTTCAGGGTTATAAATCTGGGTCCCCCTTATGATGACTGTATGCGCAGGTAGGTTGACACCCCAAGCGAGCGTTGCCGTGCAGACAAGCACTTGCACCGCGCCATCAGCAAAGAGGTCTTCCACAAGCGTACGATCCTCGCGAGTCATACCCGCATGGTGTATGGCGAAGCCGAAGGGAAGTAAGTCGCGGAGGTTGGGATCCTTCACGTTACCGACCTCCGTGGTAAGGATCTCTCGCGTCGCCGAATCAGGCCGGACAAACTGCGTAATCGTTTCCTTTTCCATTGCCATATCACGGATGAACTTCGCTGTCTTGGCCGTCTCCTTCCTGGAATGAACGAAAACGAGTGTCTGATTCTTGCCTGCCTGATCGAGCACCTTTTCATAGCACACTTCGTTCATTACTTGGAAACGTTTGATTGCCTTCTTCTCCGTGACGCCGATAAACTGCTGTTGAAGGCCACAGGGTCGGTACGAAGCGTCGAAATAAAATAGGCCTTTGTTCTCGTCGACACGCAAAAACGTCGCAACGTCTTGGTAGTTGGGAAGCGTCGCAGACAGCCCGACAAGTCGCACATACTCTCCCGTTTGTTGCATGCGGCGAATGGTCCGAGCAACAATACTCTCCAAGACGGGGCCGCGCTCATCGTGCAGCAGATGAATCTCATCTATGATCATGAGGCGCACGAGATTCGTGTACGACATGTCGGTGCTCTTGCGCGTAATGACGTCCCACTTCTCCGGCGTCGTGACTATGATTTGCGTCTCGGCAATTTGCTGCTTCGTCATCTGAGAGTCGCCAGTAAGCTCGCCAACCTTGATGCCGAACACTGACAACCGCGAGGTGAAGTTGCCAACCATCTCTTGGACTAGTGCCTTCATTGGAGCAACGTAGACAATCTTGAAGGCGTCGAGGGCAAATTCACCGGTTTCATCATTCCGGTATTTAGCGAGCTCGTTAAGAATAGTGAGCATCGCAACATTAGTCTGTGAACATCATCAGATCTTGCGCTGACAAACCATTAACGCTCTACTCACCTTGCCTGCACCAGTCGGTGCACAAAGCAGAATAGGCTCATCAGTGCCAAATGCAACCGGGAACAATTTGCTCTGCACCCTGTTCAACTTCGGTACGGTGAATGCAGCCCTTGCCCACCCGGGAAGCTTCTCGATCGAAATGAACTCGTCGTCGCGGACAGGTTTCTTTGGCGGAGCGGGTACATGAATCTCTTCAAAACCCTTGCGTGAACGTTTGAACGACCCATCAGGAAGCTTGCATTTCTTGTTAGTCATGAGGTGACCACCTTGGCTGAAAGCCATGCTCTCGAGGTCAACAGTATGTTTCGGCTGTAGCGTTGAGCCAGGGGCAATGGTAGCTGTTTTGGGTACGGCGGCGACAGATGGTTTGTCGACGTCCATGGCATCATCACGAGTTCTCTTCACCTGTCTGTCTCCTTCTAGCTCGCGTAAAATCCACCCGACACCCCTTTCGCGCATGGCAGTCTCCACATCTACTCGGCTATCCGCAGTGGACCGTATCAACTTTGTACACCAAACGATGACGTCCCTGTTCTTCAAGAACCTGGTGATCACGTTGAAATTTTGGTACTCGAAAAGTTCCATGAGTTGGTTTTCGCAGTCGCGAAGACTAGACTCTGAATCAAGAACACCAAACACCGAAGCAGCCTTGTCTGCTGCAGTAACGGGGTCTAGAAATACCTCGGAGATCTGGCGCTGCAACCAGAAACCGTCAATAGCGTGCGGTGATACGATGTCCTTGTCAGTTTGAGCTTTGGAGGGTGCTGAGGCAGAACCGCCGACGATGAGGTCTTCATCTTCATTTGCGCCCTCTTCGGCTTGTTGGGAAGTCTCCTCCGCCTCTTCGTCGTCGGACTCATCCCGAACTTCGTAACCCTCGTCCTCTTCATCCTCTTGCTCCTCCTCGTCGAACACCACCGCGACGCCGATCTCATCGTCAATGCCAGCATCCCTCCTCTCGATATCTGGGTCCGCCATAGTCTCTTCTTCGGCGCCATAATCGGTGATCTTCTTCGATAGTGCCACGAGCGGAGCAAAGGCGTCATTGGAGATTGAGCCCATGATCTCCTCGATTTCCTTTTTCTTGTCGAAGTCCTTCAAAGAGTCGTTTTTAAGTGTCTCGAGGATGGTGTCTGTAGCACTCCGAATGATGTCGTTGGCCTGGTCGCCAAGAGCCTGATGGACAGCTGCCAGCATGAGCTCGTACACTTCCCGTGTCTCCGCAGTGCGGGGACGGTAGCGTAGACCTTCTACATCCTGAGTCGCTTCGATAATATCGGCGAAACCCAGGCCGGCGTCGAAACGTTTTCGCGACGCAACTGCTTTGTCGAGAGCATCCCTCCCCACTGCAGTACCGTCAGCCTTTTTCTTCTTCTTCTCGACGTCCTTTGGTGCAGAGCGCTGTACACGAGATCCCATTTCCCTAGGGTCAATTTTACCCGCCAGCGAAGTGGGGGCGCCATCTGGTTCGCGGTCCCGCCGTGGAAGTGCAGAGCGGTCTGCGGTGAGGACGAGCGACGAGATCGCGCTGTAGTTGTAACCTGAGAGGTCTGGTTTTCCGGGGCGGCCCGACATCGTAAAAAGCGAATGCTCGTCGTCGTTTGCCAACAATATTCAAATAGCTGGACACGCTCGGCGCGGGTCGTGGCGGAGATTGAATTTTATGTCAGCAGTGGCGGTGCAGCCAACCGCATTGTGGGAGGTGTTTTTCAGCATGCAAGGCATGTACATTACAAAACTGCGAGGGTGTGTCGTATGATACAGTAAGAACTAATGGGTGGAGGCACTCGAGGCGAGGACGGGATACAAATAGCGTTGGAGCGTGAGTACGCACGCTGGCCTGGATAAGTACAGGATCGTCGGCGACCAGGGCAGCACTATGAGGAGACTCGAATGAAAACGAGTACTACTAGTACTAGAAATACAGATTCGTAGCTGAGAAAACGACGAGAATGAAAAAATAAAAATAAAATAAAAAACCGAAAAACGCTGAAAGGCCAAAACCATGACTCAAAGAGCTAAAAATACAAAGGCGAGGGCTGACAAGCTCGATAGCTGATAATGATAAGAAGAATTAAAACATGGTGGAGGGTGGCAGCCGTCATGCCATCCTCAGCAGAACACCGTTGTCGGGCACTACTGTGATCTGCAAACCCAACGAAACCAACGGTAATTCTGCCTTAGACTTCTGTAATCTAAGGCTTTAAGCATAAACCGTAGGCATCTCCCTGATCTCCTGGCAGTAATGTGACAACATTAATAGACGAACGTTGACACCGCATGTTCATAGACAAAGAACGCTTTGCGTTGAAAACGAGAAGTCTGGTAAGGATTGAATCGCATGAAATGGAAAACGCATGACATCATCTTTTGGTAAAGTTGCATGAAAAGCGAGACGCGTGACATCACCTTTTGGTGACACAGCTCTAAATTGGAAACCAAACTCGCACCCTTCCACAGAAGATGAAGCTGGACCAGGACTGCTCCGCGTCCTGGAACTGTGTGTATGTAGCTACTATGCAACGTACGTTCCAGAAAATTGGAGGAGTGTACCTGCGTTTGGCGAGAGTAGAAACAAACCACTGTGCAAGTTTGGAAACTTGATGAGGGAGTACGCGACGCGTCAAGACGCGCTGCCTGAAATCCAAGCTCCACTTTCACACTCATCATGTCGCTAATGTACGGTAAGGAAAAGGACGCCGACCACGACCTTCAACACGCATCAGACCCAGGATTCGTCTCTTTCTTTTCAAAGTTGCCTAAAAAATCACCCGCAGGAGACGGAGTCAGTCCGTCTGTTTGACCGCAACGATTTCTACTCCGTGCACGGACCAGATGCTCACTTCGTGGCCACACATGTCTTCCGTACCAATTCCGTATTAAAGTACCTGGGCGCCGGAGGGAAAGCAGGCGGTTTACCCAGCGTAACGCTGAGCTGCACTCTGGGTCATCAGTTCTTAAGAGAGGCTCTGACGGTTAAACAACTCAGAGTCGAAATCTGGGCTCCTGCACCAGGCCAGGGGAAAAAAGCCGCAAAGTTTGTGCTCCACAAAGAGGTGCGTATCACTATTGTCCCATGAACCGACAAGGTGATACCGGGACTCGTCCAGGCCTCTCCAGGAAATCTCCAAGCAGTTGAGGACCTTCTTTTCGCTAATTCAGACGTGCTTTCTGCTCCAATTGTCATTGCCATCAAAATTTCAACGTCTGCTGGTGCTGACAAGGCAAAGACCAAGTCTGTGTCCGTGGCGTATGCCGACACGAGCGTTCGAGAACTAGGCGTCGCGGAATTTATTGACAATGATCTCTTTTCCAACACAGAAGTAGGGCCTTTTTCCAGTTTGCGGCAAGGGTCCTAGCTGATGGACGAATGTGCAGTCTCTCGTTATTCAGCTCTCCGCCAAGGAAGCTATAATACCTACTGGCACTGCATCTGGAACAACCGACCGTGATATTGAACTCAACAAGCTGAAGGCAGTACTCGAGCGATGCAACGTCGTCATCACTGAGCGAAAACCGAGTGTGCCACCCTTATGCCTTAGTTACGTATCGCAGCTAATACCTTCCACAGGCGAGTTCACGGCGAAAAATATCGTGGACGACGTCAGAAAACTCACTCAGCAGGAGAGTGACATGGAGGACTCATCCATGGATTGTGAGTTCCCGTTTTCCACTTTTGGAGTCACGGCTCCTCTGACGGATCGGTAAAACCGGACAACTCGCCTACAGCATTCCCCTCCCAGGGTGCTCTGTCAGCTCTGGTTCACTATCTCACATTGTCCTCTGATCCGGCCAACTTTGGCGCATACACCCTGCGCACGCATGACCTTGCTCAATATATGCGTCTCGATGCAAGCGCTGTGCGGGCGCTGGGACTCGTTAGTTTCGAGGCAGGGGTGAGTCGCCTGCAATATTTTAGCCACAATCAAGTCGCTTGGAATTGTTGCCATGCTGACACTTTGGTATAGGGTACGATAAACAAGTCATCCACATTGCTAGGTCTGCTCAATAAATGCAAGACTGCGCAAGGGACGCGGCTGTTGGGCACATGGCTTAAGCAGCCCCTAGTAAACTTGCATGAGATACGTAAGTGACCGTGCAAACACTAAGTTCTATATCGCGGTGGTATATCGTACTGATTCGGGTCCAGGCAAGAGGCAGGACTTGGTGGAAACATTCGTCGATGACTCGTCGACAAGGAGAGTTTTGCAGGTATGTGTCTGTTATTTTACTAACCTCTTCCGTGTATATGGTCATTGACGGGTGGTAGGATGAATATCTCAAGTTCATGCCTGACCTCCACCGCATAAGCAAGCGTTTCAAGAAGGGCGTGGCTTCGCTCGAAGATGTAGTCAGGGTGTATCAGGTTGTGTTGAAGGTGATTCTATTGTCCATCATTTTCGGTTCCCATTGATTCTGACCTACTCCTGAATCGACGATCGTTTCTTGTGCTACAATCGCGTAGATGCCCGGCTTAATTGAAACACTGGATGGCATTCAACACGAACATGAGGCACACAGGGCGTTGGTGAACGAAACATACTTGGAACCTTTCAGAGTATGTTACAAGCCGTCGTGTTCGAATGAGATGCGACTCATATCTCCCGACCCAAACAGACACACTCAGATAAGCTTTCCAAATACTCAGAGATGGTAGAGACGACGCTCGACCTTGCGTCATTGGACACGCATACGTACACAATCAAGCCAGAGTACGACGAGGGTCTGCAGACATTAGCAGCAAAACTGATGGAGGTGCGTGGAGTTTCGTGGCGCTCGCCATCTTTAGGAGACTCTGCTAGGCGCTGCTGGTCCTGACGGAAGTGTTGACGCACTTTGCGTAGGTCCGGGATGGTCTTGACGCCGAGCATCGCACTGCCAGTAGGGATCTTGGTCTTGAGCTTGATAAGAAGCTCCACCTCGAAAATTCCGCTACGTATGGGTACTGCTTCCGACTGACCAAGAATGTGAGTGGCTTTGGGATTTTCCATCCAGACAAACAACTACACTTTTATGATTCAACGCAGGATGCAAAGGCCCTTTCGAAGAACAAGAAGTATATTGAGCTCGGCACAACTAAATCTGGTGTCTACTTCACGACTAAAACACTCAAGTCTCTCGCTACCGAATATAAGGAGACAACAGACGATTATCAGCGTACGCAGTCAACTCTTGTAAAGGAAGTTGTCAATATTGCATGTGAGTAACCCCTGACTCGGTGTATCACACGCGATGGACTCTGCATGGGTTTCATAGCCACCTATACACCGATTTTGGAGAGCCTGGATCATATACTTGCTCACCTGGACGTCATCGTGAGGTTCGAAATTTTTCTTACGATATTGCTTGTCACTCGCTGACTTGCTCTTCCCCGTGCTGGTGTAGTTTCGCGCACGTGTCGGTGAATGCTCCCGAACCGTATGTTAAGCCAACCGTGCTCGAGAAAGGTGTGTAAATCCGCGTTCAAGCTTCATTCACTAAGTAGGTGCGGTCAAAGGGGAAAGCAGCCTCATTCTAAGGGATGCACGTCACCCTTGTCTGGAAGTCCAGGACGAGATTAGCTTCATACCCAATGATGTTGAGATGGTGAAAGGGGAAGGAGAGTTCGAAATCATAAGTACGTCAGCTTTTTTTCCCCGTCAACATCCATACATCTAATTACTCAACCAAAGCTGGACCTAATATGGGCGGCAAGAGTACTTATATCCGACAGGTACAGATACCCTACTTCATCCAATGCACCGGCTGGTATGTTGATGGCGGTGTTCTAGGTTGGTGTTATAGCGCTCATGGCGCAAGCGGGGTGCTTTGTCCCGTGTTCCTCTGCAACGCTGCCCATCTTTGACTCTGTACTATGCCGAGTTGGAGCAGGCGACTCACAGCTAAAGGGTGTGTCTACCTTCATGGCCGAGATGCTTGAGACAGCCTCCATTTTAAGGGTAGGTTTCTCTCTGTGCATCTGCGGTGTCATGCTGCTAAACTTACCAATGCATCAACCCAGTCGGCGACCAAAGACTCGTTAATCATCATTGATGAGCTGGGCAGAGGTTTGTCTCACTACTCTGACGTTGCGTTCCCCCATTCTCACGTGAGATGATTGCAGGGACCTCGACGTATGATGGCTTTGGGCTAGCTTGGGCGATATCTGAGTGCGTCGTCGCATTCTATGTCTTCACTAGTTTGATCAGAACGTGCCACGTTCTATCGCTAGACATATCGCTTCCAAAATTCGAGCATTCTGCCTCTTCGCAACGCACTTCCACGAGTTGACCGCTTTGGACCAACAAATCCCTCACGTGAAAAATCTCCACGTAGTAGCTCATGTAGGCCAGGAGGATGGGTCACAAGAGAGGGATATCACACTCTTGTACAAGGTCGAACCCGGTACGTTGTCCTCGCCGGCTGTTGGGTTGGTGGTGTTGAAATTTTTTCCTGCCACAGGCGTTTCGGATCAGAGTTTTGGTATTCACGTTGCGCGGTTGGCAAACTTCCCAGAGAACGTCGTGAAGGTTAGGCGCGTTGGTACCATTTGTAACGAGTCATTTCTTACTTGTGAACAGCTAGCAAAGCGTAAGGCCGAAGAACTTGAAGACTTCGCCGTCGGTATGTCCTATCAAGCTATGGTTTTATAGCATTTGATTTGCGGGTTTGATTGTTCGAAATTGCTGTTCAGGCCAGCACCCTCAACAGGAACACTCCAACGAAGTCACCGAGGAAGGTATCCACATCGTTGAAGGCCTCCTTCGTAGATGGTCCGAGTCTACAGGCGGAGGTGATGACGAAGACGTCGTCATGGAAGATGTTTCGCCAGAGGCACAGCTTGAAGAGCTGCGTCGATGTGTAGAGGAATTCCGACCGCAGATTGAACGGAACGCTTGGGTGCAGTCTCTGATCGTTGCTCTCTAAGCCGGCACCAAGACCAGGGGCCTTCTGTTTGTTGCACTGGAGAATCGTCTCAGCGTTGCACGTTCTAGTTATCGGTCACTTCTATTACTACCCATTGCAATCCCCACCTCTCGACTCTCCCGTTGATGTAGATCCTACGTCCCTTCCACACATACATACATACAGCACGTTGTACCTAACGAACCCCCCCAGCACAATACCTACATAATACATCATTACTCTCGCGCCTCCCCATCGCCGTCGGAGTGTACGTCGTTCTCCGCGTCTCTATCATCTTCCGAGTCTCGGCATTCACCAACTGCCAATATCTCTACACTGGCGCTGGGCCTCGCTGACTTTTTCTTTTTACTCTGTTCCCGGGCAGCGAAGGTAAGATCTTCCCCGAAAAGTCGATGACTCAACGCGCTAGGGGTCCGTTTCAGAAATCCCATCCAAACAAGAGAAGGAAACAGAGGAACATAAGATGGCGGCCGGGATGAAATACAGGTACATGCCTTTTTGCTTTCTTATCAATCATGAGTGATATCGACACGTTGGATTTCCATAACGGTAGGACAAGGTCTCTGGAGAGTCTTCTCGACCATATCCAAATAAGCAACGGCACACAAGGAAAATGTCGAAGAAAAAAACATACGTGGTATCCATGGATGTTTCGGCCAAGAAACGAACGATATGGCTACCAGGATCTATTCAGCCAGCCGGAGGACTTATCAGCACACCGTATCATAAGATCCAGTATCCTATACCTCGCACGTACCTTTCGCCTCAATCTCAGACCTAAATGGTTCACCAAACGACGCGCAGAGCGGATAGTAATTTTGCAGAAGAGCTTTTAACGCCCCGAAATTCGCATGCATGATCATCTCGGGCTTGATGTAGGGCAAAACGACAGGTAGACCCTCCCCTAGCACGCGATACTGTGCGTCCATGCCTCTTGCAGCCTCTTGCTTGGTGATGACCTTGGTACCGCTTGCCATCAGTCTCATGCGGGTGTAGTCGTTTGCCTGGATGACAGACTTGACGAGGGAATTGGTGAGGTAGAACGACCGAACTGGGTCTCCCGCCGGATTGCGTACAAGTACATTAGACGAAGGAAAGGAAGAGGTTAGATTAAGTTGTTTTCTGGAAACCGTGATTTGAGAACCGGTCGAACTAGACCCCTAAATCACCAGGATACTTACATGCAAGCGAGCAGTGCTGGATCGTCTGGTGCCAAAAATGTAAACGGCATCTCTTTGAAAGATGGATCCGCTAGTGAAGCCTGTGCAGGCGAAACTCCGCTTCCTTCACCTCGTGATCGTTCTGCTGACTTCCTCTTGTCCTCCAAGGGCGAGAGGGCGTTGGCATCTATCGTAACAGCGTCCACGCCTGGAGTTGCGGTGCATTCGTGTTCCGGCTCCTGCATCAACGTGTCCACATCGATCTTGGGCTTCTTAGTCTCAGGGGCACTATTTGATTGGTCTTCGTCTTCCACCGAGCGTTTTCTAAAATATATTACTCTCGGTATACGCCAAGAACACCGAAGGTGGGTACTTACGATGCCTGAACATTCCTGGACGTTCTGTATTTCGCTTTTCGCTCGAAAACAGCGACAAAGAACCCTCCTGTGTCCTGAAGATGGGGGTATATGCGCATACTACACGCAACGGGTATGATCCACGACAGATGGCAGTAACACATGATTGAACTTACCAACGCTCTAGGTGTAAAGCCTCGACATTACTCGGAGGCCAGTGGGTTTCCGTCAGCTTCACGTCGGAACGCTTGTCCTCGGGGAGAGATTGAATGTAGGCACCGTATGAACTGAAGGAAGTGTTGACCATACGATCGACGGTTGGAGACCAAGTCGTAATCCCCGGGCGCCGTATTAGCTGTGGATGTTGTTCTGAGACGTCTAGAAGCTCAAACTCTGGAAGAGGTTTAATGACTGGGAGAAGTTGGTAAAAGGCGACGATACCTGGATTTGAGTTGAGGGCAGCAGCCACGACGGCTTCGTTCTCCACAGGATTAAGCGAGCAAGTCGAATACACGATCCGACCGTCGCTGGCAAGCATCCGCATGGCACGCTGTAGGATTCGACTCTGGAGACTTGTTGGATGTGAGCACCATACAGCGTTAGACATGGCAAGAGGCAGACCAACCCGTGCAGGCCATTGCCATCCATCGGCTGCCATCGTTTCCAAATGCCCAGGTTCTTCCTCAACGTGCCATCCCCGCTACACGGCACGTCACACAGTATTCTATCGAACAGCAGTTGGCCAGGCGTCTTTTTCACTGCACGACGGTTGTCGTTGGAAGATGATGGGAGTTTGAGCACTGGATAGATCGACGCGTCGAGGTTGGTAACCATGAAGGCCGGGCTGGGGAGACGGGCTGATTGATGGATGAGAAGATGGGAGCGACGACTGTCGGTGTCATTGGCAATTAGCAGGCCGGGTGGGATTGATGTGGATGTGGCAGTGTCGTTAGCGTGGAGAGCTTCCAGTAGCTGGGCTGTCTTGGATAGGGGACGTTATATGCTCTGGAAACGCTTGTGTATGAGCAGAGTGAACGATACCTTTGAGCCAGGCGCTGCACACATGTCGATTACCTAGGATATTCTTGGTTGAAGGCCCCAGAACGCAAAAAGGCCTGAGCCAACTTACCTTATGATGTGGCTGCACATCCATGAAAAGGGGAGGTAGCATACTCACGGCCTCCTGGCGTGATATGTTGCCCTGACATGTGAGTGTGTACGTGAGATGTCAGACTTGCACGTCAGGAGGGATTCTACCGACCACTTCGGTCTCGTGTACCAGGAAAGAGTGGAATTTTTTGAACTCTGGTGATCTACGAAGGACCTTTTTGGAAACGTTGAATTGCCATGCCAGCCCGTCTGGATACCTGATGGCTGCGGATGACAATCACGTCGCGTGTGTAACGTGGCGTCGATCTTACCATGGAATTTGGGTGGGGGGAGGGACGGTTTCACCCTCGAACACCACATTGTCCAACAATGGAACGTATGTCTTTTGGATGGTGATGCCAAGAGTGTGGGCTATGCTTTGATATGGGTGAGCAGGCTGTCGTGGGAGATATAGAAGGAACGTACTCTCGACTTCCGGTGATTCGAAAAGTGGTAGGCAGAGGGCACCTCAGAGCGTCCATGAATGACTCCCACTCATCATCCGGGATGATTTTTTGAGCCCTGTAGTAGGCACTGAAGCGTTCGTTGTTCATGCCAGTACGCTCGATGGGGGTGTCATCCCGAGCGCTTTCGGATTTACCACCGCGATGCCTCTTCTGCTCAGGGGCGTCAGAACAGTGAGAGACTGCACGGGAAGGGCATACCTTCGATCGCCCCATGAACGAGTGATCTATTAGGGTTAGGGCTTGCCGTGCTGTGACTCATCAGGGAGTGCTGTGGTGGCTGTGGTGCCGACTTGCTGACGCGTCTGGCGGGCAGGTGAGCTGACTAATGATCATCGTGATTACATATTACCGGAGGGTGCCGAGCTGTGCCTCCAGCTGTTCTCGTTTCACATTCGATTTCAAGACGACGACTCCCCGATAATCGAATCTGCAAACTAGTCATGCTCGTTGACGAGCAACAGCAGCAGCAGCAACAACAACAACAGATGTTCTCCTTCGATTCTGCATCCTCTCTGGATGATTTCATTAACCTCGATGCGCTCATCTCCCAACCCGCCCTCGGCGCTTCTGGCTCGCAGTCGTCTGCCTCTCCCCGCTCTCCGTTCTCCTTCCAAAACATGCCTCTCACTCCCCCACCCATCTTCTCCTCGGCCACAATCCCACAGCCCGCTACCGCTGATGACGCCTTCTTTAGCTTCTTCCTGGAAGACGACTTCTCAAAGGCGCCACACATGCCTCCCCCCGTCTCCCCATACGACTTCCTCGCCAGTATGACCGCAGCAGGCGGTTCTGGCATCGGCATTGGCACAAGCTCTTCTCCGGAAGCTTCCTCCTCAAGAGACTCCCCCTCCAGCTACGCCCTTTCCCCTCAACCCAGCTTCGGTATCGATCCCCAGTTAGTTGGGACCCCCGCCACCTCGAAGGCTTTGTCTGATTTCGACGAAGAGGAACACCACGACGCCCTTCAAGAGGAAGAGGAAGAGAAGGAGGACGACCCTCCTTCAACCTCTGGCAAATCCGCTTCTCGCGGGAAGACTTCCCGCAAGGGCACCGTCCTCTCTGGCGGCATAAGAAAGGCATCCCCCGTCTCTATCGACAAGGAGAATGGCCCTAGCAAAGAGAACAAATCCAAGAAGGAACCGGCCCCGCTCAAGATCCTCGAACCAGAGGATTGGCGTCCAAATCCCGAAGAGTACAAGAAAATGTCCAGCAAAGAGAAAAGACAGCTTCGCAATAAGATAAGTGCTCGCAACTTCCGCGTTAGACGCAAGGGTTAGCTTTCCCTCCCCTATCTTACCTGTTGCGCGGTCGTTCCTCACTCTTATATCTTCGACAGAGTATATTACCACCCTCGAAGGCGATATCGCTGAACGCGATCGTCTCATCGACGCGATTCGCGCCGAACTCGGCTCTTCCAAGTCCGAGAATATTGCTCTGCGTCAGGAAATTGACGCCCTCAAGAAGTGTCTGCTCGAGGGACGCAGCCTTCCAGATCTGCCTCCTCCTGCAGAACTCCCTCCTTCCCCTGCATCACCCGTCGTTCCCTCCGCCTCCACCTCCAATACGAGTGCTAGCAGCTCCAGCCCATCAATTGTCACTCCCAACACTCAAAAGGATCTCCCTACCTCTCCTCGCCTTAGCAATCGGGCCTTTTGGGGCGGGCTTGGCGGCATGGGAGTCACGCCGGTGCATACCACATTCGTGCCTCCCCTCGCCGTATTGGCCTCGAAGGCGTCGCTAGCCTCTAGTAGCCCGATCCTGCAGCCCTCGATTTTCTATGAGGAAACCATTCGACCGCGGGCACAGCAGGAGAACATGAATCCCAGCCTTAATCCCAGTCCACAGCGCAATTTCGTCGAGAAGAGTGGGTCGGCAAACATCAATCCTGCATTGAGCCATCTGAACAGCATCGGCAACGTCGGCGCGTTCGATGCATTTGCTGACACTAACCCTTTCACTCTCAAAACGCTTGATGCGTACCGCATGCAGCTCTGGGGGAAGATGGCCGCCCAACAACAAATGTCACAGGCTCACCACTCGCATTCGCAACAGATCTACACGCCTCCGCAATCCCCTCCACTGGCACCGGGTGGATTCGCGAGCATGCTCCAACCACACTTCTTGTTGGCACCTGCCAAAGTGGCAGGTACGTTACCTCACAAAGCGCCAACTGGAAGCGGTTCCGGAGTTTATCCGACACCACCACCCTCCCCACCAACCTTGTCGTCGTCGACTTCGGCTGCGCCAGCCCCGACGCAAGAGCAGGCTGCAATCGCGGCCCTAGCCAGCCAGACCTTACTGGGCAAACTCGGACATGCATTCTGGGAGGCCTTCTCGGGTTCTTCGACGACAAGTCCTTCGTCACACCTTACCCCCACATCTGCGGCTATGTGTAAACAGTGGGATGCCGAGAAAGTCCGCAAGGTGTTAGAGGGGCGAGCTGTTGTCAAGGTGGTGGACGTTGAACCTGCACAAAATGTCGTACCGCCTGTTCCATCGGCATCGGCATCCTCTTCATCGGTGCAGAAGGTGAAAGCTTCTGGACAAACTTGCATGCTGACGGATATGCTTGAGGAGTCGATGCGGAGTCTTACGTTGGGGAAGAAGATGAATTGAAGGGTCAAAAGCTGTGTGAGGACTTTTAGAAGGCGAAAGAAGAGATGAAAGAAGAACGGTGCTGTTCCCCGCTCCTCTCCGTGTTTCACCAGTGACTTGTCTTTTATATGTAGCCTCTGCTTCCTACAAATATAATTACCACATACTACATACGCTCTTTGTTCTACGGCTTTCGGTGTCCATACGCTTTCGGAGAATATCTTTGCTCGCTGACATCCTAGTATATTTATATTGGATCTCTACTATGTTCGACGTGATCGATGAAACGATGGGGTAATACTACAGCATATGCCAGCATTAAAAACCTCGAGGCCATTGGCCGTTGATCGAACAAAAGGAAGTTCACGCGCTGTTCGGGTCAGGAGAACATGCTGTAGATTGCGCCAGCATGATAAATTGGATCGCATTTACTGATATCTACTCGCTGTACAGGGGAGCCTCCTCGCCCTGTACCAGTTCCTGCACGTCTCCAAGCCTGTAGTCTCCGTAACTCGAGGGTGTTCAGAAGGAGTCCTCCACAGCGCTACGAGGCGTTGGGTGGTTTGCCTTCCAGCTGTAGGTGTGCGCTTGGCTTAGCGGTGCTGCAGTGTGTGAATCAAACGCACGCCACTGGCTGGTAAACAGCAGCACTCCAACGTTGCAGGACTTACCATCGCGCCTATAGTCTTCTTCCTTCGTTACCAAGCTCTGGCGGCCGCTGCCATTTCCTTAGCCACGGCGTGCTCTGCCACGGCTCGTCCAACCTCCAACCGGTGGGTCAACGACACTCAAAACCCGAGCCACGGACTACCGACATGCTTTATGACAGTGTCTTCGGCTCCTTCAGAACACTTCATGATGACCAGAATGCAGCACGCAAGAAGGACCGGCATACAATGCATGCCCCAAGAAATTCTTCTCATGATCTGTACTTTCCTGCCTCTTCTTGACCTAGTGTCATTGTCGCAGGTGAGCATTTCGCTGCTTTCTCATGCAACGATCTTTGGGCGTTTCCAAGACTGACGCACACACTTATTAGGTCTGTAGGGTGTTCTGGCTGCTACTAAAAGACGAGCATCTGTGGAAAGTATTATATCGCACAACCAAGATCGTCAGACCGCCCGGGCCACTCATCGCCAATCATCCTGCAGACTGTTTGCGCCGGATCTTGATTTCGAGCGCTACCGTCGAACAGAACTGGCCTCCAACTGGGAAGCCAGAGTTTAAGAAGATATCCACAGTCCCACTTATCGACCCACCCGAGTACTGTCATCTTCTTGCAGGAAGATGGCTGATAGCAGCGAATTCCTCGGTTGGCTACTATTATGACCTGCTCGACAAACCAAAACCGCAGCCCATCCTGTTCTACCGTCCCCATCTCATGGCCGTTTTTTTCCGCTGTGTGACCGCAACCAATATTCACGGTGATTCCCTTACATTCCTCATCACCGAGACTCAACTGGGGAAGGCGGTGCGAAGAGTGTGCGTAGGCCTGGCTTTTCTTCCTCTATGAATGCTTGGTGCCAATCCGAAATGACAGAAACATCAACAAAGTGTCTGCGTCCGAAGTGGGCCCCTTCGTGGAACCACTGATGCACTACGACTTGCCCCAGAACTACCCGGGCATCGCAGATGTCGTAATCGGATCCCGTCTCATGATTTTGAAACCCAAAACCAATTATGCACATGTACAACCGACGGTTTACGACTTCAAAGATCTACGACCTTGCAAACTTCCGCTTATACCTGCTGAGTATCGCCAGGTAAGGGGACACCCCTTTTTTTCAAGATGTTCTATGGCTCATTCTCTCTCTCTTTTTTTCGCGTCCATGATACAGTATCCCAGCTTTTACCACGCGGAATATATTATGACCAGGTCCTACGTCCTGATTTTCTACACTTTCGCGAAACCGCATCGCACGCTTGAAACTGTCATTTTCGCATGCCCAACTACTCCTGTCGTCACTCAGAATAATTGCAATGGCAACGAGTCGGTTTTGCAGATATCACATTCCGTAGTGGTCGACAGCCTCGTCCTAGCAAATATTCGCGTCATGTACGATGACACATGCAAAGAATCCGGAACCACTCGGATCACCCTAGTGGGGAAGAAAGTTACTAATTGCCGCGCTGCTGATGCAGGACTGATGGCATTACGACTCACCCTGCATCCCGTGATTTCTGACCAAGGTTCCATCGGCCCCATTAATTACGAATGCACCGATTTTGGGATCATACCTGGTAGAGATGGGATATGGCTGGAGATGGGACCAGATGAGTGCGGGAGGGGAGTCTACAACACGCCCTCTGGCCACATCGTGCTATTCTCTATCGATGCAGAAGATGATGGCACCCTTCGATGGCACAAGTCGGAAGAGTTGACTTGGCGCACGGGCCTTATCAGGCACTCGGCCATGGCATTTGATGGGTATCGCGGAATGTTATGTGTGAAGACTATAAATACCGCACGGAATGTCGAGCTAGAAGTATGGACGATTGCGAGAAGGTCTGTGTCGTGACTAGTTGTAGTCGAAGTACTATATTTCCTTGTAAATTTTCTTATGTTGTACAGCAGGCCAACTCAGCATTCAAAGCATACAAATGTTGAAATGTCTTTCTACAGCCTAAGCTACAACACAGCACGTAGATGCAAAGGGACATAATTTCAAACAGCACACGGCCTGCATACGAAACACGGGATGCTCTAGTATGGTATCGTGGCAATGGGTGGCAGACCGCAATGTGACGGTTCCTTTTCTTTTGGTTTTTTCGATTACCGAATTTGTGGTAGGCAACTGCATCTCCGAACCGCAACGGTGCATGCGACGGGGACAAGCTTCCGGGTGAGGTTGCCATATAGCGAAGTGGAGGGCAGCATATTAGAGTCTCCCACAAGGACGACCGGAAAACTTAGAAGAGCCAAGGTCCCACTAGGGAGGGGGTAACAGTTTAGTCGTCCAGGGCCAAGAAGGGAATAACTACACGAACCTCTCCCACCTTTTCCATCAATTCCTCGCACTCCTCCCGTGCCCACTCCTGTCAGCACTCCGAGACCGCCGCCCCCCACCTCAGCCCCGACCCCGTTTACCCCGATTCCCAAACAACTTTGATGTATCAAGTTTAATGCCTTGACGGCATCCCTGGCTTGGATGACACACGAAATGTTAATCTCGCTCGCTCCTTGCGATATCATTTCGATGTTGACACTTCCTTGTGCAAGTGTGGTAAACATCCGACCAGCAATACCGATCATGTTGTGCATGTGTTTACCAACGAGGGAGAGAATACACATCTGAGGGTGGACGGTAACCTGGTACAAAGAAAACATCGGTTAGCTCGTACAACGAGCAAAGTTAAGAAAACGGTCGCATACAGTACCGCATTTCCCCAACTCTGCGACGACCTTGTCGAGAACCTTCTTTCCGCACCCTGTGGCTCCATTTTCTGTGGTATCAGCGCCTCCGCAAGCACCTTCTGAGATATCCTCGATTGCCATGCTGATGTGGACCTCGCTCGTACTGACCAAATCCACGACTACGCCAAAACTGTCCAATACACCGAATATTTTTGCCAGGAACCCATGTGAGACACGTGTACGGTTAGAGTTCACGTTTAAGATGATAATGTGATCTTTAATCGTTACAGCAGATGGAAGACGCCTGCTTCCGTAGTACGGGTAGGTTTGAAAAGCAGAGGAGATGCACGGTGAAGATGCGGAGGACAGCGATGAAAAGGACGGAAGAGAGGTTAGGTTGATAGGTTTCGCTGTAAGGTCCTCGACACCATCTGGCTCAGGCTGAATTACTGTTCCGTGGCCCGAGGGGTTCTCGACATTTTTGATACGGATAGGAATGTTTTTACGGAGAACCTATCAGGTCGTCCCATCAATGCCTCTCGCATTCTGCTGAGTCGAAAACAACCGAACCTGCTCCATAGTAAATGGATGAACGACCTCACTCCCATAATAGGTCAGCTCTGCTGCCTCGTCTGGGGAGATGACCGGAAGCAGCCGTGCAGTGGGTACCTTTCGAGGATCAGCGGTGAATATTCCGTCGACTTCTTTCCATATTTGCAATTCACACGCATCAAGACCGGCGGCAAGTAAAGAGGAGAGAAGGTCGGTGTACCCACGACCAATTTGGCGGAGGAGGGAGCCAGGAACTGGGCCGAAAAAGCCTGGCGGGACAAGATCACCGGTTCGAAGGGACACAAGGATGTATAGTGGAGGAAAGACACATACCGGTGACAACAGGCACCCGGGGTGCACATTCGCGGATACGCTGCGCGACTGCGTGGGATACACCATCGTAAAAGGTCCTGGTCAAGTGCACCTTCGGTTGACACGGGATCAAAAGCGTCGATGTCGGAAATGGGTACGATGTCCTCGAGGGAGACGTATTCGGCATCGACGCCCTGAAGCGCAGTTGTGAGACTACCGAAGTATAGTTAGTGGTGGCGTTTACGTGCCTGATCACGTAAGATGGCGGTCATGAGTTTACAGGCGAGGCGTTCGCCGAAGCCGACGATGTTGTCCCTTGAACGCAGCGATATTTCATTGATGAGCTATCCATCGACTTGAGGATGGGACTACTATCGAGGTTGGTGAAGCGACTGGTACATACCTGCGTGGCGAGGAGGTAACTGTTTAGCCAGTCACAGTCGCGGTCGATCTCGTCTTCTAATTCCTGGAGGAGATCGGGGTCTTTGACATTGGCGCGAGCTGCTGCGAGGTGTTCGGATCTAATGAGGTCGACGGTTGCAGCGAATTCGGGCGCTGGCGGTGTGTTACTACTACCTCGATTGCTTTCCTTAGTGGAAGAGGCGGTTATCGGTGTGATGGCGAGACCGAATGAGGGGGAGTCGGATCGGCTTCCGGAACGCCGAAATAAACCATTAGAGATGGGTGTTTGTGTTCCAGAGGCTGATTTGCAGGCCTGACGCTGGCGGACTTGGGATGCTGCACGGAGCAGGAGGTTAGTGGTCCCAAGTGCTTTAGTGGAGCCAGAACGGGCAGAGCAGACGACGGCGACCTGGTACTGGTCGATATAGTTCCTGTGTAGCGACGATCCCAGGTGAGCATGGGTCATAGAGTGGAGTGTCACCTACGGAATGATATCTCTTGCAATGTCGATTGCAAATTTTCCGATGCTCGTTCCTCCGAATTTCTGGACGAGCCACGGTGCCTCTGGGTTGATCGTGTTCTGGTGCAGGCCTGGGGGCGTCGTCGGGGGCGGCGTTGATGCCGAGGACGACGAGGACGACGAGGACATGGTATTCACTTTTTAACAAAATAAAAATTTAAAAAAATAAAAATGGGGTTTGAAATGGACCCCCTGACACCAGGGACGCTGACTCGGCGACGACGGCGATGATAACAAACAACTAGTTCCGAAATGACATCAGTGAACTAATAAAGGCGGCCGTGGTGGGCGTCAATCTCGGTGTGCGTGTGTGCCCTCTGCGTGCCTGGACATCCTCCCACACGCTGCGACTACTTACTGCTACGCACTGACGACGAGGACGAGGACGAGGAGATGCCCAAACACTCGCACGACCCTGACCCACTCGACGAGCTGCTCCGTCCACCCCAGGGCGAGACAGAAGAGGATCGTGTCATCAGACTCGCACAAGAAGCAGAGGCGAGGCGACGCAGCCAGGCAATCGACGAGTCCATCAAGGCCGAACGTATAGAGCAAAAGAAAAAATCAGTCGTCAGACTCCTCCTTCTAGGCCAGTCGGAATCCGGTGCGTCGTTCGTTTCTCCTCTGCCCAGCCGCCAACGCTCGCGGGCCATGCTAATTACAATTACGCAGGCAAATCTACGACCCTACGTCGTACGTCTCTCTCTTGTGCTCACCCTCCACATCTAACCGACCCGTCCTCTAGATTTCCAGCGTCTGTACATTCCCTCCGCATTTCGTGCAGAGCGCATCCTTTGGAGGAGCGTCATCCAACTCAACGTCGTCCGTTCTGTACGGACTATCCTAGACGCCGTCTCCACCGTACGACCTCCACCAACACCTCCGTCAAACGACATTCAGAGCCCCGCGGAGGACTCAGATGATGACACCATATACGTCCCACACGACATCGAAGTCCTCAAGATGCGCTTGTCTCCCCTCCATCATGTAGAAGCAGTCCTGATTGCCAAACTCATCCCTCCAAGCCAGGACGACTCCTGGGCGCCAATGACTGCTTCGTCTGCAGGCGGTACCCTCGTCTCCCCTTACCACTACCCAGCTTATCATCACCGTCCAGACCAACGTTGGCATCATTCTCAAGAAATCTTCGTTCGCCCAGGCGCAACTTCCTGGAAAGGCGTCCTCGCTAAATCATTTCCTTGTCCTACGAGTGTTCGCCCAAACTCTATAGACGATGCCAGCTCCACGGGCGTGACACGCGACGAAGCCCAGCAAGTCCTCCATGCGTGCTGTGGAGACATCATATCCCTTTGGAACAACCGGTTTGTACGGCAGCTACTGACCAAAAGGAAGATCAGGTTGGAAGAGGCACCGGGATTGTAAGTATCTCTCGCACCTAAAGTCTGATGATTTTTGGCGACACATGAACGCACCTCGTAACAGCTTCTTGAACGACCTGCAGCGGGTGACCGCGCTAAACTACATTCCGTCAGATGGTGATTCCCCTCTCGTTTGTGCTACATGCGGTCCCCTGATGCCTCCTTTATCGTGCTTTCCATATAACCCTTGCACAGACGATGTCCTTCGCGCCCGACTCAAAACTGTAGGCGTTTCCGAGTACAGGTGCCAGATGGAAGCCGCTGCCGGGCGAGAACAAGGCACGGAGTGGAGGATAGTTGATGTGGGTGGTTCGAGGTCGCAGGTGGGCATCTCATTTCGTTCGGTTTACCTCATTTTCACTCATTGATTCCGTTGTTCTCTCGTAGAGAGGTACGTGTGCTTGTTTCTTTCTTCTTGTCTCCGCTGAACCTTTACCGTGATGTGCAGCGACGTGGGTCCCATTCTTCGACGATGGTTCGTCACTCTTGCATGATAACACAAGGCACCAGTTTGGATAACCGATATCTTACAGTTGACGCAATTATCTTCCTCGCACCCATATCCGCGTTTGACCAGGTGTTAACCGAGGATCGAACCGTGAATAGACTCGTACGTGGCCGCTTTTCTCCGGTCTGTTCCTTGTGCCTTACCGTTGCTCTCACCCCTTTTCATACCATGCACACATGCAATGTGGACGAATTGGAATTCATCTTACCAGGAAGATTCAGTCCTGCTTTGGAAAGCCATCTGTTCTAATAAGCTCCTTGCTAACGTTGATTTGGTCCTATTCCTGAACAAATGCGACATCTTAGAAGCCAAGCTCAAGTCGGGAATCAGGCTCGCCAAGTATGTGAGGAGTTACGGCGATAGGGGGAACGACGTGGAAACAGCTTGCAAATGTGCGTTTTGGTTCTTTTTCCCCTCAAAAGTTTTTTTGAAATAATTGCCATCTGCATACGCACTGAACGGACTTTTTTGGGACAGATTTCAGGACCAAGTTTAGTGCGATTCATCGGGAGTATTCACCCCTCCCGCGCAAGTTTTATGGATTCTGCACGAGCGTCACTGTACGTTGTCTTCCCGTCTTTGAATGGTTCGAAGTTCTCATCTGTCCCTTCCCACCCTTGTATCGGCTTCGTGGTCCATGCGCTTAATTTAAACCCGTGCTGCTGCATGCACTCGTGGCACCTCGGCATCCTACGTTGTGTTCGCGGCTGCGTTTATGCGGTGCCTCGTTCCTTTGTCTTGGTTCTGTTAAACCCTATCTCGCGGTGGTTTCTGTTTGTTGCCTTGCTTCTTGATACCCTCGTTCCTACCATTTCGGTTTCATCATTGTTTTCATGCCTATCTTGTCATCCCGCCTCTGCCCGTTACGCCGGTTGTTTCTTTCCCCGCTGTATTGGATACCTCCGCGGGATGTCACACCTCTTGTGCATGCTCCGTCATGGCCCGACCGCGACATTCGCTCTCCAAACTTGCACTCCTTAAAATCCGTCCTTGGTTAACTCACCTCTCCACTGTGGTTGTCTGTAATTAGGACACTACTACTACGGCTGGGATACTCGCGAGTGGTGAGTATTTGTCCTCTTCCCACACTCGACATTTTCTTCTTCTCCGGAACTGAACTGAGTTACCAACATCGCTAGTAAGAGATATGGTCGTGCGGAGACACTTGAAGCAGTCACGTTTGTTGTAGCGAGCTGTTAGCGGATGCAGGCGTTGCCGGGTGTGTTTCCTGGTGATGGTGAGTACTCAATGATATCGTTGTTGGGACTTTTGGACATGTGGTAGTGGAGTCTCCCGCTTGATTGCGGTGGGCAATGGCGCTGTGGTCGAGTGTTATGCCACCGGGCGATATAGAGGGCAGAAAACCCTCATTGTGTATGCATCGATGTTTGGCTTCGTCGGGCTTCTTACTGGGCCAACTACCGAGCTTTGCAGTCTCGATGTTGGAGGTGTCACGCAGAATGCATTGTGTTATGGTGTCTGGCGAAAAAAAAAAAAAAGTCAGAAACAGGGTTGATGCCAGCTGCAGTGGCCCGGCATTTATTTTTCCCTCCGCTGAGCTAGGTTGGGTTTGTGACTTGGTTCGATATACGTTCCACGGTTCCTTGTTTTGACCCGCACTTCATTACTACGCATATCCACACAACCACACTCGTACCTTGCTTTGTGTCTCCGTTCCTTCTATTCCCGCGCCATTGCTGATCCGCAGTAACTAGGGTTGATGCTTGATGGGGTCCTGGATCTGTTGCGCCTCAAAAGCTATATGCCACTAGTTATCGCACGCCACATCATTTCCCTACCCTTCTGGCTGGCAATGATCCCTGTTTAATGCATATCCTTCTACGGGTATCTCTCCTCTTTCAATCTTTTCCACCGTGTCCATGTGTACACATACATATCTAGACCCCAACTGTTTTACCCCTTCATCTCACCCGCTTCTATCCCTAGCAACCTCTTTCACGGTATATTCCCCATGTCATGCATGCCCTCTCGTCCTGTACACCAAGTTCTTAACGCATTTCCTCCATACTGTTTTCCCATCTCTTGATTTGACTCATCACTACGCCTGTGTCTTGGCAAACCTCCACGCTTCACCACCCGTTGTGACGCGCAACTCCCTTTGCCTTATCACTCCCGGATGTCCTAGTAGCTGTACGTACCGTATTTATCTACTACCCCCTAGTCCTCTCCCTATTTCCTTATGAAAACCGCATGCGATTTCTCTATAGACGTTGTGGGCCATAATCTTGACGTCATCGTGCTGTGTCCCCCCGTCATGCCTTTGATGAGGCTCCTCCCTCCAATCACCTTCCCGTATGAAATTGGACCAGCCTTCTACTCTTGCTATTGCACGTGGAACGTGCTATGCTTAGCGCCAACCAATCAGTACCAATCGAGTTCAGATTAACCGAATATGATGGAAAGACGCAGATCGATAATTAACAACATATCATACACAGGTATCGCAGGGATCGTTTGATTGGCGATCCGAAGTCCGCTAGTTTGCGTAGCAATGTCCGTAATCTATATCAGACTGGAGCGCACACCCTCCTCAGCCACTCCAAAGCTACCTCGTCCGTCCCCTTGAGGTAGGGAGATACTTTCTGGAAGACCTCCTCGTGATAGTTGTTTAACCACGCCCGCTCGTTGGCCGTTAGGAGGGACAGGTCAACCAGGGTTTTCTGCATTGGACACTGTTCAATGATGGGCATTATTAAGGACGCGGGAAGGCAGAAAACAAAAGCATGCGCGCACCATCGTAACGTGCTCAAATCCGAGATATTTAACACCTCCGAAATTGTAAGGTGTGCTAACTTCGCGCACGATGACAACGTTCTCGATCCGGATGCCCCATTTTCCGTCGGCATAGTAACCCGGCTCTGTGTGCGGTTCACACACAAATGAGTGGTCCGAGGAAATGGATAAATGATGGAGGTATTGTGCCACGAATATACGGTGGCAAAGGATAAATCGATTTACTCACCGTTCGATACCGTCATTCCAGGCTTGAGTGCTGTGCTGTTATAAGCTGCACAACGTTAGTCTCGGCATTACCCTGCCTCGTACATATCATAAGTCAACGAACGCACTGATTCGCGTCCCAATCCCCTGTGGGCCTGCGAGTGTTAGTAATCGCTGGGTGAGTCGCGCAGGTACACCACACAAGCGCATATTTACCCTCGTGTACGTTCAAGAAATGTCCCACACCATGTCCAGTTCCGTGCCTATTTAGGAAGATATCGTTAGGAGCATTGGAGACGTTTTCAGTCACCGACCTATAATCTGCGCATTGACATGCGAGGAAGGGCGATATTAGAACACCCTCACCGATGGACCACGTAGGCAAGGACCCGAAGGTCGTAAAGAAACTACTCACCAAGCCCATCTTCCCATAGCGGTCTGCGTGCGAAAGCATCTCTGTGAACGAAATATATATCAGAAACAGGGAATGCAATTGGAGAGACCGCAGGTATACTTACATGATGTAGCCTAGAAGCAAAGCCCGACCCGACATAATAGAATTCAGAACTCAGCACCATCATAAAAATATGATGGAAATGGAGAGAAACACGTACCGGTTGTACCAGCGGGAAAGACGGCCGTGTCCATAGCTATATGTCCTTGCAGGACACGGGTAAAGGCTCGCTTTTCGTCATCAGAGGGTACTCCGAAGTGCTGTTTGTTTCAGCGACGAAGAATTTGATTCAATTTGCTAGTTAGTCTTACCCAGGTTCGAGTAACGTCAGTTGTACCATCGAGGTACTGGCCTACACGATGTTAATGACCAAATACAGGAGGATTTCGCTGATCGCACCGCCGGAGTCGCATAGGTATATCTGCGAGATATTGGGGTCAGCCGAATAAATTCGCGACGAGTGATACTGAGCGCACTTGGTCCTTCGTAATCATAGCACAGTCATTGGGATCCGGAGAATAGTGAATTATAGCTGAAACGGTCCCGTTAGGATGTGAGCTGGAAGGATACCGCGCGTACAAACCTGCATTGGGTCCAGCCGACGAGATAGCTGTGAATGATAGCCCCATAAACTTGTCGAGCTCACTTCTCAAGTGAGAATTTGCCCAAAAAATAGCGAGAAATTTACGCTCACGATCGGAACTTTGCAAGTTGTTCGGCTCCTTGATACTCGTCCACTTTCTCTCCTTTGCTTAGTTGCCGCTCGAGCCAAGCGAAATAACGAGCCAAAGCCACTCCATCTCGAATATGGCATTGTCTGAAACCTTCGATCTCGACGGGATTTTTGATAGCTTTAAGTGCCGCCACAGGAGATGGCATAATAATCACGTTCTCCTAAGGAGAGGAGATCTGAGTGTCACGATGAGGCACCGTGTAGATGACCAACCTCCCCAAGAGCCTCCACAACTGCAAGGTTTGTTTTGTCCCCTAGCAAAACAGGCTGCGTGCCAGTTAAGCCGAGTAAAACGCTCATGAATACAAATTTACCTCGTCTTTTTTAACCAAAGAATCCGTAGCAAGGGATCTGAGGTAAGGCAAGAACTCCTCATATGGTCGAATGCTGACTTCTTGCCCAAGGTGAATTTTGACTGAATCGTCCACCTGATTTTCATCAACGAAAAGCACAGCAGAATCCCGCATGACGATGGCGTATGCAAAGAAAACTTCAAAAGATTTTTAGATAACGGCCCAAGGAATAGGATAGTGCGCTGACCAGGGTTAAAGTCAATGTCGGAACCCCGGAGGTTAAACAGCCATGCAACTTCATCCAGTAAAGTAACAGCCATCGCAGTTGCATTCTTCTTGGCCATTTCTTCCCGAACCCGCTTGAGCTTAGTGCTGAACTGCTCACCTAAAATGGATCCGAATATTAAAAGTGACAAGACAGGTCAAATAGATGGATTACCTGTATATTCGATGTCTAGCACAAAGACCCTATTTTTAGGGCGCTGTGGACGTTCAGTCCCCCATACGACGTCGACCGGGTTCTGTCTCAGTGTCCACCAACTCCGAATTACGAGCGTGGAGGGATTTCTTAAGTGACTGAGCCTCATCTGTATTACTCGCTCAGAGAGGTACGATTCATATGAGTAGAAAACCCACTCGCTAGGATTAGTGTCGGGTCGATACCGATCCTGATGCCCTCCTCCAGGTGCTTCGCAAAGTGTCAGTTACACAATCATCCCAGAGTCCAGGTAGAGTGCGCACTTTCGACAGGAATTCTTGCCATGTAGGAACATCTACTGAGGTGAGCCGGGGTGCGCTGCACACCTTGGCTGTGACTTACCTGGTAAACCTTGCTTCATCAGAGTCCAATTTCTAGTGACCCAGGTTCAGTGCGGTTCCTGGAGCAAGTGAGTGTCTGGCTTACTTGTCCAGTTGTTGTTCAGCCTGGAGGAAGTACCGCCCATCGGTAAAAAGAAAAGCATCTTTTAATGTGACCACCGCACGTCCTTGATTCACAGATTGTTGAGTCTGTCAGCTCAGTTACAACAGCACTACCACTCACCTGCAGAACCATTGAAACCAGATATGAAACCCCGCCTTTTGTCCGCCTCGGCGGGATATTCGCTGAAATCTGGAACATAATCTCAAGCAAACCAGGCCAGCTGAGTTTAATTGCACTCACGTTCGTCTTCGCTGGGAACGACGACAACTTTGACATCGAACTCGGGTTTCCTCATGAGTTCTCGAAGGCTCTTGAGCCTCTGAGCGGTGTTTACTGTCTGCCTTCCTATCGCGCCCATATCGGAAACAGATCTGAACCTGGTAGCTGTACAGGAGTCTCTCAAGGTAGAAATGAGATGATGTCGATACAGATAGGCGTGTGCACGGCACTTGAACGCGCTACAGCTCCATCGGTACCACATATGTAATGTTGATCCGAAAGAGCTGCATGCAATTGTTACCACACAAATGGATGCTCGGCTCTCAAATTCAAGACATTCTTACTCGCGTACATTACAGTATGTGACAACACTGCCAACCCACACAGTACAGCATGGGTTGAGAGATGTATTATAGTGGAAGTACTGCAGCAAGTGTCCATGCGATGGGTATCTACTCTAGACAGGTTTATGAAGTGGCCGGGGTGAACTTCTGGCACTGCCCTGCAGCGCAGGAGAACTACTATGGCTTCGAGGGACACTAGGTCGTCTGCTATGTGTTGAGTGCAATCTTGTCCGCTCATCGACATCGCCATCAGATTCGACATCTTGATCTTCTTCACTCTCCCTCAATTGAGACAACGGCACATCACCTCGGGAACCCTCCTCGAATGCGTTGAAAAGAGTTGCACTCTGCACTCGATATAGAGAGCTTCTTCTGCCATGTGCAGATCGCAAAAATCCATCAGGTCCGACCTCAGACGTCGCACCCCACCCATCAAGCGATGGGCGACCCTGCAAGCTCATGCGCGGATTCAATAAGCCAGACTCGAGCGTGCTGTGACCGTTGGCAAGTGATGCAGGATCCGATCGCCGAGAGAGGTTGAGAAGATGGACACCCAGGAAAGTCACGATGAAACCCAAAAGTAGCGTTACCGTATTAGTTCCGTCCGTGGTGTTAAAACCTTGGAATAGGATGAGAGAGGCGACAATGGTCGCTGTGGAGAATCCCACGTAGTACATGGGGTTTACCCTAGTCACGACAAGGTCAAATTTATGGGTCAGTGGCAAACAGACCTGTTTATTGACGTACACGTTAGTAGAGAAGGTGTCAAGCGCCTTGTTGAAGAAATTCATTTGCACTAGAATGCATCCCACGACAACGATGCCGAAGACGTATGTACTCGGATGAGTGAATTGATTATTCCCGCCAAGGGTCAGCTTGACGGCGACTCCAAACCCTTTGATGGCCATGACGGATACGGAACCGACCACAGAACAAATCGATATGTAAACAAAAGGGTTTGAGCGGCCGTAGCGAGGGGCGACATTGAAAATCATGACCAATGAAAATATGAGGACGATAAAACAGTACAACATAAAGCCTGAACTGTGTTAGGAGTGAGGAGACAGTAAATAGCTCAACGTAGCTTACCCGGTTGAATGGCGTAGTGCAATATTTCATCCACTGTTTCGACTTCTTTGTCTGCTGGAGCATGAAGGATAATGATAAGAGAACCAATCAAACACAATGCACATCCCATTCGCCCAAGGTGTCCGAGCTCCTCGTTCAGAAGGAAAGATGCAAGAATGGCACTGAGCGATGTAAAGTTAAGAATACAATGCCTATTGCTTGGTGACTCACCCGATGAGTACACTCAGTGCACCAAGCGGCGTCACCAATATTGGGGGGGCAAAGGTGTATGCCGCAAAATTTGCGACTAAAGGAATTCAACTGAGCAAAACAGCCAGATTAGATTTATTTGAAACTAACTTTCGCCAAAAACCACTGAAAGGACTGTCAGCGCATGAAAAGCACACAAGAGCTTCGGGACATACGTGTTGTTATCCCAGCCCACCACGTCGGGTTTCGAAGATAACCATAATCCTCGGAAGAATAAGCGGAATTCTGTGCGCCTGCATCCGTGAGGCCCTGACCGTTGCGTTTAGGGTGCGGAGGAATGGCTGAAGGAAGGAATGAACCTTCTTAGTTATGATGAAGCTCGTTCCAATAGCAAACGAGCCGGATATGGCGAGAGCCAATCCAATATATTTATCTTCTAACATTGCACGGTACCGACAGCTGACAGAACCACCGGCAGACGTGCAGGAAGTTCGAATGGGGTGGCGAGGAGGATGCGCGGTCTTGCACACACAGCTGAGCGCTGACCTTGTTCGAGGCACGTGCACTACAAAAAGGGTATCCGGCAGCCGTCCGCATCACTGCGGGACTCCGTCAGCAAATTGCCGCCTAGTGTGATTCTTCCAGAACTAGTATTGTGGATAGGTATCGGCACAATTCAGTATCGATGCTAGGGTACAAGATAGCTGCCAGGAAACAATTCCCATGCTTTTTCAAGGTACTTTTTGAATCCGCATGTAAGCGAGTACGAGCCACGTCCAGGACAACATTATTCAAAGCCTCATATTCAATGATGGCAGCGGTGCATGTGTCCTGTGGAAGCCTTTCACCACAGACGACCCCAATGACTTCCCCACAAAGACGGCCCGCGCAGGAATGTTCCCTATCTGCTATCGACTATAGATAGCTCCGGGTTTGGCGCCCCAGTAATAGTTCCCACTCCAGCAATAGGCGTTAGATGAATGAATAAAGAGATACAGATACACGTGTGCCTTTGCCCACCAGACCCGACTCTGCTTTTATGCCTTGACTGTTCTCAGCTATAACAGTCAAGCTGAACCTCATGAATCCAATCATCCAATCCTGGACGGCTATTTTCCTTGACAAATCATGTCCGAAACGGGGAGACACAGGTTGTACAGGGAATATCCCCAAGGCAGGGGAAAGATATTTCATTCATCTCTGGTCGACTATGGCAACCACCGTATGCTTTTGGAGCCGTCGAGTGTGGGGCTTCGTGCGTCGCGTGGTACTATCCTGTGGTCAGCGAATTTAACGCAAACGCTGCCTATCCCAATCACTGACCATGAACTAACTGTTTCAAGAAACCGGAGGCATCGATGGGGCGGCTGCACGCAAATTAGTAGCTGAGGAAGCATGCTGATGGGGTGCTCGGTACCAGATACAAGCCAGCAACGCAACACCCCGGCGATTGCCAACAAGGCATCGATAGCAACCATGCGGTCAGGGCTGCGGTGAAGACGGTAATGTTCAATCTTGCGTTATTATATCGGACTCCGTGTCCCCAGAGAGGGTAAGCTTGCCCAAAAAAAGTGAACGAACCTTGTATTTGACCTCCGGAGAAAGTCGGTGGGAAACTTGCAGATACCGATAGTTTTGATGGCTGCAGAGATAGTCTATGATTCCATTCTTAAAACGACTGTAAGTTCCACAAAGACGCTTTGGAGCTTATCGCCTCGGGCTTCCATAAGTTTGCAAAGACAAAAAAACGAAGCTGCCGTATGAATAAGATTTTTTTCCCCGACCTAAAACTCGGACGGTTCTAAGTCTGGGAACCAGCACCAGATAAAGTGAAAAATCAGGATAAGAAGAGATAATGCGAAGCGCACGCTCCAACCCTAATTTGCCTGAGGACATTTGACACTGAAAACTCGAACGAACGCGACACGGTGACCTGTTGTCACGCCTGGGCATTATTAAGCTCCTCGTACTACGAAGGTTGGGCGCTGACGAACGTACCATGACGATCCTACCGTGCTGCCACTGAGTTTTCACAAGACTGCACCCGGGGATGGAGTATCCATAGTCCCCCGATGTTTGCGACCGGCAAATCTCACTTAACTTATAGGTTCAGCCTGATAGTGAGCGAGCATGTGCTCGTTGAATGTGTCGTAAATTACAAAACCTATGATAGCATCAGGAAAACAATTTATTAACCGACATATTCCCCTCTTGGTGCTTTTTGAGAACTTTTGCAATGGCGAATTCAAAGTCCTCCTGCGTGACGTGTTGCCGACGTTCACGAAGTGCGTACATCCCTGTCACCATTGTGAGGATCAGTAGCTGCATATTTATCATACGAGCATGCCTCACCGGCTTCTGTGCATATACCACGCACCTCCGCCCCAGAGCATTGACCCATCTTTTCTGCAAGGGCTTTGAGATCAATGCCACGTTGCAACGACATCTGGACCCAGGATGAAGCGGGAAAGATTTAGAATAAACGGGAGTTTACCTTTCGGGAATGGATGCGGAGGATACTGACTCGCGCTTCAGGACCCGGTGGCGGGAACTCGATCTTTCTATCAATGCGACCCGGCCGCAGGAGTGCAGGATCCAAAATGTCTGAGATTCGATAGATTAGTGTAATTGAAATGTGACGTGAGCTAAGTCTCGAACCTATTCGATTTGTGGCCATAATAACTTTGATATTCTTTGTCGCTTCGAAGCCATCAAGTTGGTTAAGGAGTTCCAGCATGGTCCGTTGGACCTCGGAATCGCCGCCTCCTGTTCCACTCTCCCCTCGCGAACTTCCGATTGAATCAATTTCATCCATAAAAATGATACTCGGTGCGTGTTCTCTGGCCATAACGAAGAGTTCCCGAACCATCCGACTACCTTCTCCAATGTATTTCTGGACAAGCTCGGAACCCGACACACGAATGAACTTGCAGTCCGTATGATGGGCAACAGCACGAGCTAGCAACGTCTTTCCGGTTCCGGGGGGTCCGTAAAGAAGGACACCCTTGGGTTGAGCAATACCAAGCGACTCGAATAATTCCGGGTGCTTGACAGGTAACTCGATGACTTCTTTAATCTCCTTGATTTGCTTGTCAAGTCCTCCGACCATCTCATAGGTGCTGTCCGGAACCTTCTCGACCATCATAAGTGAAACTAGTGGATCGACCTTGTTCGGTAGTATCTTGTGAATCGTGTATGTGTCGGAGCGCAATGCTACGCGCGACGAAGGCGTAATCGAAGCAACATCGATATCGGAATCGAAATCCACAACTGTGTCACTAGATCAATATGAGTACGGAGACTGTGAGTTCTTGCTTACTGTATTTCCCCTCTGGTTGAACCTTGACAAGTACTTTCTTCTTGCCCATAACCTTCACTACCTCTCCCACATAGCTTCCAGGCTCGTGCAACAGCTGTAACTCTTCCCTGAGCAGTCTCACTAACCAAAGTTGAATCCACCACTTTTAACGAATGCAAAGAGCGACGTACCTCGAGCATTCAATGCATTTCGTTGCGCTTCAAGACGACGCAAGTTCTGCGTCTTCTGGTTAATAAGTAACTCCGCCGCTTCTATCTTCGCCTGGTAGTACGACTGTATCCCACCAGGGATCTTTTGCGGCGTGCGCACTGCAGCTGGCATTGGTGGTCGTTTCGTGGTAGTCGGTGCAGATACTTACGCGTCCTGGCATAGGCGTGACGTGATGTGTGACAACTTGGTCACACCACAGTTGCCAGAACGGTAAACAGTTTCCGGTGCGAGCTCTCCAACAATTCCTATCACATGCCATCAGCATCGTAATAAGGTGACAGTTTCCACATTTATTAGCTTCGGCCGTCCATCGTGGCAGTTGCATCTTCCTAACTTTCACTTTTCAATTGCAAGGCCTTTTCTTCAGGTGTGTCCCTGACATCAGTCAGCCGATATATCTGCGCAATCCGTTTGCACGTATTCATTGCAACTAGAGGTGCTTTGTTATATATACATGAATGTTCATACCTTTCAGGTTTACGGTCGCGTGAGCTTGGTGCCAAGGCACCATACGGGGACTTTGACCATTGCTTTAATACCCCTCTATCTCTGATACCTTTAAAACGTGGCAAGCTGCTGTGTATTCGTGAGTTATCTGTGATATTCTTTATCGTCCATATGAGAAACTTTCACCACTATGCGTAATAAACTCGAGGGCACGTAAACACCTTCACACCGACCTACATCATACACACTATTCACGGGAGCAACTGCAAGTCTTAGAAGCCCGTCACAATGTAGTAGGTACCGTCTACAATCGCAAGTTTATACACTTACCTTTCTAGCTTCATATAGTAGTTGAAGCTGACGGCCCCTTTATCGGGTTTTTGAAGGGTAATACAAGTCATCGCTTTTCAGGGGCAACACTAGGTTCACCAATCAAATAAAATGCCGCCCGAGAACACAACGACCCAAAGAATACATTTCAGGATAAAGGTGATACAGTACAATGGTATATGATAATGCAAACTCAAAACATGGACCTTGCCCCCAAGTACCACTGATCGCGATAATGCAATCATATATCGATGCCCGTCAGGATGGTAGGCACGACAGCACTGTCACATGCCATACTTTCTTTTCAGCGCAGCCCACGAAAGCGCTGCTGTGCGATGACACTTCACAAAGTGATTCATGTCATGCTCCGGAACTCGGTTAATATCTAGACGATTCCAATATCGACATAAAGTGTAGACAATGTCGTGGGCATCGCGTTCAGAGCCACGACTAAGCGCGAATGGATCAACCTATTATATAACTTAGGAAATGAAAATAATCTTACATTGCCCATGCTTTGAGCTTGTCTCGGACAAATTCCGACAGAGTCAGGAAAGGAATTCCCTTCAGACTCATGGTTGTGGAGCCATCTAGCCGTCGCGGTCCATGCTCTCCTGCAGGCAATATCTCAATCTACACGTGCACAAGTGAGCGCAGTACACAAAGATATGTCCTGACGAGCTTGCCTCGACTGCAGGTATCAGTCTACGATATGTAGCATGCAACCTAGACGGTTGAAATAAGGTCGGTAGTTGGGTGAAAGGACGTGGAAACCTACCGGTTGCTCCACGGCGAGTTGGTAATGGTGAAATGATCGCTTCCTGCTAAGGCCTGGCGTACCCGACCAAAAGGATGCGACGAACCGCCATCCACGATACAGTATATTTCCTACGCGATTTCAGATGAAGTTCGACTGGACCAAAGGACGTGGGTTCTACTGACATCACAGCGGGGGCTATCCGATACTATCGCGGTGAGAATGCTTCCGTGAAAAGCGTGAGGTATAGAGTGAGAGCGGAGCAACTGAGAAAGAGCGTTCGCTGCCTCGAGAAGTCTGTGAGTGTCGGCCATGGCGAGATGGGGGGAATTATCACAGGGGATTACGAGGACGGGTCAGGCCCAGAGCATGCTATGACATAAAATAGTTGACATTGAAGGAAGAGAAAAGGCCTGTGAGCATGTATGTAATAGTTCCGTGACCCATGAGCCAGAGCATATGCAGGAACTGATCCTCTGCCGCCGCATCTGATCATCCCAAGGAGCTCGTCGTTACCGAGGTCGGATTTGTCCGATCCGATCGCTAAAACCAGCGAGCTTACCCCCAAACACGATGATCGCTGGTGGACAAACATCTCCCCGGCCGAGGGGATCCAGGTTTTCTGAAAAGAACAGTACCAGATCTAATATAATGGCGTTTACATGTCGGGTGGCATCGGAAGGAACTCTCAAAGGATGGTGAGAGTACCTAAAAGTATATAGTTCAAGTTGCTAAGACAGACTATGTAAAAAAAAAGGCCCCTCTGACCCGAGGTGTGCACATCTGACTTATTAGTACTTGTATACCCCGTGGACGGAGTGCGGGGTGACACTGTTTCCAGTCACGCGTCACACGTGAGCTTGGTTCTTCGTGCGTGTCACAAGATTTCCCTATTTCAAATAGGAACAAAACCGTTTGTTTTCCGTCGGAATTGCGAGATTGTTGCGAAAACGTGAATTTGTCCTCGCGGGAAAACCAAAAACGGCTATCTGTTTTTCTGCCCCTCACCGTGAATGCAGACTGTTCTGCGACGCTTGCATGTCAGGGATGTGATGCCATTGGCTGGTCTCAACTGCTTTCGAAGATGCTGCATACGGTCTTTCTCCTCCCTCGCACTTGTACACCGTTCGCATCAAACAGCCTCGTCGCGGAGCCTCGTATTTCCATGCGACACCCCTCGCCTCGCATCATGGAAAGCGCTGTTGAAGCTGAAGCCTAACCTATCGAGTCCCGAGGGAATCCCTGACAATGAAGAGGAAGTAGCCAAGGCTGCCATTTTAGAAAAGGTCATGAAGGGGAGGCTCTCGACGGATCTCATGTTGCGCTGTATGATGCCTTCTCCTAGCGCTGTTCGCTAGACAGGCTTATGATTGCTGACATATTTGTAGGTACTATCCTTGATAATGACGGTGACTCGTGTCAATACTATCCCCATTTCCCTTGCTTATATGTCCCTTTGGACATAGGCGCTGTTAAGAGCATCTCCGGGCAGTTCAAAAGATCAGACTTATGCAATGAACATCGGTTAAACGTAAGAAACATGCACTCTGTGTCACACATCATATTGTTGTTGCTAACGTTGCCATCAAGCCTCGTGACCTCCGCAAAATTGATTCACGAATACCCAACCTCGTCCCCACCATCTTAATCCGCAAAGAGGCCATTCTTGTAAGACACGTTTTCCCGCATTTTTCCTTGCCTAATAGCACAGATAAACGTATTGCATATTCGAGCCCTAGTTAAGGCGGATACTGTCGTCCTGTTCGACACCTATGGCTCCAACGATTCCAGACTCCATTCCGCCTTCCTATATCACCTTGAGGTAAGCTGGATTTTAGCAGCTTGAACCAGGCAATTTTCCCATTGTTTGCCAAGCACAACCTCAAGGCCCGTGGTGGTGGTTCTCCCTACGAGTTCAGGTGGGCTTATATGGTTCACGCTTCCTTCATTCCAACTGTTGGATTCAATAGAGCAATCGAATCCATCCTTCTATCTGTCCTGAGTGCTCTTGAAGCCGAAATGGTTTTTATTCGTAACCTTGTTGGAGGGCTTTTAGCGGAGCTCGAAGATGACATAAACCATGACAAGTTTAAACGATTGCTTCATTACTCCAGACGTCTTGCCAGCTTCAAAAATCGCGCCAGACTCGTACGTGTGTGATGAACACTAGTCCGCGTAGAGTTGTATATTAATCGGAGCAGGTGCAAGACGCCCTCGAAGAAGTTTTGGAACAAGGTCGGCGACCCCGCCCTTCTCAATATGTATTTGTAACCAGTTCTAGATGATGATCTAAATGCAATGTACTTGACGGACAAGAAAAAGGGTATCGCCCGGCAAAACCACGAGCACGACGAATTGGAAGTTCTTCTGGAATTCTTCTCGAAACAAGTCGAAGAGATTGTCAACGAAGCAGAGAATATCGAGGTCTGGTTGCCAACGGGAACCCCTGAAATTATATTAAAGTGGCTTATCTTTACCAATAGAGCAACGTTCAATCTACGCAGGAAATCGTGGAGCTTATCTTGGACTCTAATCGCAATGCGCTCCTGGCGTTAGATCTTAAGGTAAGATTTTGCGGGTGCAACTAGGAGATCTCTTTAACCAACTACTCAGGTTTCCATTTTGACCATGGGTCTTGGCAGCGGGGCCCTTGTCGCGGGATTATTCGGGATGAATGTACGCTCCTCCATGTGACCGCTCTATTTTATTAGCAACTAACTTAACCTCGAAGCTGCAAAGCCACCTGGAAGAAATGCCTTATGCATTCGTGGCGATGACTGTTGTTTCAGCTGCTATTGCGGCTTTCGCAGCTTGGGGAGGGCTATGGAGGTAGTATATTGATACATGGGTAAATAATGATTTCCACTAACAAAGTGCTTATCTTAGACTTGCCAAGATACGGAAAGTGGGACTCACAAGTTCTCAAACGGCGAAGCGTGGAAGTGATCCAAAAAGTCGGGCGCCCTGGATACCTCTACCCCTACGCCGTCGAAATTTCAATGGTTGGTCGTGAGCCACTTTGCAAAATTGGACCTCCTTTGTGCCCGTGTCCTATACCCGGAAGTTTAATTCTAGACAGCAATGAATTTCTCGTAAATTGTAGGATCATTGTCGTGCAATCCTCTGTCCTTATCATTATGTCCTACTTCCCGACTATAGCCATACGTTTATTCTTGTCCATAGCAATTATCTGACCGTCGGGCTAAACTTATCACCACCCGATATCATAACTGATCGTCTCCGTGGATCCGTTGATATCCCCCTTGTGATATGAAAATTTATCACCCAAATTTACTGTTTCAACAGGATTGCATGTATTATTGCGCAGTCAACCTGTAAAATCCTTATGGAGAGGAATGCTACATGAAAAGTACCTAGGCTACGTAGACGGTGAAATGACGTCCAGACATGTTGCGAGTATCAAGTATAGAAACACATAGTCAATTTACAACGAAACTGTTCAAGCCTGTCCGAATTGAAAATTAAGATAACGCATTGCGGACGAGTTGGGGGTGGAACGCCGACACTTCGCGTAGTGGAGTTCCATTGATAGATAACTCATCGGCGTGAACTTCTGGTTCCGCGTAGTATCGTGGCCACGCTGCAGACTATCTCGGGCATCACCGGTAGGTGATATAGCTCAGCGCCTCTCAGCGCATGGCCTACTCCTTTGGGGGTGGAGGCAAATCTGGGATTAAATAATGTACAGGACGACCGGGCCCCAGGCTAGGTAAGCGCGATACGTCAGATATGGCCCTCGATGACATGGTCTCGGCACTGTTGGACGCAGAGAAATCTTCCCCGGATGGGGCAGTAGAACGGGAATCATTCACTTGGCCACCAAGCGCGTCATCCAATTCCGACAGATCGTAATGCGGGACAGGCTTCCGTGGCGTACGATGCGTAGCAGAACCGCTGGTTGATGCGGAACGGGTAACGGACACCTCTCCCGACCCTGCAGCATGATTTGATGTTCGTCCGATGGGAGACGTAGGTGAACGTTCAAGAGCGGCCGGAGCTATGATCGGCATCGACAGACGCTCAGTACGCAAATTCATGGAGTTTCCCATTGATGACCGGATTCGCTGTGCCTGTTGTTCAAGAGCGGTGTTGGGAGTCCGCGCGGATGTTGTGCGAGAGCGAGATCTGTCGACGGCACTTCCCAGCGTCTGGATCGAGTGAATGGATGCATGACGGACGTGCGACACTGGTGCGTCGTGTGCATCGATCGCACTCATCCCAGGGGGAGAATGAGAATAGGTTGAGTGTGTTCTCTCACTCTCGCCCGCCTCAACAGCAAGATCGTCAGAATCCCCAAGGGGACCAGTATTAGATGCTTTACTGCCAGTGACGCTTTCCCCCATCCTTGAAGTAGAGTCCGTGTGCCCATGGTAGTGACGATTTGCGAAATCATTGCTTCTATGCTTCATGCTCGAAGCGTTTGAAGTGAGCGAACTCCATCTTCCCACGTTTCGCACCGAAAACCCTCCTAGGATTGGTGACCTTTTGCGGCGACGCAACCATATGGCAAAGGCAACAATAAGTGAGACTCCGACCAAGGCACCTATGACCGACCCCACGATAACACCTGTTTTCTTGTCATTGGATGATGTTAAATTAGACACAGGGCTGGGAGTGGCTGATGGAGATGCAGTCGAAGTACTCGTCAGGCAGGATGTGTTTGAGCCGTCCGAGATATAGAATGGAGAAGACAAGGCAGTCAACGAGCCCACTATGCCTCGTATCTCGTACCAGCCTTGTGTCAAATTTACGGAGGCCCATGTCCACGTCCCGGTTTGGGCAGTGACGTTAGCAAGCGTCTGAAGGACCGTAGTGCCAGCAGAGTTCTGTCTCCGCGCAAGGCTGGCTACCTTAGAAGGATTTTGGTTAACACCAATGTTGGTGACTGCCAACACGAGATACGATTCGTTGCCACCATAATGCCATGTAATTGGTGCAGAAGCGCATGTTGTCATGTTTTGGATGGCATTAAAAGTGAGATTGGCTGGAGAGGACGACGGCGACGGAGAGCTAGTTGAAGATGTAGGGCTGACCGAGGTGGTAGTCATGGCTAAGGATGGGGACGAGGTAGCGTTGGCCTAGAGTAAGTGAACGGGTTCGCACGGAAGATGGAAACGATTGGACTCTCACTAGACACTGAAGTTGCTTTAGAAGACGAGTGTGAACTGGAAACTGGTCCAGGGCCGGTAGAGACGGCCAGAACGTGCCGAACCTCGTGCACACGTGCCGGGACCACTAGGGCTGAGGCCACAGTAATGGCCAGACACTGCCAAAGAATTAGAGCCAGCACTGACTGCGGGCGCATGTTTTCCCCTGCGAAATAACAAGGTCTCCATAATGGATGAGTTGGACCAATCAAATCACAACACTTACCTTGTACTTAGATCTCAAATGCCGAAGGCTGCATGCGGTATCACCGGATAAACCAGAATACTACGCGTCTAAGCTGCAAGGATGGTAGCGGGTCGATAAAGGGATTGGCAGACAGCCGTGAGACTCGAAGGCCAGCTGATATCTAATCGTCACGGGAACAGCTCGAAATCGATTGCAATTCTGTGTGCAAGTTGTGGCCCAAGACTCCCGTGATGCCAACAGATCCGGTCCCAGCTGAGAAACTTATGCCGGACACCGCACAGGCAACGAGAATACCTGTGCACAGTACCGCCGCAAAAAGAAGACAAGGAGGTTCGCGGAGCAGATCGTCAAACGTCAACAATCCCAGAATGTTGTCGGTTCAATGGTCTAGTGGTTATGATTTCTGTCTTACACACAGAAGGTCCTGAGTTCGACCCTCAGTTGAACCAATTCTTTTTTGACCGTCAAAAGCATATCCCTTGTCACAGTACGTAGCCTCCGTTGAAATGATGCTATGGAGAGCAAAAGGCATCATTCTTTTGACATTTGTCCCCGCCTTCCCATCTGGAATCTCGGAATCTCACAGCAAGGTTGTGGTACCTCGTGCTCACGATCATGAGGTTGTGTTCGATGTAGTCCTAAGTTCCGGTATTTCAAATCTTCCGAATCACAACGAACCGAAGAACCAGCGAATCCTGATGCCGGACTACGGTGCCTGCCATATACGACGAAGTGCCATAGCCAGTAGAACACTCCTCGTATGCCATATTCAGCGATAGATATCAGCAGCAGTCGGGTGCCCAAGCCGGTGTGTCGCCCAGATGGGATTCCTCACAAATGGTGACGGATTCAAACGTCCCACGCGATTGGACGTCCAAGCAGAATTTGCAAACTTTCTGAAGGCGGAACGCGGTGATATTCCTGGAGGCCCGAGGGTATACAAGCTGGTTGAATGTCTCAATCTGGTTGGGACAGCCAGTTTGTCAACCTGTTCCACAACGGGCCGGTACAGTACACAATGTCTGAATCGAGGTGACTGTGATGTATCTTACGAAAACGTTTTTTTGGCAGTTTGTGATGGGTGGCACGTCGGACTTCTCGTTGCCATCCGAAGTCCGACCCATCGTGTCCTTATGCCTGCCAGTTCGAACGGAGAAGCTGTTCTGTACGTGCTGGGATTGCTAGGATCGTGGTTCTACGTATCTCGAGATCATCCCTCAAAACATGTCGCTCATCGCCTGCTGCTCTTGGCAGTGTCGTTGCATTCGATTCACATCCTTTGTCAGATTCTGCTACATCGCCCACCTAACTTGTTTAGACGCTTGAACGTACCGCTCAATGTCCCCGTGGATCAATTAAGACTGCTGCTGTCGATGGAAGCCGGTATTGACTGGCAGCGCCAGAGTGCAGCCACCATACCAAAGGACGTCGAGTTGTTGCTCAATCGTCTTGCTGTTCATGGCAGCAGGAGCTTGTTCACAAGGTGTGCACAGAGTCTAGTAGAACGCCACTGCCCCTCATACTCCATAGATTCGGTCAACTTCCCATGCAGTTGTGTCAATTCTGTTCCTCCGTGGGGGACTATGTGCTATTCGATTTGTCCTTCATACTTGTCCAGTATCTGCAGACTGCCACTCTGTCGCTACTGCTTACCACTGCTACGAACAGCCGTGAACACTTACGAAGCACCGCGCTTGGTATATTAATCTGTGCTTTTCTAGCAGAAGGATACGCCATGACCTATGCCAGTGACGTGCCGTTGTCCAACGATGCCCAATATGCCTTCATGGTATGCTTCTTCGCTTCCACCTGTTTTGGAAGCACCTAACGAATGTCTATAATAGTGGCATGAAAACCTTTTCCTCATACGGCACATACTGTTCCTTGCTCTTCCTCTGCTCGTGCTAGTCTTACCACCGGTCCATGGGGTCGATCCCCCTTCAACATATTTTGCGCCCGCATTAGCACACCTAGAACGCGCGCTCCCCAGAGCCCATCTCCTTAGGTACACCCAAGAGGCTGTCTTGCATCATCCTCGGCTCCGCAATCTTGCTCTCCGTTGGTGGTCACAACAGGCGGTGGAGGGCGCAGCCGCGATGGCAGATGAGACCGTGCAGAGGACTGCCGACAAACTTGGATTTGGATACACAAGACAGGAGTCACCAGAGGGAGGTGACGGGAAACTGAGAGTTCATGCAAAGAAAGTCGTAGAGTCGTTGAAGGGTTTGCTTACGACTCCGCCGAACTAGGTGATCGAGTTGTTACCTGTTACAGGTTGTGAGCACTGGATTGTCCATGTCAACCGACTGAGTAATGTATGTCGCATCTATTTCATTACCGAACGGTTTGGCTCTGGTGGGATGTGTGTACATACAAAACCAAGTGTATCTGCGCACGTGCTTGGCCGAATCTTGGCTTTCCTTGTGGGAGCCACCCGCGTTAGCGATCTTAGACTAAACAAAGGATCCCACCACGTTCTTTACTTCTTACTTCTACCAGTCTCCCCTTAATACACTCTTTAGACATCACGATTGCAAACTATGGTCGACACAGTGGGTGCTGTTACACCTACGATGCCAGAGGACGTGGTCGTCGACGACGATGCTCCAGGGCCAGCCATTTCCGTCTCCGATTCTGGCGATACTGGGGACGTTGGAAGGCTTAGGATGATTGTACAGCTCGTCAAGAAGTCTTTGGGTGTGAAAGACATTGCTGCAATGTGGGTGTCGTGCCTTCTCCGCATCCCCAACCACTGAGCATGAGCCACCAGGCGCCTCTCCTTACCCGCGTCCTTGCTCGAGCCTTTGCCAAACCTGGAATATTGGCATTACCTGGATAGACCTGATTTGTTTGCAGCGTATGTCGGTCCGTAGAGCTCGGCTTAGAGCGCGTCCTCTGACTTCCGACCAGGATTAATGACCATGATGATCCCTTTGAGCGCATGGTTGCTGTGGTGCGGTTCACATTCACAAAGGATCTCAAGTTCATTGTAAGTATCTACCCTTTCCGACCAGTATACTAAATAGCCTCTCTGCAGCACGGCAAAGTATGCAAACCTTATAATTCTGTTCTCGGAGAGCACTTCCGTTCGCACTGGGACGTGCCTCCGGTCCAATATTCCTCCGACCCTGCCAAGCACCCCATTTTGAGAACTCATGCCACGCATACACACTCAGCACCCGCCTCAACCACGGCACTTCCCTTCGAGACGGTCAGCGTCAAGAGCGGACACAGCGAGAACAGTTTCAAGAGCATTCGCAGCGGCCTCAGCCTACTTTCCAAAATTAAGCCAGGCTTTTCCACAACTCTTACCCCCGAAGAGCCCGTGGTCGATGAAGCGCTCTCCGGTTCCATGTCGAATCTCTCCTTGGGGTCGGGTGAGGCCCGCAGCTCTGATCACATCCGTGTGGCATACCTGACGGAGCAGGTATCGCACCATCCGCCCGTGTCTGCTTACTATGCGTCATGCCCTGCACGGTCTATCGAAATGAAGGGAATTGACCAGATATCTTCCAGGGTATCAGGTACTGCCTTACGTGTCACACCTGGTTCATTCAACAAGGGCATCTTCATTGATATCACCGGTGGCACCGGAGAGGGAGAGAGATACCACGTCACGCATCCTGTGGCAAGCGTCAATGGAATTCTTAGAGGAAACTTTTACATCACAGTAGCGGATTCAACCATCATTACATGCACTGGAGGAAATGGCAAGCAGCGGCTAAGGGCAGTAATTGAGTATAAAGACGAGGTAAGCTGGCGTCTACCGCGTTGATTGAACATGTCTGATCTCGGCTACCCGTTCAGTCGTGGATTGGAAAGGCCCACTTCCTTGTCGAAGGTGTGATACATACATACGATGAAGGTGACACGGAATTCGAGCAGTGGACCAAAGTTAAGCACGTACCACAGTCGTACGTTCTTGCCCATTTTGATGGGTGCTGGAGGGGCCAAATTCGCTGGCGGCGGATGGACTCAGCATCTGGGTCTCGCTCAAGTGTCTCACTGTCAATCACTTCGGAGTATGAAACCCTGGTGGATCTCTCGGCTCTGCAAGTCGTGCCGAAGGTTGTTCGTCCTCTTGAGAAGCAGCTACCCAACGAGTCTCGGAAATTGTGGGATAATGTCACTTCAAGGCTGCTTAACAAGGAGTACAGTGATGCGACAAAGCATAAACTGGTCATCGAGCAGAGACAGCGCGACGAAGCAAGTGAACGCAAGCGTAAGGGCCAGGAGTAAGCTTCAAGGCTATCTCTTTTCTTCTGTGTGGATTGACGCGAAACCAGGTTTATCCCGCATTACTTTGAGAAGGACATAAGTTCCGGTGTCCCAGTCTTGACTGCCGAGGGTCGGAAAGCTTTGGAAGAGGAGCTCCGGGAATCTTGCCATACAGAACAGGATCAGGGGCGGGACGCGTCGTAGGGGGTTGCAGCGTCTGATGTCGATTCATGGTTTTAACTATCTTGTTACTATTTCTGTTGGATATCACGAACTCCTCCAATATATTCTGATCTCATGACCATTTGTGCTAAGCTCGGTATCAACTCGTACATTGCATAGTACCGAGCTAAAGGGGCTTGGAAATGCCGATTATGGTGTGCGAGTGGAATATGTACCTTTGCCAGTTCGGTGGTCTAATGGTTATGATTTCTGTCTCACACACAGAAGGCTCCGAGTTCGATCCTCGGCCGGACTAGTTTTCTTTTTTCGTCCCTCGTGACTCTTCCAAGGTTCGTGGACTCCCGGCTGCTACTGAATCGCATTCCTTACATTGTGGGCTCCATAAGCATGGAGGATGGAGCACTTTCTATTGCGTGTGTCCCATAAATAACTGGTTAATGCAGAACGAACTTGATGCAGGATCCCAGGATGGTGTCGGATTTCTTCCACCCCAACGTGGGTGGAGTAGAAAATCATATATTTATGCTAAGTGCAAACCTCATCCGCAGAGGACACAAAGCACGCTAAGTTACTCGTCGGTCGTGCATGCCACTCATCACAACTTGCAGGTCATAGTAATCACACACAGCCATCCTCCTGACCGTGTCGGAATTCGCTGGCTGCTGCCTTCTTTGAAAGTATACCACATCCCGTTCCCGACGATCGCCTCCTCCGCCACCCTACCAAACTACTTCACGTTTCTTCCGTACTTCCGTACCATCACTGTGCGGGAACACATAAACTTGGTTCATGCACATGCTAGTTTGTCTTCCCTTGGTCAGGAAGCTATTCTACATTCCCATTTTTTCGGCGTGCGCACCGTGTTTACCGACCATAGTTTGTTCGGTTTCGAAGATGCAGCGAGCATACTGACTAACAAGTTGCTGGCGGCTGCTTTGAAGAATGTTGACGCTGTAATTTGTGTTTCGCATACTGGGTGAGCTTGGTACGGTGTGCTGAAGGGGGGTAATGCTCATACAAAAAAATTCTAGTCGAGAAAATACTGTCTTGCGCGGTCAGCTGTTTGAGACGTCAGAGGATAATCCTTCGGTGTCGGCAGTGCGTCCCAGCGTGTATACGATTCCAAATGCCTTGGTCGCCGAGCAGTTTACTCCATCTCCGCAACCACGGCCAACCGACACCAGTGAGTCCTCGCTGTGCTCTGAAAATACGTGTACCGGCGCTTAGACGAAGGTAGTCAACATCGTGGTACTCTCGCGACTTGCATACAGGAAAGGCATTGATCTTCTTGTGGCCACTGCACCTCGTGTGTGTGCGGCCTTCCCGAACGTCAAGTTCATCGTAGGTATGAAATGAGCATGAACTTATGCATTAACTGAGATTTTGACCAACCGACAGGTGGGGACGGCCCAAAATTGAACGACCTGCTTCAAGTAAGAGAACGCCATTTACTGCAGGAAAGAATAGAGCTCCTCGGGTCCGTTCGGCACCGTGATGTGCGAGACGTACGTGGAAAGTTTTAAACGCACCCGCCATCCAGCAAATGTGCCTTACCTTCCCGTGAAAGGTCCTTACTCGTGGTTCAATATTCTTGAATACGTCGCTGACAGAATCGTTTGGGATCGCCATCCTCGAAGCCGCATGCACAGGTCTTTACGTCGTCTCCACTCGCGTTGGCGGTGTACCTGAAATCTTACCCGAGGACATGATCTCTTTCGCTTATCCAGACGAGGACGGTATGTCACACATTGCGGTCTCAGCAACACAACGATGCTGATGGTTTGATAGATGTGTTTCGGGCTGTCTCCGAAGCTATCCAAATCATTTCCGAAGGAAAACACAATCCCCAGGAAGCACATGAACGAGTGAAGGGGTTCTATGATTGGATGCAAGTCGCTGAGCGCACAGAAAGGGTCTACCAAGGTGTAATGCAGTCCGAGCAGATCGATTTTTGCACTCGGATACAACGGTGAGTACCATGTGTGATTGGAGGAGCATCAACTTAGTGGTCACTGCAGTACAATGTCGCTTGGACCGTTTGCTGGGCCAATTTATACGGTAATTTTACTTGTGGATTGCCTATTTTTCATGATTCTCGAATGGTTAATGCCGAGAGAGGATTTGGATCATGTGCATGTGCATTGGAAACCAGAGATATTCTCGGAGCTTGCTCGAAAATCCACTCTGAGTTAGGAGTATCATTATGGACACTAGCAAGCAGGATGAATAAACTAAATCATACTGGGATAATGAGTCGATAAAAGAAAGACAATAATATGCAAGGATAAGGTGGCGCCTACGACACATCAACAACTCATTGAGAAAATTTAGATTTCCTTGACTTCATGCTCCGCCTCCTGGCACGCTTCTGGTTGTCGGATCCGTCACCATCATGATCTATCAGCGTACCGCCAGACATCATCTCTCGGTCTCTCTTCGTAGGCACGATTGTCGACCTCTCACCACCACCAGGGGCTAGGCGGTCCAAGAGGGACCCACCACGACCTGGACTAACATGGGTAACTTCGGATGGACGGCCAGGTAGCTGCAAAGGCGGTTGTAGTCTACGCCCGCCTCTGGATGACTCTGTTTGGCTGTCGGCTTTGTCACGGCGGGGCGGTCTGCCAGAATGCGATCGCGGTACGTCTACTTGAGGTCTTGGTGGAAGTCCATGATGAAGTAGGAGAGCGCGCTCGGGGTGCATGACAGGTCCCCTCTCCGCGCGATCTCCAAACCGGGTGGTGTCCATCGTCGGAAGCGGCTGAACGACGTAATGATCCCCCTGGGCATCTTGAAACTCTTTGGTACGCTCCGGGACATATGTGTCCATTGTACGCCTTCTATGCGCCAGCGTTGGAGCGGGGACATCGCGTTTTTGGTTTATTCGTCCCCCTCCTTCGTCAAGTTGCTCGGGCATGTGTGGAGGGGGGGAACGGGTAAAGGTAGTAGGGGAGCGCACTTTATCGGAGACATAAACGTGGGCGCCGGTATCGGCGTGCCGAGACAGACCACCCTGGGTGTCAGGCCTCTCTATACGCAAGATCGACGACTCTCTAGACGTAGGTGGCGGCGTTGCACGAGAAGCATCATCAGGAGGGTGATAAAATGATCGGGGGCTCTCCGGGGAGGCATCTCGGCGTGTACCGTTAGAAGCGTCCCTGTTAATGGGAGGCCCGAATCTGGTCTACGCCTTTTGCATTAGCAGACGGGATGGTATGACTGGCAAAGACCTACCTTCACAAGTCGCGTGGATGCGATAGGAGATGTGGCAGACGGCTCATTAGCTGCTAACTGCTGCATACGGTCAATGTAATAAACGTCGGGAACGCAGCAAAACGTACAAGTGCAGCTGTTGGGGGGCGTCGTTGTTCGACGTTCTGCGGACCAGTCATATCAACATCAGAGGCGGGCTGATGATGACTAAGCAAAAGTACGAAAGGGAGGGAAAACAGCGCACCCGCAGTCCTTCTCTAGCAGCAGAGCGTGCAAGGTTGCTCAGCGGTTCCGCATTGCTCGTAGAAATAACAGGGGGTCGTGTATTCTGCGACGGGGCCGAAGCATTGAACTTGATTCGTGAACCGATCGGTATGTTATTCGTCCCAGACAGACGCACACCTGGCGCGGTCGGTGGAAGGCGTGTGCTAGTTTGAGAATATGTACAATCCCTCTAAACGGATACCGTTAGGGCCCGGACGATGCATTATCTGAAGACTAACCACCGGATGGTGACCATCCTCATCCTTCGCGGGGGCTGAACGAACAGTAGCGGAAGACTCGGGGTGGGGATGTTCAGGGAAGGGAGGCCCTAGCAGACTTGGATAAGCGAACAGTGTAATGGCGATCGATGCAGGGAACAACCTCTCCGTTGCCCAGGCTCAATCGATTCCTTCCCGGACCTTGGGTTCCGTTCGGTGCGATTTTTGAGTTCGTCCCCCGCCAGTGGCAGCCGCGCAGGGTACCTTGTCAGGTCAGAAGGCCTATGCTGAGCGTCATCAATATCCATGCTGTCAGAATCACGCTCCCGCGATATAGAAGACTCATTCGGAGCGTAGGAATCAATAACCTGCGCGGCTTTCCCTCGAGACTTGCCACGGCGAGAATTGTGAGGAGGGTCACGTTCAATACGATCAGGACTGTCATCTTTCTTGGGTGGTAGTGAAGTCCGGCCGCGCGTTGACACGGGTTGTGATGAGTGATAATCGGAAAGCATGATATCGTTTTCTGTGTGAGCAGTCCTTGGACCGCGCTCGTGCATTGAGTTACCCAGCATGTCACCAGCAGACGTGCGGGCAGGACGACTAGTACCATCCGAAGTCTGTCTTGAACCCTCCCGGTAGATGGCACTCTGGGGAGGCAATGGCGGCCGCCTATGTGAGCCTGAGGGTAAACACGCAGGCATAATAGACGTGTGCATAGAGGCCGGTCGACGTTGGCATGAGGACGGCTGTCATGATGTCTGGAAGATACGTACGTTGTACTTCCGCCGCGATGGGCACAGAGGAGCTCCCTCGCGTATCCGGCAAGGATCTAGGGGCAGAAGGGGGTCCTCTAACCGGAATGTCGTCGGCGGGAGAGCGACGTAAGGTGGAGGTGTCATCGTGTGACTGCTGTAGAATGCTGTTGCGGCTGGTAGTTTGTGTTTGGTCAGCTCGTGGAATAGCAGACTGCGAGAAGCGGTTGTTGTGTCTGGATGCAGATGGGTCGGATGGCGGTTGCGCGGATTTACTCGAAGAGTGCAATAACGTTGCCGAATCCTGGGAGTCACGGGTATAGATGACAGGCGAACCCGGTCCTAGACAACAAAGGATAGGGGATGGCAAAAAGAGGAAGCAGATAGAAAGGGGGAAAGGGGGAGAAAAGGGGGAAGATAGGTTTCCATGATGAGCGTCCGTGTGTCCAGGCGAGTAAGTCGGATAAAAAGGAAGAAGGGATCGTACAGCGCAACTCGACTCCCAAGGCTTCGCAAGACAGTGGCTTTATGCTCCGTCCTCCACCTCGGGAGGAGCTTTGGCGCCCGGGAGCAGTGGAAATATGGAGACGAGAGGGGGAGGGAGTTGATAACGTACTTAGAGCTGCTGACTTGTCTGCATCCTCTGGATGACGACGATCGAGATTTGGAGGTGCAGCCGAGTCGTGATGCCTGCGTTCACGAGAGCGAGGTTCGACGGTCATATCACTTGCAATCCAGACGCGGTCTTCGGAAGACAGCGCAGAGAGCGCTGGTGCTTCACGAAGCACACTTTGCGCATCGCTACGGACAGGTGAGGGGGGTCGGCGCGAGGACAGCCCTCTTTCACTATCACGGGTGCGAGACGGCATAAGCGAGCGATCGTTTTGCCTGTTCAGAGCCTGATAGGAATCACCAGAGTGAGTTTGACCAGATCTATCATCACGCCGACCGTTTTCTCCTGGACGGTAGTGACGGTCCTCATAAGACATATCACCGCCATCCGAGCGACCTGTACGTGAGGGCACGTCACCATTTCTGCTTGAAACACCCCTATCAAGAGGAACTTCAGAGCGATAAGCTTGGTCGCGGAATGAAGTACTGCCGGGCTGAGTCCAAGTAGACTCTTGCGTTCTGCTATTGTAATAGTAGACTTCACCGGTACTTCGGGACAATTTGACCTCCCACCCTGGGGGAAGCGAATCACCGTTGTCATGAGCGTGTGCTTTTTGACCGACACCGTCTCTCTTGTTGCGTTCAGTGAGACTAGCCATGGCTGTAGCTTCAAAGGTGGAAGGGTGAGAAGGATGGACGAACGGCATAATTGTCACCAAAGGCTTTGGAGGCAAAGCATGGGTCAGCTTTCCAATTGGGCGCGAAAGAGCAGAAGACGGTCGGAGAGCACCCTCGTCTGCCTCCTTATCCGACTGCTGATATTTGGACGGGGTATCTGCGCGCGCTGGGTCAGACTTGCTCGGGAGATTTGCCTTCGCCTGGGCCGCTGGGGCGTCTTGCTTTCCTGGTGGTTCCGTGGCCGTCAAAGGAGTCTGAGGGCGACTTGTGCGTTGAGGAACACGAGACTGGTGAGCCAAAAACTCGTCCTCCTCGTCGCCACCTAGCGACACCGCATCTTCCTCTGCTGCGAAACTACCTTGCTCGCCTAATGCTACCCGCTCCTCCTCTTCGTTCCCCCAATCCAGGACTTCTGTCTCGTCTGCCATGTCAAACACGTACCAACGGGTGGAGAATAAAAGGTGTCGCCGAGGGGGAGTTTTTGACGTGAAGTGAGGCCGAAGGTGCGCCGACCTAAATTTTGAACTCCGATCTCTCCTCAGACTGTCGTCCTTATGGTACACTACTAAATTACCAGGCATCAGCGTCCATCTGTCCAAAGTGTCCAGCCCACGCACTCTTTTTCGACGTCCAAGAATCAATGCAGACATGCCGGTCCTTCCCCTAACCTCGCCTTCTTATCCTAATCATAGCATGGCCTCAACCCCAGTCTCGAGTCGTGTCCCTTTGATATTCCGGAGACTACATAGATTCCAGCAAATGGTAGGAGAAATCCCATCGAGTCTATCGCGGGAACTTAGCGTCCTCGTTAGGACTTCGAACTCGCTCTGTGGCAGCTGTCTTACCTATGCCTCGCACCGAAGAGAGTGTAAGCCGTCGATGGCTACCTATTAGTCGACCATTGCAATTGACAGTGCAATAGCTACCGCAATGTATACTACCACAAGCGTGAGCGTGCATCGTTACCGCAAAATTACTGGTTCAAAGTAACAAATACTCTCTGCAGAGACGAAAAATACCTGGGCTCGGGACGACCCTGCGATATTGGTCCTCCTTTTTGGATGTCTGTTTGGTAAGGGTATATGGATGACCTGCGTGATCGTTTACAACCCTGGTCCCTAGTCGTTGCGCTGGCGTGGTCCACGGCGTATTCTTACACCGTCTTTGACGCCGTAAAGCTAGGCTTTATTATGATCTTACGAGACTTTCTTCTTGTTGGTGTGGTAATGGCAACCGTGATACGGTGAGGATGTGAACGTCTATTGGAAGTGCTGCGCTCACGATGGGTTGATTTCCCAGGTTGTTTGCAAACAGAGTGCTTTTGTCCCCGACCTCTCATTCGTCCCCAACGGACATGTCTGTGGAATGGGCTTACACGTTTGATGTCCACACCAACGCATTCTTTCCACTCTTTCTGACTCTTTACGTGGCACAACTGCTTCTGCTACCCGTCATTCTGAGGGATAGATGGGTATGCCTGCTAGTCGGTAACACATTGTATCTCGCAGGGTACGTTTCCGTACTATGTAATTCGCGTTCATGCGCATCCTCATCCCTTCTTTCAGATTCGCCCAGTACATCTACGGTGTTTATCTCGGACTTAGTGGTGAGTTGCACTCCACGCCTGTCGCCCATTCGCTGGTAACGGATGTTAACTCTAGCTTTACCATTCCTGATACGTGCTGAGATTCTGCTCTCGCCGCTGCTGCCGCTGTTTGCGAGCTATGTGGTCTCTCTTCTCGGCTTCAATGTCGCGAGTCACGTTTTGCAAGCATATTTTACTTCGTAGTCCCGAGACCGCTGTACGCTACTGTCCATAGAAACTTTTATTCCATTCGTATTGTTGTGCGCTAGTACTTGCTATCTTTGGACGCTGGCCCTTAACCTTACCAGCAAGCCCTGGATCGACTCGTCGCCAAATTACATACAAAAAGCCTGAAACTCATCTTTATCCATCGCCCCCATCCCGCGTGCCCTAGTCGTCGCTGTTCGCGTTTCCTGTCTCACTTAGATTCTTTCGATCATGGTGCATATCCCCCAGGCTCGAGTCGACAGGGCGATCGAGCAGATTCAGCACAGGCGGCGACCTTCAACCATCGATTTTTCGCAGCACGTCCTAGAAGATGGAAGCACAGTCAGTACCCAAGAACGTGTCGTTAAAGATGTATGCCTATGCTCTCAATCCTCACTGCTTGTAGGATGGCTAACACAGGGTCGCCCAGGTCCAAGCTCCGGCGATGTTGATGCCCACCAGTGCCCAATTCTTTTCGCGACAAGATCCCAGCAAACCAGATATTGCGTACCTCAAAAACCATTTCTACCGGGAGGGTCGTCTGAGCGACGATCAGGCGCTGTGGATCATTGAGAAGGCGACGGCGTTATTGCGCGTCGAGCCAAATGTGCTGCACGTAGATGCCCCAATCACAGGTCAGTAGCACGAGTGGATACGACGTGGTTGGACTAACCCCATCTATGCGATCCAGTCTGTGGCGACGTCCATGGACAATATGTATGTGTGAACCTCTCCTTTTCTTGGTATGCTGAACAATACTGGGGTGTAGTATGATCTCATGAAATTATTCGAAGTCGGAGGTCCTCCTGCCGATACAAGATATCTTTTCCTGGGGGACTATGTTGACCGAGGGTACTTCAGCATTGAGGCAAGTCTCCGCTCGTCGATCTCTCTGCGCGGAATTGACTTTTTTTTCCCAGTGTGTCTTGTATCTCTGGTCACTAAAAATATGGTACCCCGATACCCTCTTTCTCCTGCGCGGCAACCATGAGTGTCGGCATCTGACCGATTACTTTACCTTCAAGCTTGAGTGTGCGATGCTTTGTATATTATCGTTGCTTTCCCTATGGACTCACTCGGTGTGTCAACAGGCAAACATAAGTACAGCGAACGTGTCTATGAAGCGTGCATGGAGTCTTTTTGCGCCCTTCCTCTTGCTGCGATCATGAATAAGCAGTTTCTGTGCATACACGGCGGCCTCTCCCCTGAACTAAACACCCTTGACGACATACGGGCGGTATGCGTGCTCCGCGATGCTCTCTTTGCATGCTCATATTTTTCAGATTGACCGTTTCCGCGAGCCACCTACTAACGGGCTCATGTGTGACATCTTATGGTCAGATCCCGTCGAGGACTTTGGGCAAGAGAAGACAAACGAGAGCTTCCTTCACAACCACGTCAGGGGTTGCTCTTACTTCTTCACGTGGGCCACCGTAGTTCACCCGGAGATAACTGGCACTAAGTTTGTGTGGTGTATAGATATCAAGCTGCATGTCAATTCTTGGAGCGCAATAACTTGTTGTCCATTATCCGTGCTCACGAGGCTCAGGATGCAGGGTTTGTATTGTATAGCATCTGGTATTCGTCGCTCATAACTCTATCTAGATACCGCATGTACCGCAAGACCAAAACTACTGGTTTCCCTTCGGTCATAACGATTTTCTCTGCTCCAAATTACCTGGATGTGTATAACAACAAGGCAGCTGTTTTGAAGTACGAGAGCAATGTCATGAACATTCGTCAGTTCAACTGCACGCCTCATCCTTATTGGTTGCCAAATTTCATGGACGTCTTTACATGGAGCTTGCCTTTCGTAGGCGAAAAAAGTACGTAATAAACGGCTTTTTGTAGCCTACGTACTAAAGAATGTTGTCAGTCACCGACATGCTGGTTGCTGTCCTGAACACCTGTTCCAAGGAGGAACTCGAAGAATCCGATGAAGAAAGTCTACCGTCACCCGTGGCCCCAGTGGACGACACTGTCGAGCGGAGGAAAGTCATCAAGAATAAGATCCTTGCTGTTGGACGGATGGCACGGGTATTTGCGCTTCTGCGGTAAGTTGCTTACCCTCGACATTGCTGGCTCGTGGTTAACATAGAAACGCCAACAGCGAGGAATCCGAGAAGGTTTCCGAGTTGAAGAGTATTTCTGGTTCCGGAAAATTGCCCTTCGGAACCCTCGCACTGGGTACGGAAGGCATCAAAGAAGCTATCACAGGATTTGAGGACGCGTACGTTGTCTTACGCCAAAGGACTTGCGTTAGGCTGACATACTTGAAGACGGAAATCTGACATCGAAAACGAACGGTTGCCACCCGAACTGTTCGACGCCGAAGAAGCTAAGGCATACCTCGCACAAGCACAAAGCATGTCCGCCTCCGAGACAGTCGAAGAGAATACAACCGAAGGGACAATCGACCCATCCCACTCATCTATCTCTTTACCTTCATCAGGAAGTCTGTCCAGCCTCACTGGTCCGTCCTCAACGGGTTCACAAATATCACCGTCGCGTATGCCATTCCGTGGCAGACACGGCCGCCAAGCGAGTCTCGGTACAACAATGACGAGTCCGTCAACGAGAAGGAGGAGCTTGGAAAGTACTATTTCCATGATCCAGGAAGCACTGGATGGGAAAGATTCCGAACTTTCAAACCAATACGGGAGTAGAAACGAAGGGACTTAGCCAACGAACTGGCTAACGTACGTCTACCGGGCATACCCTTACAGTGTATTCTTTACTTTCAAGCTTTTTGGCCTGCATGGAGGTGTGTGCAGTGGAAAGATATTTAATTAACAGCGGATCAAGTTACGATTGTCTGTACACTATGTGTAAGTAATGAGCGGCCCTGTCTCGATGCCGTCGTTACCGGGCTCGCAAACTGTTCGCAAGCTCGCCGATTCCCCTACCAAACAATGAGCAAAATGGTTCAATATCAAGAGAAAATAGGCTCAGGTAGAAATGTGTCCTTCATGAAAATCGGACATATGCTTGTATATATAGACATCCTTGGAAAAGAGTTGAAGCCAGCACTCACCTCAGAGTTGCAAACTGTAACCCGAATGCGCACCTTGTCGATGACCTGGAAGAGTTGTACGTAAGTTGATGGAGAAACGAACGATCACAGAAAGTCAGTTGGTGATGCATGTTACGAGTAAAGGATCACTGGAAACCGTCACCAACTCGTTTGGGAAAATATCATCATGGAAAGACTGAGGAAAGTAATGGGATAGAACGCTCACCTCGTAGTAAATCTTCTGCAGTACCACAGGACAGATGAAAGACTGAGTAATGGCTGTACGGAGTCAACTTATTAGCCTGGTATCAAAATAAAGTTTATGCTCTTTTTCTTTTCTTTTTCAAACTCAGCTTGTGGCTGAGCTTCAATCAAATCGTATATGAGCATCGTCCCATTTCATAGTGAACAGCTACTTCGCCCTCCTCTGCAAGTGAGTCACTCTTTTCTGGTTTTGCAATGGTGTACAGGGCAAAGCTTCCCTTTCATCAGTATGACGAGTTCTTGAATCAGTTCTGCTTCCGAAAGAGAGACGATCTCTTGTGGACAACTCTATACCAAACTTTTTATTCTGACTTTTCTATCCCCATTTCGTGAACGTGTACTAACTGTTACTCGTCCGCAGGCTTATTATCGGAGGCTAACGACAATTAATTCGTACCCAATGGTAAGTTTCATAGCACTGTTCATTGTTACCTCCGTGGTGATGAAACTATAAGTTCATCCATTCTTTGAGTTTACTTGTGTGCTGCGCCTTTGGTAGGGTCGGTTCTTGCTGCTGTGGGAACTCTGACGTTTCTACCTCGTTTTGAGGTAGTTGCGTCGATTCTTCCAAGGGTCGCGTCGCGAGGAACATGAAAATATTGGCTTTTCTGATCATTGATAATTCTGCCGCCTCTTGGAAATAATGCTGACGATCCTTAGGTCATTCATGGGCTCTTCGACGCGCCCGAGGCTGCAACTTTTAGCTGTTAGTGGGACTTACCGGTCGGGTGTCTTGTCATCCGCGGTGATATATATGTACACAGTACTAGTCATCAATCATGATAGAAGTGATGTCTGCGTGGTGGTTGGTTGGCGAGTTTGCAGCTGAATCGGTTTATTTCTTTCCATGGGAAGGATTCTTTCGTCGGGCATATGGTGTAGCTGGTTATCACATCCGCTTAGCATTGAGCTGATTGCGGGGGGTCTCCGGTTCGAGTCCGGATTTGTCCACATTTTTTGATCTTTTTCTTAGCAGTGCAACAAGCGAGCAGCAATTTTTACAGAAGTAGATTCATTTGCTCTGAGTTACAACCATTGTACACTCATTACTTTTCTATTTACGCCAGACTTTTTCTCCAATACTGTTTCAACTCGTGCCCCTTGATTCGTTGCTTCTATGCATTGTGTAAATTCTGCCACCCCACCCCCGACGCCGAAGTATACAGCCTTGGCGGCCACCAGACAGAGGTATTGCCCTGAATCGTCGTCCAAGTGACAAGCACGTTGCATCAGGTGGATTAGACTGGGTAGACTATCTAGACGATAAATTGTTTCAGACGTCAGGACCAAGTCGTATCCTCCAGTAATCCCAAAGTCAAAGCTCTCCCAGGAGCCGGAGAACAGGCGTATGTGGACCCGGTACGTTTCTAGGGATTTCCTGAAAGTGTCCAAAAGTTGGGGCGTGACGTTCAAAGCGGACTCTGCATGATCCTCTAATCCACCACTTCGGAACGTCCGAACAGCTGAAGAATGATCTAAGCTGGGGGTTGAAATCACTCTAATTGTAGTAAGAATAAATGTGCCCACACCACGTAAGAATTATGTTTGGTATCGTGATGAGCTGGAGAACCGATGCGTTATAATCTTGTAAGTGGATGTGAATCTCACGTTCCTTGGAAGGGGGAGAGGAGAAGATGCTGTGAAGGATATACAACGTTGGGATGGCCGTCCCACAGCCTATCTACATTCCACGTTCAGTGACTTGAGTGGCGAATCGGGCATCGATAAGGGGCCATACTTCCAATATTCTCGTCTTGGTACTCCTGGCACCATAATCTATACCACTCAGGTAGGTGGCGAGGTCCACACTGCACTCCCATGTTTTAAGACCACCTTCATAAACAAGGGGTACGAGGTCGGATGGATTGTCCAGGAACTGGAGGGCTGACATGAGCTCAGCTGACTCAGGGCCTTCTACGTTCCCTGTGCGCTGAGAGATTAACTGGAAACGGGCGTCGAATAGGTCACGACGTGGGATAGTCAGGACAGACCCGTTCGATAATGGTACTGTAAGAGGTGAATGTGATATTTTGGGGGGCATGGTTTCCAGCTGAAGTTGTTGGCCATTGGAATCACAAGGGGGTGCAGTAGAACCATGAGCGTACCACGCTGTCAAGGGACACCTCTGAGAATGGCTTGCGCGCTGTTTCGGCTTCCCATGCTATCGGTGCGTCCGTCTGCGCGTCTGAATCGCCGAAGTGAAAACGGAAGGCCATGGTCTTGTGGCTGTGCTCATACGTTGTTTCGACTCGACTGCACCAATTTGGGTTCCTCCAGGGGGGACTTACAATAAAAGGTGTCCCTGCGACAACCCACAGGTGAATTCGAACCACCACCATGCGCATTTCAACTTTATCTTCATCTGTATTTACTGTCGCAGCCTTGATTCCCCAGGCGCTGTCGTGGGGTGTCGTCGGTACGTCATCCAGTTTGCTCGCACCCTCCCAAGTCCTGACGCGTTGCCCGCCAGGTCATGAAGTAGTCGCTACCGTCGCGCAAATGCACCTCCACTCATCTGTCCTCCCAAAGTTGTGTGCGATCCTCGAGAGTGACGCGTCCAACTACGACGGTTCTTGTCACCTCGCCACTGTCGCCGCTTGGGCAGATCAGGCCCGACGGGAACCAAGGTATAGGTGGACGGGTCCGCTCCACTACATCGGCGCAAAAGACGACTACCCTTCTACCTCGTGCGCATTCCCCGGCTCAGGTGGCTGGGAAGGCCGGTCCCACATCAACGTGCTCAGCGGTATTCGCAACGTCACTACGGTCCTTCAAGATTATCAAGGTGACGTTCGCGACTGCAGACGTCGACGAGTATGTGCAAGACGCGCTTAAATTCCTCATCCATTTCTTGGGCGATATGCATCAGCCACTTCATCTCACTGGTCGGGACCGCGGCGGCAACGGCGATAAGGTCTCCTTCGACGGTCGTGTAACAAGTAAGACACTGTGTTCTTCTTCTTCCCGTATTTTGTCCCAATACTCTATTCCTTAGATCTTCACTCTCTATGGGACACTCTCCTTATCGCACAACAGCTTCGCACCCTTCACAGGAACTACACGCGTCCTCTTCCGTTGCCGGACGTAGAAAATAACCTCCGGGGCACTATCTACGACCCTTATATACGGCGCCTCGTCTGGGAAGGAATCCTCGGGAAATACGAACATGAACTTTCTTCCTGGCTGACGTGTCCCACCACGGACAGGCTCCACGTCTTACCGTTGCCCAGGTGGCAGCGTGTCTTACTCTGGTTGTTTGGCAGCAAATCCAAGGACGGCGGACTTGATGTAGACGACGAAATATTGTGCCCTTACCATTGGGCCCAGCCTATTCATGCTCTCAACTGTGAAATCGTTTGGCCCACAGAGCTCGATCAGCCTTTGTACAACCGCATTTCGTATACCAGTCACGTTAGTGAGGAAATATCCGTCGTTGGCGTGGACGACCTCGGGTCGTTCACACGACGGAAGAACCCCTACCTTGAACTTGATACCCCCGAATACGCCGGACGTATTAGAGATGAGTGGATTGTAGAGAAGTTATTAACGCAGGGCGGTATCAGACTCGCTGCAGTTCTGAATTGGCTCTTCGTTGATTCCACAGATAGTAGGTCCGGAAATCTTTTGATCCGTAAACTGTGAAACCTGTAGCGACTGGACTTTAGACGACGTTTGTATGTATTTTATACTTCTATACCATCAATCAACGTTTATCTATGTAGTACGGGGGTAAATTGTGCTGGCTTTCATGAGCCAGCCAATACATTTCAGGATGTCATCGCGGCCATCCACTGGACCCATCCAAAATTGAAGAACTCTCCGGCTAGTCTACTCTTCCCTGAATCCAGGTCCATCGTCTCATTCTTGAAGGATTAGACATAAAGTCGAGAAGGGAGTGACAACGCACTTACCATGCGATCTCGCACGACGTATAAATGTGAGGTCTAAAATAAGAATCCAAGTCGCACCATCCCAGTTTCGTGGAAGATGAACTGTAATGGAGGGTGTACATAATATTGCTATTTCCGCAGAGAAAAAGACTGACCATGTACCCCCCTTCATGAGCTTGCGGCACCCGAACCCAAGGATGTCATCGTTGGCTGCACTAATGTCGTATATATCCATCAAGTTCTGGATAATGGGATTGGAGGGAGAATCGAGGTATGCACAGCACACGTATTTGTAGGTACGAGGAGTAACTGGAAAAGACGGTCGTCAATTCCTGCTTGGCATTCAGAATCGCAAAGACAAACGTTTGGTGCCAGGCGCAGCAGAAACTGAGGCTGCTGCTGTTGCCAAGGTGAAGATAACTGAGAACCTCATTGCGGTGCGTGTTAAGACCCGATGTCGGTGTAAGGTTGTCCCGCAAGTCAACATGCGGCTATTTATCTGTAGGGAGTTTTCCCAGTGAACCGATGGGAACGAGCTACGTGGCGGGCCTATGATTGAAATTCAAACATTGAACGTACGTCGACTGGCCACATGGCCTTAGTTTCCTCTTTGGACGAGTGAAGACTTGCGCAGGCATAGTGTTACTATGCTTGGTCGCATGGCTTTATGTAAAACCGAGGTAGAAAAGTATTGCTACCATTCAAGACAGCCTGCGTCGCGTCCGCTAATCGTGGTAGAAAGGTCCTAGCCCATGTTGCGGACTTGCTTTATACCATCGCCACCACACCAACTAACCGGTTGAACGTATCGTAGAAGAGGGGCCACGTGCCTTTATACAACGATGATTGCACGTGAAACATTACCAGGGTTTAATTGTGAGTCCTGTGCCAGCCGTCGTGGCGACGTGGCCATCGGACTTACGGGCATTTACACGAGGTGCCAACGAAGGAATGGGAAAATATCCCTCTGCTCCCTAAATGGCTGCGTTAACAGACATCCACTCACGTCTCCGCTCAGACAAGTGTCGTGGGGGTGGAAGGCGTTTTGTTCAAGGGTCCCACCTTGTCCACCCGTAGATTCGACACTTTGGCATACTGGGCGAACGGTCAAGCTCAACCCCCGAAATTAATCACAGCATACACCACCTGTCTGCGTTCCAGTATCGAGATTGTGTCAAAGTTTCTTCGCTTGTTCCAGACTCGGAGTCTTCTAGTACACCTTGCCTCCTATTTCGGACTCTGAAGGAAACCGACTTTCGCCAAGGTAACTGCCTCCATGTCTGTTTGCAGTGAGCCCGTCTTGGACGTTGCTCGACGCTGAAGGGAACTAGGACCGCCTCCCATCGTCACGTCGACGTGTCAAGAATGGTAATCTTTTTCAACTTGGGTTTGGATGAACCTGGTGTGTTTGGCCTGCGCTAGCTCTTTACAAATAACTTCGTTGCGTTGTGCGTGGAGATCTCATGTCGATGTCGGCTGTTTGTAAATCAACACGCACGTATTTATCTGAAGAGTTTTCCCAGTAGACCGATGAGAAGAAGCTACGCGGCGCGGCTGTAGTTAAATTTTCAAACTTGCGTTGACGACTCGTCACAACGTCCAACTTCCATATTGAACGAGACATACGTCGACACGCCTGCTAAGGGCCACTTGGCATTGGTTCTTTGGAAGAGTAAACGCTCGCGCAAACATGATGTTATTATGCGCCGTTGCATGGTAGGAAAACATTAGTGGCGCTCAACGGTGGCGCTGGAAGCGCTCTGGAAGCGCTCTGTCTGTGTTCTGGCACTGGCTCTGGAAACATGTTCTGGCCACTACATTTTCAACTCCAACAAGCCGAACGGTGTGGCATCCTGTCGGACTCAAAATAAATTACAGTAGTTTTAGCAGTATATCAAATAATTAAATAGCTAAGTCTTGAAGAACAATGCCCCACAAATCTCTCTGCAAAAATCTCCTCAGACAACTTGATGAAGCTAGCTTGCAGGTAGCAATGGCCAGGCTGGAAAATGTGCATCGTGAAATTGATAGTAGTGATGATAGCAATTCAACTGCAACATACAGGGATTCCAATTCATCTCAGAGCATCCTCTTCATTACTCCACCATCTCCAATCTCTCCAATCTCTCTGATCTTGATGGATTCCAACTCCAGTGCTTCTGATGATACAGACTTGACAGTTGAGAGGGATAGGCAGTGTGGACAGCTCCTGAATGTGATTGAGGCTCTGAAGGATGAAGTAGAGCATGCACAGGTTCTTGAAAAACCCACTGTACCATTGATGTGGTCATTGCAGCTCGGCCTGCTCGACCATTTTGCCAACCATCACCCTCATCTGTTCCTTAGATGCCTTCATGTATGGCCAGAAGTTTTCAATCACATCCTTGATCAAATAAGTAGCCACCTGATATTTCATAGTAGCTCTGAAAATTGTCAGTTGCCAGTTGCCATTCAACTTGCAACTTTCCTTTTCCATGCAGGGCATTATGGGAATGTGGCATCACCAGAGGATGTGGCCCAGTGGGCTGGGGTTAGTGTGGGATCAGTGATCAATTTCACCAATATGGAAAGAGTGTGTACCTTCACTGAGTCGCGGACATGTCCAGCATGGAGAAATGGAGTCTTTGCTGCAGACAGCTCATTGATTCCACTCTTCGAAAAGCCCCAAGTATTTGGGGAGAGCTTCTATGACAGAAAATCGAGGTATTCACTCAATTGTCAGGTGTGTATTCCAATGCATGCAAAATGGAATACTTACTGCTCATAGCTTGTTATCATGCCGCACAACCTTCTCATGGTTGACTATGGGCTTGGTCACCCTGGAAGCGTCCATGATGCATGGGCATTTCAAGGTACTTGCATTGCATCATGACTGGGAGACCTTATCCCTGAAGATCACTGGATGTGGGCAGATAGTGCATATCCCACAGAGGAATGGTGTGCTGTTCCTTTAAAAAACCCAAGGGTGGGTGGCTATCTTGCAATCAGAATTTATATAACAAATATCTTTCTAAGGTGATACTTACCTCATACTGGTATGCATGCTAATCACATTGAAAGGTCTGCATCTGTGTTGAGCATGCATTTGCTGCCTTGAAGGGTTGATTTTGGAGTCTCCACAAGCTGTGCTTGAAAATCTGGAACAAGAGGGATGTTAAGGTTGCAGTTTACTGGGTAATGTGTTGCATCATCTTGCATAACATGGTGATCTGTTTTGAGGAGGAGATGGTTGGCATCATCAAGCCCTCAAGTCAGTGGGCAATGGAGGAGGGGTTGGGCCAACAGGATGGTGACATGGTCATGGTAGGAGAGGCTGTGGGAACACCAGGTCAGCAATTTTGAATGAGGCTGTTAAATGAGCTATTCCAATATCTGGGGTGCAAACGTACCTAGTATAAATGGACCAAAATGGTTGCCATATAAAGTTGAAGGAGCATAGCTAGTGATGCTGTAGGAATCAGCTAAGTCCCACCCATTGATGATGAGGGTGCGTAAAGGGTCTTCACAGGATCCAGGCACTTTATGACTGACCTTGGAGAAGTCACTTATGATACCACATGCATTCTGCAAATGAAATGTACCCTACATTGCATCTTGATACAGTGTTGGGGTGAGTATGGGGGAGACAGAGAAGTAATACAGTATGGGGCGAGTGTGTACTTAATGATCGTGTGATGCACTGGGACTGAGACACAAGCACAACAGAGAAGATGATGAGCTGAGCTGAGATGTGACAATGGATTAAAAAAAGAAATGGACATGATTGCGAAGGGTGGCTGGCCTAAGCAGTGGGGTTGGAAGACATTGAGCCAGAGCTGCCACCACTCTTCATGAGCTCTGCAAGTTGAATCTTGGGTCAAAGGGTTTCAGCCTCCCTCATGAAGGCATTTTCTTTGGCATTCTTCAGCTCAATATTGAGCTTCCAGAGCTCCTGCTCCCTTTGATGCTTATCCTCCACATCTTTCCACTGCATCCTGAGCTGCTTCTTCCTCAACTTGAGCTCCCAATCCTTCAGCATATACTGCATTTTTGCCAGGTACTGTGCAGTCTTACCAGAAGACGAGGGTGCTAGTATTGACTCGGCCTCTTGACTCAAGTCAATGACCTGGCTTTGAAGTTGAGACTTGTTGCAAGTGACTGGGAGAGAACTTGCCTCCATTGATGTTGTCTTGGATGATGAGGACCACAGGGTCCTCGCGACAGCCTTCCCCTGGTGGGAAGAGCTAGATGATGATGATGCAGAGGAAATGACACTTCCAGTGGAAGTGGGGGGATGATGGTGATTGGCAGAATGCAGAGCGATTATCTGAGAAAGGTGTGTGAGACTTGTGAGGGAGGGAAAATTGAGACCACACTTCAGGAGTCAATGGCAGAGGATATGACTGCTGATTCATTAACAATGATCCATTAGTGATGTCCCAATAGAAATGCACCTGATCACCATGAACTGACACTGAGTCCATGTTAACATCCTCTCCATCTCCAAAGCCAGGGTCTGTGCCTTCCAGATCAAGATACTATCGGCAAATTCATCCCCCTCATTCATGACTAGATCACCAACATGAGATATCCTCTTGTCAACTTCACCATCCTCCAGATCTTGATTGCCACACATTCCCTTGGTCCTAGTATTCGAAGGGGTACCTTCATCTGCTGGAGCAGCAGGTGACCCCACTCCCAAGTCTGAAGTCTTCTGCATACTGGATGATTTATTTTGGACAATGGCTAAAAAATCTTCAGCGTGATTTTTGTCTGGCTCAGAATTAATTGGGTCAGAGTCAAAGGAGGGGTTGCCCTGCCAGATGAAATGCAGATCAGTTGTACCAGGGTAAAGTGTTGAGAACAGCTTCTGTAATCATACACATCAGTGACTGTAATCCCACTAGATTGATTGATAACTTATGATGGAGATTTGTGTAGCTTGCATGACCAGGCATAATGCCTTCCCTTGATTGTTTAAAGCTATGCACAGCACTTGCGAATATGATCCCTTCAGCCTAAATGATCATTAAAAAATCACAGATAAAATATGAAGAGGAGACTGACATAGTGATGCAGTTGCCTACACTAACTTGGAACTTAGCAGTGCACCTGCCATGTACATGTCCTTGTAGTAGGGATCATTCTTGAATATGACTTCGGCAATAATTGCTTGAACTTCTTTCTTGTTATGGCCCACTGGCCCCTCATCAGGTGAAGGTGGTGAGATGGTTGTGATCTTATCACTAAAAAGGATTCTCTGGTTTGTGGGATGGGTGAGCAACCAGTTGATGAGTATATCAGTACAAGGAACATCCCAGTTGATGTTCTTTGGCTGAAGACCTTCTATAGTAGATGCATCACCAGTAGTGGTGACAGCCCACTGGCTGGATGAAGCCAGGTTCTTGCCCTTGGTTCCACCATGAGTAGATCTACTGCTCGAATCCACAACCAGAGCCTGAATTCCTGGTGGGTCTGTTGGATCCTCCTTGATGGGCTTGTTCACTTGAAGATGCCATGGGCTGACCTGAGATTGCTTGCAGGCGAGCAGAGCACTGAATGTGTGGTCATAGAGGAGACATAACTTTTCAAACTCCACAAGGCCAATGCCAGTTGCAGATGCCATTCCAGAACAATTTCCAGAGCACTTCCAGCGCCACCTTGAGCGCCACTATTGCTGCCCATTCGGCTCTGTGTGACATCTGTTAATCGTGGTAGAATGTTCTCAGCCCACGTCGCCACAGTGCTGGGTAAAGCTGCAGAGGGAGACAACTACCCCCGTTTAAGTCTACTGATATCCCGCCGAAGCGAGCTCCGTTAAACGTTCACGAAGACTATCGCACGTACACACGTGTAAGACACTTCCTTACAATGTGGTCTCAAATTGTCAGGAAATCATCGTCTTCCTCAACTAAAATGTCCAACATCTTAAAGAATGCCGCCCCAGGAAAGCCTACGACGTTATGGTAATCACCGTCAATCTTGCGAATGAGAAGTGCGCCTAGACCCTGTTAACCCAGGTATCAACCAAACCGTGCACTAGATCAGAAAGGAGTACAAAATAGACAGACGGGAAACATACCTGCACAGCAAAGCCGCCTGCGCGATCTGCACCTTCGCCGTTCTCGACGTAAGCCTCGAGTATATGGCGGGGGTTATCTGCAAAGTAGACGAGACTTCGTTCGTCGAATTCTCTATATGCGTGCCGTGCACGCAGCAATCGGTGGGCGAACAAGTAAACCGTCTAGCAGCCACACGTACCGAACAGCGTAGCCTGGAGCAGTTAAAATCGGGTAGACTACCCGCAGACGCAACAATCAGCTCCTCATCTCCCATGTCATGTGCATTTTTTAAATTACAATTGACACCGTAGACACGATTGGGAGACAAAAAGGAAACAGAAGAAACGCACCTAACGAAACACCCGAAACCACCTCACACACGCCGCCGTTCAACTCCAACAACATTCTCAGATTATCGACCTTCGAGGTCGGTTTCTCTAGCAATTCTTGGCGCGTACCTGTCTCCATCTCGAGCGTCGTCGCGGGTAGGGCATGCGTGAAGACGACGGTATCCGCTGCGCAATGGAGACGTAGTTGATTAGGTTGGGCGACGGATTGTAGATGAAGAGCAACGAAGGGGATGTACCTCCAATAACGAGATCAGGCGGATCGTCTGGGTCCGCTTCCTACCAACCGCTAGATCAGTCTCTACTCACCCATGCCATCCTATGGGGACCGGAAGGCCGAGCAAGCATAATCACGATGGTACGAACGAGGAACAAACACGAAACTGAATGGAAAAGATTTGGGAAAAACAACGCACCACAAGCCGATTGTACACCTCCACCGCCTTCTGTGTCGCGGTGGCGACGGGATACTCGTGGATCTGCTCAAATGAAGAGAACGGGAGGTTCTCTGGGAATGTGGACGGTGCAACTTCTGGGTCGAGGCCCTATTCGTGTGGGATAATGTCATGTTGGTATTAGATTAGATGGACATGGTAGAGAGGTGTGTAGGGGCACGCACGAGCGTACGCAAAATCTCTTTCCGCCGTGGGCTGGCAGACGCAAGGACGACACGTTTATTACGCAGACGCTCGATGCCGGGCGTTTGGAGAGCATTGGGAAGGACGGCGTTGTGGGACATGCTGGAGGTCGTAAAAATATGAAGGCTGCCTGCCTTGGGCGGATTACTTAGCACGAGAAATTCGCAGTGGCGGTGAAGGGCACCTGCCTCATCCGGCGGGCGTGGGAACTTGCCCCGAACGGTCGCAGACGCCCCCGGTGATGTCATGCTGTCACGCCCCTCGGCAAGCTGGCCATGTCGGCACATTCCCCGCGACGGTCCGTATGAGGCAACCGTCGTCGTCGTCACCCCGTCGTCCGCTTTCGATCACGATCAGGAGGAGAGGGAAGGGAAGGGGAAGGGGCCGCTGGCCCAGCATGCACGTGGTTCGCAATGCGGGTAGCAGAGCGGCATGTACTTCTTGCGTACACGGAGAAGTACGCACATATGGTGTAAAATCTGCACATTTATTTTTCACGGTCGCATCGTCACATCACTGCGTCTGTTCAGCTGTGATGCCTATGTGCTGCGGCCTCACCACCACATTCATTCAGCCGTGTCACCCAGATGTCGCAGCCTCACCACCTCGCTGCCGCGCCTGTTCAGCCACGTCCATTGCTTTTAACTCTACCACCATGTATTTGTATTATTGTATATAGTATTCAGATGAATATATTTGTTTGGAGAGCATTTTGTTTTCTTCTACTTGTCATTGCCATACAGTAGGGAGTGGGGGAGTGTGTAGATATAAAATGAGAGCAACAATGTCACATATAGATCAGGTCTACTATGGACAGAGGGAGTGTGGGGAACTAAAGATCCTCTGCCAAATGAATGAATGAGCTGTGGAAGAAGGAAATGGGGAGGGACATATTAATACCTGGGATTCTCTCTGTGCAGATGGCTCCTTGACAATTTCAGTGGCCTCACCCTCTAGGATTTCCCCTGGCAGCATATCCTTCGGCACCAATCCCTCCCTGTCCTTGTGAAATATAAGACTGGCTTCTACTTCTGCTTTGTGCATCCAGTTGCACTTCTGTTCTTCAACATCAGCTGTGCATAGATAGTCTTCAAGCACATGGAAAGTGGTTTGTGAAAGGAAGATCTGCAGGAGGTGGAGATAATTCTTGTGGATAGATCTTCAACACCAGCAAGTGTGAGTGCAGGTGTGGAGGGAGCTGGGGAAGTGGATAATGTAGAGTAAGATGGAGATGCCTCTGGGGTATTGGGAGCAGTGAAATATGAGGTGGGGATGGGGGTGCAGAGGAAGCCAGGGAGGTGGATAATGTAGAGTAAGATGGAGATGCCTCTGGGGTATTGGGAGTGGTGAAATATTGGGCTGTACCCTGCTCATCAGATACCTGTACCTCTGACAAAATTTGTCCAGAGTCATACTGACCTCAAACACACATGCATTCCTCTTTGCAACCTTGACCAACCCTGAGCTGTGTACCTGCCCTTTGACTGATTGTCCCTTGAGCTGATTCGGGAGTTGGGAGTCATTTGGGTTGATACAGAAAACAAACCAACTGTGCATGTCTCCCAACATATTGAAGAGTGTATTGAGGGCAGCACAGAATTCACCTGCAACACATGGAGTACCTGTGTTCTGTGAGGTAGTGATGTCCTTGTCCTTGCATTCTTCTTTGATGATGGGGGGAGTTGTGCCAGTGGCAGCATTGCTGTGTGGCATGCAGTGAACAGTATTCTTCCAGTGGGTGGAAGGGGTATGCATAGGTTTGACAGGTTGTTGGGCCACAATGATCATGTCCTTGCTCTTGGGATGAGCCTGTGTGGCAATGGCTTTTCCCAAGAAGAGACCTTTGATGAAGGGATTGATGGACCCCACCCCTTCAGCACCATCCCCAAGGCCAGCACTGGCAGTCACACTGATGCAAGAAGGGCTATGAAATCAGGGTTGAGAGCATTGAGGTTGCACTCTAAAAATGCCTCAGAGGAATATGTCACTGGGCCATTGAAATGGCAAATGGTAAACAGTGAGAAACCAGACTTATCCAAACCACCTCCCAATTTGAAGGAAGAGTGATTGCCCCATTGCTTAGCAAAGGCCTTGACCATGGTGTGATCCATCTTCTTGTGGGATTGGCAAGCTTGATTGTCCATGATATGAATGAGACCACCAGGTTTGTTTTGAAAGAGTCAGATGCATTCAGAGTTGTTGAAGTAAGAAATGGGGGGGATGTACTTAGATACACCTTCTGATTGGTACTCATTGATGTGGGATTTGAATGGATGTTGTTGGATAAAATGATGTGGTCACTCATTGATGAAGTTGATGCAGAACTGATTGAGTGAGTTGGATCGACCCCATGTAGTCCATTTAGTCACAACATATAGGTAGCCTGTGTGCCAAAATGCCAACACTTATATAGACCCTGCCACAGGCCTGTCTAAATAGATTAACCATGACACATGGACAGGCCTGAGGGCCTATAGTGAGAGCAACATATGGGAGGGCCTGTGGAGGGTAAGGATGCTGCAACATATAGATGGGTCTGTGACCAAGTAAGTATGCTGAGCTACTGTAAGACATGGATGGGCCCATCCATGGTAGGGTGTGCCCCAGTCACAATATCAGGATGGGCCCACCTATTGTATCATGAAGAAGGTTGCAACATATGGACAGGCCTGCCTGTTGTATGCTTTATAGGGTCACAACATAAAGAGGGGCCCCTCTATGATAGATTACAGAGTTGGCAACATATGGAAGGGCCTGTCTTTGGGATAATATACCCCTTTCACAACATATAGATGGGCCCATCCATAGCAAGATGTATGCCTATTGCAACATAAGGATGGGCCCATCAGTAATATCATTGACAGCATCACAACACATAGACAGGCCCGTCTAGTAAGATACACCCCTGTCCCAACATAAGGACAGGCCTGTCAATAGCAACATGTATGCCTGTTGCAACATAAAGACAGGCCCATCAGTAATATCATTTACAGCATCACAACACATAGATAGGCCCATCCAGTAAGATGCACCCCTGTCACAACATAATGACAGGCCCATCAGTAATATCATTTACAGTGTCACAACACATAGATGGGCCCATCCAGTAAGATGCACCCCTGTCACAACATAAAGATGGGCCCATCAGTAATATCATTTATAGTGTCACAACATATGGATGGGCCCTTCCATAATATCATTTATACCATCACAACATGTGGGCAGGCCCATCCATAGTAAGATGTACCTGTCACAACATAAAGATGGGCCCTTCAATATATATCATTTACAGGGTCACAACACATGGATGGGCCTGTCTAGTAAGATGCACCCATGTCACAACATAAAGACAGGGCCAGTCAGTATTATCAATTACATTGTTGCAACAGATGGACAGGCCTGTCTAGTAAGATATGCCCCTGTTTCAACATAAGATGGGCCCATCAGTAATATTAATGACACAGTCACAACACATGGATGGGCCCTGTCAATAGCAACATGTATGCCTGTTGCAACATAAATGAATGGGCCCATCAGTAATATCATTTACAGTGTCACAACACATAGGACAGGCCCTGTCTAGTAAGATGCACCCCTGTCACAACATAAAGATGGGCCCATCAGTAATATCATTTATAGCATCACAACATATGGAGGGGCCCTTCAGCAGTATCATTTATGTGGTCACAACATAAGGATGGGCCCTTCAGCAGTATTATTTTATATGGTCATAACATATGGATGGGCCCTTCAGTAATATCTTTTATATTGCCATAAAACAAGGATGGGTCCATCTAGTAAGATCCACCCCTGTTGCAACATAAGATGGGCCCAACACCAATAGCATGTATAGCATCACAACATATTGATTGGATCACAGCAAAATATTGAGGCAAGCATCCTGACATGCCATAATTTTCCAACAAGCTGCAAGTGGCTTGCCCACTATACAACTCTGACCTCATCCACCCCAAGCATGAATACTATGCAAGCCATGGATGGTGAATGGAACTAACAGACTGCATTGCATCATACATGAAAGCCAGATTTCAAGAGGAGGTATTCAGTGGACCTCGTGCCCTTCCAGATATATCAATTCCATTTCCAGTGTTATGTGAAGACACCAATGCCCTGTTATCTGCAATCCTGCATGTCATCCATCTGCAAATGTATGCACATGGCAGGGAAGCATTGATCCACCTTGGCAAACAGGCAGAACAGTGGGCAGATTTGGATATGAGCTCCATACTGCTGATATGGAGCTCCACATATAGCAGCATGTCCATGATGGTGAATCAGGCAACTTGTTACCACAGGGATATCAATGGATGGGATCCATGGTATGACATGCTGGTAATGGTAGGCAACTACCTGCCCTTGGACTTTGTCATTCCAATGTTGAATCTGTGGCTGCACTACAACCCAGGGATGATCATTGCATTTTCAGGTTCAGCATTGGAGCATGGGGTGGGAGCTGTAGATGGTGACAGAGCATGCCTGGCATACTACATGCATGCCAATGTACATCAGTTGGTGCATGTTCCCATGTGTTGATCACTGCAGATGGATGACCTACTACCTAGACCAGTTGCAACTGAAGAACTGTTGATTTGAAGCTGCAAAATTTAATGTAAGATTTAGTAGGCAATGTGGATTTTGTATTTTATTAGGATATGCTGGCTCTTGAACTTCAGACAGGTGGTGTTGCCAAGATTTTGCAAATGGGCAGGTGCTTCGACATCATAGATTGGGTGGGTACTCAGAGCTAAAGGGTGTGCATCATAAACTGCAAAAAACATAAACCTACTCAGGCCATCATGCAGATGGGCAGATTGTCAGACATTGTGCAGATGGGTGGGGGTTCAGACATCATGTGAATGGGTGGTATCTCATAAATGATCAACATTCACAGCAATGTATATTCAACCAATTCCACAGTCAAAAACATGTAAATTATTGAAGTGGTGTGAGTCAAAGTGAGGTTCAGTGGTGAAAACCAACCAAAACCAACACAAAAGACAATGAAAGTGAGTGGTGGTGTGCCTATGTGGTACCTAGATGGTAGAACCTGTTCTTTGGGAGGGTGTTTGCAAGCTACAACACTCAAAGATGAGTGCTGAGGGTAGGGGGTGCTCCTGACGAAGAGGGAGCAAGAATGTGATAGAAAGTGATAGGGTAGACTGCTGTCAGCCTACAGAAGGATGGATGGTGACTTAATTTGATGTCCTAAGCTGTACTGAGCTCAGGGAGGGCTTGGAGCAAAGTATATGGATGATAGATGATGATAAGCGAAGTAGATGATAGCTAGACCCTTAATAAAGTCTCAACTATCAAAGCTGATGAATGATTTACTGAGAGATGATAAATTGCGAGCAAGAGGGGCTCTCTGATGCCTTCTTTTTTTTTTTGCTACCTAAGTACAGTGACTTATATACAGTACAGGGGCATTGCCTATAGAAAACAAGGTGCAAACACTTGGTAAGCGATTGGTAACTGATGAGTAAGGAATGTAAGCAATGGGTAATCGTCTTGGAAAGCATTGGTAAGCATTGGTAAGGATAAGTAAGCCAAAAAGCGAAGAATCAGTAAGCAAAGTCAAAAGATTGGTAAGTATTGGCAATAGGTGAGTCAAAGACAGTCAGAATGTCAAAGTATGAGTCAAGTAATGTCAGGAACTGGGAAAGTGCACTGGAATTGCATTAGGGGGAGGCTGTGCATGTCATATCTTGAAGAGATCGCTTCTAGGCCAAAGTGGGATGACAGAGAGGCAGCGCTGATCTGATGCTGATATAGTACATCCAAAAGCGGACAAGGTGAGTCAGATGTCAACAGGGGTCAAGCTTTGGGGGTCTGTGGGGTGACAGGAGCATAGGGGATCATTGCTGGCTGTCCTTCTTTGCATGAGGGCTATGGTCTTCACCTCCATTCATCAGCTACATCCATGTCCACCTCACCAAACACCTTTGGTGTGTGACAGTGGCATGCCCAACAACCCATGCAATGCCCACCACCTAGCATAGAAATGGTCAATTTATTGACCCTGACCATTGACAACATCAGCATATTTCTGAATATTTTTGATGCAGTAGTTTACCTGCTCCTCGATATGGCCATTGAGACAGTCTGCGATTGGTGCCTCAGGCAATGGTCATAAGCCCTGGGCCATCATCAACTATTTTCAGTCACAAGAATAAGCAGCATACCTTGAAAAAATCCCAGGCCATGGAAAACAATCCCTTGCCTTGCAATCTTTGGGAATCAGCTGCATATTCCTCAGAATGATATAGCCACCAAGGGAATGCAAAGCTGGAATTGGGATCAGCTGCATGTGGGGTCCAATGCAGGATGATGGCACTGATATTGTTGATTATGCAAAATGTGCTAAGGGGAATTAGCTGCATTTGATCACAGAAGCTAACCTCATCATCTTGGTGTCTGAGGTACACATGGTAGCATGCTGGGAGGGGAGGAGTATAACTGGCATGCAACACCATCACCAGAATCAAGCTATTAAGCTGATTCTGAAGGAATTATGTATCAGTCCCACATTGTGAAAAATTGATGTAAAACCTACCAAGTCCATTGCTAGGTTTGCAAACCAA